GCATTGGCTGCAGCTGCCAGCTTCTGTAGCTCCGGGTCGCGGAACTGGGCGACGTTGATGGGCTCTGCCGTGACAGCCGCGGCGAGCCCGTCGGCCATGACGTGGTTTTCGACCTGCTCTACCTGAGCAGGCGGACGAAAGGCCACCGAGTGTTGACGAGCCTCCTTGGGGCTCTTGAGCGCTTCTTTGCGCTGGCGCATCCTTGGCGCCGGCCTCGAGACTCTGGCCACCTCCTCGCTGGAGGAGTGCAGGAAATCCATCACCTTTGCGAAAGGATTGCTGCTGGCCTTTTCCGGTGTCGTCAGAGGCTTCGGTACGACGCGTACCGCCGACTTCCATAAAGGAGGAGATGCCACCGTTGCGCTCTTTTGGGACTGAAGAAAACGTATCACTCCATCTATCGCGTCTTCCTCCCGAGGCACAGGAAGGCCGGGCGCTTCGCCACGGCAACGGCCACTTTGCCGCTGTTTTTGTTCTGGCACCACTCGGGTGCCCGAAACCTGTGCTCGCCGCCCTGGCAAGGGATCTCGACTCCGTACCGCGAGCGTTCCAGTCACGCTTTCTTGGAAGCCGGCGCGTTGCCGTTTTGACCGCTTGCGGAAAGTGGTCTGCTGCGCTATGGCGCGGTAATGGGTTGTGGTGGGCGCCGTCGTGCACCGCTCAACCAGAGCCGCCGCGGGGTCCTGCAACTGATCGCCGTACACTAAACGACGATATTCATTCAAGTTAAAACTATTTGGCCTACCTGAGAGGACCAAGTTTTCCCGGAAAAGATAGTAGAGCTCCCAACCTAGGAGCTCGAAACTATCTCGGGAGGGATTTTTTATCAAATCCCCGTAGTACGTGAGGATTCTCTGCATCCTCCGTACATTGAAATTGGGCTCGTGCTTGATGGTGCCCACCAGCTGGGCAATCGCCGCTCCTGGGGTTGACGCGGCTATCGTGCGAATAAACATCGGGTAGGTGCCCACCTCCCCGATGATGTCAGTCGAGGGACGACTCCCGGCCGGAAGGTCGTTCGTCATCCCGTGACGCCAGCGCCCGATCGGCGCAAACTGCAGCCCTGGTTCCGCCTCAACGTCCTCCCCATCGGACCACCGTTGCGGGGGCGGAAAGTTTGGGCCGGAGGAAAAACCGTGGGCAAAACCGCCTCGAGGGGCCTGTGAGGCCGCTGCGAAAACCCCTCGCTGCGGCTCAGGCTGCGGCACGCGCATTGGTGGGACTCCCGATTGGGGGCCAAAGGCAGACCGGAAACGACCCGTCGGTGGGGGGACTCCGCCAAAAACAGCTGAGCCCTCCACGGGCCGTTCAAATCGCGGAGGAGACCAGGAAGTTACCGAATGCGCAGGGGACGGCGGAGCCATAGGCGGAGCAGTAGGTGTCCGCTGTGGCCGCTGCCTCTCTAGTAGGTGCGGCGAAACAGGTGGAGTCAGCGGCTTGTTGCTTTCTCTGTTCAGCCGCCTCCTCAAGGCGATACCCACCGGCACTGAAGCCTCTGACACACTGCTCGTCTCTGAGTCGTGTGGAGATGATCGAACAGGGGAAGTGGGCTTAGACCTCTTAGCGAGTCCCTTCTGCAGAGCCGCTCGCTTCAGCAAGGCATTCTCGGCCTTTAAACCGGCGTTTGCTTCCTTGAGGTGCGCCAGAGAAACTTCTGTCTGAGTGCAACCAGCGGAGGCGACGCGCTCTTTCTCGTCGAGGGGGTCCCGCTCCTTCTGGAGCTTTTCGATCATCGCCTGCATCGACGTGATTTTCTCTTGCAGGATCTCGTTACGTTGCCGCTCGCTCCGACTGGCGTAGTTGGCCTCGGCGATCGCCTGGCGCGCCTCTGCAGCTGCAACGGCCGACTGCACCCTCAACTCGGCTTCCTGTCCGCGCAGGTCTGAACGACGCAAAGCGTCATTTACGTCCAGAGAAGCAGCCAGAGCGGCCATTTGTACACGCTGCCCCGCGTCATCGCTCCTCAGCTGTGCTTGTTGCCTGATCATCTCTGCGCGGCGATCCGCGTCGACCGTGTACAAGTAAGCCTCGCCCGTCTGTAGCCGCGCCTGCACCTCGGCATCTCGTATGCGCACCGATGCCGTCTGCTGGTTCAACGCGTCCAGCTCCGTGACACGATTGTAGGCATGAGCCACAGGAGCATCAGAGACGTATTTCTCCGCCGCGGCCCCTGCCATGCCCTCACGGTATGCGAGACTCACCTCGCGCTGGGCCAGTTGCCCAGCGTGCACGCGGCTCTACTGCGCCTGCTGTTGTAACTCGGCGAACGTATTACCGAGCGCCTGCGACCATTCGGTCATCTGCTGAGAGATTCTCCCGGTTACCTCAAGATGCGAAGACATATATGTGGCGACCAGCTGAAGGAACTCCACGCGTTCCGGTGGAATGAACTCGCCGGTTTCTGTCCGCAGATACTGAAAATAATGCGTCCCGCTAAGCATGTGACAGATGACGCTCCCAGAAGCGTCCAGACTCGTCTGCACCGTGAACGTTGAGTAGGCATCGCGCGCATCCTTGGCAGTAATCCTGATTTTGGCAGGGCCATACATACGGGTGAATTCGCGCAAGGCCTGCTCCCAAGCGTTCCACTCGGGCTTTGTGTAAATCTGCACCGGGCCGTTGGGGCCAATAGTCGTCATGGACATCTTTGTGAGAGTAGGTTAAAGAAGGAGGGGAAAACGAACAGAAGAGAGAACAAGGCGGAAGTCGAAGACTGTCCGTGGAAAAGGAGAAGAAAGTAGAAAGGAGTCCCCGAAGATGATATTCACTTAGATTCCATTCAAACCATACTTCACATTCAATCATTCCTTTCACAAGCTCCCAGAAAAGAAGACAACGTACGGCTTTCCATTCATCTCCCGACGTTTTTCTTTTGTTCTCTGGAGCTTGCGAATAGAATGACCTAGCCTGAAGAATTATTCCTCCTACCTCTCTTTTCTTCTTTTCCAACTGCTAGAATTCAGCAGTTCTTCCATCTTTTAGTTTTCCCCACCCGCCCAACCCTGAACTCCCCGCCCACCCAGCGGGGAAGCGTAAGGCGGGCTACCCACTTCGTAGAGTCTGTTGAATAGTTTGTTTTCTTTGCATGTATTTAACTATCGATATTTACAGTGTGTTGTAAAACCAAGAAAGATAAATTTATGTAATTCTCATGTAAAGGTTTGACCTGTTGGTAGGTGATGATTTGTAGGGTGTGGGTTATTCTGAGGCGCAAGCTTTCAGACAATGCCTCCGAATAGTTGCACTCGCGACACTGGTGACGCCGTATGAATGCAGTGAGAGTGGTTGAAGGCGACGGCCATTATTGTTGGGGTGCAGACCGTCACTGTTCGTGGTCAGCGCTTCATTGTGTTCATTCAGCACGCCCTTCTTTCAATCGAGGGCACTCTTGCAAAAAAATACATTGTGGCTGTTGTTTTCAAAGTGTTCCACCGTGAAATTTACAGATGCAGCCATGCCTCGTTCCGCTCTCAAAGCCATCACTCCCGCTGAGTTGCTTCAGCAGGTGATGCATGTAGAACCGGGTGCACCAAACGAGGTATCTTGTCTTAGGGAAGAAAAAACGTTTGAATCGTTGGAGCGGTGAGCTCCCCTTGGTCGGGAGACACCATGACGGAAACGTTAAGAGCATCCTCGTCGCATTTCACACGGACCCAGAGATACGTGCAGAGCTGGAAAACGACAGGCCGTTGGGGAGATATTCAAGGATTGACGGCGGAGGTTTTCTTGCTGGTGAGCCCGCAGTAAATTGTAAAACGCTTCACGCGGGAAAGACACTATCACGGAACCCTTACAAGGCTTACGCTCTAGTTGGGGTCGAGGACGCAAACGATATGGGGCGAATCGCTCAAATTCTCAGCAGCCGGAAAGCAGACAACCCAGCATCGACACGGTTCACAACAATGAATACGCATCAGATCATCCGCGAGCTGAAACAAGCAGACCTAACACTGATAGCGCACTCAATCAAACGAGGCGCGTTGAATTTCCTCACAGCATACGCCGCGCAGAATCAGCGCAAGCAAAAGTACATTCCGCTGTTAGCAAAGCATGGCGATGGCAAAGCCACAATGCACAACACGATTCGCTACATCACCGAACACGTGCCGTTAGCGAAAGTGATCGGAACCCAAAAGGCAACATGACTCTTACGAGTTATGAAGATGGAGAAGAGTGAGACGACCTTCTCAACATCGCGAAACGCATAGCATATCCCTTTTGGATAAGACACCGGTAAACACAAGAAAGGAACCTGTCAACTGATGAAAAAATAGACAGCGGCAACCCCGCAAGGCCAGCCACGGCACAACGCAATCAAGACCAGCTTTATCAGCTTGCAGACACATGCTATCATCTCTGCACGGCAATGAAGTACAAAGAAAGCGTGGCAGGTCGCGGCGGCTATCTCGGTCGAGGCGCATGGAGACTGAAGAAAGCAGCCATCACGGAAGAAGGCTTCCAACATCCGTGGTGCGTCGGAAGTTGCGCCTCTCAACTTTCAGAGAATTAGATCACGCATGCGACCAGAGATCCCCCAGTGTGTGGACGATCTCCTTCACCTCCTTGGAGCAGACTGCTTTGCACACAGCCTAAGCAAACAGCAAACATCAGTTTCTGATGTCAGGAAAAAGAGCAATGGCTATTCGGACGCACAAGGCTACCGCCCAGACGAGCCACTTCTACACGTTTCGATACACCTCGACGCAGTGAACGCCGAGATGGGTAGCGTACACGACCTGAGGGCCAGTTTCTTTCAGGTCGAGCTCCCAGAAAGAGATCAAGAAAGCTCCGTCTTACCAGATCCGAATAGCGGTACACAGTGGTGCTTGACGCGGCCTCCGATGGGACACTTGGCCTCACCGGAAATCGTGCAAATCCTCACGTCCACCGTGGCAGGCCGTCCGAAGTGTGCGGGCAAAAGGATCACCGTGAACGGCCAGCCCTGACCTCAATCGACGTTTGGATCGACAACATACGCTACGCAGACACGCGTCAAGCACTCCAAATCAGCATTTCAACAGGATGTGAACCACCGCGCAAGAGTTCCCAGTCTTTCTTCACACCGACGAGAGATACGCAAGAGAAGTCTCTGACTTCATAGGGGGTATATTTCAACCACGCAGCTCACAAAGTGGGAGCGGCAGATCACACGATCCAGAAGATTGATGGTCCGACGCCAAGCATGACGGGCGGTGACTTGGAGCGACTGTACGCACAACTCCTCCGCAGCTCGTCATTCCTACATATCCGCACCGCAGAGTTCTATTGGGCGTTGAAGCCCATTAGACAAAGGCGGTCTCCGCTCAGCCGGACACCTCTCCTGGTGAAAGAGCCGGCCTGCACACGCCCAACGGCGCATGCACAACTTAAATAGTGGTACGACCTGGCTCAGAAGAACCGCCCACGAGCGGTAGCGCCGGCCATGGCAACGAGAATGCCGACAATGACCCTCTACACCGGTGCCTCTGGAGTTGGTTGGGGAGCGGTGTTGATGCGGCACGAGTCCCAAGAAATCATGAGCGTTGGAGAAGCATGGTCCGCAGCAGAGCAGCATCACATAAACACGCTGGAGGGGAACACCGTGGTTCTCGCGGTAATATACTTGCGGCGATGGATTCCCGCAGGGTTGAACCTTCATATAAATATTGATAGCACGACGGCCTTAGCCGCCATCAAGAGAGAGCCGTATCGACAAAGGCGCCCAAGGACATTGCACTTCGCACAGAGAAAGCTCTCGCAAAAATTCAGATTTTTCCCCTCAGTAGAATAGGTTCCTTCCAAAGAAAACTTGGCTGAAGCGCCTTCACGCATCTTTTCCATGAAAAGTGGTCCATAAACTTGTCTCTTTTGTTCTTCTTTTTGGACGAGAAAACAAGTCACGAACGACTCTAAAGGATGCCTACAACACAACAGGCTAAAAAATATATTTTCTATTATTATTATTTTGCACCTCAGAAAACCCAAAACGATTCTCTTTTACTGTTTTACTCTCTTCATTCCTTCTTTTCTTCGATACCAGCTAAAAGGGTTCTGAAAAAGGCAGTCGAGGTAGGCTCCCGTAAAAAGCTGGCAGGAGACTATTTTCTTTTCCTTTCAGTTAACCTGTCTAGCTTGGATCCGCTGTCTGCCCTCATCGGCTCGAGTCAAAATGAAAAGGAGACCTTCTCTTCGGAAAGCCTTTCCGGAGCAACAGCTCTTCATGGAACTTATGAAAGGGTCGAAAAGGGAAACTATCCCTGCAATTAGTTGCGCTTCTCAAAAAAACGAAAATGCCTTTCAAAATTCTTCTCTTCTACATCCTTTTTTCTGTACCGTCCTCGTGCGTAAATGGAGAGTTCTAACCCTCACCCACACCTCTCTATTCTCCCCTTAACTCCATAACACAACTCAGGTGGAGACAGCAGATGGTGATTTGTCGTGCATAGGACGCCACTAGGAATCAGTTTTCTCGTTTGTGTGTTCCGTACAACCGGGAAGGCACTGGTACGGGTTGTGGGGGAGGACGCCTGAAGTCGGGTATCCCCTCGTGTGCGTGGAAGTGACCTCAGCTTCCTCTGTGTCGATGAAAACTTACGGAGCGAGACTTGCAAAACGGACGCTCCTGGGGACAGTTTAAGAAAGAGAAGCAAATCGGTCAACGCTAGACAGACCACACGTCACACGGGGAAAATAAGAGAGTCATTTAAAAACGTAATGTAGATGAAGCAAAAGACGCCGTTGCTCCTTAGTCGGAGAGGCGCGGCACAGACATGAAGCGCAGTACCGGCTGATACGCACTCCCCAGAAAGAGAGGCTGGAAAAGAACGGTGTGACCAAGTCCCTCGCCCAAGAGGCACCAAATACTAGGAACAACACATACTTGATATGAGTGCCCCTTCCCGGCTTGCAAAACAAACGCCGCCAAAGAAGCACATCGTCATAGCATACACAAGCACCTTCACAAAGAAATTAAAGAAAACAAAAGACGTGAAATGAAAGAGCAAGAGAGAGGTACAAAGATACATATGTCCTCCAAAAGTGGCAGATAAAGTGAAAACTAGAGACACCCAGGCAGAAAAAAAAGCTCGGTAAAACAACACAAGAAGAGAGTAGCGCGATACATAAAAAGAAGAATCCGCAGTCACTGGTCATCCCAGTTTCTCCAGTCATGCGAAAAGACGTGGTAGCTCAGGGAAGAAAGCTGGACACTCAGTTGCGCACTTTCTCTTCACTACTTCATGCAGGTAGTGTGACGTAGATTTACAAATAGAGCGCAGAGACTCTTCACTTCACAAGGAAGCATCTTCGTCAAGTCGCGCGACAATACTGGTGACCTCTCCAGCCGCCTCGCTAACGTGCAGCTCCACAAAAGCACACTCACAATAGTTGATTTCGTTAACAGTTGAACATCGTAGAGAAGAAGAAAACACAGAATGCACATCGTACTTTTGATTTACATCGTACCCATCGTTAAGGTAGAAAGGAACAACGAGACTCAGTATTCCAACTGGGTGAAGAGTGCAGTGCCACGCAGCACCCAGTGGTTCTCCGATTGTTGCGGATCCCGTGGGAGATTCACGGTGAGGATGAAGTTTGTGGAGTGTCCCGTCGTGGAGAGCACGCCTTTTCGGTCGGTTGTCTTGTAGCATGGGCAGGCGTACACAGGACACTGTATCGCGTTGTCCGGCACCAAGGGCACCAGCTTCATCACAGGAAACGAAATGAAGAGCTCCTTGGGTTCGCTCTCGGTAAGCACGCCGCTAGCCCAGTCCACAGCCTCCAAGTAGAGCCCGTTGACGTAGCAGCCGTCCTCCAGGCCTTCGGTGAGAAAGCTCCGCATCCGCGACCGGTTCGGACAGGGAGGACTGCAACAGGTTTCTCTTGAGTCCTTTCGGTGGTTCCTGCATCAGTTTCACGACGTTCTGCAAAATGGCAATCGGGAAAACGTCACTCGGTAGCGACGTCAGCCACAGGCGGTAGTTGCGGTGCAGTCACTTCTGGACCGCCGCATCGCTGTAGTCCTCGATCCTGCGCGACAGACGCGGCATGAAGTCGGCGTAGAGGTGGCAGTTTTGCAAAAACACCCAATGTCCTTCCTTCGTCCCGTATCCATCATCTCACAGGCAGGCACGTCTTGGCCCTGGCCGCGCGAGAGCTTGAACAGCTTGCTTTGCGCCATGCCTCGCAGCTCTGCGACACGGTCCAGCTCCGCATTCGGGTCTGCGCCGGGCGAGAGCACGAGGATAGTCGGCACCGAAGGGTCGTAGGAGAGCTCGTCCACCACCGTCTCCAACGCGTAGAGCGGCGGCTCGACAAAGTACTCGCCAAGCGTCTCGCTGACGTAGTTGCGGATGGCTGGCACCACCACTTTCACCCCTCGCCGTTCCCCTCCGCCCTCCCCCCCCCTCTTTCTTTATTTCATACGCGCAGTTCTATTTTTGACTTCATCTGAGCAGGTAATAACTGAAGCAGCGACTTCAACGAGCTGAGGAAGATAGCAGGACAAAAAGGTGGAGACTAGCGCTGGCTTTCACAGACGACTGTACATCTCTAAATTGCCATCTTGAAGGCCAGCTTCTCTCTTCGTCTGCAGAATAACAGAGAGCGCTCTGTTTTTGTTCGAAAGCCGGAAACTGAGGCGAAATTCAGTGCCTATGCGTGTTTTACTCGTTCACGCTGCCGAAGCAATTAGAGGGAAACTGTTAACACCGCCTTTTTGTTTGTTTCGACGACTCGTCTGTTGGTGCAATTGTATGAAAATTGGAAGAAGACACAGTTTTCTTTTCTATCTTCGTGGCAGTCGGAACTCCTTACCTATTGTAACATGCTCGCCTTTTCTTTGTTCCCTGCAGGATTCGAGTGACTATTTGCGTATCTGAGTTAGCAATGAGTAAAGGAGCTTTTTTGCCACGCTAACAACAGAGGAGTTTAGAGCGAATCTGTGAAGCGTCTTGGTTTTTTTTTTTTACCTCTTCCGGTTAGGTAATTCGCAGCGATCTATGTTCTCTTTCAGTGTTCTTGTTGAAGCAAGTATTGTTATGCAGCTGTTCTCGGTCCCACCAGCGTGCCTGCAATAGGGCAACGTTCCTCACGGAGATAGGCGCTTAGCAACAAGTAAACACGACATCACCATTTCCTTCTAATGCTGTGATGTTTTTCTAAGCAGATTTCTTGGTGTTGTGCTTCCTGTTCTACTGAATTCAGTTTATGTTAACAAAAGAGAGAAATGGTGTCGTTCGCTTGTGGTATTCGCAGGCACTGTTGAGGAGAAGCATATTTTGTTGTAGAGATGAGGTGCTTTCACAAATGATTTGCTCGTAGTCGTCCTCAGTGTCTCCTGTAAGTAATGAAAATGCACAGTCTTTGAAGAACCTTTGCGAGTATTGCAAACCACTCAAGATGATAGTTGTGTTTCCTTCTATAGGCCTGAAGCAATTTCAGAAATGCGGGTAAGAGTAGTGCCCTGTTAATGCAGGCGGCTTCATATTATTATTCTTGAGAAAAGAGACAATTTCTACTATTCTCTCTGGTGCTGGCATTGTGGTTGCATTGTTTTCTAACCGTAGAATAGAAAATCCGTCGACTATGTACGTTTACAGTTCGTATTGTAGCGTTCTGGTCTCAACGCGGTTGACTTCTTGTCGTGTTCAACGTCTTGTAATCTTTTGTTGCTGTCTTCGACGAAGTGCAAAATAGGTGAAGGAGATGAAATGAAAATGAACAAATAGTTTATCGTGTGTCATTCTGGGTGTACGACTGCATTGGAGACGACAGTAAGGCAAACTGATGAAAAGTATACCGTGATAAAAGGCGCTTTTCGTTTTGGACGCGTGCAACTCTCTCTGTATATGTACATTTGTTCTTCTCTCTATTGGGGGCTCGTGGTTCTGGGTTGAATGTGCTTTATCTGATCTCTGATTGCAACGTTGTCGACGACATTGCAGATTGTTATCTTCACTCTCGGATCTTGTCAACATCGTATAGTTTACTAAAGCGTTAATGTGGTCTTGGACAATGAATGTCCGTGTGTCTAAAAACGGCCTCTTTGTAAGCCTCTCATACTTGAAGAATGTGAACTCTTTTTCTGTCCAAAGCTTCGATTCTGTGTTCGTGTAGCAAAGCAATGGTTCGGAACACCAGTATGTTTTTGTAGTGGTTGTTGTGCTGACGTGGAACGTACTTACTGTGAAGATGCTTCCCTGAGGCGCCTTTATTTTTTTCAATTGTTGTGTTAAACTGTGTGTTGCACGATTACACAACGTAGTCGTGCATGCTTATTGAACGAGTATCACCTGGATATACGCAGTGTTGTGGGTTGCAACATTCCCATTCTTTTTCGGGCTCTCTCAGCCCAAGGCTTTGTCGTAGCACCCCATTGAAACTGTGATCTCTCTCTCTTTCATGTGTTTTGTTTCACCATTTAAAATGACCCTAACCCTCTTTCACAAGGCAAATTGTCAACTTGAAATCTTCAACACGTTTGTGTGTTTGTTGTTCGTTTTGCTGCTTTTTTAGCGTCTGATTCTGTTTTGGATACTGAGTTCTGGCCCATGCATTCTTATCAGCTGCGCTTTTATGAAGCCATCGGTACTGTATCTGTGTGTTTTCCGTAAAAAGCGTCTGAAAGCGATAAGAACTGTCAAGGCGAATTCAGTGAATGACGTTCTTCTGTGAGAAGGGTTTCTTTTTTTTTTGTCGTGATCTGTGCTTTGAGACTATTCATCACTGGTTATAGGTAGCTTTTGCTTTGGATTTAAGGTTTTCCTGATCTATTTTAAATATGCAAATAAGCGTCTGATCTGCACTGTTGTTCTTAGAATGATAATGGCGTTCTTTGTTGTTGTTGCTGTTAGCGAGCACTCGTTAATAGCGCATTATTTGGGAAGTTAACGTGTTGATGCTGTGTTCACGGCATTTTTGTTGGTGTTCAGAATGCATTCGGGAAAACGATTAGAATGACACGGGAAATGTAGGCAAATTACCAGTAAATTCAGCAACAGCAATTATTAATATTTTCTGCTCGTATCTTGCAGCAAGAAAACAAAAGAAGTCGTTTCGTGCACTGACATTATTTCTTTTTTTCTTATTATCAAACTGATGTCGTTGCTACCTTCTCTTGTTTCTTTTCGTCAGTGGGAAATGAAAATGAAGTCTTGTATCCGCCTTTTACTGTGTCATATACGCATATTATCAACCCTTCTCTGTGTTGCCTTCTCCAACCTTCCTGTTCTTTCTCCTTCTACTTTTTATGACTTGCTGTGTTTGGTTGTGCTCAAAACTGTGTTCCGTCACACACCTTTAAAAATTGTATATCTCACCTAAAAAGTCCGTCGCTCACTACGTAGACGCTAATATTTACTACGTGTGGTGCATGGCCCTTAGCGCGTGAAGGATTCTGCACTCCTTATTATTTTTGAAAGCTGCTATTCTTGACTTACTTCTTCTTTTTCTGTTTCCCCTACTTAACGCAATGAACTTTCTCAGCTCCGTGTATAACGACCAAAGCTACCGCACGTACTTGGACACAGGTCCGAGGTTTTGTGTGGTAGCGGTTTCGGAGTCAATGGAGGTTGCAGAGAAAATAGCTCAAGTAATTATGCAAGTTTCCCCACGAGTCAACATTGTCTGTACAGACAAAGTTGTGAAGACTGTGAACGAAACGAAGTTTCCGCACGCTGATACGTTTCGCCTTTTGCGGAGCAACTGGTGTGTCAAGCATCAAACAAGTGTGTTCAGCTGCGCGCTTTTGATTTGCTTTGTTGATAGACTTGAGAGCGGTGCAGACGCATTTAAAATTGCCAAGGATCTTGTATCACGCCTCGGTACACCGACTGAAACGCTTCGCCACTTCGTTATTTTTGTGCCGTACTCTGATTACGCCGGGAATCCGAGATCGGCGCTTTGTGACGAAATTGAGAAGCATCTCCGTGGCCTGGTTGGCAATCGCTTTGTCGGTACGGCTCTTCAAACGGACCAGGACTCGGTTTGGCGAGGAATTGCAGCACTGCAAAAAATGGGCGCGGACGCGTGTGTTGCGTATCACACGGATGAGGTGCAGCGGCTTCGTGGCAGAAAGAACGCGGCCTCCCTCGATCCGGAGCAGGAGCGGCTGGTTCCTCGCCTCCACTTTAAACTGGGATGGCATTACCTCGTTTTGCACGATTTTTCCAATGCAAGACGGCAGATGCTGTCAGGATTGCGCAAACTCAAAAGCATGTTTCCTATGTTTCCGTCCTTCCAGTTCCGCATGTGTGGGTCCATATTTTTGTATCACTTTTTGTCTTGTGTGTCCTCATGTGGGGGTCACATGAGCAGCTCGTCAGAAGTGTTCCAGGAGGTGCGCCGCTACGTCGATTGGATCGGTTCAGCATATGGCGGCAGCGTCTGCGATGAGTGCCAAACCGTTACGTCCGTTCTCACGAAATTGCTAGAGGCAGAGTGGCTGGAGTTTTTGGCACGCAAAACCGAAAACCTCGATACGCGGAGCTGCTGTGACTACCTGATGGCTGCAGCGCAGGCTTTGCAAGAGTGCATGGCGTTCCTGCCGTCGCGCCATGATGGCGACACTGTCTGCGCGCCATCACACATTGGAGAAGAGGAACTGTTAGACGAGCACGCGGCGGATCTGTGGAAGTGCTGCGACAAGGTTGCCGTTCGAAAGCGAATCGTGCGCCTTCTCGGCGAAGCCAAGTCACAGACATCGTGTCGAGAAACGGAGGTGAACTACCTCAACTTCCTCGCGAGCAACGATGTACTTGATGAAGCGCCTGATATGCATCTTGTTGACGAGATTGTCACGAAGGCCAGCTGTCCCATCATCTCGCGTCTGGCGGAAGTGGCGTGCGGGGCGTTGAATATGTGGAAGTCTATCTCGCCGCCTCTGACCGCGGCACTGCTCCTCAACGGTTGCGTCGATCCAGTCAATTACGTGGAGCAAGAGAAGTTTCAACACCGCCTGCACGAACTGGAGGGGTGTCTAGGGAGCGACACCGTGTTACAGTACCCGAAAGGCCAGCTCTTGGCTCCTTTCACCGCGATCGCCTATTTTGATGAGGAAAGGGAAAAAGTTGTCGGAGAGCGCGCTAGAGTGGTGGTAGTGCTCTTTTCCACTTCGACAAGAGTGGTGGAAATTGATATGCACACACTGACATTCAGCTCCTCCAGTGTCAAAGGGTCACCCGAAACGCACCTGCCGCTCACACCGGCGCGGCGCGTAAAGCTCAGCGCCGCAACACCGCAGCGAATCCTCGTGGAAGTACCGCTGGCGCACGCGGGAAGATTCTCATGTAGCAGCGTGACGGCAGACGTGCGCATTGCGGGCTTTACGGTGACCGTGCGGTGGCACTTTGATGCCGCGCACTCGATGACAGCACATCCTATTAGCAGCAAAACCAGAGATGCGATCTTGCCGCAGAGATCGCGGACGGTACTGGAGGTGGCCAACCCCTCTACTGTCTTCAGAATCGAGTGCCCCTCTCTCATCCAGGCTGTGGAAGGGGAATGCGCGGAGTGCGAGATTCGGGTGTCCTGTGCGGTGTTGGAGGTGACCGGTGCCTTCATGACGATCCCGCACGAGCCAAAGCTCTTCCGTGTGGTATGCTGGAACGGCTCAAACGAGACACTCCTCGCCACGAATGAGGACGGTGAGATCCACTTCGCCCTGCCGGACCTCTCTCCCAACTCGTCAGTTCGGCTGATCATGAGCGTCGGCTGCATCCGGAGCTCCGAGTTCCGCCTTCCGGTATCCTTCCGCTGCCTGACAGAGCGTTACGGAGAACTGCGCTGCTCGAAATCTCTTCACATCTCCGTTTACCCCCCGTTCAATGTGGAGCACGCTTTCATTGGCAGTAATCTGTGGGGTGACGGCGAGGCAGCGCTGCAGTTACCCTCGGTGAGCCCGTCGTACGTGCAGTACGACAACAGCATGCTCGTGAAGGCATCTGACATTTTTCGGTCGCCTTTGATCACAAACTGGAAAGACGACTGCGCGCTCTACTTTTTCACAAAAGTGGCCACGGCCGAGCAGTTCGTGTTCACCGCACAGGACACGATCACACTGAGCTGCACGTTCCGCTGCACCGCCAGCAAAGGACTCACCATTGTGAAAGCAGACGTCATTGGGGGCGAGGACGTGGAGTTGCTATCGTGTTGCGGCTGCGACCAGAACTCATTTCTGGAGGAAGGCGAGTGTGCAACGGTCGTGACGCGCTTCCGTGCACGGCGGTTGGGCCGTCTCACGCCCGGCTTCATTCGGGTTTTCTTCTCCCCACAGCATTCCTCTGCCCGGTTGTACTCTGATGTGTACATCCCAGCTGTACAAATCGAAGACTCTGGGATTAAGATCTCGGTTCATTACCCGCTCGTCACGTCGCGCGGCTCTGCGCTTCGGTTGGAGGTGACTGTCTACAACAACACCTCGTCCCCTTTCCTCGGAGAGCTGCTTCTGAACACGCAACAGGACGACTTCGCGTGCACAGCTGCGGCACGTCAAACGCTTCAGATAGGCCCAGAGGGGCGGAGTGTTTCTCGTTACCTTTTGTCGCCGTTGCGTGTGGGGGAGTTGATGGTGCCGGCAATCAAAGTTCGATCGGCAGCCACATCACGCACCGTTGCAAATGGCGAGGGTGGATACGTCGTTCACGTACTTCCTGACGGGCAGGCGTCGCTGGTAGAGGACCCGAAGTAGCCAAGGGCAGATGCAGAAAGGTCGTTCGACGCCTCTCACGCACAGACGCACGTGCGATGGTTACGTTGGGGGGCTTCCATCAGTTGACTGCTTGCAGGCCGGCCAAGTATTTGCGCGCCTCATGTACTTTTGTTTTTCTTCTCCTGTGTGCGCTTGCTGTTCCCTACTTCCGCTCTTTGCTTTCTTTCTTCGAGAGGCACCTTTTGATCCACAATTTCTGCTCGCAACACTTTTGCTTAGCTGCGTGCTAGATGAAGAACAATTGTGTTGTCGCGCCGCCTCTTTTCTTCTCCCAAGAAAACAATTGCATTCTCCAGTGGCAGAGAAAAAAAAAGTTGCGCAGCGGCAGCGCCCACGAGATAGAGAGAGAAGAGACTGCAAATACCTTAAAAGCAGCTTTATTGCGTCCCTTCTTATGCGGCACTGTCCTCGTCTCCGTCTCTCTTCCAGCTCTGGAAGCCTTCCTGACAACAAATTCTCGGCTCTCTCTCTCTACATATATATGTGTGTACGAAAGTGGCCATTCTAGTTACTTTCCTGGTGGCGCTTCTAGGCATTGAATCCTCCCCGTACGCATCAAAACTCGCGTACCAACGTCTTGCGGGTTGTAGGCAACGTCTCAAGTTTTGCAACGGCTTTTCGCACAACGCTGCTCTCTCGCTAACTTGTGCCCACAAATTCTACCGCCACCACAACGTTCCCTTCTCTCGCGATTCAACGGCACAGGTCTTTCTCCTTCGAAATAACCGCATTCGTCCTCTTCCACACACACCAAACGAGCAATTCCTTTTTTAATAGTACTCAAAGACTGCATGATAAAGAGAGCTGAACTATGGCGTCGTTAGGCATTGAGGCGTGCATCTCACAGGCAATGACGGCGGACGGCACTGCACCGGCCGAGGTGAAGGACGAGCTGTGCTCCTACTCCCTTTTAACGATTTGCACGGCGATGAAGGAGTATTTGTGCGACGTGGAGAAGGTGCAGCCAGCAATGCGACTGTTGGCCTCCACCGCCGTTGATCGGGAGGATCTTAGCGAGACAGATGTTCAACTCCTCTTCGCATTTTTCTCAGAAAAGCTTTCGCAGTTGGAGAACCAGACGGCGGCTCTCAGTTGTCTGGCGCTGCTTATTTCCAACATTTGCACCCGCCACCGGTGCACCACGGCGTGGTTCAACACAGTCGCGCTTCCCTTCATCCAGCATGTACGAGTGCAGCAGCTGCCGTTGAACTGCCGCAAGCAGTGCTTCTGCATAATGACGTTTCTTTTCACCGAGGCGACGCTGCCCGCGTGCGGAAGCGACCCCCTCGGCGCTCTTCTTGAACTTTTGGATGGGGAGAGCGACCCCGAACTGGTGCTGCAGACCTTCGACCTGCACGTAATCATCGCAACCCACGCTACCCATGAGGCCTTCTCGCCTGTTCGTGACGATTACTTTGAGAGCGTCTCCAGCTACTTCCCCGTGGTCTTCTCGCAGCCGCCAAACTGCAAAGTGACGAAGGCGGACTTGCGCAACCACTTAAAGCGGTGTCTCTGCCTCGCGGTGTACAGCGAGTGCTGCGTGCCTTTTATGCTAGGCAAGCTGGCCTCACCATCTATCGCGGTCAAGGAGGACGTCATCGATGCGCTGCTCACGTGCTTTGACACCTACCAACATGGCGTGATGGCGCCTTTTTACTCGTCGCTGGTGGTGCACATGAAGAATGAGGTGGTGAAGCTGTCGTCCTTCTCTGACCGCGCATCGAGTCCGACGCTAACTAAATGCATCTGCATGTGCTGCGAGATTCTGGGGCGAATCAGCAAGGTTTTCGGGGCGAAGAACCAAGCGGAGGCGCTCCAAATCTTCGGTCCTGTTTTGGAGGGTTTTTTATCCGCCCTCTCCGCCGACACGTCCATCAGCTCTGCGTACGCCACCATGGTCTTCCACGTCCTCACAGGGTCGTGGAACTGCTGCATCTTCGTCGCGGCCTACCTGTTCTCCATGCTTTCCATGTCACTCTCCGACGCGGAGCTGCCGGCTAACGCGTACATATTGTTTGCTGCCCTGGTGACGGGCATGCTGGACGCGTTGGCGGCGTTTCCGAGCGATGATCACGTGGAGAGCATGCGCGCCTGCATCGAGCGGTCCACGCCGTCGGTCGCAGAGGCGGTGCGTCAGTGCACGTCGAAGTGGGGCCTGCCACCCTCCTCCCCCTCGTCGTTCAGCGATAGTCTCGATGATTTCTCTGTTGTGTGCGGCTGTGAGTTTGTCGTGGCGGTGTTGAAGCTCTCCCTCCGACTGCGCCCGTGGCTGACCCCAGATGTCGTCCGCGACGGCATCGATGCGCTGGTGTGGGCCGCCCTTTTTCGATCCACCGAGGCGTCCGCGAAGGTGTGTAAGCTGCTGCGTGAATTTGCAGAGCAGGACGGCAGGGGTGTGCGGGACGCCTTGGCCCGACTCCTGGCCGCCACTGATGTCCCCGCCGAGACCGGCCTTGTGCTGGTGTGCGAGTTGGCGTGCTCCTGCACCGATGCGCTGCTGCTCGCCTACGAGGAGGGCTTTCTGGCGTCGAGGTGCCCGTGGATGAGTCCCATCGCACCCGCCAAAAAGGCGCAGGCGTTGCAGAAGGCACTCGATCACTTTGGCGACGCGTTGCAGGCGAGTGAGGCGGGGCGCATGACGGCCATCTTAACCCGCAGCGACGTGCCTCCCGACTACTTCCAGTGTGCGTGCTTCGTCGCACGAAATCTGAGCGGCGCGGCGTGTGCACGTTTGGCAGCCGATGACGTCACCATGTCGCAGCTGGGCGTTGCGGCGGTGCTGGCCAGCCGTGTGGAGGTTCCAGACGCAGGGCCGCGGTGGTGCGCCGCACTCGCGCAACTCGTAATGCTGACAAAGAGCGACGTTGCTGTCTGGCGCCGCGTGGGGATGGAGGGGATAACAGGGGCCGTCCTTCACGGTGTCGCCGGCGATGTTCGCACGACGGTGAAGACGCTCCCCTCTGAGGCACGTCTGCTGGTGGATGCTGCAGCGTTGTGGGGCGGTCTTCTCGCACACAACAGCAACAACGACGACGAAGGCAGCACCAGCTCGCGGCACACCGAACTCGTCTCGTCGTTCGCACTGGAATACATGCAGGGCGACGATGTCACTGATGGCGTTGGCGTTGACAGCGTCGTGGAGGCGTTCACCTACTTCCCGTTCTCCGCACAGCACAGCACGTCGCGACCTTCACTCTTGCACTTACTGCTCAAGACGGGTGCGGGTTCCTCGTGGCACTCGAGCACGACGTTCTGCACGGCCATTCAATGTCTGGTGGAAAGTGAGACGGACGAGCAGGTGCGTACGTGTCTTGCAGACCTCTTGGGTGTACTGAATAGTCTCACGCAGAGCCGCGGCGCTGAGAAGGGCGCGCTTGCTCGAGCGTTGCTCTTCAGCATTAATTCGAAGTGCGGCGGCGACCCGTCCCTCGCCCGCTCCGTTCTCTTCTGCGACTCGACGATGCGTGTGCTGCTTGAGGGTGTCTCCGACGCTGCGCTGGCGACGCGGCAACACAGCCTACAGCTTCTCACCTCTCTTGCCCGTGGTGCCGCTGCTGTGACGGGCGACTGCGCGCGGGAGGAGAAAGCAACTCTGGATGGTGTGCGCGCTCGAGTCCTGGACACTGTCAAGCAGGCGTTGGGCGACCACAAGCGGAAGGTGCGCCAAGCAGCGGGCGCATGCGGCCATGAGTGGTACAAAGTGCGGTGATCGCCACTAGAAGAGGCGCAAGCTCTACACTGGTCCGTCCGTTTTATTATTATACTAGTCGTCCTGTTTGCAAATCATACATTATTATTCACATGTGACATGCCAGCTTTAATAGTTTTTCGTGGGCGGTTTAATAGCTTTGTAATGTCACTCGTTTCTCGGAGAACTGGTCAACAACTTCAAGTTTATGCCCGACTAAGATGGCCTTCGCGTGTGTGTATACGATCATCATCACTTTCGCTTGTATCACCTTTCCCACGTGTACGTAGGTTGTGCACAGAGCTTCGCAGCGCTGTGCAGAACGCATTGCGTTGATGTATACGTCAACACTTTCTGACTTCGATTAGTATTATTATTTTTCTGTCATTACAACTGTTTCTGCTCCCGCTCTCCTTTTTTTTAGGTTTTTGCTAAGCGGCGATCCACCGGACTCGTCGTTGCACCGAAAGATTGACACATGGAAAGGAATCTGCTGTTCTCCCCTTGTAAAAACGGCCAAATCCTGCGCATCCAAAGCTGGTTCGGCATATACGTACGTTGATGTTTACCATAGAAGAAGAATAATTTGTCAAAGTTGTTTCCTATGAGCGCAGTTGTGTTTGTCGACCTTGCGTGCGCACAGCTGCGGGAGCGCCTTCAAGAAATTGTGGGCCAGGTCTACGACACCGTGGACCTCATCGACGTCTCTGGCTGTGACAGCAGTGCCTTCATTACGGCCTGGCACGAGCGATATGGCGGTGCGGTGCAGCCTTCTCCAAAGCGACAAAGCGAGCTGGACGATGTTCCGCACTGCCTCGTGTGTTACGTGACGGAGTCCAAGACGGTTGCCCACGCGGACGTCGCCTACGCCGTCTTCGTGGCGGAAATCCCCACCCTGACCGTGACACCGTCCGAACCGCTGTCCCCTCTTCTTCATTCCGCGGTGGGCGATACTATTGAAGCACAGGTGGAGTCTCTGCAGCGCTTCTTTGCCGGCCCCTCCTCATCCAACGCACCGGAGGTGATTGTGATGGAGGGCGGTGATGGGGCTGGGAAGCAGACGCAGACGGCACTGCTCGTGCAGCGCATCAAGGAGGCCAACCGCGAGGTGCACACGCTCGACTTTCCACATGACAGCAGCCTCTACGGCGGTCTTGTGCGCGTGGTGCTCTCCGGCAAAAAAGGCTCCATCAGCGAGTTGGACCCGCAGCTCTTCAGCTTCCTGTACTCCCTCAACCGCTTTGGGTGCGCGCGGCTGATGCGCTTTTGGCTACGTCGCGGGAGTGCGGTGGTGCTAGACCGGTACTACACCGCCAACTTCGGCCACCAAGCCTCCAAGCTGCCGCCGGCACAACGTGAGGCGTTCATTGAGGAGTTGGAGTTTACAGAGGTGAACTGGCTCAAGTTGCCCAAGGCGACGGCGGTGCTGTACCTAGATCTGCCACCGGCGGCCGCGCTGGAGGCGATGCGTCGCGACACGACTCGAAAGCAGCTTGACATTCACGAGACCGCCGGTGGCGACTACAAGGAGAAGGTGCGGCAGACGTACAGGTGGTGCTGCGACCGCCTTCCGGGCTGGCACCGGGTCGTGTGCTTCGACAAAAGCGGGTGCCGCCTCACCCGAGAAGAGGTGCATGCCTCCGTTGTCACATACCTACGGAGTGTACACTCGCAAGCGGTGCGCGACTGAGTTTACACGGGAATTGTAGCTTCAAACGGGTGGAATGGTGGCGATAAAGAAACATAGAAACGGCAGTGCGGGTGAGGCATGTATGGACTGTATCTCGCGTGAGCGTCTTGCGTTTTAAAAAGGAGGTGAGCAGAACCACTTCCATGCTTTCACAAGCAGCGAAGAGAGATGATGAGCCAGTCGATAGATTAGCCAAAAAAAAACTCGTTTTTTTTCTCTGATCCTTATTATTGTTTTGTTGTTGGAACTGTCAATTCCGCGCAGACGCGACGGAAGGCATCAGTAAGCGTAGAAGCGTTGGAGAGCAAAGATTTATATAGGCGAATGTGTCTCAAGCCGCGCTCGTCTTCCACCTTCCCTTCTGCGCACCTCTCCTTTTCTCTCACTTTCTCTTCTTCTACCCCACAAAAACTTCACCAATTTGCACACATGAACATGAACGCACCCACACGTGACAGAGCAGAATGACAACCTCGAAGGTCCACGCCCAGCGCAGCAAGAAGCTGCACCAGCTGTCCGCCAAGACAAGCCGGGTGAACCGCAACCGCAAGGCACCCCGCCTGTACATGAAGGGCACGCTGGCGGGCTACACACGCGGCCTGTACGGACAGACGAAGAAGACGGCTCTCGTGCGCGTTGAGAACGTGAACACCCGCGAGGACGCCAAGTGGTACGTCGGCAAGCGCATCTGCTACGTCTACCACGGCAAGAAGGTCAAGCGCTGTGTCCGCTGGAGCAAGGCGCCGGCCCGCCGCAGCACCGCCCGCGCGCTGTGGGGCCGCGTGACCCGCCCGCACGGTAACGCCGGTATGGTGCGTGTGAAGTTCAACGGCGCCTCGGTACCGGCTTCCGCCATCGGCCGCCGCATCCGCGTATACTTGTACCCGAGCCAGATCTAAGGTGGTCGTTCCATGATCTCACTCTTTTCTTTGTAGTTTTTCTTGTTACTCTTTCATTTCAAATCAACAATAAAAAGAGATGCGTAAAAGCAGAGTGCGTACCGCACGAGCACACGCGTTGCAGCGCGCAGATGCTCCGGTCTCGGGAAGATGATCGCCTGTGTTAAACTCCCTTTTCTGGAAGGAAAATAATATGCGGTACCGATGTGATAAGGCATCGCTGAGATGCGGTGTTGTTGCTCTACGTCACCGCTTCCTCTCCACGAACCTGTCACTCCTCTTGTGGAGTGGGCTGCGGTCTTTCTTCTCCTTCATATTAAAGCCACTTTCTTTAACGTGTCATCGGTGTCCCTCTCGTCCCCTCCTTTTCGTTGCTCCCACTTTTGATCGTTCTCGTGTCCGTTCCGTAACGCAGGCAGCCCCGCGACAACTCTGCTTTCACGGTTTGGCTCATTTCAGAAACGCACACGGAGACTTCAAAAAGAGTTTTTTTTTTCTTCACATCCCCAACAAGCGGCATCGCATCGGATGTTTTCTTTCCTTTCTGTTTCCACGTTCTAATTTTTACTTGTAGAAACGCCGCCGCAGCAAAGAAGAAGAAAAGGAATTGGAGGAGCGCGGCACGACGCGGTGCGCGGAAGGTGACGGGCGACGAGCATGTCGAAGGACTGCGACGTGTTCTACGACGCCTTCGGCTGCATCATCACGAAAAGCGTCGGCTATCAGTCGCCGTTTCCAATCATGCGCCTGAGCAACGGGCAAGCGGCATTAGATGCGGACAGGGCGACGGTGCAAGGAGTGTGCTTCGCCTCCTCCCTGGCAGATCCAAATGCAGCGCATGGCCGCCTTCTCACCCTCGATTTCTCCGCCGGGGACGCCTGCGTTTCGTTTCTGCAGTTAATGAGCGGGGCGCGGAAGCCGCTCGAGCTGGATCAGAAAATCGATTTTGTAAAGAAAATTGAGATGAGCGACGCAACGTCCGTTGTCGTCACGCGCAGCGAGGGCAATCGGTGGAACACGTCGATGTACACTGGCGCAGGGGAGAGCGGCCAGCGTCCGTTCTGTTCGCGGGTGTTCTTCCGCTGCATCTCCGCTGCCTCTCTGCGCGACGCGGGGCTGTGGCTGGTCGAGATGGCGAGGGGGGAGAGCGACACCCGACCGCTGCACTACGGCCATGTCGACGCCGCGGTGTCCGGTACGCTGTCCGACACCTTCCACATTGGCGAGGCGCTGAAGCGGCCGCTGGACGTGGTGGCGCTGACGGCGGACACGGCGGTAGTGTTGGGCACCGGGGGATTGGCACTGGCGGACCGCCGTCGCGCCGAGGTGCACACCGTAGCCACGGCCCCTATCGCGAACGGCGGTGTGGCCGGCGGGGACAAAATGGTGACGTTTGGCGAGGACTATGTTCTGCGTGTGTTTGACATGCGGAAGGCCGCCGCGGCTCTGATGGAAACTTCAGTTTCGTCCTATGTGTGCGTTAAATCTGTCGTGGGCTGCCGTGCGGTTCTTCTGATGGCGGGTGACGTAACGGGGATATTGGATGTGCAGACGCTTACCGCCACTGCGTCCCTACAGCACTCTGGTGATCAAGTTCTGGATGCAACGCTGCTTCCTCACCAACGCGGAGGAGTTCGCATTTGCACGAGCACGGAAAGCGGTATGGTATACGACTGGACCGTGGCAATGTGATTGCGTTGAGACGGGTTTTTTTTTTTCTGTTCCTCATCTGCTTTTGGTTTCTTCTCGTTCGTTCACGTCGGTGCGGCTCAGTGGGTGCGCGGTGGAACATGCACGACGACCGCCACATGCTCGTGGAGAACTGAGCGTGATGGGTCTCTTCTACTCTGCTTTAAATGTTTTTCTCCATTTTTCTTTGAGCTGACGTGCTCCAGCAGAAATCAAGTACACCTAGTCGATTGATGAGGTGTCATCGAGATAGTGAGACGCCTTCAGCTCCAATTCACCACCCAGAGTAATCCCCATGAATCTGTCAAGCAAGCGGATGCCCACGCGCGTCTCACCACCTGCGAGTCTTGCGGACAACACGATGTCCACCACGAGCTTCGTCTCCATTTTTATCTTCCTCTTTCAGCTGGGCAATCAAGAATGTTCACTTTTCATTTACCTTCTTCCTTTTTTGCGTTGTGCCTCGTCGTTTCCTCTTGTTGTCGGTTGCTGCGCAGTGGACTAAAACAGAGCTTCACCACTTGCCTCGGCGCAAAACTCCCAAAGTTTCACAACCACCTTTCAGCCACGCAACTTGAAGCGCAGGTCGCGTTACTCCCATAGCCGTAACGGTGACGCCTTGCGAAAATGTCGAACGACGCCGATAAGGAGCCGACGAAGGAGTCCAGCGGTGGTGTGTCTGGACTTCTGGGCATTGACCAGATAGACTGGGGAGGTGAGGCAGGCAAGTTCTACGAGTGCTGGAAGATCAACCCCTGCTGCGGTTCTCCGGATGCGAAGAAAATGCTGTGCTGTCTCTTCTGCTGGTGCTGCTGCAGCTGCTGCTCCATGTCGAAGCTGTTCGCGTCCAGCGTGGACCAGGAGTGCGCGCTGGTGCCGCATTGCTTGATGGCGTGCTTCCTGCCGTGCATCACGGCGATCTGTGTCCGCACGAACCTCCGCAACCGCCTGGGCGTACAGGGTAACATGGTTGGTGACTGCATCTGCGTGTGGTGCTGCGGCTGCTGTTCACAATGCCAGGAGCTTCGCTCCGTGACGACCGAGGAGTGGAACCTGCTGGAGCCCGCCTGGAAGACGCCCGAGGTATCCGCTCCAGAGATCATCTTCCTCAAGTAGAGATCTGTGCGGCCTGTGATCACAACGAACTCAGCAGATTCTCACGAATGACAAATGATAGGGGAAACTGCAAGGTGCAGCGACCCTCCGTGAAACATATTTTCCCTTTTTCCCACTTCTTTTTTTTTTTGGCTTCCAAACAGAATCAAAAAACAACAAGAACACAAAAACACGATGCTGTATTTAACGTACGGTATCATTTTCCTGTATCGCTGATTTTCTCCATCTCGCAAGCGTACGAGTGAAAAACCTTATTATTTTTATTTTCAATTAATCGTCCGATTTTTTCCCTTTCTTTCCCTTTCTTTCCCTTTTCGTCCCCTTCTTCCGCATCAATGTTCCCCGTTGAGGAGCACGCGGCTTCGATTGAAGGCAAGATCAATGCCGATTGGGTCGGATAGTCAAGACGGTTGTTAAAAGCTTTTGCCTTCTGTCTTGCGCTACGTGGAGGCACACTGAGCTCATTCCACGATGTCATTTTTTTCCGTTTGCTGCTTCTTTCACACCGTTTGACACGACCGATTCGATCGACGTAGGCCATTTTCATTTGCTGTCCTTCCTTTTGTAAGCATCTGCGGCTCAACGCTTAGCGTTGGTGCTTGCTCTTCTTCCGTCTCCGGCTTCCTCTTTTTTTGTATTTGTGATTCGATTTCTTTATTTCCCTTTGGAAGTTGTGCCGTTGTTACTGGACACTAGCTCTCCTTCAAGTGAAAGTGTTGGAAAGAAAGAGAGAAAGGCGTTTGCTGGTATCGTGGCGTCTGTATGGAGAGACAGTCTTATCGATGCTGTTGTTGTTTCGCGCAATAGAGCAACTGTTTCCCCTTTCCGAGGCATTCAGCGGCTCTTATTATTGTTTTTTATATTACCGCTGGCACGTCAACGAACGGACAGCAGCGAAGCGATGATACTACTGCAGGTGTTTTGTACTGCGTGGCGCGTGCGCGCGGTCTATTTAGGTCGGCGCAGTTGCAACTCCGCAACTTCGACACGAGGACCACCCGCTGCCTCGTCCATAATGCCGTGGATCTCCACTTCTCTTCTGTTCTTCTCACCGTCATTTGTACCTGCTACGTTACGGCTTCGCTGTGCAAATTTTTTTTCCAAAAACTCATATGTTTGTAAATGCACTACAAAGGAAAAAGAGAATCCACAAAAGCCCCTCTTGCGTCACATCAACTACTCATATCCATCTACAATCGAACTAACTGTATTTCTCGCATAAATGCCGAATGACACCGATAAAGAAGTGGACCAGGTGTCCAGCGGTGGTGTGTCTGGACTTCTGGGCATTGACCAGATAGACTGGGGAGGTGAGGCAGGCAAGTTCTACGAGTGCTGGAAGATCAACCCCTGCTGCGGTTCTCCGGATGCGAAGAAAATGCTGTGCTGTCTCTTCTGCTGGTGCTGCTGCAGCTGCTGCTCCATGTCGAAGCTGTTCGCGTCCAGCGTGGACCAGGAGTGCGCGCTGGTGCCGCATTGCTTGATGGCGTGCTTCCTGCCGTGCATCACGGCGATCTGTGTCCGCACGAACCTCCGCAACCGCCTGGGCGTACAGGGTAACATGGTTGGTGACTGCATCTGCGTGTGGTGCTGCGGCTGCTGTTCACAATGCCAGGAGCTTCGCTCCGTGACGACCGAGGAGTGGAACCTGCTGGAGCCCGCCTGGAAGACGCCCGAGGTATCCGCTCCAGAGATCATCTTCCTCAAGTAGAGATCTGTGCGGCCTGTGATCACAACAAATCTGGTAAAACCGTACAAAACACTTTCGTCCTTCGTGCCAATATATACACAAGTTTGAAGGTCTCACGTCGCGGGTAAAGGATTCATTACGGCTTATGCTTACATTGAGCGGAAGGTTTTTTTTTAATGTTTTGCTTTAAAAGCAGTCAACAGCGTTTTAGCGATATTTATTTTTCTCTTCAAGTCCCCTGAATTGTCTTTCGCCGAGAAGCGTGGTGACGTTAGCACAAAACTTACAAACCCCAACTCGTGTTCACAAACCCGCTTGCGTTTCCTCTGTAGTGTACTTTTTTCTTCTTCCTATTTTAGCATTTTCATTTTTATTTTTTCACTACTATTATTTATAGCTTCGCACCGCTTGCCTTCTACCCTTGGTTTTGTTCCGAGACTGAAAGCGCGGTAAACAACGAAAACGTGTACCTTCTGATACACCGTTATCACCTCCTTCGGAAAAGATGGCCCTTTCTGTGCGTCTTTGCTCGTTTGCTGCTTCCGTTTTCCCCTTTTTATTGTGGAATTGTAGAAACAGATGGAAGAAAGCAGCGAGACAAAGTAGAAAATATATATATATATATATATATTCGAAGCCTGCGCCAGGAATGATGTCATGTTGGAATGGTAGGATGTTGAAATGTACCTTAGTACCCCGTTTTCCTCTTTTCTAACCTTGCGACAGTCTTCGACTTCCGCCTTGTTCTCTCTTCTGTTCGTTTTCCCGCCCACCCAGGCCCACTCCGCCCCGCTTTGAGGGCGGACTAATCTTGTTTTGAAGTCTGCCACTGCGTTAGTCTTGGTTCCCGTTCCACGTGAAAAAGATACTAATAAATAAATCAATATGATATGTTTCTATCTTTCGAAAACTAATGTTGTTGTAAATGACCCCGAGTGATCGTGAGGGTCGTGGTTTATCCCTGTACTGAACGTAGAAGTTAATGGAGAGGAAAAAACAAAACGCCATTCTTCTACCTCGTTTCTTTCTACTAACTTTTATCTCTCCCCCTTCTCCATCTCAGCCTACAAACATAAACAATTATTCTTGGAAAGGAAAGAAAGAGAGAAAGGCGTTTGCTGGTATCGTGGCGTCTGTATGGAGAGACAGTCTTATCGATGCTGTTGTTGTTTCGCGCAATAGAGCAACTGTTTCCCCTTTCCGAGGCATTCAGCGGCTCTTATTATTGTTTTTTATATTACCGCTGGCACGTCAACGAACGGACAGCAGCGAAGCGATGATACTACTGCAGGTGTTTTGTACTGCGTGGCGCGTGCGCGCGGTCTATTTAGGTCGGCGCAGTTGCAACTCCGCAACTTCGACACGAGGACCACCCGCTGCCTCGTCCATAATGCCGTGGATCTCCACTTCTCTTCTGTTCTTCTCACCGTCATTTGTACCTGCTACGTTACGGCTTCGCTGTGCAAATTTTTTTTCCAAAAACTCATATGTTTGTAAATGCACTACAAAGGAAAAAGAGAATCCACAAAAGCCCCTCTTGCGTCACATCAACTACTCATATCCATCTACAATCGAACTAACTGTATTTCTCGCATAAATGCCGAATGACACCGATAAAGAAGTGGACCAGGTGTCCAGCGGTGGTGTGTCTGGACTTCTGGGCATTGACCAGATAGACTGGGGAGGTGAGGCAGGCAAGTTCTACGAGTGCTGGAAGATCAACCCCTGCTGCGGTTCTCCGGATGCGAAGAAAATGCTGTGCTGTCTCTTCTGCTGGTGCTGCTGCAGCTGCTGCTCCATGTCGAAGCTGTTCGCGTCCAGCGTGGACCAGGAGTGCGCGCTGGTGCCGCATTGCTTGATGGCGTGCTTCCTGCCGTGCATCACGGCGATCTGTGTCCGCACGAACCTCCGCAACCGCCTGGGCGTACAGGGTAACATGGTTGGTGACTGCATCTGCGTGTGGTGCTGCGGCTGCTGTTCACAATGCCAGGAGCTTCGCTCCGTGACGACCGAGGAGTGGAACCTGCTGGAGCCCGCCTGGAAGACGCCCGAGGTATCCGCTCCAGAGATCATCTTCCTCAAGTAGAGATCTGTGCGGCCTGTGATCACAACAAATCTGGTAAAACCGTACAAAACACTTTCGTCCTTCGTGCCAATATATACACAAGTTTGAAGGTCTCACGTCGCGGGTAAAGGATTCATTACGGCTTATGCTTACATTGAGCGGAAGGTTTTTTTTTAATGTTTTGCTTTAAAAGCAGTCAACAGCGTTTTAGCGATATTTATTTTTCTCTTCAAGTCCCCTGAATTGTCTTTCGCCGAGAAGCGTGGTGACGTTAGCACAAAACTTACAAACCCCAACTCGTGTTCACAAACCCGCTTGCGTTTCCTCTGTAGTGTACTTTTTTCTTCTTCCTATTTTAGCATTTTCATTTTTATTTTTTCACTACTATTATTTATAGCTTCGCACCGCTTGCCTTCTACCCTTGGTTTTGTTCCGAGACTGAAAGCGCGGTAAACAACGAAAACGTGTACCTTCTGATACACCGTTATCACCTCCTTCGGAAAAGATGGCCCTTTCTGTGCGTCTTTGCTCGTTTGCTGCTTCCGTTTTCCCCTTTTTATTGTGGAATTGTAGAAACAGATGGAAGAAAGCAGCGAGACAAAGTAGAAAATATATATATATGCGCTTCGCAATTTGACTAAAGTAAGAACACCCACAGCAATTTTACGCATTCGATCGAGGTGGAAAGGGTCTTTTATATATATACACCCTTGACGTAGTTACACGAGTTTTATTCCAAATCTTTGTTGTTTTCCTTTTCTTTTCTGATGACATCGGAGAGCAGTTTGGTGTAGCGGAGACGCAGTTGCTATCGTCGTTGTGTCGTTGGCAGGACCCGAAATGGAGCCGAGGCACACAGCACCACGTCCGGAGTGTCGAATCCACATCAACCTATGGCCTTTCTTTACCAAGTCCTTCCCTTTTTTTTTCTCAGAGCTTGCGAGGGGAATAGAAGGAACGGAAACAAGAAAGAAGAGATGGTCAGCGGATGGGATCGGTGATCTCAGTCATTTGGGAAATGCATGATACTCTCCTTTACTTATATCGCCTGTTGGTCTTGACTCTCCTGTTTCTGTGGGTTTTGCATCCTGGGTATATTGTCCGCCAGTGTGAAGTCTCCGGTCTTCCAAAAATTCCACCCGCCCGCCCCCGGTCCCTACCACGACAGGGACCCATGGGATCTCCGGAAGGATCCTTGAGTTGGGTAATGTTTCCTATGCACTTCGTAATGCGATGATATCTTTGAGATTTGGCCGGGGCCAGGAAAAAAGCGAAAACATTGAATAAACTTGAGGGCATTATCAGAGGGTGTCTGATAAGCAAAGGAGGGTGAGGTTCCTAGAAGGCAGTGGTGGATTAGGACTCGCGAGTTACGCATTACACAAATGTCGTGACATTTCTTCCACTCTTGACTTCCAAACCTTCCTATTCCGTGTTTCTATATTGTCAGTTCACGTCCAGCCGTAGATGTTGTTTGTGAGTTCTTGGCCACCGTGGTTGTTGGGATTTTTGGACAATTTTTTTCGCTCGATGCGTTCTTCGTGCACGACTGACTTCTTTGAGAGCTAAAACGAAATAATGAAAAGAAAAGGAATGTTTCGTTTCGAAATTTACATCCGAGGTATTGTTCTTCTTCTTTTTTTTCTTTCTCTTTTAGGCGGGCTGGGGCTGCGTGCCTTTCAGTGCCTTTACGCGAATATCATGACGACAAGAGTTCCGTAGAAAGGAAACCAATTTTTCCTCGAGCTGTTCATGCGTCTCTTCTCTTCTCTTCTTTTTTTTTTGGTAGAAAAGCGCCCAAGCAATTGTAAAGCGCGGTTTGGATTAGTGTGGAAAGGCCGTCGCTCATACGCATCCATCTTTAAACCGTGCGTCGCCACGAATTCAGCAGGAGAGAAGATGAGCACAGTCGGAGGACAAATGACGCATCGCCCCTCAGTGAAGTGCGCCTCCGTGTGTCTTGTCAGGTGTGCCCCCACGCTGAATCCGCAGCTCAACAGGGGGACGGCGTTTGCTTTCCCTCCCGTCACGACGGGGCGTGTCTGCAACGGCATGCACCAAGGTCCGCTTCCGTCACTTTTTTTGCCTTTTTTCCTCCTGAGCCTCCCTTTCATTCGACGCTCGCGCGAGTGAATAGCAGCATCACAATTTTGAACCTGCCGTCATCTAGGCGCTGCTTGTTGCAGCGGGTCGGTTTATTCAAAGCAGCACGCCTACATTTGCTATTTTCTTTCCTCTTCTTTCTGCCGTTGCGCCACGGCACACATGGAAAAAGTGCTGGCGAGGTCCTCGCTGCTGTCTTTCCCGCTGGGGCACACTCTCGTGCGGCTGCATGAAAAGGAGCGGCACGCGGCGGCCTTTTTCGCACGGTGCGTCGCACCGGCAGCAAAGCCGTGTGCAGCTGTGTGCAAAGAGGATGGCAGCGGTGTTTTGGTGAACGGTGCGGTGGCCAACTGGTTGCACCCCATCCCGTTACATGGCGGTAGTTCTTTCTTGACTGTGCCGCTTTCACAGACTGTGTACGTCGGCGAGGACACGACGCAGCCGCGCAATGTGTTCGTGGTGGGCTCGCAGGAGGTGGAGAGCGACTACGCGGAGCACCGTGACTGGGTCGCTCCCATGTCGGTGTTTCCCGCGTTGAGCGCCGCCGAGCAGTCCCTCCTGAGTCTGGCGCTGTCGCTGAAGCAGTGGGCTGCGCTGACTCCGTTTTGTGCGCGCTGCGGCAGCTCGATGCACTCGACGGACTACGGTCTGACGCGTGCCTGCACGGGCTGCAAAAATCGCATTTACCCCCCGGTGGTGCCGGCGATGATTGTGGCGGTGCTGGACGGCAAAGGCAGCGTCATCATGTCGCAGCGTCTTCGGCCTCACAAGGATGCGCGCGGTAAGCCGATGCGTACGGTGCTGTCGGGCTTTGTGGCCCAGGGAGAATCGATGGAGGAGACGGTTGTGCGCGAGGTGCTGGAGGAGACGGGTGCGAGGGTGACAAGTCTGCGGTACGTCGGCTCGCAGCCGTGGCCCACGCCCTACGAGCTCATGACATGCTACTACGCGGTGGCGGAGGACAGCCCAAATATTACTGCGGACGCAGACGAGCTGACGAGTGTGCATTGGGTGCCCAAGGCAGAGGTGCGACAGGCTTTGGCAGGCCAGCACCCCGACTATGCCGTTGTGCCCGACTTTACGGCGGCGCACGTGCTACTTTCCAAATGGGCGAACGGAGAGGTGGATGACCGCGGCCAGCCGACGCGCAAGGAGTAGGCACTGCTGCTTCTTTCTTTTGCCTCCCGAGGGTACGGCACGTCGCGTCGACTGGCGGCCTCGTCTCCAGTGAGCACTGTGCGAAAGGACACGTAGAAATTTCAGCGCGTAGCCAAGCTGTCTCCACTCTGCCGCGACCGTTGCGATTATTATTGCTAGTACGGCTTCTTATTCGTCTTGCGTGGGCACACTTCCGCATGCTGCACAGACGCTTTCTTTCTTGTTGTTGTTGTTTGCGCAGCTCAAAAAGCGCTGGACAAGACTTCACGCATCAACGGATTCGCATCGCTCTCGTATGCGAGACGCGGCGTCGACTGCAGACGTCACCCTCTGCGAAGCAGCTATAATGCGAACGGTATCGGGGCAGGCTTTTTGACGGTATTGAACGGTTTTGTGCCGTACTCCTAGCTGCCGGGGTGTGGTCCACATCCATCATACACCGTCTTACATCGTCGCTACAGCTTGTCATCGGGTGTGCGTGGCCCTGCCGACTCTTCTCGTTTGCTGGTCTTTATTGTTGTTGACTTTCTGTGTTGAGGTGCGAAGGGACGCACCTTCACTTTCGCACACGCACTGTCGTTGGCTATTTAACGCGGCAGCGCAACAACTTTTCTTCTGCTGCTGAACCGATCTATTCTATTTGAGTAATTATTAGAAATGCGCAGCGTGCTGGCGAAGTCCTCGTTGCTGTCCTTCCCGCTCGCGGACGTTGCTGTAAATCGATACGAGAAGGAGCGCCGCGAGGACGGCTTTATCCAGCGCCGCGTCTGCGCAGGTGCGAACCCGTGTGTGGTGGTGTGCAAGGAGGACGGCTCGAAGGTGCTGCTGAACGGCGGCCCGACCAGCTGGCTGCACGCGGTGACGGAACCGAGCAGCGAGTCTTTTCTGAAGATTGCGTTGACGGACGCCGTGTACGTCGGCGAGGACACGACGCAGCCGCGCAATGTGTTCGTGGTGGGCTCGCAGGAGGTGGAGAGCGACTACGCGGAGCACCGTGACTGGGTCGCTCCCATGTCGGTGTTTCCCGCGTTGAGCGCCGCCGAGCAGTCCCTCCTGAGTCTGGCGCTGTCGCTGAAGCAGTGGGCTGCGCTGACTCCGTTTTGTGCGCGCTGCGGCAGCTCGATGCACTCGACGGACTACGGTCTGACGCGTGCCTGCACGGGCTGCAAAAATCGCATTTACCCCCCGGTGGTGCCGGCGATGATTGTGGCGGTGCTGGACGGCAAAGGCAGCGTCATCATGTCGCAGCGTCTTCGGCCTCACAAGGATGCGCGCGGTAAGCCGATGCGTACGGTGCTGTCGGGCTTTGTGGCCCAGGGAGAATCGATGGAGGAGACGGTTGTGCGCGAGGTGCTGGAGGAGACGGGTGCGAGGGTGACAAGTCTGCGGTACGTCGGCTCGCAGCCGTGGCCCACGCCCTACGAGCTCATGACATGCTACTACGCGGTGGCGGAGGACAGCCCAAATATTACTGCGGACGCAGACGAGCTGACGAGTGTGCATTGGGTGCCCAAGGCAGAGGTGCGACAGGCTTTGGCAGGCCAGCACCCCGACTATGCCGTTGTGCCCGACTTTACGGCGGCGCACGTGCTACTTTCCAAATGGGCGAACGGAGAGGTGGATGACCGCGGCCAGCCGACGCGCAAGGAGTAGGCACTGCTGCTTCTTTCTTTTGCCTCCCGAGGGTACGGCACGTCGCGTCGACTGGCGGCCTCGTCTCCAGTGAGCACTGTGCGAAAGGACACGTAGAAATTTCAGCGCGTAGCCAAGCTGTCTCCACTCTGCCGCGACCGTTGCGATTATTATTGCTAGTACGGCTTCTTATTCGTCTTGCGTGGGCACACTTCCGCATGCTGCACAGACGCTTTCTTTCTTGTTGTTGTTGTTTGCGCAGCTCAAAAAGCGCTGGACAAGACTTCACGCATCAACGGATTCGCATCGCTCTCGTATGCGAGACGCGGCGTCGACTGCAGACGTCACCCTCTGCGAAGCAGCTATAATGCGAACGGTATCGGGGCAGGCTTTTTGACGGTATTGAACGGTTTTGTGCCGTACTCCTAGCTGCCGGGGTGTGGTCCACATCCATCATACACCGTCTTACATCGTCGCTACAGCTTGTCATCGGGTGTGCGTGGCCCTGCCGACTCTTCTCGTTTGCTGGTCTTTATTGTTGTTGACTTTCTGTGTTGAGGTGCGAAGGGACGCACCTTCACTTTCGCACACGCACTGTCGTTGGCTATTTAACGCGGCAGCGCAACAACTTTTCTTCTGCTGCTGAACCGATCTATTCTATTTGAGTAATTATTAGAAATGCGCAGCGTGCTGGCGAAGTCCTCGTTGCTGTCCTTCCCGCTCGCGGACGTTGCTGTAAATCGATACGAGAAGGAGCGCCGCGAGGACGGCTTTATCCAGCGCCGCGTCTGCGCAGGTGCGAACCCGTGTGTGGTGGTGTGCAAGGAGGACGGCTCGAAGGTGCTGCTGAACGGCGGCCCGACCAGCTGGCTGCACGCGGTGACGGAACCGAGCAGCGAGTCTTTTCTGAAGATTGCGTTGACGGACGCCGTGTACGTCGGCGAGGACACGACGCAGCCGCGCAATGTGTTCGTGGTGGGCTCGCAGGAGGTGGAGAGCGACTACGCGGAGCACCGTGACTGGGTCGCTCCCATGTCGGTGTTTCCCGCGTTGAGCGCCGCCGAGCAGTCCCTCCTGAGTCTGGCGCTGTCGCTGAAGCAGTGGGCTGCGCTGACTCCGTTTTGTGCGCGCTGCGGCAGCTCGATGCACTCGACGGACTACGGTCTGACGCGTGCCTGCACGGGCTGCAAAAATCGCATTTACCCCCCGGTGGTGCCGGCGATGATTGTGGCGGTGCTGGACGGCAAAGGCAGCGTCATCATGTCGCAGCGTCTTCGGCCTCACAAGGATGCGCGCGGTAAGCCGATGCGTACGGTGCTGTCGGGCTTTGTGGCCCAGGGAGAATCGATGGAGGAGACGGTTGTGCGCGAGGTGCTGGAGGAGACGGGTGCGAGGGTGACAAGTCTGCGGTACGTCGGCTCGCAGCCGTGGCCCACGCCCTACGAGCTCATGACATGCTACTACGCGGTGGCGGAGGACAGCCCAAATATTACTGCGGACGCAGACGAGCTGACGAGTGTGCATTGGGTGCCCAAGGCAGAGGTGCGACAGGCTTTGGCAGGCCAGCACCCCGACTATGCCGTTGTGCCCGACTTTACGGCGGCGCACGTGCTACTTTCCAAATGGGCGAACGGAGAGGTGGATGACCGCGGCCAGCCGACGCGCAAGGAGTAGGCACTGCTGCTTCTTTCTTTTGCCTCCCGAGGGTACGGCACGTCGCGTCGACTGGCGGCCTCGTCTCCAGTGAGCACTGTGCGAAAGGACACGTAGAAATTTCAGCGCGTAGCCAAGCTGTCTCCACTCTGCCGCGACCGTTGCGATTATTATTGCTAGTACGGCTTCTTATTCGTCTTGCGTGGGCACACTTCCGCATGCTGCACAGACGCTTTCTTTCTTGTTGTTGTTGTTTGCGCAGCTCAAAAAGCGCTGGACAAGACTTCACGCATCAACGGATTCGCATCGCTCTCGTATGCGAGACGCGGCGTCGACTGCAGACGTCACCCTCTGCGAAGCAGCTATAATGCGAACGGTATCGGGGCAGGCTTTTTGACGGTATTGAACGGTTTTGTGCCGTACTCCTAGCTGCCGGGGTGTGGTCCACATCCATCATACACCGTCTTACATCGTCGCTACAGCTTGTCATCGGGTGTGCGTGGCCCTGCCGACTCTTCTCGTTTGCTGGTCTTTATTGTTGTTGACTTTCTGTGTTGAGGTGCGAAGGGACGCACCTTCACTTTCGCACACGCACTGTCGTTGGCTATTTAACGCGGCAGCGCAACAACTTTTCTTCTGCTGCTGAACCGATCTATTCTATTTGAGTAATTATTAGAAATGCGCAGCGTGCTGGCGAAGTCCTCGTTGCTGTCCTTCCCGCTCGCGGACGTTGCTGTAAATCGATACGAGAAGGAGCGCCGCGAGGACGGCTTTATCCAGCGCCGCGTCTGCGCAGGTGCGAACCCGTGTGTGGTGGTGTGCAAGGAGGACGGCTCGAAGGTGCTGCTGAACGGCGGCCCGACCAGCTGGCTGCACGCGGTGACGGAACCGAGCAGCGAGTCTTTTCTGAAGATTGCGTTGACGGACGCCGTGTACGTCGGCGAGGACACGACGCAGCCGCGCAATGTGTTCGTGGTGGGCTCGCAGGAGGTGGAGAGCGACTACGCGGAGCACCGTGACTGGGTCGCTCCCATGTCGGTGTTTCCCGCGTTGAGCGCCGCCGAGCAGTCCCTCCTGAGTCTGGCGCTGTCGCTGAAGCAGTGGGCTGCGCTGACTCCGTTTTGTGCGCGCTGCGGCAGCTCGATGCACTCGACGGACTACGGTCTGACGCGTGCCTGCACGGGCTGCAAAAATCGCATTTACCCCCCGGTGGTGCCGGCGATGATTGTGGCGGTGCTGGACGGCAAAGGCAGCGTCATCATGTCGCAGCGTCTTCGGCCTCACAAGGATGCGCGCGGTAAGCCGATGCGTACGGTGCTGTCGGGCTTTGTGGCCCAGGGAGAATCGATGGAGGAGACGGTTGTGCGCGAGGTGCTGGAGGAGACGGGTGCGAGGGTGACAAGTCTGCGGTACGTCGGCTCGCAGCCGTGGCCCACGCCCTACGAGCTCATGACATGCTACTACGCGGTGGCGGAGGACAGCCCAAATATTACTGCGGACGCAGACGAGCTGACGAGTGTGCATTGGGTGCCCAAGGCAGAGGTGCGACAGGCTTTGGCAGGCCAGCACCCCGACTATGCCGTTGTGCCCGACTTTACGGCGGCGCACGTGCTACTTTCCAAATGGGCGAACGGAGAGGTGGATGACCGCGGCCAGCCGACGCGCAAGGAGTAGGCACTGCTGCTTCTTTCTTTTGCCTCCCGAGGGTACGGCACGTCGCGTCGACTGGCGGCCTCGTCTCCAGTGAGCACTGTGCGAAAGGACACGTAGAAATTTCAGCGCGTAGCCAAGCTGTCTCCACTCTGCCGCGACCGTTGCGATTATTATTGCTAGTACGGCTTCTTATTCGTCTTGCGTGGGCACACTTCCGCATGCTGCACAGACGCTTTCTTTCTTGTTGTTGTTGTTTGCGCAGCTCAAAAAGCGCTGGACAAGACTTCACGCATCAACGGATTCGCATCGCTCTCGTATGCGAGACGCGGCGTCGACTGCAGACGTCACCCTCTGCGAAGCAGCTATAATGCGAACGGTATCGGGGCAGGCTTTTTGACGGTATTGAACGGTTTTGTGCCGTACTCCTAGCTGCCGGGGTGTGGTCCACATCCATCATACACCGTCTTACATCGTCGCTACAGCTTGTCATCGGGTGTGCGTGGCCCTGCCGACTCTTCTCGTTTGCTGGTCTTTATTGTTGTTGACTTTCTGTGTTGAGGTGCGAAGGGACGCACCTTCACTTTCGCACACGCACTGTCGTTGGCTATTTAACGCGGCAGCGCAACAACTTTTCTTCTGCTGCTGAACCGATCTATTCTATTTGAGTAATTATTAGAAATGCGCAGCGTGCTGGCGAAGTCCTCGTTGCTGTCCTTCCCGCTCGCGGACGTTGCTGTAAATCGATACGAGAAGGAGCGCCGCGAGGACGGCTTTATCCAGCGCCGCGTCTGCGCAGGTGCGAACCCGTGTGTGGTGGTGTGCAAGGAGGACGGCTCGAAGGTGCTGCTGAACGGCGGCCCGACCAGCTGGCTGCACGCGGTGACGGAACCGAGCAGCGAGTCTTTTCTGAAGATTGCGTTGACGGACGCCGTGTACGTCGGCGAGGACACGACGCAGCCGCGCAATGTGTTCGTGGTGGGCTCGCAGGAGGTGGAGAGCGACTACGCGGAGCACCGTGACTGGGTCGCTCCCATGTCGGTGTTTCCCGCGTTGAGCGCCGCCGAGCAGTCCCTCCTGAGTCTGGCGCTGTCGCTGAAGCAGTGGGCTGCGCTGACTCCGTTTTGTGCGCGCTGCGGCAGCTCGATGCACTCGACGGACTACGGTCTGACGCGTGCCTGCACGGGCTGCAAAAATCGCATTTACCCCCCGGTGGTGCCGGCGATGATTGTGGCGGTGCTGGACGGCAAAGGCAGCGTCATCATGTCGCAGCGTCTTCGGCCTCACAAGGATGCGCGCGGTAAGCCGATGCGTACGGTGCTGTCGGGCTTTGTGGCCCAGGGAGAATCGATGGAGGAGACGGTTGTGCGCGAGGTGCTGGAGGAGACGGGTGCGAGGGTGACAAGTCTGCGGTACGTCGGCTCGCAGCCGTGGCCCACGCCCTACGAGCTCATGACATGCTACTACGCGGTGGCGGAGGACAGCCCAAATATTACTGCGGACGCAGACGAGCTGACGAGTGTGCATTGGGTGCCCAAGGCAGAGGTGCGACAGGCTTTGGCAGGCCAGCACCCCGACTATGCCGTTGTGCCCGACTTTACGGCGGCGCACGTGCTACTTTCCAAATGGGCGAACGGAGAGGTGGATGACCGCGGCCAGCCGACGCGCAAGGAGTAGGCACTGCTGCTTCTTTCTTTTGCCTCCCGAGGGTACGGCACGTCGCGTCGACTGGCGGCCTCGTCTCCAGTGAGCACTGTGCGAAAGGACACGTAGAAATTTCAGCGCGTAGCCAAGCTGTCTCCACTCTGCCGCGACCGTTGCGATTATTATTGCTAGTACGGCTTCTTATTCGTCTTGCGTGGGCACACTTCCGCATGCTGCACAGACGCTTTCTTTCTTGTTGTTGTTGTTTGCGCAGCTCAAAAAGCGCTGGACAAGACTTCACGCATCAACGGATTCGCATCGCTCTCGTATGCGAGACGCGGCGTCGACTGCAGACGTCACCCTCTGCGAAGCAGCTATAATGCGAACGGTATCGGGGCAGGCTTTTTGACGGTATTGAACGGTTTTGTGCCGTACTCCTAGCTGCCGGGGTGTGGTCCACATCCATCATACACCGTCTTACATCGTCGCTACAGCTTGTCATCGGGTGTGCGTGGCCCTGCCGACTCTTCTCGTTTGCTGGTCTTTATTGTTGTTGACTTTCTGTGTTGAGGTGCGAAGGGACGCACCTTCACTTTCGCACACGCACTGTCGTTGGCTATTTAACGCGGCAGCGCAACAACTTTTCTTCTGCTGCTGAACCGATCTATTCTATTTGAGTAATTATTAGAAATGCGCAGCGTGCTGGCGAAGTCCTCGTTGCTGTCCTTCCCGCTCGCGGACGTTGCTGTAAATCGATACGAGAAGGAGCGCCGCGAGGACGGCTTTATCCAGCGCCGCGTCTGCGCAGGTGCGAACCCGTGTGTGGTGGTGTGCAAGGAGGACGGCTCGAAGGTGCTGCTGAACGGCGGCCCGACCAGCTGGCTGCACGCGGTGACGGAACCGAGCAGCGAGTCTTTTCTGAAGATTGCGTTGACGGACGCCGTGTACGTCGGCGAGGACACGACGCAGCCGCGCAATGTGTTCGTGGTGGGCTCGCAGGAGGTGGAGAGCGACTACGCGGAGCACCGTGACTGGGTCGCTCCCATGTCGGTGTTTCCCGCGTTGAGCGCCGCCGAGCAGTCCCTCCTGAGTCTGGCGCTGTCGCTGAAGCAGTGGGCTGCGCTGACTCCGTTTTGTGCGCGCTGCGGCAGCTCGATGCACTCGACGGACTACGGTCTGACGCGTGCCTGCACGGGCTGCAAAAATCGCATTTACCCCCCGGTGGTGCCGGCGATGATTGTGGCGGTGCTGGACGGCAAAGGCAGCGTCATCATGTCGCAGCGTCTTCGGCCTCACAAGGATGCGCGCGGTAAGCCGATGCGTACGGTGCTGTCGGGCTTTGTGGCCCAGGGAGAATCGATGGAGGAGACGGTTGTGCGCGAGGTGCTGGAGGAGACGGGTGCGAGGGTGACAAGTCTGCGGTACGTCGGCTCGCAGCCGTGGCCCACGCCCTACGAGCTCATGACATGCTACTACGCGGTGGCGGAGGACAGCCCAAATCTGGTAGCCGAGAGGGAGGAGTTGGTGCAGGTGCGATGGATGGCGAAGAGAGAGGTGGCGCTGATGCTCGCTGGAAAGCACCCCGAGTTTGTGACGTCGGCGCCGACCACCGCCACTTTTCCGCTGCTGGAGGCCTGGGTCACTGGTAGAGTGGACGACGACGGCCAGCCAACACCTCGCCTGTGACACTGCACCGTAGAGAGCAGCTTTCATTCTGTCGCATTCCCCGGTCCTCGTATCGCTTCGAGAGACGATGCCGGACTATTGAGGCCGTCGGCGCCTACCGCGCTTTGGCTGCTTTCCCTATATTTCTTTCGCTATATTTCTTTCTCTTTTTTGCTTACGGGTTTCGTTCCCCAACGGCGGGTTTTACCGCCCCTATAGTTGTAAAAAAACGTAGAATGTAGGTGACGCTTTGGGTGCTCAAGAAGCACGCACTGGTCCTTCTTTGCGTGAACCGCTGGTCCGCAACGTGACGACCGGGCTACACGCCGCTGGAGATGTAATGAACGCTTTTTATCTTGTTTGGCAATGCGCAGGTCCGCGTGCATGTGTGTTAAAGCAGCGTAGCTCCGCATGTGTTGTGCAGCACGCACACTGTTTCCTACGGAGGCCTCTCAATTTTTTTCGTAATCCCTTCTTTTTCCATTGACATAGCGTTTATGCCTTTTTCCGACACATCTCGGATAGATTAACACGAAGAGGCTCTTCACGCAGCAACAGTGCCGCGCCCACACGCATCATCGAAGCAAAGGGATGGACAACAACGGCAACGGCAACATGAATAACAGCGTAGGCGGCTACGTGCCTGCCCAGCAAGGAGGCGAGGGAGGGGCGGGGACGGATCAGAACTACTACTACTACTACGAAATGCCAGACGGATCCATCGGCTACATCACGGCCGATGAATACAACCAAATGTACACCCCGTCCGAGCAGCGAGGAGCTGGAGAGGCGGGGCCGCAGCCGGCGGGTTACGTGGAGCCCACGTACGGCCAGGGGACCGCCTACGCGCCGGCACAAGAACAGTACGTCGATCCGTCGCAGCTGAACGCAAACAACAGCAATTACTACAACTCCAATAATAATAGTGCTTTGAATAACAACAAAAATAGTACCAACATTTATTATAGCGAAGACAGCAGAAATGCCTACTATGGGAACGCGTCAACAGCAGCGGCCCCGCAGCGGGCCGCCCCGTGGCAACCCTCTCCACAGCAGCAGCCCGCCTACCCCCAGCAAGTGGTGTACACGATGCCGCAAGGGGCGCAGCAAGCGAACGGAGAAGCTGCGGAGGCAATGACGGCCGCGCCGCAACCAGCGCTTCCCCACGAGACCGCAAGCGGCGGATGGTACGCGCCGCCGCCCACGTTTGCAACGATGCGGGACTGGAAAGGCGAGCAAAAGTGGTACACCTCGCTGGCCCGCTCGTGCTGCAACGAGCCGTGCTTCTGCCTTGGCGCCTGCCTGGCTCCGTGGTGTGTCGTGGCGGCACACCGAAAGCGCCTCCTCGAGAAGGACTACACAAAGTATCGCTGCTGCGCCGGTGTGTGTGGCCGAGGGGATGCGTGCGAGTGCTGCGGTGACTGCCCTCGCTGCAACTTGTTTTGGGAGGTGCTCTTATGTCTGCCCTGCGCCTGCCATGCGAATCGGTATATGCTGATGCAGCGCTACAACTTGAAAAAGTCATGCTGGGACAGCACCGTCCTCGGGCTCGGCTGCTTCTGCGCGCCGTGTCACTGGTGCGGCGAGTGCACGTGCTGGTTTCCTGAGTCGATGTGGGACTGGCTGTACGTGGTGCTGTACGCGTGTATGCTCACGCAGCACCACAGGGAGCTCGACGCACACGAGAAGGCGGGTGTCTGAAAACAAAACTGGCGGGAAAGAAGAATATACGCAAGCCGCGCCGCCGCTTTTCTTGTCTTTGCCGCTGCCGTTGGCGGCCAGACGGGCAACGAGGCACGTGGACACACGCACAGATACAAACAATGAGTGCAGAAATGCCGGTGCTGTCGTCGGTCAGCGTGAAGCGGGCCGTCCCGAAGCAACTCAGCCCTCCCTGACGCACGGGCTCTCTCTTCGGACGGGTTCAACGGCGGTGGAAAAATAAAACCAGAAGTATGCGGCCACTGTATGCTCGCCGTCTTCCTCCTCTTCACGCAACGCGTCCGAGCGCTGTGGATTGTTCGAGTCGTAGCAGCTGGGGCGGGAGCACCTCTGCATCCGCAAGCAAACGAAACTAAAAAAGAGATGGCTGTCGTGTCAACCTGGACTGCCTTTTTTTTTTCTCAAAACAACGTTTTTTCCCCCTTTACCTTTTTTGTTGTTGCTACCATTACAATTTTTCTTTTGCGACCGCCATACACCTTTGACAGCGATGTCTGGTCATTTCTTTTTCATTTCTCTATTTTTCCAGGAGCCATTGATGATGTCTCTCTTGTTGCCGTTGCTGTCGCTTCGCATTATTCCCTTCTTTGCTTGTTTTCCCTCTCAGCTGGACTTCGCGCTCGAGCGAACGGCAAAGAAAGAAATGTATATATTTCTACGTGCATGCAGCTTATAAGCTGTGTAATTTCTCTCTCCCACTATTCGCGCAATGCCCCCGAGGCTCCGTGTTTATCAACTCTTCTGTTGTCTCCGGCGGTTCTTGTACTTGTACGCAATGATATCAAAAGCGAAGACTGTGGTTAACCCACCATTTATCAGGAGTCTTTAATGTTATTATTCTCTACCACTATTACATCAGTTTGTTTTCCCTGATCCGTATGTGCTATACAAAGGAGACATATGTTACTTTGGTGCTCACGATGTCCATCGCAGCTTGATCTTCTGCGCAAGTGGGTTGGGCGGTAAAAAGCGGTGCGTTTAGATTGCTGCGGCATCATTATTCGGCTTTGCAGTGCTCTTGACGCGCCCAATACTTTAAAAGAAACCTCACAGTACTTTTCTTTGTGTTTCTCACCTCATCTGGCCTCGATTTTCCTTTTATTGTTTTACGTCAGCGGTTCTTTGACGTTTGCCACACAGCAACGGCTGCGCGCACCTGCGTCTGTGAAAGTGAGCTCTGCACCCGCACATCAGGTGTGCGCCTTTCCCCTCATCTACAGAGAGGAGAGCCGTTTGCTGGCTTTTCTCGTTTGCTTATTTCTCCATTTTTATCACAGCTTGTGCGTCATGCTTCACGTTTTCAACTGTTATGTTCCGTGGGGAGTCTTCACGCTGGCGGAGCTGCGGGCGGGGCTGTGCCACGTCGTTTTGCTGATCCCGTGGGGACTGCTGTTTTTGCGCTTAGACCGTCGCAGCTGGTGGAACTGCGTTCTCTTTCTCGGCTACACCGCCGGCATGTTCTTCTTTCAACGGCGTCTTGCCTCCGGCCTCCCACTGCGCTTTGCATCGCTGCGATCGTGGCGCACCTCGCCAGACAACTATCGCAAGACGTCAAGTTTCTTACGAAGCATCAAAGCCAAACAGTGTCCCGCGAAGGGGGTCTCGGCGGAGGGTTATGGTGAGCGCCCGGTGGTGGTCATCACCGGTGGTGAGCGTGGGATTGGTCGACAGGTAGTGGAGCAGCTCCTGCGAGAGAAGATGGACGTGATCCTCTGCTGCCCCTTTGAGGCGGTGGCGCAGCAGACCATACAGAAACTGAAGGCACGCATCCCTGGCGCAGTCATCACGTTCCTCAAGCTGAACCTAAACGATGAAGACAGCGTGCGGGAGAGCGCGGCGAGTATCCTGCGCATGACGCCGCGCATCGATGTGCTCATCAACAACGCTGGCATGGTGAACATCGCCGGCTACAAGGCGAACAGGCGTGGGAATGAGGTGGTGCTCGCCATCAACTTCCTCGGCCACGTGCTCTTGACGGAGTTGCTGCTCGATCGCGTGCAAGCGAGCGGGCCGTCGCGCATCGTCAACGTGGCCTCGCTGATGCAGCTGAACGCGTGCATCCCCGGACCGTGCAGGACGCCGCTGGATGCCCTCGTCGCCAACTGCGATCCAAACTCGGCCTATCACACCAGCAATTACAGCCTGTCGAAGCTGCTCTTTATTTGCTACACGCGTGATCTTGCGCGGCGCTTGCAGGGAACTTCCACCAAGGTCGTGTCGCTGCACCCTGGCGTGGTGCTGACCAACATTTATTCCTTTGGCGCCATCTTTATGAAACTGCTGCTGCGGACCGTATTTAAGTTTCCTGGAGAAGGCGCCGAGGTGGTGCTTTGCTGTGCGTTGGCGCCCAACATCGAAAGCGGGTCCTTCTATGCGGACTTCCAACAGTATGACAGCGTCCTCTCTCCTTTGGCCCTCGACGATGCGCACAACGAACGCCTGCGTCGTGTGCTGCTGCGCTACTTTGGGCTCGATCACGCGCCGTTGTCCACCATGTCCCTGTCGGAGGTGGCTGCGGCAACGCCGTGAAGCAAGGGAACCGGAGCGCCACCGTCAACATCACAGTCGAAGAAATTTAGCCTATTTTAAAAATGTAGACACACACACCCGAATGTCTCCCCTGCAGCCCCCCAACTACCAATCGTTCTTCGACACACACACAAACACACACACACAGACACGGAGACCATCACACGGGGGACAGGCAGTTATGTGCACAGCTTTTTACTCTTGCCTTCTTTGAATCTCCGATTAAGGGTGATATTTTTTTTTTCTATTTCCCCAGCAGCGTTCACCGTTCATGTGCATTCTTCTTTTCTTCATATTCAGCCCACACTCACACGTGCTCACACACTCGTCCTGTGCGTCATCGGTGGCGGTGCATGCGTCTGCGTTGTTCGGATGCGTGTACTTCAAATCTTGTCTCATCGACTGAGGAGGGTTCTCGTCCGAAAGGGCAAATAGAAGAGTGCTCCTTTTCTTTCCGTCTACTATCTGCGCGGCAGACGCACAGCATCTGCGGAGTTCATTGCCGTGCTCGTCGCGCATCTCTGGCGACTCTTGCACTACTGAAGCGGTGTGGTGTCCTAAGTGAGTGTAGTGAAGAAGAAGTATATATATATATTTCTTTCTGCAGCGCTGCGGCACCGGATTTCGTGCTCGTCACCTCTTATGCCTGCTTTATGGCCTTTCTCGTACTCGCGCTTCTCCTTTATAACACAACTTTGCTTTCTACGTACACGGCGTTGTTCGCCTTCGACTCATGAAACCCGACGGAGACACAACACGGCTGTGCAAGGTAGATTCGCACACTATCCTCTCTTCCTCAAGTGTGTCTTCTCGCTGCAGCATCCTCTGCATTACCCGAGCCACTCCCTCACGGTACACAAAGCACAAATCCCTCTTACACAAGCCGTCACGTGTGCTGGTTAGAATGTCGCAGGCGGTGAACCACCTCGTCGGCGAGTACCTCGCGCAGGAGTACCCATCTGTCGCCAAGGTCTTCAAGAAGGAGGCGTTCTCGGCCGCTGCCCCACGCCGCCCTCCCTTCGGGGAGAAGGGTCTCGCAGAAATTGTGTTAACCTACCGCACGGAGAAGCCCGCATCGCGCAAGGCGTCGCCAAAGGTGGCGGCGAAGAAGGCGCCCATCCCAGACTCCAGCTCCGACGACGACGAGCCAGTGAAGAAGCCCGCATCGCGCAAGGCGTCGCCAAAGGTGGCGGCGAAGAAAACTGCGACGGACAGCGACAGCTCCGACGACGAGGAAGCACCGGTGAAGAAGTCGGCGTCCACGAAGCCGGCGGCTCGTCCGGTCGAGGACTCCGACGATGATGAGGTGCCAAAGAAAAAGGCCTTCAAGACGGAAGCGCCTGCACGTCGCAGCCCACATAATTTGAACGATGACGGCACCTACCGCCGCTTCCAGCGCATTGATCCCAGCAAGGTGACTTTCCACGCCGACGTCCTGCGAGACAACCGGCCTGCCGAGGAGCACCTGACGCTGCGCCAAAACCAGGAGATGATGCGCACCAAAGGTAAGGGTTTTAATAAGCTGAAGCAGAAGAACAAGGGCAAGTTTTACGGCGCAGGCGTCGACCTCACCGTGCGTGCGTACCAGTTCCCGGACAGTGATGATGAATAGCACCTCCTTTGTGCGTGCATTTGCGCATCGGACACATCGTTGTTTCTTTTAAAACCCTCTTTCTTCGAAATGCAGCGGCACGGGGGAGGGGAAACGGTGTGAGAAGCCGAAGGCACTTTTCTTTTGGTAAGTTACTTAAGTTTCCGTACTTTACGGTCTGCCGTTAACGCCGTGTAAGTTGTACAACGAAGAGTATGATGAACCGTCTTTGTTGGCTGCTGCGCTCACCCACTCATGGAGCGATGCAACGCAGCGAGAGCCGTAACTGCGAGCACTGCTCGAGCAGCCGAACGGGCTACCTGAGAAGGATTTGAGACGCTTCCTGCCACATCGCAATGGCAGCGCACCTTGCAGCGTGTGGCAGCCTAGCTCCTTCTTCCTGTTTGCCCTTCTCCTTTCCCCAGTGTGCGATGAGCACGTGCGTGTATTCGAGAAGGCGGCAGAGAAATCTGTGCGCACGTCACTTCTCTCTGTTCTTCTTCACTTGTGTGTCTGTGTACGTACCGTCGGTTCTCCTCCCTCTGTGTCTTCACTTCAACGCTGTCCTCCGCTGATGGGACCAGCCGAACACGCAACGCGCGACTACACCCGCCACAGCGCAAAGAAACTGGCCCCGTGCTTGACAGGTCGACGAGCAGCAGCAACAACCAGGAAAAGCATCGCCCACGTTAGTCGTACCCTTTTGCTTTGCTTTTCGTTCTTATTATTGTACTCTCCCGTTCTACAGAATCCGCAATGGCGACGACGGCGGCGACTGCCTCTGCGGCTCCGCTGCGGTTGCCCCCCGCTGCTCCGCCGAATGTGCCCGTGCGCCGAGTAGCGACGCTGAAGGGGCATCAGGACCGCGTGTGGTGTGTGCGGTGGTGCCCCACGGCGGCCGTGCTGGCCTCCTGCTCGGGCGATGCCACCGTCCGCTTTTGGAGTCGCCGGCCCGACGCTGCGAAGAGTAAAGGAGGCAGCAGCGGGAGTGCGGAAGAGGAGGAGTGGGCCTGCATTGGCACGCTGGAGGGGGAGCACAGTCGCACCGTTCGCCACATCAGCTGGAGCCCTAGCGGGGAGTACATCGCGTGTGCCTCCTTCGATCACACCGCCACGGTGTGGCGCCGCGACGTGGACAGCGGCGCCTTCGCCTTCGAGATTGAGGGCGTACTGGATGGCCACGAGAGCGAGGTGAAGTGCGTGGAGTGGGCCACGGACAGCATGCTCATTACGAGCTCTCGCGATCACACGGCGTGGATTTGGGAGCGCGTCGACGAGGGGGAGTATGAGTGTGGCGGTGTCCTCACCGGACACGTGCAGGACGTAAAGCACTGCCAATTCATTTTGCCGTCTAACGACCACGACGTGCCGCTGGCGGTGACGTGCGGGTACGACAACACGGTAAAGATATGGTCCGAAGGGCATCATCAAGATGACTGGCAGTGCACGCAGACGCTGACGGCGCACGAGGCGACGGTGTGGGCCACCGCCCTGCAGAAGCTCGAAGTCCCGATGGACGAGGTGCGAGTGGCACACGAAGTGCAGGCATTGCTGCCGCAGCCGCTGCTGTGCAGCTGCTCGGATGACCTCTCAGTTATTTTCTGGAAGCGCAATGCGGAGGGTCGCTTCGTGGAAGTGAGCCGTGCGTCAGGCTTTGCGGAGCGGTCGCTTTTCGACTTGGACTGGGCCCCGCACAACGCCTCCGTAGTGGCATGCGCGAGTGGCGACAACAGCTTCACGCTGCTCGGCGTGTACGCCGCCGACGATGGCGTGCACTCCTGCATCGTGGCTCGCGTAGCGGACGCCCATTTGTCTGACGTGAACTCCGTCAACTTTGCCTCGCACGGCAGCCTTTATGCGTCTGCGAAGGACGCCGATGGAGAGGGCGGTGTGCTGCTGGCGTCAGGTGGTGATGACCGGGTCATTCACCTCTGGCGGGTGCATGCGGATGCGGAGTAATGAAGTCGCAGCTTTCGATTTGTGGAAAATGAAAAAGAGGGAGAAAATAAACAGACCGGTTTCTGTGTCCGTTGGGTGTATGTGACGAGGACTACGGGTAAGAGGCACCGACCACGGTCTTCTTTCAATCTTGTCTGCGCTGTCCTGCTGATCGCCACCTTCGGGGGCCTTTCTTGGCGTCTCGTGTCCCACCTGTCTTCTTGTATTTGTTGTTGTGCGTGGGTGCGGCGTGGCATCTCCCTTCTACTTAAACCTTCTCTCACGTTTCATACATGAAGATGTGAACGATATCGTAAAAGACGAACTGAATTCTCTGAAACTGACGGGCGAGAGTACACGCGCAAACGAAGAGACACTTCACATGGGCTTTGTTCTTCGCTTGTCGTTGGCGTTGTTTTGTGCACTTCACCTGCTGCCGAAGACGCCCTGCCAGAGCGTGGCAACGAGTGTTGATTTGCCTTTCCTATTGCGGCGCGTTGGTTCTCCCTCTCTTTCTCTCTCTTGATGTGACTCTTTCCCCCTCCCCTCCTCCCTCGAACGCTGTCTTCGTTGCGCTTTCCACGCATCTCAGTCGTTTGCTACTCCGAAAGAAGAAAGATAGAAAATACCTCTCATCGTCTCTCACCCTTCACAAGCAACACTCAGCTGTTACCATTTTCCCTGCTTTAGCTTTTGCGCCACCGTGCTCGCTCTGCTTGCTTGACCATAAACTTTCTTTTCCTTTCTCCTCTCTATTCGCTGCAATTTTTCGCCTTTCAGAGAACGCGAAGAGCTCCTTTGTTGTTGCTCTACCTATAAAGCAGACAACCAACACGTTCGTTTATCCGCTCAAGGACAGCGAACACCATAGAACAGCATCATTAACTCACCTCCTCCCTCTCCCTTTCTATCTTCTACTAAAAATATATATATTGCCTCTCGGTGCACGTTCTCTTTCTCGGTGTTACTTTCGTTTGTCCCCCCTCCCCTTTGGGAAGCCTTACGTGAGCCGCCTCACTTGAACGGAGCAACGAGCGCACGTGCAGTCTCCTTCGACGCCATACATCTAAACTATCGGGCACACCGCTGCATCGACGCCAGTGCCGCGGCTTCTTCGTGGATCGACTGCGTTTCATCACTTGCTGCGGTGTAGCACGACGACGATCACCGCCGAAGCGTTCTTGTGAGTTCTTTTTCTGTTTTTTTTCTCTGTCCCCCTCCCCTCTACAAAAAGGGAAAGGAAATGGCTCACACTTCTCCTCTGACGGACTGCACGCGGGACACGATCCAGGCCATGAACCGCACCGCCGGTGTCAACGCCAGCAGCTCCCTCTCCAAGTCGGCCAAGTTGCGGCGGCACAACCCGTACGCCAGCCGCCTCCTGGCCCCAGAGGACTCCGTGGAGTTCAACAACAGCATTCTGAACTCCCCCCTCTCTGCCCGGCACTCCCCGCTGAACTGGGAGGCGCGCGCCTTCGATCCGACCTTCATGTACAGCAGAATCAGCACTCCTTACATTGGCCAGTCCTTCTCCAGCCTGAACTCGGATGCGCAGGTGCGCCGCAGCCTCTTCGGGGACAGCCCGGCGGCGCTGGCCGTCAACCACTGTGCGGAGGCGCCGGCGGTGGAGCACAGCAGCAACAACATTCACATCAGCGTGAACGTTGCCCCGACCCCCGTCAAGTCCGCCGGCGCGGCGAGGAAGGCCATTGGAAAGATATACGTGGGGGGTCGCCCCGTCGTGGTGCCGCGCTACGACAACGAGGTCAGCGTGCAGCTGCGCAGCGGGGAGACCACCTTTGTGATTCATGATATTTACAGCCTGCTGGTCCTGGAGGAGGAGACGCGCGACTTGGTGGGCCTCTCCGTGATGGTGGAGGGCGACCGTGGTGAGGACCTGGGCGTCGTTACCGCGTTGCTGAAGGCGGAGAGTGCCACGGCGCCTGCCACACCGTCCAAGACGGAGGCAGAGGAAAAGGACAAGGCTTCCTCTCACTCCGCCAAGTCCCTCCCACGCGTGCTGCGCGTTGCGTCGTCCGCTGAGCTACAGCAGAACGAGGCCCTGCCGCAGCTGGAGGCCGAGGCCCTCGCGTACTGCCACGCCTGCCTCGCCGAAGTGCAGCTCGCCGTGCCGATTGCTGTGGAGGGCGTCTTCTTCCAGTTTGACCGCAAGAAGCTCACGGTGCGCTACACCAGCGACGCCTACGTTGACTTCAACGACGTGACACGGCTGCTCCACAAGAAGTTCAACTGCCGTATTTGGATGGATCAGCTGAACCGCGAGGTCGTCAGCAGCACCGAGAAGCGCAGTCGTCGGGCGGAGCATGGTGGCAAGAAGTCCGGCGGGGGCAACCAGCGCAGGAACGCGCAGAAGCGCAACGACTCGTAGTCGCCGTCTGCCGTCTGCCGTAGCCCCTTTGCGCCTCATACCTCCTTTCGTTCTTACCGGGCAGCGCCGTGGACACGCCTATTCATAGCGTTGCTCGCTGGACGTGATGAAGGCGTCTTCGATCTCTTCTTGATACACAACAGCGAGAAGAGAGAAAAAGGACGGCCCACAACTCTTCTTTCCCTTTTCCTCTTTTACGTACCTTCTTCCTTTGTAATATCCGTCTTCGCTTTTGACGAGGACAAAGGAAAGAAGGAAAAACAATCGAGTGCCTTCAACCTCGCATGTATTCAGCGATCACATGTCGGTGACACCTCTGCTTGAGCATACATTATACCCAACTCGTTTCAATAAATATGCCAATGGAGTGTTTCACTAAAAATTGAGGTGCAGAGGACAAAAAAAAGCTGTAGTAAGTAAATAATAATAAAAAGGAGATTAACTGTGCTGCTTTGAATGTTTTTAGCTAGCGTGTGTGTGTGTGTGTGTGAGTTTGTTATTGCTGCGGTTGCTGTTTTTGTTTGTTTCTTAATATATATTTTTTCTCTCTAACGTCCCTTTCTCGTCGTTTTTCATTTTTTCCCTTTTCTGTAGTGATGCACGCACACCCCTCCATAGAACGCAAATTGAATGTATTCTGTGTTTACTTGCTTGGCACCTTTCTTCATTGTTTTTCCCTTCTGTCCTGCTTGTTGCTTTGCCTTGTCTTATTTCTTTTTTTTGCGGAAAATGAAATCAAAACTACTGTTACTCTACGACGATGATGGCGTTCGATGAATGAGTCGTTTGTTCTTCTTTTGGATATTCCTCTTTTTTCTTCTCTCACCACAAACGACTGGGAGCGAGTGGCTCGTATATTGCTCCTGTCCCGTGCCCCTGTCTTTTCTTCTTTTGCTGGTGTTGGTTGCTGTTTGCTCTCTTCCCTTGCTGCTCTCCGTGGCATCTGTCGGTATCGTTGTTCTCCACTTCAATCGGGGCAAATTCGCATCGTTTTTGAGGGCTCGTATATAGTTCGTTTCGTCTTCTTTTTTGCTGCCTTTTCCCCCCTCTGTTCTAGTCTCTTTGTCTCATTTAAGTCTTATGTTCTTGATTCTCTCTCTCTCTCTATATATATATATCAATTTTGTTTTGTGGTCTTTTACGCTTTACTGGTGTTTGCGCTCTGTGCCTTCTACTTGCTTCATCGCTGTGACTTCGCTCTTATCAGAGAGCCACGAGCGCACGCAAGCGCGCGTGTCACAGGCGGACCGGTGGAGGGAGCAGCCGCAACGCAGCAACGCTGTCGCTATAGCTATACGTTATCTTCCTTTGTTGTTTGCTTTCATCTCATTTTCTTTCATTTCTGTAGGACTTCATTTCTCCTTTCTTTAGGCAGACACGCCCAAGCCCATGAGTACTATATTACGTTGTCATCGGCGACCGGCCGCGGTGATGGCGTTCATCTGCCGCACCCATGTTCGCGCCCTCTGCGCTGTCTCATCGCATTGCGGCACCTAGTAGAGAAGCTACTCTTGACAATCGTTAGCTTCCTTATTAGTATTATTATCACTACTCCTATGATTTTGATACGCAGATGTACGCTTTCTATTGTTTTTTACCTCTTCTTCTTTTTCCTTTCTGGTCTTTTGCGGACTTATCAAAAAACGAAGACTTTGAAAGAAAAACTTTCCCCTTTCTTTTCTGTGCCACTGCCGCTTTCGGTAGCGAAGTGGAAGGCCGCTTCTATACATCGTCATGTATACGTAGAGCTGTATTCCATGAAAGCACATCGACCGTTCTTCATGGGTTCCACTGTTGCAGCGTGGAGCAAGCGAATGCTTTTCTGCAAAAGAAAAGAAAAACAAATAAAAAAAGCTGATGCAAGTTTGATGCTTACGTGCTTCTTCTCGTGGGGATTTTTCTGTGAGCCTGCGAGGGGAATGGAAGGGACGGAAAAAATGAGTTGAATGTGATTGGCAGCGGAGAGATTGGCGGATCTCGGTCATTTAGGGTAATGCTCTAAACTATCTTCTCCTTTTCTATTACCTCCTGAATCCTGGTTCTTCCGTATTCTGGTTTGCCTGGCACAGTTGTTTTCAGCATCGAGAGAAACTCCGGTTTTTCGCTGAAATCCACCCGCCCACCCCCGGTCCCTCCCACGACAGGGACCCATGGGATCCTTAAAAAGATCCATGATTTTTGTTTTCCTTGCACTTCGTAAAGCGATACTCTCTGAGAAAAAGTCCGACGACAAACACGACAGATAAAGAAGAACGGAATTGGGGCAGATACTAGATAGTGAAGAAACAATGAGTAGCCTTGATGGGGACATTGATGCCAGGTACTCGCTAGTTATGTATTTCCCTAAATGCCGTGCAATCACTTCGACTCTTGACTTCCTATCCTTCTTTTTCGCCCTTCTTTTGGTTTCCAGGTCTCTGGGCACGCGCGCCTCGGCGACATCTCTTTTCCTTCTCTGCGCGCGCAAACCGAAAGTTCGCGCCGTGTAAAAGAAAGCTTAAAGACAAACATATCGGATGGGAAGGATGCTCTCGGTGCCGCGTGATTTGACCGCCGACTCATTTTCTGATTATTTTCTTCTGTGTTGTGTTCTTCTTCTTTGAAAAGAAGATGAATTTTTAGCGTGTAGTTTTTGTTTTAATTGTATCAGCGTCTGCACAGTCGCATGAGGTGTAGCACGCTTGCGAGAAGACGTGCATGCTTTCATTCTGTTTCTTCTTTCCCTTCCCCCTGTGTGTGTAACCTGCTGAGTGAGTGGTGAACACCTTCCTCGCAGCTGTATTGGCCGGAGGTGTACGGTAGCCACATTCGCAGATTCTCATTGCTGATTTCTTCTTTTCTTTTCCGTTTTCTCCCGAGCACGAATATACACATTCTTGTTCTTCTCTTTGTTGTCATAATTATTTAACCTGCAGTACCTCCCTTGTTCTGCTTTTGCGCGGTGCAGAACAGTAAATAAGTAAACTACAAATGATCGTGAGGGTAACGCACGCACGCACAAGGAGACAGGTGCTTCAACTCCACACCCGAGACAGAACTCAAGTGAACATCAGCAACGCTAGCAGTGTGGGGCACGCGGAAAGCGGGATAAGAGCTGGCGCAGAGCAAGCGCCTCTGGTTTTTGCCTTTTCGGCAGCGCTTTCTCCGTGTCGCTGCTCCTGTTGGCTTTTGTTTCTTTTTCAATCCCTGCTGGTGGGTTTGCGGGAGAGGAAACAAAGCCAGCGAAGGATGTCTGGGGTGCTGGCGTGGAGTCTCCTTCTTCCATCTCTTATCATTGCTATACGCCTCTCTTCAAGTTTGTTCTCCCCCTCCTTCTGGAACTCAACGACATATGCTTATGTTTTCTTCTCACCTTTGCCTTCCGTTTCTATTTCTTCAAAAAACAAAACTCCCTTTTTCTTTCATTAGCGGTGGCGTCGCAAAGAGTTTTCTTGTATTATTAAAAAAAGTCAAGAACTATCGTGAAGAAAAGGCATCGTCGCCAGCTAACGGAAACCGTGTCTACTTAACGGATGCTGACATTTAAACGGAACTAGTCTTCTCCTTCTTTTTTCTTCTTTTTCTTTCTGATGTACGCACGGATTGGCTAGCGAGTAACCGCACGTTTCACAGCGGCTGTGTCTCTTCCTTCCTCTCCCTGTCTTCCGTCATTTCCTTCTGTTCTCCTCCTTCAAAACCGTAGCGAAGGGTCGCGTTCTTCTTTGCGTATGGTCTAATTCCTTCTTTGTTTCTGTTTACGTACTATACACCGACTTGCCTAAACGCCTTTCATGCTTCCTCATTGATCAGCGGAAAAAATAACATGTGTCTACCTTTGTCCACTTTGCAGTGGTGAAGCTCTTGTAGTTCAAAAAAAAAAATAAACAAGAAGAAACGAAAATGGAATCACGAAGAAAGAGAACTGGCGCCTGTAAGCGAGGTATTGCTGTCCTCACTGTTGGGGAGACCGGCGCAATTGACGCCTGCTTCCTCTGTACGTGACGCTGGTTTAAGAGTTAGTCGTCGATACAATAAGCATTTATATATATATGTGTTTATACACTTTCAACCTTGGACAGCACCCCCTGCGCACCTGTGTACACGGCATCATCGCTGTACTCGTTCGATAAAGAAGGTAAGCGTCGTTGCTGTAAAGCGCATGAACTGTGTAGTTTGTGTGTGCGTGTGTGAGAGTTTGTTCGGTGGCCGCCCCACCGTATGTCCAACGCTACTGCATTGGGTGCTTTCAATGGAAACCTCCCACTTCTCTCCTCCGTCCTCGCCTGCACGTTAAGTCGACCCTTCATCGTTAGTTGCGTAGAGCACCGCAAAATATTTTTCTTTTCTTATTGCCTGTAGCGTCTTGGCGTTTGTTGCTTGTTGTTGCTCGCTATATCTTTTCCTTTCTTCTTTCTTCTTGGAAATTTATAGACTCTAAAGCAAACAAAGAGAATGCCGCGCGACACGCACATCCTGCGTTTCAAGGTGGTGACGGTGGAGTGCTCCTCGCTGCCCAACGGCCAGCAGTACACCATCATGTACCACCGCGGCAGCACCAACCGATCCACCCCGTGCTACTCCGCCCAGAACGGCGTCATCAACTTCGCGGCCATGCCGGAGGGCGCGGCCGTGGTGCACTTCAAATCGGGCCACAGCGGCACCCGCTTCGCCCCCAAATATATCCGCTTCATGATTGAGGAGTACACGCGCGGTATGCCGCGACGTCTCGTGGGGGAAACGGAGCTGGACGCGACGCAGGTGTTGAAGGGGTTCTCGAACGTCGGGGCGGGCATCCTGACAGTGGTCTTCCGCCTGTACGGCACTACCGCGAAGATGAAGGTGGCCGTCCTCGTCTACCCCGACCATGCCCCGCCGCTCTCCTTCGACGGCCTCATCGACCCTGCCGACGTGGCGGCCCCGGAGGCGCCGCAGACGGTGAAGGTCATGAACCGTGGCGAGGCGATGATGATTCTGATGGGCCTCGAGACGTTGCTGGAGCGGCAGCGCACGATGGAGGCGGCAGGCAAGAGGCCCCCGCAGTCGCGCGAGGAGAAGAAGTTGGTAGAGTTGGAGGAGCGGCGGAAGGCCCTCGTCGGCTCGGAGGGCCTAGCGACGGAGGTGGTGAAGACGCGCTGCGAGGAGGTGGTGGCGGTGCAGTTCACTGCCCTCGCGCGGAAGCACCGCAACAACTTCGTCGGCGAGACGGCCGCGTACTTGCGCGAGATGGCGCTGCGCAGCGGGGAGGAGTTCGCCAGCGAGGACGCCGACAAGCACGATGCAGCCACCACGCAGGAGCAGCTCAACCGCGTCAACCGCAGCATCGACGACGTGGACGCGCAGCGGAAGAAGTTGGAGGAAGAGCAGGTCGCCCTCGGCCGCATTCAGCACAAGGTGGACGTCACGCAGGAGCTCTGCGCGAACCTCGACAAGGTCGGCCAGCTCGACGCGAAGCTGAAGCTGCTAGAGCAGTCCCGCGACGCACTCGCGGCGGCTCTGCTGAGGCACGCGGAGAAGAAGGACACGGAGCTGTCGAGGGAGGTGGCGGCGATCAAGGCGCGCATCGCGGCCCTGCAAGGCGAGCAGCAGCAAATGCGGAGCAAAGTAACGCACATGGTGGGCGTCGCTGCGGGGCACGTCGTGAAGTGGGCGCGGAGCAAGAACCCACCGGAGCCAGAAGTGTCGACGGGTCTGCGCACCGGCTCGCGGCCGACCGCCGCCTCCCCGCGCAACGTCGTGGACGACTTGTTCAGCAACGCCGACAAGCCGGAGCGCTCGAAAGAGGCACAGATGCTCGACGATGTGCAGCGGCGTCAGGTGATGGGTGCGCTGAAAGGGATGCGCGCCTCCGCACCGCCGCCGACGGCCCACTCGCCCACGTCGGACTCCTCCAGCTCGGGTCACCGCACCCCGCGCGACCTCTTCGCCGGTCAGGAGGGCCTGCCGTCCATGGGCGACTTCAGCTCTGCCGCCGACAAACAGAAGAAGGAAGCCGAGGAGGCCGCGGCGGCCAAGAAGAAGGACGCGGAGAAAGCGGCAGCGAAGAAGCCCGTGAATGAAGACCCGTTGAAGCCGTCGGGACTCGGCATAGACATGTTCTCCGCACCACCGCCCTCCGCGTCCTCCAGTTCGCCGAAGGGGATGCCGTCGACGAACGACTACACCCGGCCCTCCTTCGCCGCGAGCCAGCCGGAGGTGCAGCCGATGTTCGACCTCAGCGCCATGGGCCAGTCCGAGACGTCACGCCGCACCGGCATGGCCAGCCAGGACGCGGGCCCGGGCTTCGTGCTGGAGCCACAGCGGCCGGAGCCGACCCGGACGGGCCCGCCAGCGCCGCCCGCCGTCACCGTGTCACCCGCCTACAACAGGAAGGACGACCCGTACTACGACGAGATGGACGACTTCACCGTACCGCCGGACAACGACAACAACGCGTACGCCGCCGTCGAGTTCACGGGTGGGTTTCCCGGTTTTGGCGATGACACGACGTCGTCGCCGCTGCGCGCCAACGCGGCTGCCTCGTCAAGTCCCGCGACGGCGGCCGGCTACACCGTGACGCGGCCTACGTTCGACTTTGGTCCAAGTGGCGGCTTCAACGACGACGTCGGCACGATGGGCGGCGGCGGCGGTGCCTCCATGAACCCGCCTGCGCCGGCCGCCTTCTTCGGCGGCGGCAGCAGCGAGGAGCCCTCGACGACGAACCGCAGCGCGGAGGACAGGAACAACCCCTACAGCGGAATCAGCAACCTGCCCAACTACAATTTCGGGAGTTAAAGGGGGAAAAGAGAAGACGAATGCGCTTCTTGTTTGCCGGTGAGTATTCCCGCTGCGCACAACTATCTGTCTCTCCATCTATCTATATATTCATTTATTGGATTCCGTTTCTTTCCATTGATTTGGCTTAGATATATCTAAGCTTTCTCTTCCTTCTTTGCGTCGTGTGAATTGACACCCGGCGTATTACGGCCGAGCTCGAACGGAAGGGAAAGGATAGTGTCTCGATTTCTGTTGTCTTCGGTATTTCTTCCTTATTGCTGGTCTGTCGTTCTGCTCTTTTCTGTCTTGTCTTCTGGTTGGAAAGGAACTTTTTCGATGCTGCACGGATTTTTATTTCTCCCGTGCTTTGCGTGTTTTGCGTGGGTAGTGTCACTTTCTTTCGTTGGGGGTGTGCGTGCGCTTGTGTGTTATTATAGCTCCTCTTCTTCTTCTCTCTCTTGCTGCACTTGTTGTTCATGCATATCGAATCAGAAAGCTAGAGGTGGCATTGATGTCGCCGTGGCCGAATCGATGGTGGACCTCCAACTTTTGTGTTCCCCTAGGAGAACAAGCACGAGAGCAGCTGACAGATCACCATGGACGTCGTCGTCTTCTCTCTCCATATTTTCTTCGGATGTGACGCACGCTGTGGGAGTCAGCAAATGCGAAGAAGCCTGCTGGGAAAAAGCCGTGGGAACACCTCTCTCTCCCTCTCGCATGCATACACCCACATTAGAGCGCGTTGTGATGGATGGTCCGAGCTGATGCAGTTTGGTATTCCCGTCGAGCTGTTGTTACTGTCGTTTTAGTGCCGTTCCCACTCTCATCATCTCGACCTCCGTCCTCGTCGCTGTCGCTCCTCCGCTCCTCTGCGCGATGCCATTTTGTAGGTGTGTGGTGCCAACAAACGAAAGAGTCGCGTAGAGACATCGTTGGAGTTTTGTTGTTCCCGAAGCAAACCGCTCAGCACCGCAGTCCCCCACACGCTTGTGCGCATCGGTATACGTCCACGCCGCGTCGAGGAGGCAGCGTCTGCTGATTGGCTCACATTCTTCTTCTGTTGTTTTATTTCTTCTTCTCTTCTTGTGGTGTTGTGCGGAGATGCGAGCGCGTGTTTGCCTCAGCGTACGGTCTGCGCTGCGCCGCCCACGCGGCCCGGCCGCCCAAACCGCTGCCCTCGTAGCCGTCATTGCCCGCCGCACCTTCGTGGACACGCCGATGCCGGACGAGGCCGTCGTCTCCGGCATGTCGATGCCCAACGTCGCGGCCCCGCCGGCCACACCGATGGGCGACCCTTCCTCTGACTCCGCGGACGGCCTTGGCTCCTCCTACGCCTACCCGCTCGACGTGTCCAACGCGGCGTTCAAGCTGTACGGCGAGCCGAATACCTTCGGCGCCGGCGACGCTAACCGCATCTTCTCCTCCGCGAAGATCCACAGCTACGATCCAACGATCCTCTTCAACGACCTCCGGCTGCAGGACGTGCGGAGTACAGAGGTGAACGGCACCGGCGGCTTCAGCGGTGCCGGCGGCGGCGGCAGCGGCGGCGCTGACACCGCGTCAACGGCCGCCGTCGACGCGGAAGCCGCGACCCGCCAGGCCGAAGATGAAGCGAACAATGCGGAAATGCGCTCGGGGCGCAACAAGCAGGTGGCGGGTGGTGCGGCGGCCATGGCGGCGGCCATGCTCGACTCACGCCGCGCCGTCGACGGCATCGCTCTTGTGCCGGGTCACCCGCTGCCGGTCGTCTTCCCGCGGCCGGACGGGCTGCCGCCGCCGCTGCGCTTTGTGAAGAAGTTCGGCCCCGGCGGCGCCCAAAAAACACGCGCCGGCAAGCGTCTTCGGCAGGCGAAGGCGGAGAGCGAGGAGGACACGGACGCGGCGATGTACGGCGAGGTGATGGAGAGCGAGGGCCGCGTGGAGTCCACGAGCCTGCAGCACAGCATTGCGTGGAAGGTGCAGGTGCTCGACGAGCATCACAAGCCCGCACCCGTGAAGCCCTTCCAGCACTTTCGCGAGGCGGCCGATGTGCTGCCGCACCGCGTGATGCAAGGGCTCGAGGACTCGGGTTTCTCGCGGCCGACGCTGCTACAGTCCGCCGCCATCCCGCAGCTCATGCGCGGACGCGACGTCGTCGGCGTATCGCCGAACGGCAGCGGCACCACCGTCGCCTACGCCGTTCCCTCCATCGCGGTGTTGGTGAAGGTGAAGGCGGCAGAGAAGGGCGACACGGCGGTCGCTGACAAGGCAAAGTCTTCTTCTCCGGGTGGCGACGCAGCAGCGGGAGGTTCGTCCACCGTCGCACAAGAGCAGCCGGAGGAGCCGGCGGCTGCGGTGGTGGCCCACCCCATAGTCGTTGTGCTCTGCCCCACCCGTCAAACCGTCATGCGCACCGCCGCCATGTACGTCAGCCTCACCGGCGAGGACGTGCGTCTTATCACGGCCTACCGCTCCACCGCGGAGGAGGAGGAGAAGCAGCGGGCGGCCATTCAGAAGAAGAACGGCTGCGACGTGCTCGTGAGCACCCCCGCACGTCTGCACGCCCTCCTGCGGGATGGTGTGGTGGATGTGGACAACACCCACGTGATGGCCGTCGACAAAGCAAACGAGATCCTCGAGGCGGCCCCAACGCCGGACGGTGTGTCCATGCGGGAGCACCTGGAATTTGTGCTCAAGAAGACGAAGGACAACAGGGTGGCGCATCAGCTGTCCGTCTGGTGCAGTGAGGTGGTGCCGGCGGTGGAGTCGATGGTGCACCGCTACATGTCCCCGCTCGCCGTGACCGTCATGGTGACCCGCGAGGAGCACACGAACGTGAACGTGCGCCAGATTTTGTACGCGCTGCCCAGCAAGGAGGACCGCATCAAGGCGATCCAGCGCCTGTACGACACACGGGCCATCTTGAAGCGCCATCAAGTCGTCGTCTTCTGCGCCTACCGCGAGACGGCGGAGCAGGTGGCCGCCGATCTGATCAAGGCGCTCGCGGCGCCGTCGTCGATGGTGAAGTTCGTGCACAGCGGGCTGCGGGCGCGGCGACGCAACGAGGTGCTGAAGTCCTTCCAGCACGGTGACATCCGCATTTTGGTGGGCACCGACGTTGCCACGAAGCGGCTGGACGTGGAAGAGCTGGAGCACGTCATCCACTACGACCTGCCGGCGTCGACGGAGATCTATATGCAGCGCGTCAGCCAGGTCGGTCGATCCGGCCGCCAAGGGACGTCGCACACGTTCCTCACCGCGGGGGATGCGCGGGTGCCGCTCATCGCGAAGTTTGTGGAGAAGCAGACGGGCCACGCGTTGAGTGAGGAAACTCGAGCGATGATCCGCGACATCGAGGCGTCCGGCGGAGAGGACAGCTGGGACACGCCGGTGCTGCGCCTGCAGAATCACGCCGCGTCGAACACGAAGTGGCGCGTCCGTGGCCGTCGCGAGATGCGGCAGCAGGTGGAGTCCCTCTCGGGGTTTCTGTCCGAGTCGGACAAGAAGCCGCTGGGGACATCGTCCTAGAGAGGAAGGGAGTGGCGCCCACCGCCATGAGAAGAAGGGGCGGGGGTGTTGCCGTTGCTGCAAGAGCCGCGCCAACGACAAAGCGGTGATGTATGGTTCGCAGTGCTGAGTCTCTGCGGTGCGTGTTGTGTACGAGGCGCGTCAGCGCTGCGGGCGTACGGGGCGGCGGCCCACCAAAACAAACCAAAAAAGGGCAGCTGCTTTTTTTTTTAGCGTTCCGTCAGAGGAAACAATCAAATGGTAAAACTTGTGCGCGGTAACGACAAGGACGCAGCGCACCTTTCTCTTCCTTTATCTTCCTCCTCTTTTTTCTTTTTTTGAAGTAAACGAAGTTTGTTGTGGCGACGTAACTAAGGAAGCGATGGGAGACAAGCCGTGGGGATGTGGAGAAGGCCACGCGGTTGCGCAGGCAACACCGCACCTCCTTTCTTTCCTATTATTGAAGAAAAAGAAAATGCTTTCGTTCATTTGCGCAACCGAAAGCCCTCGGTTATTGTCACTTTCCGTTTTTTCTTTTTGGCGACGCAGTAACGCAGCTGCATTCCATCAAAACGAAGAGAGAAAGAGAGAGAAGGAAAAGCTGAGCTGCCGAAATGAGATGCGTGCTGTCCACCTCCGGGTAACGCTGCCGTATTTTGCCTCCGTGGCGTGCGCTGGCAGGGCGAACCGCAACGGGCGCCTTGTTGTTGTTGTTTTCCCACTACGGATGGGCAACACGCGGGCGGTGTCTCGTGTCTCATCATAATAAGAATAAAGAAAATGGAGCGCGTTGTTGGTGCATAAGCTCTCTGTCTCCTTTCTCTGCTCGCCTTTACCCCTCCTTCCTCTTCTCTTTTCCACTACGCCTCTTAATAATACTAATACTAATACACCGATGCCTCTCTGCGTTTCCAGGGATGTGTACATGGCAGTTCACGTAAGCAGAATTATTTCGTCACTTACACAGACTTCTTAGGAAAAAGAAAGAAACACAGAATTGTTTTTTTATTTATAGTCCCTCCTCTTCCGTTTTATTCGTGTTGACCAGAAAAGAGAAGAGACAGGCAGCGCGGCGTCCAACTGCTACCACGCGCCGTTGTCCACTGTGAAGGGGGAGGAGAAAAAGGAGGATACACTTCTCTTGGATTCCTTTCCCCCCCCCCCCGACTAAAGCCTTCTTCGGAGGTTTTCGTTGGTGTTTTTCGTTTGGTTTTTGATTAGTGTGGTGATTCCTTTCGTGCGTTCGCATATATATACTTTATTGTTTTCTTCCCCCTCCCTCCTCTTGAACCCGTTCACCGTCGTCCTCTTCTCTCTTTCATTAAGGGTGCTGTGGGACTGACCTCGCCTCGTCACGCACACGCACACGCACACGCGCGTACCTGCACGCACGCATCCACGCGGGAAAGGAAAGAAGGAAAAGACGCGTCGCACTCGTCTGGTTTTTCTTTTTTCAGTAAAGCGTCATCCTTTTCGTGTTTTGCTTTCTTCTCCTTTTCTGGCAGGGAGCAGTAGTGCCGCGGTTTGACGCCTCGTTCTTCGCCAATTTCTCGCTCCCTCCCTTCCACTTCTTCGAACTGCGGAGAAGAGTTGTGGTGGCACGCCGGACACGCCGAGTGGAGCCAAACACCGTAAAAGCAGCAGGCAACTCAATACGAGGTGGGCTTACGTAACACTCGAAAACAAAGGTGCATTTCTCATTACAGTGCTTTTTCGTTCTTTTTCATATATAAAAAGAATTATAGATAACTCATTAAGGGAAAAATAATTCGAATAATCGACTTGGTTTAAAGGTTTAAAAGGCATAAGAAAAGGTTTATAATCTCGTTCTGCGTCCGCGTGCAAACGTGTGGGCTCCGAGGCAGCAGAAAGCGATCAAAGGGCTTTGAAGAAAGAAAGAAAGAAAGAAAGAGGAAGAAGACGCACCGCAACCGAACTGCTCACTCGAGATCCTCCCTGTTTTTATTTTCTTTTGTAGTTTGTTTGACTTGTCAAATCGTCTTAACCACCTTTTTATATATGCTTTATTTTTCTTCCTGTTATCTATTCTGATTTAGTGTATTTAAGAAAGGAATAAAGAACAGCAACAGAAACGGCAGTGTCAGCGACCTTTTTTTTTCTTGTTTTCATCGTTGATCGAAACGGCAAAGTCAAGAATACTGTTCTTCACATTTGTTAGGCTTTGTGCCCGTACATTCCCTCGCCCCTTCTTCTCTGTCTTCAACGCTGTTTCTCTTCCAACGCATATTCCAAAACGATCTCAATATTCCGCTTCATCTCTTTGTTTCTTCTATTTTCCTTCCTTGACTTGTATTGACGCACCTTCCTTTTTTCTATATATACACTTTTTGTATTTGCAAGAGTCAGTGCCTTCGTATGGGTGAAGAAATATAGTTATAGAGGAAAGTGCGTGTTTTGGTATTTGTTGACTATTTTCTCCACCTTCTTTACTCTGGCGTGCGTGTACGACCCTGTGTCTTGCTCTATTTACTGCGTAACTCGTGCGAGAAGCAAAGGGATCCGTCGTGTTAGGTTCTCCTCATCATTGTTCAACGCTCTCCGTCTCTCTCTCTTTTTGTTTGTTTCTCTTGCCTTTGTTGTTGTTGTTGTTGTGACGCAGCTGGAAAGGTGCGGCGGCAACGTCTTTTGTTGTTTGTTTGTTTGTTCGCTTCCAAAGCCGGTCCCGTTATCGGCGTGTTTCTTTCTTTTTCTCTTGTTTCACGCGTTCTTCCGTCGCCTTTCGGACTGCGACGTGCGGTGTCAACTTGAAGGAGGAAAAATTTTATTCTTTTTTTGTTCTTTCCCCCGCTGAACGGCCGGAGCGGGGAGAGAAGAAAGGAAGGTGTTGGTGCGCATGATAGCCGTAAATAGCGTAAAAAGAGAAGAAAAAACTTCCTTTTCTGAATCCCGGCTCAGAGCTGCCTCGTACGTGGCGCGTCGTGCGTGATTTCCTTAAACTCAAAGGAAGGAAGAGCTCGGCTAAGGTGCGACGTAAATCGTACTGGCATTCGTTTTATCTCGGATTGCTTGTTTACTGTTTTTGGTTTTATTTCTGTTAACGACGTAAAACTCCCTTCTTTTTTTTCATTCCTCCGTAAAGAAGAGAATAAAGTTAAAGATGGGGGACTTTGAATTGCAGATGCGGGCCCTGCAGTACTCCGCCGAGGCCGGCCCGGCGTCGCACGTGAACGAGGACGCCTTCTCCACCAACGTGGACGCGGTCCACGGCGCAGACAGCGGCGTCGCGGCCCTCGCGGGGCGGCCGACCTTCTTCCCCGGCCTCACCGCCGAGGACGACGACGACGACGAGGAGAACCCGAACGATGTGCTGCTGCGCCTGCTGAATGAGGTGCGCGCGGTGGACAGCGACGTGGAGGCGGACAGCGGCCGCGGCGGCGTCATCGACCGCAGCTCCGACGAGAACGCGGCCGGGGTGCTCTTCTCCGTGACGGACAGCAGCGGTGGGGCGAAGGGGTTCGCCGCGATGTACGGCGGCGCCATTCGCTCGTCAGCGACGGCCACCGCTACGGCGGCGGGCGGCGGCTTCACCGTGGAGGGCAACGCGTCCTACTCCTCGGCGGCCAGCCTGCCGCCACCGCCGCCGCCGCCACCGCCGGCGTACGGCACGCCCAGCACTGCCCCCCGCAGCCCGTTTGTGAACTGCTACTCCGGCATCCCGCACCTAGCCACCACGCCGGCCTCCATCAAGCCGCCACCGCCGTCGTTTGCGGAGGCGATGGCGAAATCTCACGGCACCCCCGTCTCCCTGCCGGGCCGACCCTCGCCGTCGCAGGAGCGCTCACCGGCGATGGCGACGTACGTGCCTCCGATGCCGGCGGCTCCGCAGGAAACGGTGCTGCTGCGCAACGGCAACGGCATCTTCTTACTGCAGCCGCTGTCGAAGCTCACGCCGCCATACACGCCGCCGGCGGGGTGCAACTCGCCGCCGGTGTCGCCGCTGCCGAGGTACTCGCTGCCGCCGGCGGCCGGCATGGCGGGGCCGAACTCGTCCATCACCAGCAACACCTTCCTCGGCACCTCTGTCGCGCAGGTCGGCACCGGGCGGACGGGAGCAGCGGCTGCGGGGCCGGTCAGCGAACCACCGCACTACGCCTCCTACAGCGTCGCAGGCGGGAGCTCCTTCATTGCGTCGGCGCCGCCATTTGTCTCGGCGGTGAGCTCGCTGCGCGGCACGCCGTCGTTTGCTGCGGCGCCGCCGCCGTACACGGGCGGGCTGTGAAGCGGGGAGAGAACGCAAGAAAGCAGAAGAAAATCAAGCTCCCCAAGGTGGGACGCTGGATGTACGTGCACACAGCACTGTGTGCGTGTGTGTGTGGAATACATATTTGGCACGGTGACACGTGAGGTGCGGAGAGAGGGCCACCGCCGTCGCGCCACCTTGCGTGGAAACAAACGCGTTGTTGCCTTCTTTCTTTTACATGCATTTTTTCTTTGTCTTCTTCGTCTTCACTGCTTTTGCTCTTCTGTTTCTCTTTTGTTTTACTGTTGTTCTTGTGTTTTGGGTTTCTTTGTCACGAGCGACTTCATCCGAAAATGAGGTCACTCGCTCTCTCTCTCTCTCTCTCTCTCTCTCTCTCTTCGTTCTTTTCCTTTCCATTCCCGTCTATTTCTCGTTGGTGGTCACACGCAGCTGCTGTCCGCCAATTCTATTTGCGCTGCTGGCGTGCGAGTAAATCCCGTTGCTCTCTCGCCCTCCTCTTCGTGACGCTCGTCGACAAGAGGGAAGAAAAAAGAAAGAGTCAACAAGGGCAACAAAGGAAAAAAAAAACAGCACAATTGGACAGTACGCTTTCCTTCTCTTTCTTGCGTGTGATCACACATAACGTATGTTTCTTTGATGACAGCTGCCGCTATTCATGTATCTGCTTTCTACACACATTTTGGTTTATTTATTCCCACTTCTCTACGCTTTTTTATTGTTAAGTAAGCGGAAGTGCACGGCTTCTGTGCTGGGGAGTCGAAACTTTGTTTTGTTCAGTTTTCTGACTCCACCGTCTCCCTCGTTTTCTAAAAAGAAAAAATATTTGTTTACTGTTACCACCCTCTCTTTTCCTGCGTCCTCTCTCTCCGTTGATGATCTTTTCTTTTGCTTTCTTCGTTTTCCCTCTGTTTGAATATCTCCTGGCGATTGCCAGCACAGTGACTTGGTGCGTTAGTGCATGTGGTGGTGGTGGTGCTCCTCTTAGAACAGACACGGCCATTTAAGCAGTACACATAGGTGTGATTGTGTGTCTGTGTCTGTCTGTGTCTGTCCATGTCCGTCTCTGCGCGTGTGAGGAGGGCAACGGCGTGTGCTGTCTCGGTTTTTCCCTTTTTCTCTTGTTATGTTTCTCCCTTGTTGCCGCTGCGATCGTCGATGTTTTTCTTCTCCTCCTTTTTTCATGGAGGACACGACAGAAAGAAACGTTCCTCCACGCCGTCGTTCTCTCTCCCTCTCTCTGCCTCTCGAACATTGTTTCAAAAGGAAAAACGGAAATGAAGATGTGTGGGACCGCTGGTCCTATCCACTGCAAATCGTTTGCTTGTTTGGTTCTGGTTTGCTGCAGCTGCTGCTGTTGGTGGTCGTTTCAATTCCATGTTCTTTAAGTGTTTTTTTGTAGAGGTCTAAACATGCGTTGACATGAAATCTGTTCCCCCCTCCCCTCGCTTGCTCCTCTCCCTTTCTTTTCCTTTTCTTTCTTCTATTCACCTCCCTGTCCGATGTCGCGTCCGGCTCGAACTGACTCGGTGAGGAGGGGGGTGGGTGGTGGCCCAGCTGAGATGGAGGGCAGCGCCATCATGCAAGCATGGTTTCAATGTTAGCCGTACGAAGAACAGAGGAAGACGGAGACAGGTATGAGGAAGGGGGGGGGGGGGGGGAAAACTGAAGACGACGGCAGAGTTTTAAAAAAAAGAAGCCTATTGCCCACGTACGTTGTTATGATTTCGCTCTCTCTTCTCTTTTCATTTCTATTTTCTGTTATTGTCAGATCGTTTGGATATATCTTCTGTAAACTGTGTGGCGTACGTGTGACGCCTGTGAATACCCAGCGCACGCCTCTTCTTTATTATAATCACCATTTTTTTCTTCTCCGTTGTTTTTTTTAAAGCCTTCCGCCCATTGCGACTTGATTGGGATATCAAAAGAGAAAACAAACAAACATGCATATCTATCTATCTATCTATCTATCTATCTATCTATATATATATATATATATATATATATATATATATATATATATATATATATATATATATATATATATATATATATATATATATATATATATATATATATATATATATATATATATATATATATATATATATATATATATATATATATATATATATATATATATATATATATATATATATATATATATATATATATATATATATATATATATATATATATATATATATATATATATATATATATATACTACAATGATGGTATTAAAGTGTACTAATCCAATGACTTGTGCGTTTAATAATAATAACAGTAAACTCCATCTCCGTAAAAAGAACAGCGTCGAAGCGTTACGCGTTGCGAGGGGCGCTGCGCTCAGCCTACACAACAACAATGCAGAGGAAAAATAGTTCTTTCTTTCCGATTCACGTCTCCTTTTTTTTTTTGAATGAGACAGGGTGAACATCGAACGAGCGTACGAAGACGGTCCAACCCCGAGGTATGTGGTGTGTGCGTGTGCTTCCATTGGAGCAGTATGTGTGGTTTTGCTGTTCTCCTTTGCCATTTGGTATGGCGACAGGACTGCTCTCCATTTACCATCTACAACCTCCATCTTCCTCCTCCTCCTCTCACGCGGGGCGTACGACATCACCATAAACGCGTATACGCGTCTGGGTGTATTTGACTTCTGCCGCGCACCGCCTACACTGCGCATGTGAACTCACCCGATGCTCAGCACAAGAGAGTCAGTAGCGCATGCATACGTGGCTCGCTGCATCGCCCACCCCTACATTCACACATCTCACACAATATATATATATATAGTGAAGAGCGATCTTCATCTCCTTCACGGAACCTTAAGGGCACACACACACAACTTTTTTTTTCTTTTTGCAAGCGCACTTCGTTGTACGTACGCTCTTCGCCTCAAGCAACGTAGATACAACTATATATATTTATATCCATCTTGTTGTTTCGTTGCTCCAGCTGCTGTTTTCCCTCTTCTTTGTTTTGTTTTGATCTTGATGGGCCCAAACCTTTACGCCGGTGCACCGCTGTGATTTTTTCCCCCATCGCTGATCGTAATTTGAAAACAAAAACTTTCTTTTTCTCTTTTTTCTCTTTTCTTTCCAGGTGTGCTTGAAACATTATTTTGTCAGATTCTGGAGATTTTGCTTCCTGCGTGGTGTGTGCGTTGCTCTTCTTATTTTGGGTGAGTCTTCTCTTCTCCTCTCATAACCTGCTCCGTGCGACGCGCATCCCACGGCGGTTCCTCGCCCCAACAACTTATTATTGTCATCATCATTTCAGTCGCCGAGGTTTTTTTTCCTTTTGGCTCCTGCGCTGTCGGAGCGCGCTGACTTCGTCGCCATTCTTTATTATTTTACTGCTCGATTCAATTCCTCCTCTTCTTCTGTTTTACGTGACGTCGCTCCCGCTCTGCCCCGCTGCCCGACATCGCCGCCAGTGAAGGGCCTCGGAATCACGTGAGCGCAGACACACTCACGCACACATACACAGACATTCACAGAAGGAAGAAGGAAAGAAGGATAATACAGACCGTCGCAGGGCGCGGCGTAGCAGGTTGCTCTTTCTCCCATTCAAAAGACGCAGAAAAAGGATTATTTCTGCTGCGGAGGTCGCTGCTGTCAACGCGTGCGAGACGGGTTCCGTTAAAAGATAGAAAACGAAAGGAAGCGTAGTTCGTATCGCCGTCTGCCGCTGCAGCGCTGGTGGGGCGCCTGAGCACATTTTTAGTTTCGTTTTTTCCCCCTCTTTTTCCTGCTGTTGCTTTAGCTGGAAGAGCGCCACGACCGATTTATATTTTTCTCTCCTTCCCTCACCGCGTTCTCCGTAGCAGCATTTGCAGGCCGGCGCTGCTGTTTGAGAGAGCACCAACAGCCAAAGCACGAGCGCGTGATGGAGGCCGCTGCGCCGTTGGCGGGGCCCACCGCGCCGCACTCCCGCACCGCTTCCAAAACCACCATCATCTCCGCCAATTTCACCAGCGTCGGCGAGGCGAACTTGGTCACCGCCGCGGCGAACGCTGTCGCCGGTGAGAAGCCGGTCCCGCTTCACGATAGTACACCACGGCGTCGGCCTTCTTTCATGGACCCGCAGCAGCAGCCGACGCCGCGCGGGTCTCTGCAGTGGCCCTCCAGCCACCGCTCCTTCTCGAGCGCCGCCGCCACCCGCGACAGCTCGCGCCACTCGCAGGCCACGGACCGCGTCAACGCAGGGGGCGGCTTCAACGTGTCGGCGACGGCCAGCGTGCGGGGCCGGGCACCGAGCAGCACTTGCCACACACCAATGTCTTCACGCGACGACCAAAGCGACAACCGTGCCTCGGCCTTGAGCGGCGCCGGTCGTACCGGCACGCGGTGCGGTCGTAGCCTCGGCGCCCTCCCCACCGCCCCTCCGCTGGTGGATGTGGGGGACTCGCCCTCGCAGGGCCCGCAGAGCGCCTCGCACAGCCTCTACACGACCGGCTTCTGCACCCCGCGGGACAGCGCGACGGCCCCCGGTCACGGCCGACATCCGTCGCCCTTCAGCGGGCACAGCATCAGCGCGACGGTGAGCATCGGCGCCGCGAACCTCTCTACGCCGGCGCCGCCGCCTCCGCTGGACGACTTCGAGGGGGAGGCGGCGACCCTCACCCGGGCGGTGCTGGAGGAGAAGGTGGACCAGATGCGCGGCGAAAACCTAGTCCTGCGCACGGCGGTCTTACGTCTGCGGGAGGCGCTGGCCACCTTGCAGGAGGGCCTGCGCGCGAACTACGCCGACATCGAGCGTCGACAGGACAGCATCGCGAATATGCTACTGCGGCGGCTCGAGGCAACGAAGCGGCACCGCGCCAAGCTGGTCGCCCACCTGCGCAACATGGAGCTGGAGAAGGCCTCCCAGGAGAAGAAGCTGCACGACACGAAGCAGAGCATCAAGGATCTGTCGAAGCACCTAAAGCGAGAGGAGCAGGAGATCGCGGAGCGGCTGCAGGGGCGGCTGCAGAAACTACACACCCAACGCGAGCAGCTCGACCGCGTGCTCGCGGAGCAGACGAGCTCCCTGCAGCAGCTGGAGCAGCTCGTGCAGGAGGTGGAGGATATGGGTCTGGGCGAGGGCACGGCGGAGGGCGGCAGTAGCGTGATGGCAACAACCCCGTCTGCGCTGACCACCGCGGATGCATCAACGGTATCGGCAGTACCAGCACCTGCGGCTGCGGTGCCTTCCCTCGCACACGTGGGAGGCGGCGTCTTGGCCACGACGTTCCACGAGCGCAGCAGCAGCCGGGTCAGCGGCGCGAGCTCCAACACGGCCACCACCACCGCCGCCGACGCCGCCTACGACCCGAACGCGATGATCCGCTACCTGCGCGAGGAGATTGCCGCGGCGGAGAGCCTGCGGTCCGATGCGCTGAGCCAAGCTGACCAGTATGTGGCCACTCGCGAGCGGTTAGAGCGTCGACTGAAGCGGGAGAAGGAGCACAAGGCGGAGCAGGAGTCCCGTGCGGAGGCCCTGCGGCAGGAACTGAAGAATGCAAGCACTGCCGTAAATGAGAAGGTTGCGTCGCAGGAGACGGCGCTGGAGATGGAGCTGGACCGGCTCTTGAACAGCTCCCGCATCGGTGGCGACATCATCTCCAGCGCCAGCAGCACCTGCGCAACGCCGAAGTTTCGGGCAGTGAGCGCCGTCGCGAGTCGTGGAAATTCCATCTCCCCGTACATCGGGGGGCTGGCCACACCGGCCGCTGCTGGGGCTGGGGCTGGTGGCAGTGTTCCAGGTGCGGGTGCGGGAGACGACGACATGCGGGCACTACCGCAGCACCCCCCCGACCCCTTCCTGCTGCCCAGCAGCGGTGCGCCTGTGTCGTTCGCGGGGCATATCGATCTGGCCGGCCCGGCCATCCCCTCCTCTGCCGCCGCCTGCCCCATTGGCATGGTAATCGGCGATGGAGCGGCTCTCCGCGCCTCCTCCTCCATCCACATGAACACCTCCCTGAGTCGTGACGAGACGACGGCCTCGTCGGAGGGCACACCGCACGCGACGCGGCTGCTGGTGCAGGACACCGCGCGCATGGTGGCCCCGCGGCCTGTTACGTCGTCGGAGAGTACACCGCGACGGACACCGCTGACCACGCCGCAGCTGAGCACGTCGCACAGTCCGGCGGCGTAAAGCGAAGTTGTTGCTTCTTCTTTTACTATCTCTCTCTTCTTCAATGCGTACGAATGCGCTCACGCACGTGCATGTGTGTGTGGTTTCATTCGGTGTTGGTGGGGGATCGGTGAGAGGGGGTAGCGCCAAATGGCTTTGTTTTACCTCCCTCGTCTCTTCGCCCTTCCCCGTCTTCTTGACTGTGCTGGGCGACAAAGAGCAGTCGCAAAAGGAAGAAGAGGGAGACTTGTGTATAGAGACGGGACACACACACACACAATCAACGGCTCTTAGTAAACGCAGCCGTTCTTGTTATCTTTCCTGTTTCCGCATCGTTCACTGCACACACGCACACCCACACACACAGATGCACAAAAGCGACTTCCTTCTTCTTAACTCCTCTTGCGATCGACTCCTTATTCGGTTTTCTTTTTTCCTTCTTAACGAAGTCGTCGCTAGTGTGCTCGTGCGCGGACCTATCGCCTTTCATTTGTTTTCTCGATACCCGTGCGTGTTTTGTGCGGGTTTCTTTGCCTTCTTCTCTTCTCGTTTTGGCGGCGTTGGTGTATGTTTTCAGCGGTGGTTCGACGAGTGTGCGGAACCCGTTGGTCGCGTCACTGCTTTCTCCAGTGTTGTTGCTGTCGCGGAGGGTGAGGGTGGGGGGAGGGGAGAGCGCAGCGAAGTCGCACGCGCGCCATCCGCATTGCGGCCAGCTTGTGTTTCTTTTGGAAAGAAATGGTCTTCATGCGCGTGCGTGCGTGCGCGAAGATGATGTTAACTTTTCCTCTTCTCCTCCTGACCGTTCCTTTTCTTTTTTTTAAAGTTCTTCTTCGCATTCTTATGTTGTTATTGTTGTTGTTATTTGCTGGCGGTGGGCGTAGATTCCTGCGCGTGTGCCGTGACACGGGGGGACTGGACTCGCTCGATTCTGTGATGAAAGGAAAGAAAGAAAAGGAAAGAGAAGAAACACAAACAGTCGTAAATGTGCCTTCGCGGTGGGATCTCAAAAAAGGAGGTGCTCAAGGGGGGTAAATTTCTTATCACCGAGGTCTACCCTCGAAATGTGCTGTCTCGTGTCAGCGCCGTCGGTGGCACCGAGTACAGCGTTGGTTCACCTCTTGCGAATGAGACGCAAAGAGGAAAACGCAAAGGCGCTTCTGCAAACATGAGCCGTCGCCTTCATGCGCTGCGAAGCGCACTGAGCGCGCCTCCGGACTGTCTCTTTTGTTTGTTTCCTTCTTCTTTTCTTCGTTGAGGTTGCAGCGGAACACCGCGATCTCCTGTTGTTATTGATATGTCGCTTTCTGTTCTTCTTTTGTTTCCTACGCCACATCCACCTCTTCTCTCTCTCCCCCCTCCCCACCTCTCTCTCTCTCTTCTCTCTCGCCTTCATTATTATTATTATTATTTTCTTCTCGTCCATTACAACGACATATCTGCTTCGATGACGCGCCGCTCTCGTTGAACAGTCCCCTCCTCTGCATGCCCTCCCTCCTTTCTCCCTCTCTTCGTGTACTTACCCTCTGCTCTACATTTGGTTTGTTTGTGTGTTGAGAGAGGAGTAATGAGTGGGTGAGCAGAGTACGTCGCGTTGTTTCTCTGTTCTCTCTTGCGTTCCGTACGCCCACAGCACAGCACGACTCAACTCAGCAGCGTTGTTTCCCGACAGCGTCGGCTGCCGTCGTCGGTCACCGGACATCACGCAGTTTCAATAAGTCAACTCGTTTCTTTTTCCTCCGTTTAACATCCGCGCGAACACGTCTTCGGCATAGATTTTGCTGCGATTACTTCTGTTAGTTGATCGACGAGAGATTCATTTCTTTCAGTTGTCTGCATCTGTAGTGTGTGTGTGTGCGTGTTACGACTGTTCACTCCTCATTGACTTTGTTCGCATTGAAGCCCTAACTTGTCTTGTGAGGTTGGGCCGCGCGGCGTCTCGCTCCACTTCTTTCTTTCCATTTCATTTCCGTTTTTTTTTTCATTGTTATTGCTGTGGAGATTGTTGTTTAGACGCGCTCACCATGAAGGGACACATCAGCGTGCGCAAGACTGTCGGCGGCGTCAGCCGTCTCGCGCTCGCCGTGTGCCTCGTCGTGCTCGTGATCGTCTTCGTGACCGCCTACGGTGTGGGCACCAGCACCGCCAACCCACGCAAAGCTCGCCTAATGAGCACGAACATTCGTGTGCTGAACCAGAACAAGGTGGAGTTGGAGAAGTGTGATCAGATGCGAAAAACATACTTAAACGGCGACAAGCTCACCAACGCGCAGCTCATTGCGAGTCTGCAGGAGCGAGAGGTGGCGGCGAAGGAGGCGCTCAAAATGGAGAAGGAGCGGGAGGCCTCGATACGCTCGGTGGTGCAGCGGTGCACCGATGACGTTGATACGCTACGCAAGAAGGCCTTCGGCGCGACGGCGAAGAACATCACGGCCTACCTCGCCGAACTCGAAACGAGGCGGGTGGGGCTGCTAGATCAGCTAGAGTCCCTCACCAACCTAAAGGAGATGCACCGCCGCAGCGACCTGATAACGCTGGAGAAGGCGTTGGTGCAACAGTTGACGGAGGTGAACCGACAGCAGCTCGTCACAGACCGCGTGTCGGCGTGTGCGAAGTCGCCCGTGAAGTTCTCCGTCGTCTTTGACATCGGCAGCTCCGGCAACCGCGTGCACGTCTACAAGTACTCAGTCAACGCGGCCACGCAGGACGCGACGACGGCGACGCCGTCGGTGAACGCGCTGGCGACGCTCCCCACCACGACGAGGCCGCGTGACATACTCAACGAAATAAAATTGGACGAGGAGCTCTTCCGGTACAACTACGACGCGTTGACGAAGCTGCCGAACCCGGTCGCGGACGCACCGCGTGCACTGCGGAAGCTCTTCGACGCGGCCAAGGCGTTCGTGCCGCAGGAGCAGCACGTCTGCACACCGGTGGAGTTCAAAGCCACCGCCGGCCTGCGCAGCGTCGGCGCCGATACGGCGACAGCGACGTTAAGTGCGATTCGACAGGCGTTCCTTAATGAGTCTTTTTGGCTGCGCGGCAGCGCCCCGGTGCGCATGCTGGACGGCAAGGAGGAAGGGCCGATGGCGTGGCTCACAGTAAATTTTCTTTTGGGTTCGTTTGACGGGCACCGCAGCGGCGGCAGCCGCAGCAACTCCACCGTCGCCGTCATCGATCTAGGTGGAGGCTCGACGCAGGTGGTGTTTGAGCCGCACGAGGCAGCGTTTAACACCGTGCCGAGCCATCAGCAGTTCACCGCACAGTTCGGCAGCCGTCCGGTCCGGGCCTACCAGCACTGCTACGAAGGCTTCGGCCTGCACGCCGCCACCCGCGCGCTGCTGTACAGCATTCAAGGCAAGTTGCCGGCCAAGCCGTCGACGACGACCACCACCGCGGCACCCACTGAACAGCAGCAGCAGCACGGTGACATGTTCAACGCTCTATTCGGCGGCGGTGGCGGAGCGGGGGAGCGAAACGACGGCAACGGAAAAAGGACGGAGCGCGACGGCGACGACGGCGCGATCGAGGAAGCCAAAACCGGCCCGTCGCCGGACCCGATCGCGGTGGTGGCCTTTCCGTGCTTCGCCGCCGGCTACACCGACCCGCTTGGCGTGTCGAACACAAAGCCATCGACAACGGTGGAGGGGACACCGGTGTCGGGCCCGAACTTCACTGCCTGTGCGAACTTGTTCCGCGATCGGCTGCTGAGGCCCGTGGGGGAGTCGTGTCCGACGGCACACTGCGGGATCGGCCGAACCCACCAGCCCCCGCTCGAGCAGTTTGCCGGCGACATCTACGTCATCTCGTTCGTTTTTGATCTGCTCGAGGCCGCCAATGCCACCTCGCTCGCCGTGTCGCCCGATGAGTTCGCGGTGAGGCTGGCGGACGTGGAGCAGATCGGCGTCCGTCGTTGCGCGGCGCTCACGTTGGACAGCATAAAAACGGCGACGGTTCGCAGCAGCCTCCAGCCGGTCTACGACTGCATGTACTACGCGTACAGCTACGCTTTGCTGAAGTACGGCTACGGCATTCCGCAGGACCGCTCGCTGCATGTGGTGAAGAGAATACAAGGCTACGAGATGGCGTGGACGTTGGGTGCGTCGTTGATCTCCATCGCCTAGTCATCGACGTGACCTTGAATGTGCGCATTGTAGTTGTTGTTGCCGCTGCTGCTCATTGATCGTCGTCGCTGTTTACCGCTGGAGTTCTTTTATATCTAAAACTGTATACGTAAGGCATCGCACCTCTGTGCGGGTTTTCATTTCCCTTTCTTTTCTTGCTCTCGGCGCTCTCCGCCCGGTGACGCCGCCCACTCCCGAGTCGCATCGACGTCAAAAAGCGCGCCTGATATTCTAAAGCGAACTCACAGTAAATGTTGTTACTGCCATAATAATTATTATACTCGAAATCGGAACGTATTCCATTCGCCTCGATTGGGTCCCGCGACTTTCTGCAGGTGCGTAGAACAATGGCGACGGGCTCGCCTTCTTTGTTGTTGATGTCTGTTTTTTCCCCTCTCTCTTTCTCGATCTCTCTTTCGAATGCCGTTGCTGGATTGGCGCTGGATGTGACGGCGCCCGCCGCTGCGCAAGACCCCTTTCTCATCTCCGTTGCTCCCCTCTCAACTCTCACGATTGCCTTTTCTGAACTACCACCCTTCGTACAAGCACTACAGCTTTCTCCCCTTGAAATCAAACACAGCCATATATATATATATACGCACGAACGCAAACAAACACAGATCGCTGTCTTTCGCCGTAGCATCACGAGCTCAACCCCACACAGCCCGCACGACACACTATTGGATTGACGGGCGACCCTGTTCCGCAGCGCTGCTCTCTTTGTTGCTGGCACTCACGCACGCGTATCGAAGTACATTGAAGTGTTTCGAGTACCCGTGCTGCTTACCGCCGTTGACGTCACAGAGCCGGTTCAAGAAACGCGTTCTCAAGTTGTCTCTTCGGTATTCTTTATATTCTTGATGTTTTGTTGTTGTTGTTCTCTCCATTTCTGATCACCACAGTAGAGGACTGAACGAGAGAGAGAGAGCGAGCGAGCGAGAAGGTTGTATCGCTTCCCATACAGCGCCAGTGTGTTAGTTAAACCTGCCTTTTTCTGTTTTATTATTATTGTATTCCTCCCTTCTCCCGCGTCTCTTTTTGCGTGCAGTGAAATCTCCGAGTGACCAGCCAAGGTCCCCGCGCCTTTTCTTTTCCCGCCATCTTTATTCTTCTTCTTGTTTTTTGGCAGTTGTCTCTCTGCCTTTTACTCCTCCTTGCTACCCTGGACGTGTGAACCTTTCCCTTCACCGTACTGACCTCCCTCCCCTCCCTACTTTTGCTGTTGTAGCTCTCCCCTTCGGTACTTGTTTGCCTCCTCACGATGCTCGTCGCCCCCTGCCCCGCCGACACCTTGCTGGAGGGAGCAGACTCGGTGGACCTGGCCATCGAGCAGGCCCTTGAAGACGGCTCCAACACCTTCTTTCTGAGTCACCGGCACGAAGGTGGTGACGTGCCGGCGAACATCAGCCTCCTGCGCAACCAGCTGGAGGTTCTCCACGTGGACAACAACTACAATCTAGCGGCCATCTCACCCCGTATTACGGCGCTGTCGCGGCTGCGCTGGTTGAATGCGTGCTACGGCGCCGTGACCAGCATCGACCCCACCATCAGCCGCCTCTCTAAGCTGCAGCGACTCACGTTAAACAACAACCGCCTGACGTGGCTGCCACTGGAGATGTGGCAGCTGAAGGAGCTGGAGGAGCTGGACCTGGGCAACAACAAGTTGCGTGTCCTTCCTGGCTGTCTCTTGTTTCTACCGAATCTGCGCGTCGTGACGCTGGAGAACAACCCGCTGCTGAAGCGCGAGGAGGTGGAGGGGGGCGCGGCCGCCATGTTCGTCCCACCGCAGCGCAGCGTCGACTGCAGCGGGTGCTGTGCGCGCACCAGGCACTACGAGGTGTTCATCACGTTCCACAAATTCCTCGGTGAGCGGGAGCTACCTTTTGTGCACTTCGCGTGCTCCAGCGAGTGTGCGAGCCACGTGCGTACCCGCCTGCAGCGCTACGACGCATCGCATGTCCAAGCGAACTCCAGCGAGTAAGACAGGTTGTTGGTTTTGCTGCCGGCGTCTCATCACGTCCGTGATACCTCTGTGTGCCTGTGTGAGTGTCGGAGAGGGCCACCCGATGTTAAATTCTTCTTCCTCTTGTTATCTCGTCCTCACTGTATATGGAACAGACTCCATTTATCTTTACTTTTTTTTTCCCTCTCGCTCTGTCAACCGTGGATAGCGCGTCCCCTCAACAGGTCCCGCGCCAAGTCGCTTCCCCACGTAAACTCTGTATGTAGCGATGTATTCTACAACTTGGAAACCGTCACGTGCGCTGTATCTTCTCTTTCGCGTTTCTTCTTCATGAAAAACAAAAATTTCTCCTTTGTGTATGTCTCTGGCGTCTCTGTGTGTGTGTGTGTGTCGGGCGGCTACGCCGTGACTCTGCTGCAATTCGCTTTCTTTCTTTCTTGTTTTCTTCCTTTACGCCGCGAGAGACCCCGGCTGGAGCGCGTACATCGGAGTCGCCGTGCGTGGCGTCGCTTGGTTTTCGTTTTCTCTCTGGTATTCCTACCATTGTCATCCTCCCGAGCGTGCTGCTGCGCGTGCTGGAGCCGCTGTGGGAAATCTTATGTATCATAATCAGGAACGAAGGAACGTACAATGAAGAAAATGGATGAAGAGGACGAGAGACGATGCTTTCTTTTTTTTTTTACGGTAACGTGCGTAGTAAAAGCAAAGCCTGCCTTGCTGCGAGATGGCAATTACTATTATTATTATTGTTACTATTGTTGTTATTACCGAGAAGTCATCGCCTTCTTTTGCATGGAGCAACGGAAAGGAAACCGACAACGGCGCTCGCCACTTTGAGGCCCATCAGGAATCAGACATTTCTTCCTGGGCCTGATTTGTTGCTGCTGCTGCTCCGGCGCATAAGTCCGCTTTTCTCTTTTCCTCTGCTGCTCTGTTTCTCTCTCTCTCTGTCCTTCTCTGTGCGATGTCGGCGTTTGCATGTGTTATCCACCTCCCTCTCTTGTATTCTGTCTTCCCCCATCCGGCGCTGTACTCGGCTCTCCACGCGCGCCGACCGCACTCGATAGACAGCGCCTCCCCTCCCATAGAAGCGTCACAGAGAAGCCCCATCGCCTTCTCTTTCTGTTGTTGTTGTTTTTGTGGGTGTTCTTTGGTAGATGATGAATGCGGATGAGAGAGGAGCGAGAGAGAGTCGGTACAGCCACACTGCACTTAAGCGCCTACTCATTCGCATATATATAACACTGATCGTGGCTACTTGTGATTCTTCTTCCTGAACTTAAAAAAGAAACGTAGAAAGTTGGGAAAAAGGATGAGCGCGCCGGTGACGGAGAATGAGCTCTTCACCGCCTTGCGCGGTTACGCCTCCACGCTCGAGGTGCAGTTCATGATCGAGGAAGGACTGAAGAAGTTCCAAGAGAAGACGCTGCCACGGCTGCTGGGCAATGCGGTGGGCTGCGCCGGCGCCAGTGCCGAACAACGCCAGGAGCAGAGCCTCTCTCATACAAGTGCGAGCGGAAATGCGAAGCCTCACGACGAGTCCGCCCCTACGAGCTCCCTTCTCACTTCAACCGCCACTTCTTCCTCACATCCTGCTGCTGCACAGCCGCTCTCCTCCGGTGTCCAGACACGCCGCAGCACCGGACACGGAGTGGGTCCAGACGTTCCTCAAGGCGCACGTCGACGACACGGTGGCACGTCGGCTGCCCACGATGATCGCACAGGAGGTGCGGCGACAGCTGCGGGGCGTCCACCCGGTGGCGGTCGCCGCTTCTTCTTCTTTTTCGCCTTCGCCTTCGCCGTCTTCCTCGCCACCGAGGGACGGTGGGCGGGTGAGGGCCGCCAGCACTGCGACTGGCACCATCAGCAGTAGTGGCAGTAACGGCGGTGGTGCGGTGGACTTGCGCGCCGCGGTAGGGCTGCCGCCTCTCCCTCCTCCACCGCCGCCCGCAAACGCACTCGACGACGAGATTGCGGAGAAGAGAGCAGCGTCGTCATCTCCATCCTCCCATATTCCCTCCCCGGCGGACGAGGCACGGCGCCAGCGGGCGCAGATCCTGTCCGCCATCGAGGACATTGAGCGACAGGTAAACGCACTGCAGCGCACCGTCGATCAGGCGGCAGACGACGGCGATCTTCGACGACGCCGGTGGGCGTGCCTCTGTGCGGCCCTCGACACGAGAATGAAGGCGTCGCTACGAGCGGACCGCAGCAAGGAGGTGGCGGGCAGCCCCGTAGTTGCGGCAGAGCAGGCGGAGCTGCCCTTCCACCTCCGACTGGAACACTTGCTAGACCTCAAAGAAGAAACGGCGCTGTTGAGCACGCTGGAGCGGGTAGTGGGGTGTCTACTGCCAGCAACAGCAACTTCAGCAGCAAATGAAGGCGGTGCCTCTGCGACCGCACGGCGCAACCCCGTGACGTCGCCGGTCAACACGGACCCGATGCACCGACCTGTGCGATCTCTCTCTCACTTTTACGGTGAAGGGGCCACCGCCTCTCCGGTGTTGCCGACACAGCAGCTGAACTACGCCGAACAGCATCCGCATCCGCAGCAGCAGTTTTCTTCTCTGTCGCCGTCGATGCCGTCACCCATCGGACCTGCGCCGCCGAGCAGCGGTGAGCCGCCGTCTCCGCAGCCCGTCGCACCGTCCGGCGCCACACGCGGCCTTCACCCTCGGGTTGTGCCCCCCAAGCCGGAAGCAACGTCGACCGCGACAGCGGTCCTCTCCGAACCACAACCGCGGCCACCACTACAGCATGGGAATGTGAGCAGAGGTGTTCGATCCATCACCACCAAAGGCGCCGTCGTCGCCGCCTCTCCGCCCTCCGCGCCCTCCAACGTGAAGAGCCCCTCGACGTACGCGAGCGACGCCCCAGCCAACGTATCCTCGATTTCCGACTTCGACGGCAGCACGCGTCCGAACGGGCTCGGTGGCACCGCCGTGCGCCGGCCGGTGCTGGCACCGTACGAGTGTGTGGACTCGACAACAACGCGCGACGGCACCGGACGGGTGCAGACGGACGACCGCCACCGCGCAAGACGAACGGCTTCGGCCGGTGCCTCCCTCGCCCCTCGCACAGCAGGGACGGCGGGACCTCCCGCACAGCCGTCCGCGCACCGCGAAGCGACGACGTTGCACCAAGGTCCACTGGCATCGTCGCACGCGACGGCGGCTACACGGAGCATCACGCTCGGGATCGATGCCGTGAACGTCCCCGCCGGGGTGCTGCCCGACGCGTTGGACCGGCACGGCGCCGTTCGCGTGCAGTCCGTTGCGCCTCATCAGCTCGCTGAGAAGGCCGGTTTGTGCCGCGGTGACATTCTGCTGTCGGTTGACCGTCGAGGCATACAGAGTTGTGAGCAGCTGCGTGATGTGCTGACGGCGGTGCCGCCCACACAAAGCAGTCTTGCCGTAGAGCTCTACCGCCACACCGCACACCAGATCATCACAGTGCTGCTGAAGCTCTAAAAAAAAAGGAAAATACTGAAGAAAGAGAGAGAGGTGGAGGGAAGGGGCCTGCCGCTTCTCTGACCGCCGTGGCTTAGACACAAGGGAAACTTGTTATCGGTCACACTAGTAGGGGAAAGATTCGCAAGGCATGGGCACATGTAAAGGAGGAGGGGGTGCGTCTTACCTAGCATTGCTGTCAACTACTCATACGCAATCCCAACATCACCGGCAACGGCAAAGAAATCGTCTGCGTTTCTCGTGTAACCGCTCTGTTGTGCGCGTATCGTCGCACGGTTGTTGAGCGCCGCTTCAACTGTCGCCGTGCCGGTGGAGCAGCGGAGGTGTGCCTGAAGCAATCGAGGGAGGCACCACAACTGCTGAATCGATGGGCTGATGCTGACCTCTTCAACTTACCTCCCATCTGTTTTCCTTTCATCGGTCCCTTGCTCATGGATCTCTCTCTCTTATGTCTATGTATGTATACTCTCTCTTCCTCCCTCCCCATCGCTCCGGTAGAGGTCCACACGACAGCAACAGCACAACCGAAGGACAGGAAATTGTCGTTCGCCGCATCGATCATCGCGCCGAGCGCACACCTCACACCTCACAGATCACAGATCACAGACACACACACGCACAAAGACTGGCAGCCATGCCAGTGGCGAAGAAGGAGGTAAAGCCCGAGGAGCCCCTCTTCGTGGATGAGATGGGCAGCTACGTGCACGAGGCAGAGCAGGCGAAGTACAAAGGCGGCGTCCGTCGCTACACCCAGGCCGACGGCGGCGGCAGTCCGCCAAACCCGCGCTCGAACTCCCCCTCCTCGAGCCTCAAGGCCGCTGGTGGGTCTCCGTCATCGATGCTGTCTGGCACCTTACGGAACGGCTCCGCTGCGGCGGCCGCTTTGTCCGGCAGTCAATCCACAGCGGCACCGGGCAGCAACAGCGTGGCTGCCGGTGCTGGCGGCCCGCTGTTGTACCGCCACGGCCGGGGCACCTACACCTGTCCGTACTTCATCTACGAGGGAGATTGGGAGGAGGACGAAATGCACGGCATGGGCCAGCTCACCTTCGCCGCCTCGGGCAACACCTACACCGGCGCCTTCTCGCACGGCTGCTTCTCCGGCCAGGGTGTCTACCGGTGGCGCGACGGGTCGGTGTATGAGGGGCAGTGGCGGGCCAACCGCATGCACGGCGCCGGCGTGTACACGGACGCGCAGGGCCACATCTGGAAGGGCAAGTACTTCAGCGGCACCGGGCCTGGTCTGGTTCGGCTGTACCCAACGCTGGAGCGCGTCGACGGCGTAGCAGCGGTGGAGGCCACCGCAGCGGTCACGACAGCCGGCGGTGCAACCGATGGTCGTGTTGTCAGCATTTCTGTATAGCGGTGCTCCGTATAGTGGGAAACAACAATGTTCGTTTTTTCTTCTTATTCGCCGTTGATGTACATCGTAGGGCGGGCTGTGCGGCGCAGCACCGGACCGAGACCAATTCCAAAAGACCAAGGAGAGATAACTTAGTGGGGCAGTAAGGATGACAAACAAAAAGGTACGGTTTGTCCAGCCGCACGCAGTCCTCACACGAGACCGCTTTCCAACTCGCACACGCGTAAGAAAGCGCCGTTGATGGCGATACGGTTGCTGCGGTGTGTGTGTGTGTGTGTGTGCCCCATGGGTTCATTTTGTGTGTACCATTGTTCTCTGGGGCACTCCCGTGCTTCTCCTTTCCTTCACCGCTCTTCCTGTCCCCGTCGTTCCTTTGGTGGGCTCTCTTGCTTCAACCCGGCGCGAAAGCACCGGACTTGGAAAAGCGCAACGTCATCTCTCTTCTTTTGATCTCCACTCTGTTTTATTTCGTGTTTACTACGGGGTGCGCCAACGGCGTTTGATTCACCGCCTCGCTGGCATTCGCAATTCAAGAAGAAAAGGTAAAGCGGGTTAGCAAACGACGCCCTCCCTCCCTTCTACCCTTCCACTTCTCTCTCGCTCGTGACTTCACATAAATTTCGGTACTTCCTTTAGCTTTACGACGCCGCCTATTACTATTACTATTATTATTGTTGTTGTTACTACGAATCCTATTGAGGTGAAAGTTTCTATTCCTCTTTGCGAACGATTTCCAGCCGAGTGTATCGAGAGCCTGACTGAGCCACAAAAACCCCAGAGCATAAAACTCTAACAACAACAACAAACCCGTTATACGGTGCCCTCGGCATTCCATCAAGAAAAAGAGAGGGACGTGATATTAGATGCTGGATTGCTGTCGAGCAAGTAAGTAAACACGCCACGCACCCACCTACGCACGCGCACACACACACACGGTCACTCGTACGCATTCATTTCATAAAAGAGAAAACACTTAAAGCTTTGCTGCTTTCTTTTCTGTCTTTGCCTCTCTCCTCACATAGCCGCACTGTTGTGTTGAGGGCCTAGTTCAAGAGCTATTATTGAATCTATCTATATATATATATTTCCTTATCATATACACCGTCTATATTGTTATCATTATCTGCAGATCACGTCCACGCTCCCATCGATCTATTCAAGCTCTCTTCGCTGTTCTTGTTCTCTCTTGCGTTGCAGCCCACACGCACGCACCGCAGCCACAAAGCCCCAAACAGCAATAGCAAAAAAAAAAAGAGAGAGAAGCGAGCTAAAGCCGCAACAGCCGCAATGCAGGCCAAAGGCGAAGCCGCGATGCGCGACTTGATCGCGGAGCTGCACGCGATGCACTCCCCCTACACCGCCCAGCGCTTTATCAGCAGCGGCAGCTACGGGGCGGTCTGCGCCGGTGTTGATCGCGATGGTCTGCCGGTCGCCATCAAGCGGGTCTTCAATACCGTCTCGGACGGCCGCACGGTGAACATCCTCTCCGACTCCTTCCTGTGCAAGCGCGTCCTGCGCGAAATTCGCCTGCTGAATCACTTCCGCCACCCCAACATTTTAGGCCTGCGCGACATCTTCGTCCACTTTCAGGAGCCGGCGCTGCACAAGCTGTACCTCGTCACGGAGCTGATGCGGACAGACTTGGCACAGGTGATTCACGACCAGCGCATCGTCATCTCGCCGCAACACATTCAGTACTTTATGTATCACATCCTCCTCGGCCTGCATGTCCTGCACGAAGCCGGCGTGGTCCACCGCGACCTGCACCCCGGCAACATCCTGCTGGCAGATAATAACGATATCACAATCTGCGATTTCAACCTCGCTCGCGAGGACACGGCGGATGCTAACAAAACGCACTACGTCACGCACCGCTGGTACCGCGCACCCGAGTTGGTGATGCAGTTCAAGGGCTTCACAAAGCTCGTCGACATCTGGTCCGCCGGCTGCGTCATGGCGGAAATGTTCAACCGCAAGGCGCTTTTCCGCGGCTCCACCTTCTACAACCAGCTGAATAAAATTGTCGAGGTGGTCGGCACCCCGAAGATGGAGGACGTCACGATGTTCAGCTCGCCCAGCGCACGCGATTACCTGCGCAACTCACTCTCAAACGTCCCCACGCAGGCGTGGACCTCCGTCGTGCCCACCGCCGACCCCGTCGCGCTCGACCTCATCGCGAGGATGCTAGAGTTCAACCCCGGCAAGCGCATCAACACGGAGCAGGCGCTGCGGCACCCCTACTTCGAGTCCCTCTTCGACCCGCTCGACCTGACCGAGGGCCTCAGCGAGCACTTCCACTTCGACGAGTCGGTGACGGATGTGCGGGACATGCACGTGATGTTCATCGCGGAGGTGGATCGCTTTAACGCGCTTCGGCAGCAGCGCGATCAGGTGGCGCGCGAGCGGGCGGCGGCGGCGGCGCAGCATCAGGGCGAGGGCGTGCTCGGTGCTGACCACATGCCCCGCACGCACAGCCTGATGGAGGTGGCGGGCAGCGCACCCCCGCCAGCGTAACGAAAGAAAACGGAAAGGAAAAGAAGCGGAATGACGCTCTGGTAGGATCTTCTCCTTTCCTTTGTTGCCTTTGTCGCTGTCGTTCTGCAGTTCAACAGAGGTGTGTGTGCCCACGCGGTACAACAGTTCAAATTCGCGCTGCTTTCTTCTGTGGAGTGGAGGAAAAGAAAACGTGGTGGCGCAACTCCGAAGGGGGTGTGTGGACCGCGAAGAAACAGGCATCTGGACCTCTCTGCCGGCTTTGTTTGTTTGTTTGTTTTGATTGTTTCTACCTCGTTCGCTCTCTTTCTTTTTTCTTCTTTTTTTAGATAGGAGGATAGATCGGCTCGCTTATGCATTTCCACTATCTGCTTGCCACGCTTAATGACCCCCCCCCCCGTCCGTCCTCTTCTCCCTCTTCTTCGCTTCTCTCTTCGATCTCACAGTTTTTTGTGTTGTGCTAAGCTGGTTTTTCTCCTGTTTTTTTTTCTTCTTCTTCCTGCTTAGCCGATACGCGTTGTTACCCGTTGAGTCGTGCTGCCCGCACTGCGGATGCTTGCTGCGCGTGATGTGCCTCCACTTTCCTTTCCGGGACTTCTTAAAGTCGCACGCACCATTCGAAGCTCCCTTTGCTGTCTCAGCTCCTTCTCTTTCTCTTCTTTCGCCTCTTTGACTTTGTTTCCCTCCCACTGTGGCCGCTACTCCTCCACTGCGCACGTGTGCCTCTTCACTGATAGCGATTATGGTAATAAACTGGTTTTTTAATCTCTTCTCAAGACAACAGGCGAAAAATGTACATGTATTTTGTGTTCCGCAACGTTGAGGTGCGTTCTGTTGTTTACCATATTTTTTTCTTTGTTTTTTGCTTTAGTACTTACAGAGCACGCGTGTCAGCCGAGGATGCAGGAGAGCGATCGCACAGGTATCTATTGTTGTTATTATTGGGGTGGGTTGACCCATGTTGCTGTATGGGATGATGCGTGGAGGAAGTGGGAGAGAGTGTGTGTGTGTGAAGGAGAAGAATGGAGGGAGGCGCCTGACGAAGCGAGAGGACCCCGCAGCGATGTGGAGCGCGTATCTTGCCGAACGAATATACATCTCTGCTTTCCAGCGCTTCTCTTGCTATCGTGTGTGTGTGTGTGTGTGTGTGCGCATCTCAGTCAATTTACATACATACACATACATGTCTTTCAGGTTTCGATCTTTCCATTCCTTCTTTCGTTAGCTTTTTTTGTCTTCTATTCTTAGCGGCTTTTTTCTCTTGTCAGTTCTGTTTGTTTTGCGTATGTGGGTGTGGGTGGGTGGGTTCCTCGACGGATTCGCTGGACTCACGTGTATTCGTGTCTGCCGTCTCGCGCGGGTAACAAACGGACACGCAGTTGGACGGAGTGCCCTTCTCCCCTCGACGAGGTGAGACGACAGACTCCATTGCTGCCTCAAAAACGAAAGCAAAAATGTGTAGAAGTCGCGCCTTCACGACACACAAGGTGCGACGCGCGCCCCTCCAAAAAAAGAGAAAGGAAAAGAAGATAGTAGACGTGAAGCGAAAAGAAAGAAGCGGTGTAACACGTTTTCTGCTGTTGCGCGCTATCGAGGGCTTTTTGACACCGCCGCCCACGTGCTTCTCCGCCACTGCACAGGTGCAGATACATATATCTTCTTCTTCTGTTGCTGCTGCTGCTCGTACCTACACAGAGTGACCATCGTTGCTTTGCCCTGGTTGTGGATGTGCTTCCGATGCCTTCGTCACGCCCGCGTACCACGCACCGACAGGAGAAGAAAGGGGAAAGGGGAAGGCCCATCGCGGCGGTTTTTGCCCCGCTCGCACTGGCACACTCGCACCTACGCGCATTACACGGAGGAGGAGGGGGAAGAAGCGGAAATGCAGCGTCTTCATTTTATTTACCTTTATTGCGCTCTCTTTCTACTGCCCTTTCTCTGTTCGTGTGGCACTCCGAACCCCCCCCCCCTCCACCGCATTCCTCAGTCCGAGCTCGCGCACGTTACGCCAGCTACCAGATTATACTCAAACCACACAAGACACATAGGAATTGCTTCTTCTTCTCGTTTTCCGGTTGTTGTTATACCCGTCACATCACAAGAAACAATCATACCTTTGGCTTTAGCATATTTATACATACTCTCGTGTACTTCCACTTGCAACTACAGCAGACAAACGGAAAAGAAAAGGAGGTTTCATAGTGTACACAACCACTTCTTGTTGCTTCTTCCTTTTTCCGCTCTCTTCTCGATTCAAATACCCGTTTCAAATACAATACAGGAAAGGAACATCATGTCGGACATCGTCGCAGACCTCGCAGTGCCAAAGGACGCGCACCATGGCGACGCCGCGATGGAGACGACGAGCAGCGACGCGTCCTCCGTGTCCGACGTGGTCGGGGAGGTCACCGCCTCCCCGCGCAATCCGGCCCCCGCCGCGTCTGCCGCGCCGAAGGCACCGGACACCTCCGTGATGGAGCTGCACGAAGATGAGACGCAGCCGCCACCGCCGACCCAACCGCTCGCCACGGCGGCCAGCACGGCGCAGTTGGAGACGCCAAACAGCGGCATCTGCTGTCAGTGCGGGCAGCCAATGGGCAGCACCAAGGGCGCCACGACGAGGGACGGACCTTTGCACCCGCAGTGCATCGCCGAGTACAAGTTCCTGCACCAGCCGCGGTGCAGCTACTGCAACATTCGCTTTCACGATGATGAGATGCAGACCTTCGTGAAGGACCCAGTGACGGGCGCGCTCTACCACCCGGACTGCCGCGCCCGCGCGGAGGCCGGCACGCCGTACGTGCTGCCCACCAAGGAGGGCGAAGTGCGCAAGTTCGCGATTGCGCGGTCGCGTCTGTCGCGGCACAACTGGAAGTCGCGGTACTTCGTTCTCTCCCCGGCCAACGGCGGCATTCGCTACTACGCCAACCAAGCTTCGGCGACAAATGGAGGCGGCGGCGGCGGGAGCAAGAAGGGCGGCGATGCGGAGAGTGACGGCAGTGCCAGCTACGACGCCGACGCAGACCCCGACCGCGAGGCGCACGAGGCGAAGCGCGCGAAAGGTTTCGTGCCACTCAACCGCCGCAGCCGCCTGCTGACGCGGCCGGACATGTCCAACTACAAACCCTCCTCCTCCGCCGCGTCGGCGATCGACATTGGTATTATCTTCTTCGAGTCGCCGGAGAGCAAGAAGGAGCTGCGACTCGTTTTTAAATGCGACAGCGTCGAGGAGCGCAGCGCGTGGATTAAGGCGTTGGAGGCGTACATCGACACCGTGGATGATCCGGCCGACTACACGAACGCCAGGGCTGCCGTGAGGGAGAAGGAAAAGGCGAAGGAGGCGAAGGAGGCGAAGGAGGAGGCGAAGGAGGAGAAGGAGAAGGAGAAGGAGGAGAAGAAAGAAAAGGCGAAGAAGTAACGGAAAAAAGAAGGGCGATCTCAAATGAGTTGTTTTGAGCAATGAAGCCCCTCCCAATTACTTCGCCTTTTTCTCTTTTTCTTCTCTTCCCCCCCTTAAAACTGGCGAAAGCGTCTCTTTGCGCGCCCAACGGGTGTGAAGGTGACAACTTCGTGCGAGAATGGAAATATATATAAGGGAGGCGGAACGAGAAGTGTGTACGGTGGGCGACGCACAGCTGCCTCTCTCCTCTCTGCGACGTTGTGGAACACCTGCTGCTCCTACAAAGGAAAACGGAAACACTTCTTTTGAAGAAAAAAAAACTGCCTTTCCTGTTTTTGTATATTCGTGCGGATCCGCACTCGTTGACTTCTTCTTTTCCTTGCCATTTTAAGCCTTTTATCTATTTGCGTTTTATTCGTTTTCATTTCCCCGCCCTCCGTGACGAGATGTCCGGTTTGGTTAAAACGCGAGTTGTACGTGTGCGGAAGGGCAGTGTGTTTTCCTTTCTATGTTCTTTCTCTCTCTTTGTTTTGTCTTCGTGTTTCCCCCCTTCCCGCATTTGCGTCTCCTCTTTGCCTCCTTTTGTGATTTAATTGCTCCACCCTTCCTCTGCGTTGTTTCTCTTTTTGGAGGAGGAGGGGGAGGGGAGGAGGGTTCGCGTCTCCGTCTCCCCCCCCCCCCTCCCTCCTCCTCGTGGTTGTGCACCGCTGATCGTCCTCTCCTCTTCTGACGAAGAGACTTTCTTTTCCTTTTTTTTCTAGATAGCTATATATATTCGCGTACACGCTGTTGCTTACGTAGTGCCTTTAAAAAAAAAAAAGAAGGAATACGGAATGCAACGGGTCGGAACGGCGCGTGAGCTACTTACAGACGCGTATAAGCAGGTTTGCGTGTCTGCTCCGGCTCTCCCTCGTTCACCTCTTCACAGTACATACAAGAACTGGTGGACGTTGTGGGGGTACATCGCGCCGTAAATCAACACAAACAGCAACCAAAGAAAGAGAAAGAAATATAATTTTAAATTGGTTTCGAATACTGCGCGAGGCGCACACGTTACTCGATCGGGAAGGCAATGACAAAGGCTGACCGCAGGTGCTTTTGTTATTGGCTGGAGGAGGAAAAACCTGGTGGTGGTAGCTGGGAGTACTCATCGTGTGACGGTATGAGGTGCGTGTCGTGAGATGCGCTGCCCGACCTGCAAAGCTGCCGATGCGGGCTGCTGCTGTGGGGTTTCGATTGTTTGGCGGAATGCCCTCTACGGATATATATTTCTTTGTAATCATAATGACTTCTGCCCTCCCTTCCCTTCTCTTTTTCTCTCTTATTGCGATGCCGAACCGCACCCGTGCACCCACCTCACCTCACACACTTCCGTGCGCAGAAGGAGTACTCTTTGCTGCCTTTTTGCGGTATTGCATTCAGCGACGCACGCCTCACGGTGTCTCCCGTTTTCTCTCTGCGTTTCGTGGTAGGAATTTAAGGAAAGAAAGAAAAATAGAAAGGCTGCTCTGCGCTAATTGTGCGTTGCAATTACTAACCTAACATCTTTAACAAAAGGAAAAATACCTGCCTCGCGATTCGGAAAAGTCAAAGTATCAGCAAGCATCGTCATTATCACCATGTCCAAGACTCTCTTCACTCTCTACGAGGCCCCCACCGGGTACGCCATCTTCAAGGTGCGCACCACCGAGGAGATCGGCGCCGGCGACGTCGCGCTGCAGAAGGAGCTGCAGAACTTCAGCACCTTCTCGCCGTGGGTGAAGCTCGTGTCCTTTGCGCCCTTTGAGTCGCCTGAAAACGCGCTAGAGGACGCCGTGTGCATCTCCGAGAACGTCATCTCGACCTTCCTGAACAACTTCCTCACCGCCGCTTTTGCGAAGAAGCTCGGCAAGGAGGAGGCGAATTGGGAGTTGGGTGTGCAGGACCCGAAGCTCGGCAGCGCCATCCACGATGAGCTGAACATCCCCGTCGTGTGCAACGAGAGCGTGGGGGAGATCTCCCGCTGCATCCGCCTGCACGCCGAGAAGCTGCTGCCGGAGCACAGCGAGGGCGACATCCCACGTGCGCAGTGCGGTCTGGGCCACGCCTTCTCGCGCAACAAGGTGAAGTTCAACGTGCACCGCAGCGACAACATGATCATCCAGGCCTCGGCCCTGATGGAGCACATGGACAAGGGCGTGAACTTGCTCGGCATGCGTGTGAAGGAGTGGTACGGGTGGCACTTCCCCGAGCTGGCGAAGGAGGTGCCGGAGCCGCTCAAGTACGCGAACGTGGTGCTGCTGCTCGGCAACCGCAGCTCGCTGGAGGGCGCTGATGAAGACGAGATCAAATCGAAGCTGAGCGACATCCTCGAGGGTGACGAGGCCGTCGCCGCGCGTGTGTACGAGAAGGCGGTCACGTCGATGGGCGGGGACATGGCGGAGGTGGACTGGGACTGCATCCGCACCTTCGCGACGCGCGTCGCCTCGCTCGGCCAGTACCGTGTGTCGCTGGCGCAGTACCTGGTGGACAAGATGATGCTCGTGGCGCCAAACCTGACTCAGCTGATGGGGCAGACGATCGGCGCGAAGCTGATATCCAAGGCGGGCTCGCTGACGAACCTCGCCAAGGCCCCCGCTAGCACGATCCAGATCCTCGGCGCGGAGAAGGCGCTCTTCCGGGCCCTCAAGAAGAAGAAGGGCAACACACCCAAGTACGGCCTCATCTTTCACTCGACCTTCATTCAGCGGGCCGCGAAGGAGCACCGCGGCAAGATCTCGCGCTACCTCGCCAACAAGGCTGCGCTGGCCTGCCGCATCGACTGCTTCATGGACGCGCCGCCGACCGTCTTTGGCGAGAAGCTGCGTGAGCAGGTCGAGGCCCGGCTGAACTTCTTCGACACGGGCAACAAGCCCCCGAGCAACAAGGCAGCGATGGCCGAGGCGCTGGAGCAATACCAGCGCATTCTGAAGAAGCGCGATCGCAAGCGTGGTGCGGAGGACGACGCGGAGGAAGCCGCGGAGGTCGTCGAGGCCCCGAAGGCGAAGAAGAGCCGCAAGGAGGTGGTCGCCTCCGATTCGGACTAAGAAATGGAAAGATGAAAAGCGGGAGAAGGCGCTGGATTGTAGCAAAGACGTGTGCTGCTGCGCGTATGCGTAGGAGTGACCACACACACCCACTCACAGCTTTTATGCACGATCTGTCTTCTTTCCTTTTCTCTTGCCTTTGCTTGATGTTGTCGTCGCTGGGTGACGCAGGCCAACGTAGCCGCGTTGCCGTTTTGGGTGGTGGTGGTGGGAGTTTTGTTCGCGTGTTCGGGAAAGCTTCGCAGTCAAGCTCATGTTCTTAAAAAATGGTATTTAAATCTAAACGAAGGTTGCGAAGTGCTCTCAAGACAAGTAATGCGGTGACGCCTTTCTTGTTTTTCCCCTTGTTAATCAGCCGAGGTGTGTATGTTGTGTGTGTGTGTGTTGTCCCTCTGGCTCTTGTGTGTCGTGGGGCCCTGCCCTTTCCTCTCTCCTTCCCTCGCTCTCTTTGGTGCCATCGCGATGATGATTGCCGGGTCAACGGAGGGATGCTCGGACAGCCGTGCGACCGAACACCCGACGCACAGCCCCACTCCGCAAAAACGGCGATCGGTGCACCCGGGGGAGGGTGGAAATAAACAGCAGGGGGGGGGGTGAGGCGGAGCCGGTGGAGCCGTACGCGAATAAAATACTTAAGTGATCTTCTGTTCTTCTCTTTTCACCTTACGATAATGAAAGAAAAGTAAAACAAAAAATGCAAGGCTGTGTTGCGGACAGCGCAGATGGCGGGCAGCGGTTTCTGCAACATGCCTTCCTTTCTCTCATCGCTTCTTGGTATTTACTTGTGTTTTTGGTGATGAGAGAGTGAGAGTGCGACAGAGGCCGTTGGGGGGTTTTTTTTTTGAGGATGAGAACCGACTCCTCCCTCTTCACTCCCATCGGGCACAGCCATTCTTTTGACCGTGGACGTCGCTGCTGTCTCAGGCGTTTTTGTGTTGTCAGGTCGGGCCCACGCTAGCCGATCCGTAGAGGCGGGGTGCGACACGGGCGTCTGCTGCTGAGGAGGGACGGCGGGTGTACTTCTTAGCGCTGAGCCTAGAGGTCGCGTTTTTGTTGTCCCTCCCCCAGCGCTACCTAAATACGATGGTTGATCCGTGAAGAGTCATCTCCGTGCCTTCCACACGCACACCCACACTTGCCGTCGCCCTCTCTCTCTCTCTCTCTGCTCTTCCTCGCGACCGCTTCATTCGTCATCGACGCAGGCTCGAATTGAGGGTCGCGTTCACTCCTCTAGAGGAGAAAGGGGAAAAGTACTCCCTCACTGCCATCTCACCACATCGTTGAGCACGTCCACCAAAACCGTCCTTTCGAAAAAGAAAGCTGCAAAATATCAATTCAGAAGCCAAAAATAAAAGAAGAGTTTTTTGTCAAGGAAGGACAAATGTTCCGCGCCTCCTTGACCCTTTCTCCCGCCACCGACGCGGGCCACCGCGCGGCCCAACTGCGCAGCACACCTGCACACGCGCCTCCTCCCTCTCCCTCTGTAGAGTTGCTCCGTGATGTCTACGTGTGTGCTTCGAGTCCTGCGGTGACGGAGGAGTGGGAGGGCTGGCCGCACGCACCGTCCGCGGTCACGTCGCTTGCATCGCTCCTGCGTGTCTACAACGCCGGTCCGATGCAGGTAGGCGGCACCGCGGTGCAAGTTTTAGCCATTGGCGCGCACTGCGGCCTCTCCTGCGAGGCGAAGGCGATGGTGGCCGGAGCCGTTGTGGCGGCCCTGCGTGCACACCTCTCAACGCTTTTACGAGGTCACTGCGTGAAGGACGGAGATGAAGGGCCGAGGAGCGGCAGGACAGCCGCAGCACCGTTGACGCTGCGAGAGACGCTGCGGAAGTGCTGTCGCTTCTCGGCTAGCTCGTCGTCGCCTTCGACAAGGCCAGCGACAAGCACCAATGATGATGGTGATGCGTGTGAAGGTGCAAACGAAGGCGGAACGTGGCGTGTAACGTGGTCATCGGAGCTACTCACACGTGTGGCATCTTCCTTGGCGCAGCACAGCATGGAAGATGCCACCACCCTGACGGTTTGTCAGTGCAGGAGTGTGCTGAGCACGTCGGTTGAAGTCGGTGTGCGAGCCCGTCTGCAACGCGACGACCAACGCGCCTCCTCCGGCTGCTCGGATTTGGCAGGGGCCTTCCCCGACACGTTGCGCTGCCCCACGCAACAAGACAAGAGCAGCGGCAGCAGTAGTGGTAGAAAGGGCACTGACTTGTGTGACACCATGCTCGTACAGCTGAGGAGCTGCGCACCGGTCCGCACGCACCCTCTCAGCGTTCGGCACGCCATACACCTCGGCTGTCTGCTGTACCGCTCGCATGTCTGCTCTGCGCAGGAGCACGCAGAGGACGGCACGGAGGCCTTCAAGGAGGTGTTGATGCTGGCGGAAGCAATGCGCCATCGCCGCAGCAACAACTGCAGCAAAAAAGGAAACGAAGAAGACATTGGCTTGACACGGCTCTGGCAGCGCGCTCTCACGTCGTACCACGACAGCGCAGCGGCGGCGCAGGACGGAGTATTATTCCTCCTCACGCACAACATCGCGGTGCACGGCGGGGCACCCCTCATTCCGCTGCGCGCCGCCGAAGAAGACGCGTTCGTGCAGGTGGCGGTAGCGGCCCAGCAGGCGCAGAGCCATGCGGAGCTCGGTGGGACGGTGGCTGTGGGGGAGGCGGTGCTGGCCTCGATGCGCCTCCGCGGCAGCAGCGGTGCCTACTTCAACCACGTCTTGCTGACGCAGCAGTGGGACACGTCTCTGTGCGAAGGGCAGAGCGCCGTCATGCAGACGGTGAAGGCGGTGGAGGGCGGTGATGCGACCCTGGCGCCCGCACGTGCGGCACTGCGATGGCGTACGTTCCTGGGTAGCCGGCAGGATAGGCAGCCGCACGCCGGGGTGGGGGCCGATGCAGCGTTCAATGTTGCCACCACCCTGCAGCCAACACCGCTTCAGTGGATCCTTTACACCCTGCGCCGACAGCTCATCGTGGCCGTCGCGAACACCGCGCAGGTGATGCTGACTGGTCAGCGCTTGCATCTCGATGGCACTTCTTCCTCTTCCTTTTCTTTGTCATCGAATCCACCTACCCCGCCGTTGTCCGTCTCGTGTCTGCGGGCACACGCAACGAGCTGCGTCAAGGCACAGGCGCTGCTGCGAGGACTCATCCGGTGGCACTGCCCCTACCCAGTCCCGTTGCCGCTCCTGCATCACCACAACAGCCGCAACGGCAAGGTCATCGCGTCCGCTACAGACGTGGTGCAGCAAGACGCAGCCGAGGAGCTGCTTTGGTGCCTCCGTCTAATGGCGAAGCTGCACTTCCGCGCCGCAGCCTTGTACGGCGCTGCGGGCGATGTCTCCCGTCAGCAGGAACAGCTGCGCCGGTGGCAGGACCAGCTGCAGCGGTGGAACAGTCGCCGCGCTGCGCACTTACCGGAAGGGCGCGAGGAGACGAGCAGGGGTGACACGGCGGTGTCGTGGAGCACGTCGGTCGAGGACGTCGCGGGTCACGTGGAGGCGGCGGCGTGGGCGGTGTTCGCGAAGGAGGCCTCTACGGGCCTGCCGGTGGCTCGGTGAGGGAATCCGTTTCTGCTGCTTTGCGAAGTTTAATATATATTCCAATGTATACGAAGAAGCACGAACGAACTGTTTGAGACGGTGCTAACGTTGACGAGCATCTGTGCCTTGCGATGGATGAAAGAGCAAATAATGTTAAAGAAAAAGGGGGAGGGAGCGATCGTGAAAACGCCGACAACCGGTGCAGAACCGCACATTTACTCTCTGCCTCTCTCACTCTACCGTAATCGATACCTCTGTCTCCATCTTGATGCTCCTCCGCCTCATCCGTGCCAAATATATATGTATGTACATAGCACCCACCTCCTTTTTCTCTTCTTCGCCACTTTCGTCTTCGGCTACTTCGGATACTCCACATCCACATCCACACACACACGCACACACCGCCAAATAAAACACACGCTGCCTTCCTCTGCATTGTCGAGGACAGTAATAACTTCTACTACTTCAATTTTTACTCCCTTTCCTCTTCATAGTGATTGCTTGCTCTTTTTATCGGAGTTGTTGTTGCTTGAACCTTGCATTGCGACCGTCACCGTCCTGCTTAGAATACACCGTGCTGCACCCACCACCACCACCACCATCCGTGTTCTTGAAGGAAAGGATGACCGCCTTCTCTGCAGCCTCGCGGATCGCCGCCGTAGCCGCGGTACTCCTCCTCGCCGTTGCCGCCCTCGCCTCCGCCGCAACGGACGGGCAGACGTGTGCGGCCTCTACAGAGAACCCGCTCGCCAACCTCAACTACACCGACCCGAACGTGCAACAGTGCGTGCGAGTGCGCTGCATCGCCTCGACCGGCCTCGCGCCGACCACCTTCGCCAACGGCTACTGCAACGGCAACGCAGCCGCGGAGTCTGCCGTAGCGTGCCTGCGGCTTTACCGGGCGTACAACGAGTACTACAGCTGCGTGATGCGGGCGCTGGCGGGGTCGACAGGGGCCGGACCGGACGCGCTCGTCGCGCAGGTGAACGTCTTCATGAACACTCCGGGCTACCCTTACCACCTCTCCCCGCTCGGCTGCTACGCGTGCAATCACTTCCGCGAGACGGTCCACGCCGCGATCGGTACGACGTGCAACAACTGGACCTGCGACGCCGTCTCCTCGCAAAGCGCGGCGGCGAGCTGGTACGGCCAGCCGGGCAAGGGCTACAACCACCAGCTGTGCGGCACCGGCTGCATCGCGGTGATGATGCTGACCATTCCCTTTGCGATCGTCTCCGCCTCGATGATCATCGCGTGCAGCTGCTGCTGGCCGTCGCCGTCGCTCAAGACGACCTACGCGGAGGTGATGAAGGAGGAAGAGGAGGAGAAGCACCGCGTCCGGTCCGACGACGAGGAAGAAGAGGAGGACGAGGAAGACAGCGATGCGGACCGTGCCAACCGTGAGCCGGTGGAGGGCGACAACACGAACGGGCCGCATGAGCCGGTGGTGGCAGACAACAACGTCAACCATCCCGACGAGGAGGAGGAGGCGCACCCCGATGAGTACGTCAACCTCCGCTAAAAAGAAATGGAGATGGAGGGAGGGATGGATAGAGAGAGGCGGTAGAAAACTCCCTCTTTTCCTTTCTGTTGTTGTACTTTTATTATCATTATTTGTTTTCCTTTTAGTCGCGCGCATGCGTACCGGCGTCTCAGCTTTCATCGTTTTCACTTACCATTGATGGAGTGTCTCTTGTTCTCTTTCTCCCTCTCTCGGTCACGCAGTTCACGTCGCACTCGCACATCGTACTCGGCTCTCATCGCCGCTTGTCGTCCTCTCTTGTTTCGTGTTTAAGAGGTGGCCCACCAGTCGAGTCAGGAGTATGAGACTTCCTACATATACGTATATAGAGGATTACGACGGTGCTGTCCTTTTCTTTCCTTCTTCATTGCTGCACGAGGTGCGGCATCGGCGCAGCTGACATAAGCGTGCCATCTCGTCGGTGGAGAGAACCAGACGGGCTTTTTGTTTGTTTGTTGTTGTGGAAGAAAGCAAAGTGGAGGGAGTGACTTGATAAGGTGAAGTAAAAGAACAGCACAAAGAACGCGGCAGAGTATGAACCTCGCTCTTCTATTCTTATAAATATATCACCATTATTATTGTTGTTGTTGCTGCTTGTCCTGCACATTGCTCCTGCGAAGCCGGATGGAAGTGGGCTTTGCTCCTGTGCCGACGCGCAGCAGCGCCGATTGCATATCCAGTGTGCCCTCCTTTTCTCTTTTTTTGATTGTTTGTTTGCTGCTGCGTGCTTGCTGGTGTCACCTTGTGTTAGAGGGGACGGTGCTCGTTGTGCTGTGGTGTTGTTGTCGTCATGGTCGACTGCGTACTGTGTTCGGCGTATATTTATATGCGCCGTTGTCTGTAGATTTGCTGATGCTTGCTCATTTTACGTGTTTTACGTTATTTCTATTATTATTATTATTATTATTATTTCCTTCATTGCTCTTTCAACGGCCTCCGTTCATGTTTGTGGGTCGGTGACGGGTCAGACACCCTCCACACGCACATACGCACGCACACGGTGTAGGTGGGTACGTCGCCCACGTTTGTACGTCGATGTGAAACCAGAAGGAAAAGAAAGGAAAGGAAAAGCGCATCTCCATCTCCTCAGCTGCCAGAACGAATGGAAGTGCAAGAAAAAGGAGAGATACATGAAAGATCATTACGGCTCTAAAGATCGCTGCGGGTACGACACATCAGCGCTTTTTTTCATCGTTCGAGGTGGCGGTGGAGTTCGGCGTTACCTGTTTGTCTCCTTCCTGATTCATAGTAGTGTTTCTGTTTTTGTTTTGCTCTCTCGCTACGAGGCTCATGTCATACGCACGTAGGCGTGCTGTTCGGCATATCATCAACAGACGCCAATACCAACGGACGGGACCTGTTGCCTCTCTCTCTCTCTCGTGAGCCTTACCGGGCTATGTGCTGACGCTGTTGTTTTCTTGTCTATCGTCTCTCTCTCTATCTCTATCTCGCTCCTCCCCCCGTCTGCTCTCTGCTGTCAACTATAACTGGCACACACACACGAGCTACGTTTCTATTATTATTCTCTTGTCTGTTTTAAATTGAAGTACATTTTGGGGGGTACCCTCTTCATCGCCTCACTCAACTCTTTCTTTGCTTGTTCACGTTTATTCATACTGTTGTTGCTGTTTGTTATTCTTTTTATTATTATTGGCAGCATCGTTGCCCGCTAGCCGTCTCATTGATTATCATTAGTACTTGACGCAGCTGCTGCGGTTTTTTCGAACTCGCCTCTTTCTTGTTTTCCAATATATATTTCTTGAAACCACAAAGAGTTAACTCCCCACCGCAACCACAGCAGAGAGAGAGTGTGTGTGTCTGCAGCGCTCCATCATGCAGTCCGGCACACCCAAGGCGAAGCCCGCCACTCCGCACGGAAGCGGCGGCGGCGGCGACGTCGAGTTCCAGCAGAATCGTGAAGGCAACGAGCCGAAGGGAGCGGACGACGAGCACGAGGAGCCCTCCGGCTACCGCGAGCCGGAGCGGCACAGCGACAACGAACCGGCTGCCGGCCGCGTTGCTGAAGAACAGCAAGAAGGGGGAGCGACAGCCGCGGCGAAGCCAAACGAGCCCGTGGACGAAATAACTGAAGAGGACATGACGCGTGACTTCGATGCGGAGGTGCTGGACCTGGCGAAAGACAAGTCGCTCAGTCGGAAGGAGCGCTCCAAGAAGAAGAAGGCGCTGTTGGCGCGGCAAGCCGTGGTGCAGAAGGAGAAGGAGCGCCGCGCCGTGATTGAGCTGGACGCGAAGCTGCCGCGGCCGGACTGGTACACCAGCGACGACGACGAGGACTCCGTCTTCTCGGACGTGGAGAAGACGGAGGTGTCGGAGATGAAGGCGCAGCCGCCGGATGGGCAGGGGCAGCTGTTTCTGATTCTCTACACCGTCCTTTCCTTCGTTGCCTTCGTCTTCCACCTCGCCAGCTCCTGCCCGATTCCGTGGATGCGCGGACACGGCCGGCAGTACGGCGTGTGGCGGGCGAAAGGCGGCGGCCTGCCGGTGCTGAAGGTAAACAACATACACGACTGCTCCAACGAGATGCAGTACTGGCAGGCCGCGGCGGCCCTCTCCGTCATCTGCACCGTCGTCTCCTGCGGGGCGTGGATCAGCGGTGTGCTGCTGTGCGTGAACAAGGGCCACATGGGTGCCTCCTTTGCCCTCACCTTCTACTGCGCGGTCTTCTCCCTCGCCTCGTGGGCCCTCGTTGTCGCGCTGTACCACTACTTCCGCTGTGGCAAGGGCGTCTTGGCGAACATCGGCGTCCACCTCGATGCCGGCTTTGCGCTGACGCTGATTGCGTGGGTCTTTCATCTCGTCGCCTTCGCCCTGCTGGGTCTCCACTTCCTGCGCTACTGGACCCGCTCCGTGCACAGCGGGGAGATGCACCCGATGCGCTTCCTCTACGTGGCCTGTCTGCTCATCACCATGCTCTTCTACTGCGTCGGCATGGCGTACAACATGTGGAGCAAAGACTTCCCTCTCGTGAAGGCCTCCGTCACGATGTGGCACATCGAGGTTTACGACAAGACCACGCACCTCCACACCTTCTTGAACCGGCAGACATACAAATGCACCACCATCACCCGCCGCATGAAGGTGGTCGCTGCGTTTATTATTATGAGTCTCATTTGGATGTTCTTCGCCACCATCTTCGCCACCGGCGCGTGCTACGACGCCCGCTACATCCCCAACTCGCTCTTCTTCGGCTACCTCTGCAGCGTGTTTGCCTTGGTTGGCTGGATCACGCTCATCGCAACGCGCCACGGACACCTCTGCACCGGGGCTACGCCGGCGGGTGCGTCGGCCTGGGTGGACCTCGGCTACAACGGAATCCCCAGCGGCATCGAGAACGCGCAGATCAACTTTGACGGCTACAAGCTGAAGGAGGGCTTTGGCCTCTTGGTGGCGGGGTGGGCACTGAGCACCGTCGCCGTGGTGCTGAACACCTTCCTCCACAGCAGCTAAACATTGAAGGAATGAACATGCCAGCAAAGGCGATACATGCACACCTCCAACGCTTCTTCATCATTATTATTATTATTCGTTGACGTATGTCGCGCGTGCCTATCTCTTCTGTTAGTCCCGTCTGCAACGCTGAAGAAAGCCGGAGGAACAACAAAGTGTTGGCCGTCACGGAAGCCCCCGGTTGTGGGAGTAGACTCAAGGGAGTAGGAAAGATCCGCAATATTCCCTCTCTCTCTCTCTGTACCTTTTTTTTTTTGAAGGGGAGGGTTCGATGATAATATCTATTTGTCTTCCCTTCGCTTTCTCCGCAAAGGTGCAACGCGAAGGACCACGAAGTGCGTCGCCACGTGCGCGTTTAACTTTTTCTCTCGTTTATCGGAGGTGCCGTCATTGTTTACTATTATTTTCGCTTACTTGATTCTTATGTATCTTCTATATTGAATGGGTTGCGTAGATAAGCGCGCGCACACACACACACGCTGACGAGTCAAGGATGCGCAAAACAGACAAAGAAGACACGATGAAATGTGGTAGACACCCCCTAACCCGCCCCCCGCCCCCCCCCCCTCCTCTCCCTCCCTCGACACCCTCCACCGTATGCTGGCTGCTTCACACAGTTATCTTTGCTCTTGAGATCGGCTTCTCTGCCGCGCGCTCGCCTTGTGCTCCTCCCTTCTTTTTTCGCCCTTCACGTGCCTCCCTCCTCCCTCTTGAATAACGACCTCAAGCTTTTCCATTACACACGTGCTGTGGAGAAGGGGGGAGGTGGCGCTGTGTGTGTGTGTGTTTAGTATAACGGATACCATTGTCTTGGCAGTGGCGCATATGCCTTTGCTGCTGGTGTTTCTTTCTTTGGTCGTGTGTGCGTGTGTGTGTGTGTGTGTGTGTGTGTGTGGCTAATGGACGGTAGGAAGACATGAACTGTGCGTTAGGTGTCTTCGCTGCTGGGTTGATGTTTGGCATATACTGGCCGATGAGGTGGGATGGAAATAGCAGAAGGAAAGGTTTGCCGGGCGAAGAAAGAAAAAGAACGCGAGAGAGGAGGAGAGGAGGGAGGTGTGAATGTGGACAGAATCGCGGAGGCAACGCTAGATGTGGCTTCCACTCGAAGGAGCAGCGAAGCAATCTATCATGGTTTTATTATTATTATTATTATTATTATTATTATTATTATTATTATTATTGATGCTCCCCCGTCGTTGTATCGTCGACGTTCTCCCTCACCGTCGCGCGTGATTTCTCTCGTTTCCTTTATTTCTTTTATGTTTGGTTTTTGTTTCTCATACTCCTCGTTCAACCAGTCATGGCACGCCACTTGAAAGAAAGAGGCAAACAAGTCGGAGTAGAAGGGGGAGGTCTCTTCTTGCCTCTCTGCTGTTTTTAAATGCGTATATATCTATATATATAGATATAGATATATAGATATAGATATATATATATTCCCTCATCGTTATCATTGACGGAGCAGACGTGTTTTTTTTGTTTGTTTGTTTGTTTTCCCTCTTCTGTGGCTTTATTCATTTTTGCTCTCCCTGCTGTTGGCGTGTGTATATCAATGGGTGGCTGTTGTGGTATACAGAGGAGATTCGCGGCTGCGTGTGCGCGCGTGCATCCTCCTTTGCGGTTTTTGTATTTAACCTTTGTTTTTGTTTGTTTTACGTTCCTCTTGATGTTCCTATTGCTGTTATTAGTGGTATTGCTATTGAGAGGGTGTGGTGTGCTTGTTGGCCCGTCGATGTCAGCGAGAGAGGTACTCCCCCGCGGGGCTCCCGTAGAGAAGCGACAACTGCCAGTGGATGCGCAAGTGCGCAGAGTCAACAGAGATCAATACTATCGAGGTAGATGTTGGCTTGCTGCACCTTGTGGTGGTTGCTGTGCTTCGGTGATCTCGCTTTTCCTTTTTCTCTTTCTTCTGTGCGCCTTTACACGGAAAGCACCTCCGTTCTCCGTCGACGCACGCGTTTCATTCGTGTGTGTGCGTACTCCCATTTAAAAACAACAACAACACTAAGGAAACGAAAAGAACAGAACAGATGTGAGAAAGCAATGCTGTGCTTGCACGACGAAGTACTCCTCACGAAGTGGACGGAAGACACGCCCTACGACTACGACGTTGCTGTGTACTGCAGAGAAGCCGCGCGTTACTGCGCTGAATACGAAGACGAATGAAAATTGATTGATGGTACTCTTGTTCGTATTGAGGGGTGGACGTTTCTTTTTTCTCTTTCCCCTGCTGTTCTTGAGATGTGTGTCCCCTCCTTACGCACGAGTGTCCCGTGATGGACGGCCCGGGAAAGACTCTCGCGGGTGCGCGTGTGGTCTAGGTTGTGCGTCCGTTCGTGCCGCCGTCGATGGGACTCCATACGGTCCGCCCCTCCCCTTCCCCTTCCTCCTCTCTCTCTCTCTCTCTTTACGTCGTCTCACCAACCTTTTTTTTTCTTTCTCTCCTTCATGTTTGGCGCTGGCGCTTCCGCCGGCGTTCTGCCAACCTCCACCATCTCCATACGCTGTTCAACGAATCTTCTCCGCGGAAGCTTTAAAGAAGAAAGAGAAGAACCCTCAAGCCACTGCAAGCACCTCAACCCCGCTCACGCACACGCACCTCAACATTTTGTGTTTGGTGTCCCATACCCAATTTTATCTTTGCTTTCCCCCCTCCCCCTCCCGTTATATCGTTTCCTTCGTGAAGGCGTGCTTCTTTGCTGCTCGGTGCGTTTCCTTCTCGAATTCACAGAACCAGGGAAGGCACATACGCGGCGAAAGGAAGCGGCAGGTTGACGGCTCCCTCCCCTCTTTTGGTCACGGCGAGAAGAGAACAAAGCGAAGAGAAGGCACCGAGGCCTATTTATTTTATTTTTTTGCTATTTATACACGTTCTTGCGCATCGAGCCACCCGAGGTCACGGCAAGATGTCTGACAAGAAGGATTACCCGACCGAGGATGAGAAGGCATATCCCACGGAGGACAAGAAGGAATCTCCGGCCGAGGAAAAGAATGAATATCCCACCGAGGAGCAGCAGCCGCAGCGCGAGAACCACGAACCGCACGACGAAGACGGGGAAGAAGAGGCGAGTGTGTGCTCCTCCGCGGCGCAAGATCGCAAGGATTTGGAGGAGTGCCCGGGCGTGGACCTGCGTGCTGTACCGGAGGAACACTCCGGCAAGGTGGTGCTGATCTTCTACGTCATCTTCGCCTTCATCAGCTTCGTCTTTATGCTGACGGCGTCGTGCCCCATCCCGTGGCTGAACGACGGCAAGGGCCGCAAGTGGACGGTCTGGAAGGACGTGAGCGGCACCAAGTGGAAGGACTACCCGTGCGACCACAAGCGGGCGATGTTCCAAGGCATGGAGGCCTTCGCCATCTCCGGCTGCGTCCTGTCGCTTATCTGCTTCATCGTCGGTCTCCTGCAGCTCCTCGGCATGGGCCACATGGGCGTCACCCTTCTCTTCTCCTTTATCGATGTGATGGTGCTGCTGACGGACTGGTCGCTGCTGGTCAACCAATACCACAAGTACAGCTGCCCTGGTGAGGAGGCCTACGTGGCGCGCATTAACCGCCTCAACGCCGGCTTTGCGCTCGTCTTCTGCTCCTTTGGCCTGATGTTCATCGGCACGGTAGCGCTGATGTACTGGATGAACGAAACCTTCAGCATGTCCGAGATCCACCACGACAAGTACCGCAGCGGGGCGCTCCTTAGCACCCTCGTCACGGGTGCCGTACTGACCATCGCCACCGTCGGCACCGCGCAGACGATGTTCGAGCAGTACTATGCGAACTACACGCTGAAGGTTACCTTCTGGCACGTCGAGTTCTATCAGCGCACGACGGGCTTGTCGGAGTACTGGGGCCTCGATGCGTATCACTGCTCGAAGTTCAAGAACCAAATGCACGCGGGTGCGGCCTTCAGCATCATCAGCGACGCCTTCCTCTTCATCACACTTCTCTGCTCCGTCGCTGCCGTCTTCAACCGCTGCTGCAAGTGGCTCGCCATCGGCTTCGGTATCGCCTCCTGGGTCTTCCTGCTCATCTGCTGGGCCATCGTTGTCGGCGCACGCTACAAGACCTTCTGCTCGAGCGGCGTCGCCCCACCGCTTGTCGGCGTTCCGCTGAACACGGTCGAGCAGCGCGTGTCCTTCGAGGGCTTCGTCATCACCGAGGGTCTGGGCATGATCATCAGCGCGTGGTGCGCGATGACGCTGAACATCATCTACCTCGGCGTGCGAGGGTAAGACCAAGGCGCGTGTGTGCGTGTGAACGTGAGTTATTCTTCTCTCCCGTAGACTTCACACCACCACTAGAAGAGCACGAGAGGAGAGAGAAAGAAGGGAAAATAGAAATCGGCGCGTGGGACACACAACGAAGGTGGCCTGACGGAGGGACCTCCTTTCGCCGCGCTGCAGTAAGCAACGCAGCAGCATCGGCGCGACGGGTGAAACGGTAAGCAAAATAGAATAAGAAACAAACATCGGGCCAGGTCACCAACTGCGGTGGCACCTCCGCCTAGTAGAGCGATAACGATGCCGTTCTTTGGTTCCTCCCCCCCCCCCTCCCTCCCTCCCCTCAATGTACACACACAGACATGCCGTTTATATACACTACGTGCGTGTGTGTGTATGCTTTGGGGGGAGGGGGGCCACTGCCTTTTTTAATGTCGAGCGTTTCCACCGTCGCCGTCGATCGTTGCATGTCGTTCTCTTCTTCTTCCTTTGTGTTGTTTCCCTTGGCTTTCCTCTTCGTCTGTGGCCAAGATTGAAGGGCAGCTTCCTTTTTTCACAGATTCCCTCGAGGAATAAGTTTGTTTCTGTTGTTCCCTTTCTTTCTTTTACAGAAAAATAATTAGATGAAAAAAGAATTTCTCCTCATTTCTTCGTTTGTTAGGAATTAAGGTGAAACCGAACTTTTTCAGGAAAGGAGGAAAGAACGAAAAGCCTTCGTAAGGTTGGCGTCTTGACAGCGTGTTTGCTTTATTGTTATTATTTGCATGTGTCTGTGTGTGTGTGTGTGGTATCTGTCACCGAGGATTTTATATTTCCCCCCCATTGGTTTGCAGAGAAGAGAAGGCACCGCTGGAAGACGTGTCTTTGCTTTTCTTTTCTTTACCGCACACACACACACGCGCGCGCGCACGTCCTCCAGAGGCCAAGCAGGAGACCGGAGACGCACGCACACGGATACAAACGTAATGGGAAAAAGTCAGAACCAGTACACAGACGTACACGTAGAATTGATCAGCAGCTGGAAGACGACGGCAAAAAGGAATTCGGAGAAGGAAGAGCTTTGGACGTGTGTTTGATGTTGCTGCCTCGCAAGGGACATCGGAGGCAGCCGCGCGGTGAAGGTGTCTGGGGAGGGACGTCACAACGTTTTCCCGCCCGCGGGATACTACCGTCCGGGTGCGACACACCTCTCGCGGTTGCGTGAACTCCGGCAGAACACACACACGTGCGCGCGCTCACACGAGGAGATCTCCGCACAAAAACGCCATGTTTCGGCCTTCTTCTGTTTTTTTACCCTTTTTTTCGAATTCCGTTGTCTATCATCGTTTTGTTTTCTCGTCCAGTTTGTTCCTCGCTCTTTGTAACTTCTTTTATCATCATCATTATTATTTTTCCTCTGCCTTGTTGCGCACGCAGCGACTTCCTCGGCGAGGATGCCAAGTCCGGTGTGTGAGAGCAACCGTACTGGTATTGCTATTATATATATATATATATATTTATTTATTTATTTATTTGCTTGTTTATGTGTTTCTTCATTCGTTCTACGTTTCTATAGTGTGCTGTGGAGGCGCTTCTCCCGTGCGCGCTCTCCCCCCTCCCCTCCTCCTTCTCGGAAGTGTGTCGACTGCCCGTTTCTTTCTTTATTATGCGGCTTTCCCTACTTTCGAGCCGTGCTGCCTTCCATGAGGGATACTCATTGTCCTCTCCGTAGATGAAAAGGGAAAGACGAGCCGGGGAGGGGGGGGGGGAAGCAGCACAAAGAGGGAGGGTTCTTCCTTCCACGGCGAGTCAAACATACGTGCCACTTAACGCTGCCAGACGTGTTACACGCAGACCCAAAAAGAAAATTTCAAAGTGCGCGCAGCAACAACAACAATCACCTCCCTCCCAAATAGAAAGACAAATAAGAGATCCTTCAAAAGGAAATGGACTTTTTTGGAAAAGGAAAAGAGGCGAACGAACGCGCTTCGTTTCTCTATCTCGACAACATCACCAGCGAACGTGGTTTATTATTATTATTATTACTATTTCAGGGAGAGGAGAAAACTGTGAGGGCTCCCATGCCCGTGTCTCACGGAAAGAACCACACGCACGGCTGTTGAAGGCGTATGTGTTGGAGCGTGGGGGCACAGCGATGTTGCGGACGCAGCATGGCAGGATGATGGTATGATGGTATGAACCGCGGATGGAAAGCCTCCTTTTCCATTATTGTTCTTCATATCCGTTGCCCTCCAACCGCTACGCGCCGCATGGGGGAAAAAGAAGGGAAAGTCTCTCGCAATATCAAAAAAAGGGAAAAAAATAGGAACAGCAGCAGCTACGTCCTCTCGACTGTATATGACAGCACCTTCGACCCATTCGCGTGATAGCTTTTGTTTTGCGCCTCCTTTGTACCTCCCTCTCTTTCCATCCCTCGCGCTTTCTCTCTTTTCTTTTATTATTATTATTATTATTATTATTATTATTATTGTTAGTGCTTTCCACTGTGAAACTCTGTTCGGTTGGTGTTTCACGTGCACGTTCAACTCACTATCTTCTGTTTTGCTTCGCTGATCGTATCTCTCTCCTCCTCCCGCTCCCCCTCCCCCCTCATCGAAGCACTTCCGCCCTCTCAAGGACGGTCGTTTGCTCCTTCACCACGAGCGACGTACACGCCACTCGTGCGACCTTTGTATGGCTACTATCGTTATCTCTTCTTGATATTACTTTCCTCCTTTCGCCGCCGGCACGTGTTTATCGCCGCATACTTACCCCCTTTTTCTCTGTTGCTGTTTACTACTATTACCACCACTACTACTGTTATTATTGTTACCCTCCCTTCGCCGAGGGAGCCAAAATAAGAAAAATAAGGAAAAACACAAGTGAAGCCGAGTGTGTGCGCCATTATCTACACCTTTTCTGTTGTTGTTGTTCTTGTGTTGTACACGCTGACTTCGTGTTGCCTCTCCTCCTCCCTCCCCCTCCCCCTCCCCCCCATCCTTTAAAGCAAGCGAGAAAGTACATCGTTGTTTTCTTCCTGTTTGTATGTCCCACAGAGTGGACGGACACCCCAACGCGGCGGCGGTGGCCCCGTCATCCTCCTCCGCGGGTCCGGCCAGCACGGCGGTGGCCTTCCCGGAGGAAAGTGCCATTGTCATGGACAAGTGGCTGATGGACGTGTGCGGCGAGGAGGACCTCCAGTTCCCGTCCCACCGCCGCGCGCAGTACCCGGCGTACATCGCTCGCCTCCGCCGTGTGGCGAACACGAAGCAGTTCATGGCGAACACCTTCGACTACCCCGCCCGCTCCGGCACACGCGAGGTCCTCGTGCTGCAGAAGACGCTGGAGGCTCTTGGCGGGGAGGAGGAAAGCCTACGGCAGGAGATCAGCTGGGTGCAAGAGAACCTGACGCAGCTGCGGCGTGTACTCGATGAACGCACCATGGGAGCGTCGAGCATCGTGGAAGAGGAGAAGGCGCAGGCGGCGAAGTTGGCGGAGATGAAAGCGGAGGAAAAGAAGGCTGCGGCTGCGGCAGCAATGGCGAAACAGTCCAGCGCTCCGCCCCCACCGATGAACGCGAGCACGCAGGCGCAGATGGCTGCCCGCCAACAAGGCTACGCCCCGCTGAGTGCGTCGACGCCTGCCGTCCTGATCGCGCCTTCGCGGCCAGCGAATGCAACCACTACCACCACGTCCGCCTCTACTGTTGCTGCGTCGCGTGTGGCCGGCACGCCGCTGCCGATGCATGACGCGGACGACGGCGCATCCGTGGGGAGCAGCGCCGTCTCCTCGCGATCCGCGGCGGAGAGCAACACGTTTTCCGCGGTGGCCCGGGCTGCCCGGCGGGCCGACTACGAGAAGAAGAAGGCGCTCTCGCTGCGATACATGGCGGAGGTGCAGAGCAAGACACAGGCGACGGCGGCGCAGCGCAAAGAAGTCGAAGAGCGCCACGCCGGCCTGCTGAGGGAAAAGGATCAGTTAGACAAGGAGTACGCCGCGCTGCAGACGACGGAGGCGCTGGTGGTGGCCCGGCATGAGGAGGCAGAGGCGCACGCGCATGAAGAGACCGCGCAGCTCACGGCGGAGGCCGCGGCGTACGCGGGGGCGGAGGCGGCATTCGCCTCCGTGTGGGATGAAATGGAGATGGAAGCAACGACGGCGGAGGCACCAACAGCCACCACCGCAGCAACTCCAGCTGCAGAGGGGGAGGAGGAGCGTTCAAGCGACCCACCACCGCTGCCGGAAACTGCAGTGCCGGGCCAAGGCGATGAAGAGGAGCAGGCGTTCCTCGCCGTCTCTCCGTCCGACGGCGGCGCGGCCGCCGACGCCGCCGCCACTGCCACCGCCTCCGCCTCTCTCGCCCCGGCCGAGCACGACGAGTCGCCGCCGGAGGTGACGCTGCACACGCACGGCCCTCCCTCGCACGGCTCCCAGTCCGTGGTCTCTTCGTCGGCGTCCTCTGCCCCACCAACGCCGCGCTCCCCGCCGCCGGTGGAGCGTGTCTTGCTGACCGACGGCGACAACGCGGAGGCAGCAGAAGAGGAGGACACACACGTCGAAACGACGGTGCAGGAGACGCGCGCGTCAGCCAGCCAACCAGCGCAAGGCTCATCCTCAACAACAGCAGCAGCGGCGGCGATGCCCACCGCGAGGGCCGACAACGAGGCTCGGCGCGTCTACTTAGAGGAACTGCGTCACCGCCTGTCGGAGCTCGGCGCGGCGGCGCAGGCGTGCCGCCGCCAGCTGCTCAACACGAGCCAGACCCACATGGGTCGCTTCCGGCAATCCCAACAGCGGCTCCGGGACTGGCAGGACATGGCGGCGCAGGCCAGGACGACCGAGGAGCAGCTCCGAGGGCAGGTGGAGGTCATCACCACCGTCCTGCAAGACGGCGCGGCGCGGCTCGACATGGGCAGCGCCGAGAGCACCTACGCGGCGCAGCTGGCAAGGCTGAATCAGCTGCTGAAGGAGCGCTTGTACGAGACGTTCCAGTACTACGTCGGCGGGGGCGAGGAGGCCGCGGTGGCGATGATGTACGACGCCAACGCGGAGGAGGAGCTGCGGGGACTGCATCGGCCCTCGCCCTCAGCGGCAGCGGGCGGCATGACGCCCCTCCGCGGTGTTGGCGGCGCCTCCTCCTCCTCCGCGGTGTCCTCGGTCACGCCGACGCGTGAAAGTTCGGTCTCGAGCGCGTATCATACTCCTGGAGGGACACACATGACGGGCGCGTCTACCAGTGCGGTGCCGCCGACGTCGATGAATAGCGGCTTCGATTCCCCGCATAAACACCGCAGCCGCTACGAACTCGTGCGTCACCTGCAGCGCTGGGAGGCCGCGCTCTTGGCGGATCGGCTCGCTATCTTGAAAGCCGCGAGTATGGTGCCCGGGCCCTTCAGCGGGGCCGGCGCCAACACGCGAAAAACAAGGGGGTTCACAGCCGCGCGGTGCTATCAGGAGTTGCGGCACCTGCTGCTTCAGCCGAAGCCTGCAAATGGATCAAAGGCGTAATCGAGTGATGCTGTCTTCTGCTATTGTGGTTTTTTTTTCTTTTAGAATCATAACAAATATGTCTGCAGATTTACTAACGTGAGGATTACTGTGTTGATCCCCCCGCTGCCGCGCATTGTGGAACCTACGCGCCTGCGAGATTCACTTGTCTTCTTTGGCAAGGGCAGGGGGAGTTGTTGCTGCGCTCCGTTGGTAAGCAACTACTGTTGCTCACTTCGCGAAGAGTTTTCTTTCATGAGTGTGAGGCCGTCATACACGATTGGGTTGTTTTGTTTTATCTTTTTGCTGATGACGTTGTAGTAATCGCCGGTGTCGCCTCTCATCCACATGTGAAGTGGGTGTCCGCGTGCGTGCATGCGGGTGTGTGTGTGTGTGTGTGTGTGTGCGTGTGATTGGCGTAGACAACATGGTTTGCTTCTTTTCTTTCCTCCCTTTTTCTTGTTTGTGTTGTCCGACGTCATCTCCGTTATTCGCCGCTTTTCGAGAATCGATATACATCAAAGAAGTAAATAAAAGAATAGGAACACGAATACAGTACGAGGCGGCTTTGCTGGACTCAGGTGCCCTTCTCGTTGTTGCAGCGGCCAGCGGTGTTGTGAAGATCGTCCACAGTGGCTAAACACGAAAGCAAATACACGCGACTCGTACCGTAGGTCAGAGGAGAGCCCGTCCCTTCACTCCCTGGACGTGTTACCGCAGCAGTGGATCATGACGCACCTTAACTTCCGTCAAATCTATCTCCTTTGATCTACTCTTTCGTAGTTTCGGAAAAAGCAACTCGAATAGCAGTAGGAGCTACAGTGAAGGACCAAAACACATTCACACAGCGATAAGAAGCATGCCGATCCCCGCGGCATCCTCCCGCGTGTCCATGGGCGCGTCCCACCGTGTCCGTCCGTCGGTCCTGCCTGCCCTGCGCCGCTTCGCCGCTGCCGCGCCGCCTCGCACCGTGTCCGCCGTCACGCCCTTCGTCGCACCTGCGTTATCGCTCCAGCGGTCGTGCAAGGGCGACTACGGCTTCAACGTCTTTCATAACTCAAACCCGCAGCACGGCGGCAGCTACGCGCGACACGAACGGCGCATGCGCGATGACGAGGTCGAGGACTTCTTGAAGTCTGTGAAGCATTGGACACCGGTGTACGACAGCCTCGCCGAAAGCGATCGCTTGGATGGCAGCCCTGTCCACACGGACGGGGTGGAGGCGGCAGCGGAGGAGAACCAAAGCGAGGACGCCGCTGCATCACCGTCACCGTCGCTGCACATGGGCGAGGAGGCCATCACCCGCACCTTCACCTTCGAAACCTTTCGCGACGCCTACCTCTTCATGGGTCGTGTCTGGGCCTTCTGCTACGGCAGCGACAAGTACCCGCACGTCACCTGGGCGGGCACGTCTATCACCGTCTACCTTTACTCGCCGTCGTTTCGCGGGTTGAGCAAGCGGGAGGCGCGGGTGGCCGCCTTCCTGAACGATCAGTACAACATGGCTCGCAAGAGCAAGCAGCAGCAGCGGCGCATCATCGACGGCGTCGTGCAGACGGCGGCGGTGGGGGAAATGGTGGGGGAGGAGGTGGCGCAGGCGCTGGCGCGGCGGCACGCCCGACGCACAGCACCGCTGAGGGAGGTGGTGGAGGGGCCGGCGAAGTGGAGGGCCTTGATGGCCCGTGAGCCGCCTGTAGGGAAGGCGACGGAGGACGAGTTTCCTGTCCAGCCGGCTGGCCGTCACCGTCACGATGGTGACGCGTAGAGGACGAAAGAAAATGCATGTTTTCCAAGTTTTCAATGGCACGTCTTTTTGGTGGAAAAGACAAGGAGGAAGAGCGGCCTGGCCTCCGATGCGCTCTTGCTGCGGTATGTGACAGTTATCGACCTATCTTTCTTTCTTCTAATCGCATACATACTCTCCCTCTGTGTGGGTGTGGGTGTGGCTGCTGAAGTGCGCTTTGATGCTCTCACGCACGCATACAACAAATACACATGTATATATATATAAAGGGACAACGGTGTCAGTCTGATTTAGCCGACGGCCGCACGAGAAGACAGTCGCAGAGAGAAACTCTTACTGGATCTTCTACATGAAAAGAATTCGCGGGCTGTGACCGAAATCGCTTTCACGGACGTGGTCGCCGCAGCATCCTCGGGTCTTGCCTCAACGGCCGTTGGCACTCCTTGTACTTGCGTTTCTTTCGTCTCTCCCTCCTTCTCTTTCTTCTCGCTGCCGCACCACAAAGGTCGTTCATTTATTTATTGGTATTTCTTTGTAGTATTTCTTTAAGTTATCGAGGTCCGGTGCGTGTTTTCGTGAACGCCCTCGCCACAGTGAAAGAGAGCGTCGTGGAATCACAGCAGTCGGCTGCGTGTCCGCTATCGTTTTCCCTTTATTCCTATAATTTATACATCGCCGCCGCCGCAGCAGCAGCAGCAGCTTGCACCGCCAACACCTACTCACTAGCATTCTGCTCCAGCAACTTACTGAGCAAAACGATAAAAGGCACGAGAGCAAAGATGGTCCACGCTCCCAACTGCGATGACTTGGTGCACAGCCGCCCCTTCCCCCTCATTCTCAAAGTTCTGAATATCATCGGTGCCTTCGGCTGCGGCACCTACGCCCTCTTTCTTTTCATCCAGCACAGGTGGGACAGCATCCGCTTCTTCGTGGCGCTCATTTACCTCCTGGCCTTCTCCATCGTGATCCCGGCGGCGGAGGCGGGTCTGATGAAGCACCCCCTGCTCTCCTTCTTCGCCCGCTTCCTCGTCTCCCCGATTGGGCGCGCCTTCCTCTACATCTTTATGGGCGGCGTGATCCTCGGCAACGGGATTGGCGGGTGGGTGATCGGCATTTACCTCCTCGCCATCGGCGTGTTGAACGTCGTTGCGGCGTGCTTCCTTCGTGAATAACTGCAGTTTCTTGCGCATAGAGACGGTGTCATTGTCACTCGGGGTTCGAGAACTTAAGAAAGAAAAATTCGTTCAGAGAACTCGTCTGCTTCGTTCGTTTGCGTGTTGTTGTTTTTTAGAGAACAAGAGACAGCTGTGAGACTCTTTGAGGGGGCACCTTAACGGAAGAGAATGCTTCGGCGAAGAGGCGAAAAGCTCCTCCTAGGTATCGTCGCTGTGGGAGGGAGGGAGGGAGGGGAACCTGTTGCCTCCGTCAGCGTTGCCGCCTTCTCTGTTTCGCATGCGTGACTGGGAGTCGTTTCCTCTTCTTCTTTTCTTCATGCGCCGTACTCCCCCGTCGGGGAGTGTTTCCACTTCATATTTTCCTTATTCCCTTTGCTTTGCGTTGTGTTGCTGGCAACCTATGAAAAAAAAAGTTGAAGCTTCAAATTGCCTTCACGCGCATCGACGGCCCCAGCGCCAAGGAAGGGAACGCCGATCCCATCTTCTGCTTTGTTGTTGTCGTAGGAGGCAGAGGAGACCTGAAGGCGGTTCTGAGAGCAGTCATGTTTCGCATTCCTGAGACGTACGGCATATATACATACATTTGTATTGTATGTACGGCCGAGCTACGGGCACGTGGTCGCTGACGTTGTTGTCCGCCGGTCAACATCAGCAAATGTACAGCAGCGGGGAGGGTGTATATATGCATATGTATATGCATTTCCTCTCTCATGCAGCAGAACGAGATCATGACGACAACGACAAAAGAGAAAGGCCTCGTCTTCAGCGGTCGAGCAAACAAACGGCGACGCCCACACTCATCGTGCTTCTCTCTTACCTTCCTTTTTCTACAACTTTCTTACCGGCATTATAACGCACGCCCAAGTGTTTTTATTCATATGATTGTTGTCTGTAAAACCGTAACTTTAAAAGAAGAAATAACCGTTTAAAAGAAACAGAACTTCTAAGACATATAATTGCGTCTGTGTACCCCAACAATGTCATCGCCTCCACAGAATGCGCTGGAGCACCAAAGCAGCAAACGCCGACGACGCGGCAGCCGCTCCCTCTCCTGCTCGCGTGACGCGCACGCGGAGCGCGCAACAACACCGCAGCAATCACCGGCACTGCGGCCTGCCGCCGCGGCAGCCGCCACCGCATCACCGCCGCTGGCGCCTCGTCCCTCCATGTCTTCTTCCCATTCTTCGCGGAGTGCGTCCGTGTCCCTGCGCCCATCGCGTACGTCTCAGCCATCTGCTGAGGCCACCTCCGGCAGGAAGCGAAGGAACCGACACAAGGAGGCCCGTCAAGAGGAGACGGCGAAGAAATCGCTGCCAACTGCAGCTGCCCCTCATCTCGCCGATCAGAAAACTCATGCGGCACCGCACAGCCTGCTGGAGCGGCTGTCCGAAGTGGAAGTTCAACTGCAACTCGAGCAAGACCGCGCCAGGCGCACCACCCTCGCCCCCCGCGACATTGCCAACTTCATCCTGTGGAGTGTGCCGGCCCCGGTACCGCTGATCGAATCACCGCGCATCTTCTTCATTCGCAATAAATCACACGTCCGCAACGTGGTGGTCATCTACGTGAATGGGTGGTCCTACGATGAGCTGCTGTGCACGGGCGTTGGACTGCCGAGACCGGCGTCATCGGCGAGTACGAGCGACACGTCGCAAGGAGAAATGAACGGCGTAAAGCGCAGCAGTTTTGCTGGTGAAGACGAGAGCGAGGAAGGCCACGGCCACGACGCTGCGTGGGATAAGCAGCTCTGCAGTTCCATGCTCCGTGCGGTGCGCGAGGGTCGCTGCTGGGCTCGCCCCGGTCGTGGCTCCGGCTGCGCCGGCGGTGTTCAGTACTGCCCCCTCCTCATCCCAAGCACGCGGAATGAGATGGAGAAGGACTTGTGGTGGCGCAACGACGCGCCGCGTCGCGCAGGTGGCGGAAGCGGTGGCGGCGCTGCAGCTGGTAGTTCCTCCTCGACGGACGTGCCTCCGAAGGCGTATCATCGAGCGGAGCACACCGACAGCGACGGGGTTGCGCGGCACCACGTCAACACTCCCACGAGTGCAGCCCAGGGTGTGGGGAGCTTGTTTCACCGTGCGTTGCAGGCGCACGCACTGGGCACAGGCAACAGGAAAGTGACGGAGGAGGAGGACGGGGCGACGACTGCTGCTGATGCTGCTTCCGCTGCGTCTTCACCAACGTCGATGACGACGTCCGACGCATTTCGTGAGCATCAGCACCTCTGGCAGGACGAGGCGTTGCTGATGCGGTACGCGTTGAAGCTGCCGGCGCACGCGACGGAGTTGACGGAGCTGGGGTTTACATTGACACCTCCTCCCTCTCTCCCTGCTCCTTCGTCGGGGGAAGCAGAGACCCGGCGCTCACGGGACAGCGAGGTGGAGGAGGGCACGACGAGCCAAAATGCCGTCAACGCCACGGAAGCGTGGACCTGTTGTGACGCGCCGTCTTCCTTGTTGAAGGACACGCTGGCAAACGGAGATGGTGTTGATGATGAAAAGGAGGAGGGCGCCGCTCTACAGCGTCCGCAGGGCCGCCGTCGCCCGAAGGTTTTTGCGCTGGATTGTGAGATGGTGCAGGTGGAAGGCGGCGAGAGCGCCTTGGCGCGGGCCACGCTGGTGGACGTGCTCACCGGGCAGGTGGTCCTCGACCTCCTCGTCAAGCCGCAGCAGCGCATTACGGACTACCTGACTCGGTTTAGCGGCATCGATAAGGCGATGCTCGACCCCGTCGTCACGACCCTGGCGGACTGTCAAGAGCAGATGAAGCGGTACATTGACAGCGACACGTTCGTGGTAGGGCATAGCCTGGAGAACGACTTCAAGGCATGTAAGCTAGTGCCGAACTGCAGCGTGCTGGACACGGCGTGGCTCTTCCCGCACCCCGCCGGGCTGCCTTACAAGAACGCCTTGCGCTTTCTCGCGCAGAAGTATTTGAACCGTCGCATCCAGCAGGGCTCGCACGACAGCGCTATCGACGCGCTGGTGAGCGCGGAGCTGGTGCAGTTGAAGCTACTGCACGGGCCGTCGTTTGGGGTGCGTCCTCGGGTAAGTGTGCTCGGCCTGATCACATCAGCGGCCGGTGACGGTGCAGAAGCGGCGGAGAACAGCGTAGCAGCCCGCAAAGGGCCCGTGTTGGATGTGCAGGTGCGTCTCTTCGAAGACGCCGCCATACTCACGTCGCTTCTCCCCGCCGCGCCGACGGCCCCCTCACACGGCTCGCACCCGCCCACCCCAGCAACAGCCGCATCCGCGTCTTCTCCTCCTCTTCCCTCGTCGTCTCCGCTGTCGTCTGTACCAAACGCGCAGGTGGGCCGCATTGACGCGGTGCCCGTCCGACACGACGAGGACGCCATGCGCAAGGTCGTGCGTGCGCTGCAGCACCGTGCCCGACAACTGCACGTCGAAAGGCAACGTCAGCAGCAGATGGAGAGGTGTGTTGACGGTGCGCAGACGGCCGAAGAGGAAGAGCAGGCAGAGGAAGCAGCAAAGGTGCCGCCGAGCTTCGGCCTCTATTGGGTACAGCTGGCCCAAACGAAGGTGGACGTCGTGCTTCGGGGCCGCCAAACAGCTGGCGACGCATCAGCAGCGCCTGCGTCGTCACCCGACAACGCACATCTCGAAGAGCAGGATCAGCAGCAAGAGGATACGAATAACAGTGTCGATCCTTCTTCCACTGCACCAGTGAAGATGCCCACGCCACAGCAGCACACCGCGGCGCAGTACCGCGTCGTGCACGACACGAATCGCCGCGTGCTGCGCATCATCGAGGCCTGCCCAGACGAGACGCTTGTCTTCGTGCTTACCGGACGCTGCACCGGAGCAGCCGGCGGCAATCACTTCTCGCGTGCGCAGGGCGCCTGCTTTGCTTTTGTGAAGGACAGCACGGCGACGGGACCTCGCGAGGAGGAGCTAACACGGAAGCCGGAAGAGGGCGACGGGCGCGAGCCGGAGAAGACACCCCGTGCAGAAGCCGAGGTCGCGCTGCACGACAACACCACGCCGCCTGCGTGCCAGCCGCAATGAAGACAGAAAGAGGCGTATGTTCATTCTGCCGGCGTTGTTTGTTTCCTCTGCGGCAATGAGGAGAAGCGCCTCTGCGAAAGAGGGAAGGAAGAAGCGGCCTACGCGCAATACGTTTAAAATATAACGAGAAAGGGAAATTGTGAAATGGCTCAACAGCAGCAGCAGCAGGGGCGGCAAAAGAAGGAGAAGAAGCCCAGAGACGGCACGAGGAAAGTACTCCAACGTGCCAACCGACATCGTTTGATTGCCTCACCTCTCTTCTGGGTTTCTGCTTCTTTCTTTATGAGCAGTTTCTGTTGGGGTGTAATGCTGTACTCGCGCCGCATTGGCCGCCGTCGTGGACACGGGCACGCCCCTGAGAGCTCTTCACTGCGCATCACGCCTCACTTTGATTTTTACTTTCTCTCAAACCGCCTCTTCCTTCTCCCTTTGCCGGTCACACGAAACGGGCTGAACTCGGCCTTCTTCACCCTCTGCTTTTCCACGCACCAGCGCTCACGTATGAAGGCTGTATCTCACGCCATTTCAACTGCCCTCTTGTTGTTTTGCTTCTACATGTACACTATCTCCACAAAGCCATTTCTTATAACTACGTGCTCCTTGTGATTATCTTGTATTCATTATTTACTATCAGCAGTGCGGCCTGTGTAAATTTTATGTACGCAGGAGGCACAGCCGAGTCTCCGCAGTTCGCCATGCAGTCCACACCGGCCCCCTCCACGGCGGCCAACAAGTACACCTCCGCCGACGTACCCCGCAGCGAAGATGACGTAACTCAATACGTGCTCTACGATGGACTGCCGAAGTCGGGCCCGGCGGTGCGGCACGCCCGGGAGCGGCAGGCGCAGGCGTACGAGCGGTTTACGCACCGCATCCGCGAGCGGGTGGAGGCCGCGCACGCCATCGTGCTGTCCGCCAACCCCCTCTCGCTCTCTGTGATGGCCTCCCAGCTGCGCATGTACCGCTGGAAGGTGACGGAGGCGCAGACGCTGCTAGAGGCGACGGCGCTCTTGCAGGACTTCGTGTTGGACACGTCAAAGCACGGGTACCGGGTGCGACGACGACCCGCCGCGCCGCTGGGGCAGAGCCGCTACGCCTACGGTCGCGGAAAGCACGCCTTGATGCGCGTTGTCCAAGAGGAGCGGGAGAAGCTTGCAAAGGAGTCTGGGGGCCTCTTTGGCGCGTCGGCCACGTCCCCCACGGGGTCCAGCAGTCGCATAAGGGCAGACCTAAAAGACACCGCTGCTGCAGCGGCGGACATCATTGCTGCGTCCGCACGACACCCTACCACCGCAGCCGCTTTGCCAGAAGCCCACGACGATGATGACGGTGTCAGCGCACCAGACGAGGCAGGAGAGCTGTATGAGGAGCACGAGGAGGATCGGCTGCCGCTGCCGTCACCCGATGCGCTGCCCCGCCTCGTGCTGGTGGACAGCTTCACGCATGAGGACTTCGCCGACATCGCTCGCCACATCCGTTTTGTGGACAACGAGCATGGGCTGGAGCTGCTGCTCATCCTGCTGCTTCCAACCGATCCGGAGACGGCGGCCGTGGACACGCAGGGCGCCGGCTGCGTCATCACCCCCGCGTTTACGACAACGATGGACGAGGCGTACAAGGCGGGCTACGACCTGGTCTTGGCCCACAACATGGACAATCTTCTCGTGGGGATGCTGACCTCCGCCTTCGTCTCCTCCGTCGGGCGGTGGCGCAACGATGTCCGCTCCAAAGCGGCGGTCGGCAATTACATGAGTGTGCGCAACGTCCTCCTCGGTGGACTCGACACCGCCTCCCTGCAGCAACTCGTGTGGGACGACAAGGTTGATGATGCAGAGGTGCTGGAGCTGCTCGGGGCGCAGTCGCTGGCGATGCAGGGCGATGCGAAGCGCTACGGCGAGGCCAGCCGTCAACTGCTCGGTCAGCAGCAACAGCAACAGCAGCAGCAGCAGCTGCACCACACAGGAGGGAGCAGCAGCGGCGAGGACGAGGACGACGAGGACGGTACGGATAAGAAGCTAAAGCGAGTCGCCTCGTCCATGATGAGTCACGTGCCGCGGCTGCGCAGCCGCCCCACGAGCGTCGCCCACTTCGGCGTGCGTCTGCCGGCCGATCCGGAGCGCGCGCGGGGCCTGCTGGCCAACTTCGGGAGTACGAAGGACGTGTTGGGCGGTCTAATGGAGGCGCGTGGTGGACGCCGACGTCGTCAGTTCGACGGCGACGGCGTGGGCGAAAACGCAGACGAGGCCGATTACAGCATGGACGGCCTCGGCGAAGATCACCGGATGCTGCGCATCGCACTGGAGAAGGAGATGGGTCGGCTCTTGGCTGAAAACGAGGGGAAGCAGACCACGATTGATGAACTGCAGAAGGACGTGGAGACGCTGCACCGCACCGTCGATATTCTGAAGCAGCACTTACCGCGAAGCAGCGGCGGCGGCGGTGCAGGTGGCAGCGGCGTCGGTGGGGACCTTGGCAGCTTCAGCTCCCGCACCTACCCAGAGCGGCCGGACAGTGCGTCGATGATGCACCTAAGCAAGGAGCAGCAAATCTACATCTTGAAGGAGCGCCTCGAGGCGGCGAACGATCGCATTTCCGTCCTCTTGAAGGACAGCCACGGCGCGGAGCACTCATCCGACTCGACGGCGACGATGCCAGGCCGCGGTCGAGGCGGGACGGACCGCCGGGGACGTGTTGGGATTGGTGTGCGCGGGGGGTCGTCCTCCCCCGCATCCAGGCGTGCCACGGCCGGCGGCGCCGCACACTCCCGATCGCTGAACCTGTACCGACGCCGCGCCGGCGAAGCCTACCAGGCCGCCCGCGAGGCGGAGGTGATGGCGCTGCACGACGACGACGCCTATTACGCCAACATCACCCTCGGCGAGCTTCCACGGACGAGTCAAGGGGACACATACGGTGCTGGTGGCAACGGCGGTACGTGCCGGACAGAAACCCCGCTGGTGCAGCGTAAGGAGCGGGAGGCGACGGACAAGGTGATCAACTCGCTGCAGACGGAGCTGCGGCTTCTGCAGGGCCGCCTAGACGACCTGCCCGACGACGATGATGGTTATGATAGTAGTCGCAACGGCGACGTGCAAACGCGCATGGTGGCGCACCTGCAGTCGGCGGTGGAGCGGCTGGAGGTGGAGCGGCAGCGGGTGCGCCACCTGGAGGAGCTTCGCCAAACGGATCAGCTGCTGCTCACGCACGCCGTGCGCCTCAACGAGCATGCGAAGCGGCAGCTGAGTGCGGCGCGGCGGGCGGCAGCGGAGACTCGTCGGCAGGGATCTGCCGTTAGTGCTGGCGGTGAAAGTGCGGGTGCGGGTGCGGGTGCGGGTGCTGACACGGAAGGCATCGACAGCAGCAGTACGAGCGTGGGAAGACGAAGTCGCCGCACCGGAGACGGCGCAGCGCGCACCCGCTCTCGTAAAACAGAAGCCGCGGGAGGAGATGAAAGCGATGAGAAGGAGCGCGCAGGACCGCAAAAGGGCGGAGCGGCGCCGCCAAAGGCCAAAGGGAAGCGGCGGGGCCCGGCAGAGGCGAGCCTCCTGCAACCCGAGCAGGTGGAGGGCCTCATTGCGGCCGCCGTCACCGACGCCGTCACGGCGCGTAACCGCGTCTTTCGTCGCCAGCTTGGTGCGCTGGTGCAGACGTGCAGGGCGCAACTGACCCGCATCGTGCTGAAGCAGCAAAAACCCCGCACCGACGCGTACCTGCAGCTGCTGCGGGAAGAGCTAGAGCAGGCAAAGCGCGACCAGCGGGGTGCCGTCATGCGGCTGCAGTTCACGCTGAGTCATCTACGGCCCGACCAGTACGACACCGCCAGCATCCCGCGCAGCGAGAAACGCGGCCGCATGAGCTACGGCGGTGGTGCTGGCGTGAGGGGGGAAGCGGACGGCGCCGACGCAGAGGGCACGGATGGAGATCAGATGATCCCGCTGTGTGCCGTGACGGACGACGAGGTACGTCACGCTGCGGAGCGCATTGCACGTGAGCACGCCGCCTACGCCCTACGCGCGGCCTATATGACCAGCGAACTCCAACGCGTGCAGAGGGCCCCCGAGGTCGTACCGCCGACTGGTGCGGCTGCCCCGGGATCGCGTCCGACATCGGCCTCGCTTGCCTCCCGCGAGCAGCTTCATCGGGCTCTTCAAAAAGCCACACAGCAGGTGAAGGAAGTCGTTGACGGTGGGAGTCCGGTGCCGACCTACCTGGACGCGGTACGAGCCGAGATGGAGGCGGAGCAGCGCCTCAGCACGTGGTACGACGTGGACTGCGCACAGCTCTTCCGTGCGCCGCCGCCAGTGGTGCCGTCGTCGACTAGCTGCACCGTGCCACCGGCGCCGAATCTCGCGCTGGTGCCCACCAAAGTGCCGTCCGCAGAAGAAGGCGCGGTGCCGCTGCGCCTGGCGGACGTCGACGGCGGGGTGCGGGATGTGGCAAACTTGTACGCGACGGTGCTACGCAGTTTTATGGCGCTTGGCGAGGGCTGGGTCTTTGGGCTTAAGAGCAGCAGCAGCAGCAGCAGCAGCAGCAACGATGTCAGCGGCGGCATCGTCCGTAGCACGACTCGTGCGGCGGCGGCGGCGGCAGCGGTTGTGCGGCCGGCGCGTCCGGCGAAGGAGGGTAAATCGCGCAAGACGGGCAGCGCTGGCAAAAAGCGGCGTGAGAAGTCCATCGAAAGTGGCGCAGAGGAGGACTTCGATCTCGAAGGCACGGACGAGGACTCGAACCGACCGCTGACCGCGGCGATCAAGGAGCCCTTGTCCTTTCAGCAAGCACTGGCGCAGCTCCCGGTGGCGACGGGCGAGGCAGCGCAGTACGAGGGGCAGCTAAGCGAGCTTTACACCGCGGAGGTCCCGTACAGCGCGGCGCAGCAGCGGCTCTACGAGATTTTGCTCCGCGCGTACCAACAGCATTGCATCAACCCACTGCACATGGCAACGCTGGAGACGGCCGTGTTAACCGCCAGCGACGCTCCGTTGTCGGCCACCGAACCAGCAGCAGCCGCGGAGCACCAAAACCAACTCCTGCCATTGCGCCTGGCAACGGCACACGCACAACACCGAGAGGTGCTGGCGCTTCTCCAGCTCGTGGCCCCGACGGCCACACCGGCCCTGCGCCGTCTAACGCAGCAGGTGCGGCAGGCGCAGCGCCTCGTGGAGCAGGAGACGGCGTCCGCACCGCCACACACGTCGGCGGCCTTTTTGTCGGCTGTCGATGCGGCGCTGCTTGGGTGCGTCGTGGACGAGCTGCGCTGGCAGCAGCAGTGGCGGCGCGCCACGACGTCGACGGCAGCGGCGGCAGCGGAGGTGAACGGGGCCGCTGCCGCACCACCGGCGGAGAACCCCCAAGAGGTGCTGCGGAAGGCGTTGGTGACGGCCCGAACGGCGGGCACCCCCGCCCACCTCCTGCCTCTACCGTCGAGCGACCTCGATGAGGCGGCGCCGTCAGACGACGTGCGGTTGGTGGAGTACTACACGGCCTTCTGCGCCGCACGCGCGCGAGCGGCACACGCCGCTGGTGGGGCCGCAGGACTCTCTGGAAACGCTAACGGCGGCGGCGGCAACGATGACCTCTTCGACCTCAGCGGTCTCCCAGCTGTGCCGCTGAGCAGCGCGGAGGCCTACCAGCGCCTTGCCACCCTCCTGCCAGACCGCAACGCCTCAGCAGCAGCCGATGGCGCGGGGGGCGCCGGTGGTACAGTTGCTCGTGAACTCGCTGCGTACTTCAGCGCGCGTCGCCCCGCGGCCGGCAAGGCGGGCGACGGCACGGCAGCTTCGGCAGAGGACGACGCCGCCGCCTTCTTGACGGAGATCTACCTGGATGACGTGCGCGGTGGCCTCGACGGAGACGAGGGAGGTGATGGCGGCGCCGTGGAGGAAGAAGACGCGAACCTGCAGGCGATCCGCCGACTTCGCATGGAGCTGGAGTACATGGAGGTGATCAAGAAGCAGCGGATGGAGGAGCTCGCCTTGCGGTGCGACTGGCGCCTGCGCGGGCGGCTACACGGAGATGGCGGGGCGGACGCGTTGCCCTTCCCAGGCGGTGTCCCGGACGGTGCGGACGGCGGCGCGGCCTACCCTGCGGTGAACCCGGAGCGGCTGAACTTCATGGTAAAGTCCGGCACGGCGGCGTGGTACGGCATGGAGGCGGCGAAGCGAGTCCGTGCGATTCTGCGCCGGCGTGCCCGGCCAGATCAGATCATCGTGGGCGGTGGTCCCTACGGCGGCGGCGTCGGTGTGGAACTGAGTCGCCGCACGGCGCAGCCCCCCGTCATGCCAACATTACTCGGCAGCGACTCCCCTCGCACGGCGGCGGCGGTGGCGGCTGTCGCAGCCAAGACGCGAAAGAAGAACCATAACAGCAGTGGCGGTGGCGGTGGGGACGGCGGTAATGCTAATAGCAACGACTCCGGTGAAGACGAGAACGGTTACACGGTGGAGGATGAGGGCGATAGCCGAGCGCAGCGATACGAGCGCAGGGGATCGCCGTCGCCGCTGCCGCCGCTCTCCTCGTCCCTCCAGCACCAGCAACAGCAAAGTAAAGCATTTACCTCCCCTGGTGTAGTGCCGCTGCCGCTGCTGCCCCAAAATGGGATGCCTCGCAGTCAGCGGCAGCAGCAACAGCAGCAACGACCCGGTCCCCGCGCGAACTTCGCAACGTCGACGCCACCACCGCCGCAGCGGCAACAGCAATCGGACTTCGACGGTCCACCACCGCAGCCCTTCACTTACATGTCCCCGCGAGACGCGGTCAACCTCGGCGCCTTCACCAACCTTACGAGTGGCTACAACGGCGGCAGCAGCGCCTACCTACGCGGCTCGGCCGACGACCTCATCAGTCGCGTGACGGCCTACCGGGAAGAGCTGACGCGGGCGGCGGGTCGTGTCTCTCCGATGACCACGACCACCTACGCGAATGGTGCCCCGTTCTGTCTCCCCTTTGCGAGCCTGCCCGGCACGGGAGGGGCGGCAGCAGCGGGGGGAGGCGCTGGGGTCCGTCCGCGGCCTCCGCTGCCGCAGCAGACGTCATGGGTGTACGGCCTACCCGCCACGGCGGTGACCTCAATGGTGCACCAGCAGAGCACCGTCGACCCGCAGCAGCCACGCGACACAGTGCTCTTCATGCCGCGTCGCACGCGTTCCTCCATCGCCGAGGTGGCCGAGCGGGACCGGGCGGCTGCCGCGACGCAGCGGCACTTCTCTATGGGTGCTGTCGGTCTCTCTGCAGCCGGCGCCGTTGCACCGGACGTGTCGTACACGACGCCCGCGGCCATGGCGGCGCAGCGACTGCAGGCAATGCTGAGTGCCTCCATGGAGGACCCCTCGGTAGGAGGCGGTGCAGCCGTACCGTTGGCGGCGGCCATGCGAACCCACCAGTTAGCTGAGCAGCAACGCCGGCGGCAACTATCACACCGGGAGCAGGAAGAAGCAGAACCGCGTCTGCAAGGAGAGCAGCATGACCGTGCGTCTTCATCCGCCACGCCTCCGTCCCCTGCGGAGGCTGCCCCGCCACCACCTTCGTGAGTGTGCGTGTAGGTGGCCGCGAAGAAGAATTCTTGCTCTAAGGACTAGACAAGATAAGCGCCTCTGTTGGGTGTGTGTTTGTGTGGGTGTGGGTGTGCGCGATGTTTGGAAGGGCAGCAGCTGTGTTTTAACTCGCTGTTCTGGTTTACTGCTGTCTCTTCCGCACCTCTTCTTTGTTTTTTTCCTTCTTGATTTCTTCCGTGTGATGCCATTCAGAACTCTTTTCGTTCCTTTCTCTCCCTTTTTCTTTTGTTTTACTCATGTACAGCTTCCGTGGAAAACATCTAAGATGACGTGTCCTTACCCACCCCCACGCTGTCTCTTCGGGCACCCGTACTCAAAACGGCCAAAAGGGGGGTCTTGTGTTTTTTCCCTTTTATATGCACCACGACCACGTTGAGGACATCAGGAAGAAAATGTGTTACCGTTCATCGAGTGAGTCTCGCTTCAGCAACGAGCGCGGAAGAACGCGCTCCCTCCATTTCTTTTTGTGTGAGAGGTTTGCTTTTTGCCGAAGCGCACCGTCCCCCCCCCCCTCCCTCTTCTCCGTACTCTCCGTACTCTCTCTCTGCTCCAACGCTCTGCCCTTTCCTCGTCTACGACTCCCTCCCCTCCATCACCGCCCTCCCTCTCGCTCCGGCTCGGGTGCTCCTTCGAAATTAATAAATCGAAAGAAAGAAGATCTCCTCTTTCCTTTGTTGTTGTTGCTGTCGTCGCGGTTTCACCGTGCCCCCAAAGCCTACTTCTATTATTCGCATTTCAACCTCCTCCCGTCATACACACACACACACGCCAATACAATACAATACAAAGAAAAAGTAAGAACGTCACGAACGTCGCCATGCTTCGTCGCATCTCCGCTGCCTCGGCGAGCTGCATCTTCGCCGCCCGCGCCCTCTCCACCACCAACGTCTGCCTCGACAAACGCATTAAGGTGAAGAATGAAGTGGTGGACATGGACGGCGATGAGATGACCCGCATCATATGGTCCCTCATCAAGGAGAAGCTCATCCTGCCCTACGTCGACGTCCCGATCAACTACTTCGACCTCAGCGTCACCCACCGCGACGCGACGGCCGACAAGGTCACGGTGGACGCCGCGGAGGCCATCAAGCGGTGCAACGTCGGCATCAAGTGCGCCACCATCACCCCGGACGAGGCCCGCGTGAAGGAGTTCAACCTGCACAACATGTGGAAGAGCCCGAACGGGACCATCCGCAACATCCTCGGCGGCACCGTCTTTCGCGAGCCGATCATCATCTCCAACATCCCCCGCATCGTCCCGCAGTGGAGGGAGCCGATCGTCGTCGGCCGCCACGCCTTTGGCGATCAGTACAAGGCAACCGACGCCGTCTTCGGCCCGGGCAAGCTCCAGCTCGTGCACACACCCGCCGACGGCAGCGCGCCGACCGTGATGGACGTGTATGACTTCAAGGGCGAGGGCGTGGGCATGGCGATGTACAACACGAAGGAGAGCATCGAGGGCTTCGCGACGAGCTGCTTCCAGTACGCGCTGATGCGCAAGTACCCCCTCGTGCTGACGACCAAGAACACCATTCTGAAGAAGTACGATGGGATGTTCCTCAAGACCTTCCAGAAGATGTACGAGACGCAGTACAAGGCTGAGTTCGAGAAGGCCGGCATCGACTACCACCACCGCCTCATCGATGACCAGGTGGCGCAGATGATCAAGGGAGAGGGCGGCTTCGTCTGGGCCTGCAAGAACTACGACGGTGACGTGCAGAGCGACATCGTCGCGCAGGGCTTCGGCTCGCTTGGCCTCATGACGTCGGTGTTGATGTGCCCGGACGGCAAAACAATTGAGGCGGAGGCTGCGCACGGCACCGTCACCCGTCACTACCGCCAGCACCAGCAGGGCAAGGAGACGAGCACGAACTCTGTCGCGTCCATCTACGCCTGGACACGCGGCCTCGCCCACCGCGGCAAGCTCGACGGCAACAGCGACCTCGTGAAATTCTGCGAGACACTGGAGAAGGTCGTCATCCGGACAATCGAGGGCGGCCACATGACCAAGGACCTCGCGCTGTGTGTGCACGGCGCGAAGGGGCTGAAGCGCGAGCACTACGAAACGACGGAGCAGTTCCTTGACAGCGTTGACGCCGCGCTGAAGAAGGCCATGAGTGCGTGAAAACAGAAAGGAGTTGAAAGAAAGTAAGTAAGCGGCGAAGAGATAAGAGAAGTAAATGACTTTATTACGGTTTTTTTTGTTTTTTGGCAGCGGCAACGAGCACAACGCACCGCATCGGCGCGCATTGCCCCGGTGCCTGTTTTTGCTTTCTTTTTATAGCTGTAGAGTCTGTGTGGGTGTTGTTTGCTTTCACCGCAATGCTGGTCGTCGCACTCTATCAAAGGGCGTGGCTTTGCCTTCTGGCGTCTTCGTCTTCTTCTTCTTTCTTGAGGCCGTCACGCGGCCGTTTTCTTCTTCGTTTTGCTTCGACAACGTTTGTTGTTGTCGCTCTTACCCTTGCGCACTCCCTCCCTCTCTCTAATTTTATCACAATTCGTACACACACACACACGTGCTCCCCTGCCAATTCGACCGTGTCTATATTCTCAAATACATTTAACTATAGGTAGATGCTGTCGATGATGCGCTTCTTCTGCCTCTTTTATCGCCTCCTCTGTCTCACCTCCTCCCTCCCCCCTCGCTCCTCTTCCTCTCTCTCTCTTCGGAAGGGTGGTGTGTGTGTGTGGGTGGTTGTGTTAGTGAATTCGCCGGGTGAAGAGTACGTGTCATCGGCGGCGGTGCGGCCCTTTTTTTTTAGGGTCTTTTTTTTTTCTAGGCATTACGTAAGGCGAAGTCCAACCATCTGCGTCTCTGCGAACGCCATTCTATCGGGTGTGGTCTGAGAAGAATAGGATCATTATTGTTTGTTTCCTTTTTCGATGTTTGCAGATGGATGTGACCGCGAGAATGGTTGGCGTGGCAGCGACGACGGCGTCCTTCTCCCACCTTTTCATGTGGGGCTTTTCTTCTTTTGGTTTTTGCTTCTTACGTAGTCAGTGCTGTGAGGCGGTGTTTGCTTTTGCTGCGTTTCCATGTTTCCTCCTCGGGCCTCTATCCATTGGACAAAGAACGAAGGCCTCCTCCTTCCACGAACGATCGAACGAACGAACGACAATGATGCGGCAACTAAAAAAAAAAGGTTGCCGTCACCGACGCGCTTTACGTCACGCGTTGGGTGACATTAAAACTCTTAACAACGCAGATGGTAAATGAGGCGAGAAGGAAAGAAAGGCGCATTACGGAATTATGAAGACTGAAACGAGCCCTCAAGGAAAAGAGAAAAACTTTTTGTAGCGGAGCACGCAAGAGCTCTCGACAGTGCGCCAGCTCCATGCGAAGTGATGCACAACACAAACGAAGAGAAAGTGATTCGTGTTGAGCAGGAGCACCTCCCCCGCTCCCTTTTTTCTTTTCAATTCGCATGGAAGCTGGAAACAGAGTGTCCTGCCTGCACTTCGCACTGCGTGGAGAGCGAAGGTTCCATGTGCCACGTCGGTGCGCACACACGCCATCACCCAGACGGGATGAAACGCTCTCAATACATACATATATTCTTTATCCTTTCTGTGTTGTCACCCCCTTCCTCCCTCGATGTACTTGATTGCGCTCTATCAATTCAAAAGCACTCCACTTCGTTTTCTTTTGTCACGCCGTTCAGGTGGACCTCGCGGTGATGCTGCAGCGCATATAAACTAAAAGAAAGCATCTTCACAGCGCAAACGACAGAAAAGCACAGCACACCATCTTCTCCTCCTCCTAGCCGCGTTGACCGCCGTGACCACTGCGGTGCTGCAGCGTCGGTGCGCCAGAGAGAACCGTGCTGGATAGCGCAGACCAGCGCTGCCAAACACGGCCACCGTGTAAAATTCTTTGCGTTCAACGACATCACAATTTGTGCAGAGCCAGCTTTGCTTTTTCTCTTTTGTTTTCACTTCAAACCTCCAAAAAAAAAGGGAAGGAGGAGGAGAAGTCAAACAAAACAAATAGGCCCACTTACTTCCTTTAGACATTTAGAAATATACACAGACCCCAGCCCCTCCATAGACTTACAGCACCCCACTCTTCCGGCTTTTTCCTCTTCGTTCTCACTCCAATCGATAGACACCGCGCGAGAGCAACGTCGTTGCCCGGTGGGCAGCCGCACATAGGCCCAATCGCTCTCTCTCTCTCCTCGCTCTTCGCTGTTGTTGTTCTCATCATTATTGCTATTCATTGACAGTCTTAGAGAAAAGGGGAAAAAAATAGAGAAGATGAGCTCCGATGCGCAGGCGCTGGTGCGCCAACTCACAGAAAACCCCGACGTGCTTGAGAGCATGCAGCACATGCTGTCTCTGCTCCGCGCGAACCCGCCCAGGCCTGTGCTGGGTGCCGCCACAGAATCAAAACCAAGCACACAGCGGGTACGTCCGCCGCGGACAGGGTACGACGACAGCGATGTGCTGGTCAGCGCGGATCAACGCTTGGACCGTAACGCTGCCGCCGGCGTCAACCACAACGGCAACTATTACAGCCGCCATCGCACTGATGACGAAATCATCGGCGACGACGGCAAGGACGAAAGCGGCGCCTCCTCTCCATTGCCGTCGCTGGCGGATGTCGACCAACGTGGTGGTGGTGGTGGTGGTCGCGGTCGGGGCCGACCACCGCGCCGGTCCTCACAGCTGCAGCAGCAACAGCCACAACAGCAGCAGCAGTCATCGGCTCGGAGTGCGACAACGGCAGTGGCGGAGTCGGAGGAACTCCTCGCTACCTCCAAGAAGCTGAGCGACGCGCAGCGGCGCATAGCAGACCTCGAGCAGGCGCTCCAGCGCACGACGCAGCGCGTCGATCAGCTGCGCGAGGTGGTGGACAAGCAGAAGGGTGAACTACAGGAGGCGCAGGACCGGCACATGTTGGAGTTGGAGGAGATGCGCCACGCCTATGACGCTGTGGTGCAACGCAAGGACGAGGTGCAAGAAGCGGCGCTGCGGCAGCTGATGAAGTCACGCCAGTTGATGATGTCGGCAGCGAAATACGAGGCGGCCGTGGCTGCGAAGAAGAGAGAAAAGGAGAACCACAGGAGCGCAGCGCATACGCCGAGCTCCGCTGCTGCGGTGGGTCTCACGGCGAGTGCGACGGCCGTCAACACACGAAACTCGTCGCATTTGCTGGTCAGCGGTGTGAAGCGCGAGCGGCAGGAGGACGCGCCCGAAGAGCGCCACGACGAGGCCAAGCAAGACGTCTACTACTTCTACAACGAGCAGCCCCCACCACAGCAGCCGCGGCAGCAGGCGTTGAAGCACACGACATCCGACTCCTGGGGCACGCCAGCGCGGAGCCACAACAGCCACCACCCGTACGGCAGCGGCACGAAGGTTGTCTACACAAAGACGGAATCGCCGGAGTTCATTACGTCACCGACGCCCACAACCAAGTCGGCCGCCGCGATGATGGGCGGTGGTGGCAGCGGCGGTGCGGGAGCCCGCACGCAGTCCCGCAGCACACGGAAGCGTCGCACGCCACGCATGCCGAGTCTCACCAACGCCGACCGCCTTGCCCCGACGTACACGCACCAGCACCGTAGCAGCAGCGGCAGCGCACCCACGCAGCGGCGGCTGCTGCCGGGGACCAACTCGCTGAAGCTGGACAGTCCGACGCCGGTGGTGAGCACCACGTGGACCGCTGGGCGGTCGCTGACGGGCAGCCGAACACCGCCTCCCCTGCCTGCGCCGGTGTCCTACGCAGCAGCAACAGCCTCGATGAGACAGCCACAGCAGCCAAAGTCAGTTCCGCCCTCGAAGCCTCCGCTCACGCAGCGGGCAGCCGGTCGACTGGCAGCGCCGCAGCCGGCCATCACACGTGTCGTGCCGAACACCCGCAGCGGCACCTCCTCCGTCGTCGCGGACGGACCGACGCGGTCGCCGTCGCCGGTAGATCCTAAACGCGGCAACGCAGGGCCACGGCGCTTCATCTTTACGGGGCTGAAGGACGGAGAGCCGCAGCGGCTGACAGCCGCCATCGAACAGCTCGCGGACGATGCCGCCGTGCTGACGAGTGAGCTAGACGAGGTACCGCCGACGGCCACGACGCACATCGTCTTGCGTGGCACGCCGCGCAGTGTTAAAGCCCTCTGCGGCGTTGTCTGCGGCAAGTGGCTTGTCTCGCCGGAATACATTCTGAATAGTCTTGAGAGCGGGTTTTGGTTAGACGAGGCGGAGGAGGGCGGGATGCGTGTGTTTCCGCCGCCGCTGCAAGGGCAGCGATTTTTGCTGACGGTGGAGCACGAGGGCATTCGTGCGAAGCTGGCGCAGGTGATTGTGTACGGCGGGGGCGAGGTGTTGCCGGTGTATAGTGGGAAGGTGGCCCAGGACGTGGTGGTGATCACCTCCGGCGATGATCTGCTGCGTTATGCGACGGAGGTGCACGTGTAACTCGTTCTCCTCACGCAGCGTCCCTGCTGCGTGTGTTGACGCGCTACCCCTCCCTTCTTTCTCCTCCTCTCTATCTCCCTAGACCGATCTATCTTTCCTTCTGTTTTGAAAGAGAGAATCTATATATATATATAAATAGAGCAGCTCCAGTCCGACAAAGGTGTCGCCTAGAAGTTTATTCTTCTCCTTTCTTTTCGTTTTCCTTTCTTTATGTAGAAGAATCAAACTTCCGCTGGAGCAGCGCGCGGCCTCTTTGATCTCTATTCAGCGCAGAGATCGAAGTGGGCGCTGGCGAAACGCAACGCCACTGCGTTTGGGGTGTGGTGATGTTGGTGGTGGTTATTGGCTTTTACATGATAGAGTTGTAGTGCTTCCCGTTTCTTTAGTGGTGTTCCTGCCTTTGCTGCAACCTACTACTACGACTATGATTATGGAAGAAAGAGATTGCGTGGATGACGATTTAGCAGGCAGTGCAAGACCAGGAGAAAGAGAAACGCGAGAACGGAGCCCCTCGCCTTTTGCTTTGCGTGCCATCCGTGCCTCCTTTGCTGCTGTGCCTTCGTTCCACGTCGTTTGTAGAGCAACGAGTATCGCCCGCACCCGCAGAAGTCATGTCTTCCACTGCACGTCTTCAAGGTGCTCTTCGCCGGTTGAACGTTGATCTTTCGTTGTTCTTGGATCTTTCCCCCTCCTGACGTCATCGCCGATGAACCCAGCGTCTTGTGTGTGTATCTGCCTCTTTTCTCCTCTTCTATCTCTCTCCTCCTCCTCCTCCTCATTCTCCAACCTGCCATCATGCGCAGTAAGTTTGATTATCATTATTTTCCTCATTGGTGGTTCATCGTTGGCGGCGTTAAAGCGCACGCGTTGGGCTTTTGTCTTAACCTGTTGTATCATGGAAATCTTAGTATATATATAATACTTCTCGGCTCCTCTCCTACTCCAATTCATCGCGTCAGCAAATATTTTTTTTCATTCTCGTTTGTTGTCGTCTGTGTGCTTCGGCAAGTACGCTGCATCGTCCCACACCACACTTCCCAACGCTTTGTGCTTGTTGTTGTGGTTGCGGTGCCGCTCTGCAGAGGAGGGTTGATCTGCCGTCGACACCGAGAAGGAGAGCAAAACCGCCCTCTCTCTCTCGTAGACGGTGGTAGCACGAAGAAAGAAGAAGCAAAGGACGGGCTGATAGTGGTCATTACTCATTTGGGCTTTGAACGAGTACCCTAACGCCGGCGCTCCGTATTTGCGAGTGAAGAGGCGGAAAGATCTGCAACTACGCATCTTCACACACACACACACACACACACACACACTATCTCTCTCTTCGTGTTTCACACGCATGGCGTACAATCCTTACTACAATCCGCCGCAGGCCCCGTCGGGCACGGATGGCGGCTACTACGGCGCAGCCCCGGCAGACACCGGCGCCAACGCAGGCTACGGCGGCTACACCGCCGCCTCCTCCACACACGGTGCCGCCGGCGCAGGAGACTATCCACCTCAAAATCCATACGGCGCTACTCCCCAACAACAGCAGCAGGACGGGTACCAGAGTAGTGGTGCGGTAGTGACGGCTCCCGCTGCAGCCGGCTATGACCCCTACGGTCAGGCCGTTGCGTACGGCAACGGCGGCAACAACGGTTACGGACAGCAACAGCAGCAAGGCCACTACACCGGCCAGCCCCAGCCGTCTCAGCAGCAGTCCTTTCCGATGCAGGGCAGCTTCCACTACGGCGGTGGCAGCGGCTCCCCGCCCGCCAGCAGCAGCAGCAACATGGCGGGCCCGGCCAGTCCCCCGCCGCCGGCCCCGCCAGCCCCCAACGCGACCGACGAGAACGGTCTGCGCTGGACCTGGTCGTGCTACCCGACCACCGTCAAGCCAAAGCAGAAGGAAGCCTCGTCCGCGGCGACGGTGGCGCTGCCGGAGATGGTGCTCCCGCTGAGCTGCATGTACACCCCGCTCTGCCCGATGGAGCCGAGCCACATGGTGCTCGGGGCGGCGGTGGAGGAGCTGTGCTGCAAGAACTGCGGCGCCTTCTGCAACGTGCACAGCCAGCGCGTAGAAGGCCAGTACTGGGTCTGTCTCTCCTGCAAGCGTCGCAGCACCTTTTCGGCGAGGTCGGCGATAACGGAGCGGCATCCTGCCCTCCAGTACGAAACGGTGGAGTACGTGCTGCCGCCTGCGCAGCCGCAGCTGTCGCAGTACATCGACACCCGCGCCCCTGCGTTCATCTTCGTGGTAGACACGTGCATCCCGTCTGGTGAGATGGCCTCCCTGCGGACGAGCCTGCTGGAGTCGCTGCAGCAGCTGCCGCGCAACACCCTCGTGGGACTCATCTCCTTCGGCGCCACCGTCGCTGTCTGGGAGCTCGACCCAGGGAGCAGCGGCAGCAGCAGCGGCAAAAGCCACACAGTCCCCTCCCCGATGCGGAAGTGCTACCTACTGCGCGGCAACACGGCGAACACGCCCGAGGCGCTGCAGGCGATGTTGCAGGTGTCGGCCGCCCACCCGGTGCGTGGACGCCTGCTGGCCCCGCTGCACGCGGTGGAGGCGACGCTCGTCTCGCTGATCGCGGAGCTGGAGGAGGACGGCGCGGCGGTGCCGGCGTCAAAGCGGCCGCTGCGGGCGACGTCGACGGCGGTGGAGGTCGCGACGTACCTTATGGAGGCCCTTGCCCCGCCCCACCTCTCGCCGCAGCAGCTGCAGACGTTGTACGGCAACGACAGCAAGGCCGCCGCCACGGCCGCCGCGGCGATTGCCAGCGCCACCGTGAAGATGGGGAAGATCCTTCTCTTTACAGGCGGCCCCTGCACGCGAGGACCCGGGGCGGTGACCAGCACGGATAAGGCCGACATGATGCGCTTCCATCGTGACATCATCGAGGGCGACACGCCCTACTACGCCGCGGCCTTCAACTTTTACAACTCGCTGGAGCCGCGCCTGACGGCTGCGAACGCCTGCCTTGACGTTTTTGCGCAGTCGCTCGATCAGGTCGGGGTGATGGAGATGCGCCGCTGCATCGACAACACCGGCGGCAGCTTAATCGTGGAGGACGAGACGACGGATGTGATGTTCTTAGAATCGCTCACACGGTACTGGCAGCGGTGTGATCTGCGCGCCGGCGTCGGCACGGCTGCTCCACAGCAACAAAGGGCGGACAACCAAGCCGTGGCATCGTCGTCGCTGCCGAGCGCAGACGAGGACTACGCTGCACACTGCGGCTTTGGGGTGCGTATCGAGGTGAACACGTCCTCCGGCACGTTGCTGCGCGGTGCTCTGGGGCCCTGCAACGTGGACGTGGAAGCAAACAAAAGGCTTCCTGCTCGGCAGGCCTCTCCGCTGGAGATCGGCGTCGGCGGCACCACGCGTTGGTGCGTCAGCTCCCTCGATCAAGGCATGACGCTGGCGTTTGTGTTTGACACGGCGACCGCCGACGGCAAACCGGGCAGCGAGAGCACGCACGAGAAGCGCTTCATCCAGTTCGTGACGCGCTACACAACGCCGCGTGGGGAGCAGCGGGTGCGGGTCACGAGCGTCATGCAGCCCGTGGCGCCGTCGAACGCAGCACCCGACTACTTTACGCAGGCCGGCGCGTTTGACCAGACGTGTGCGGCGACACTCATGGCGCGTCTGGCCGTCAGCATCTTAGAAAAGCACCCAGGCAAGTGGGATGACGCGAAGCGCTGGCTGGACACGCTGTTGGTGCGCTTCGTCCGCCGCTACTCCACCTTCACGCCGAACCAGCCGAACACCCTGCAGCTGCACCCGTGCCTCTCACTCTTCCCATCCTTCATGTACAACCTGCGCCGGTCCGAGTACTTCATGGTGCTGAACATCTCCCCCGACGAGACCACCTTCAAGCGCCACTGGCTGATGCGGGAGTCGGTCGACAACTGCATGTTGATGATTCAGCCCACCCTGGACTCCTACGACATCGAGCACCCGTACGCGACGGCCGTGCAGCTCGACAGCAGCAGCCTGCGGCACGACAACATTGTGCTGATGGACGCGTACTTCAACGTACACATTATGTGGGGCAGCATGATTTATCAGTGGATCGAAGCGGGCTACCACGAGAACCCCAACTACGCGAACTTCGCGGAGCTGCTTGAGGCGGCGGAGCAGGATGCGCAAACAATTCTGACGTACCGCTACCCCTACCCGCGCTTCTCTCGCACCGATGCGGACGGCTCCGAGGCACGGCACATCAAGACGCGCGTGAACCCGGCGACGACGTACCAAAACTCCGGCCTGCAGTACGGTGCGGGGCCGAACGGTGCGGTGGAGCAGGCGGACGTGATTTACACAGACGACGCGTCCATCTTGACCTTCATGACCTCGCTGAAGAAGGCAGTGGTGACGGCAGATGCGGATATGAAGTCGTAAGCAGCGCAACTACGCGCGTGCGGAGGGCCGTGCTGCTAACTCGCGCACGCGTTAGGTATTTTTTGTTTCCGGAAGAAGGATACCCTGCAGTGGTGACGGCAGAGAAGAAGGTAATGGACGCCTCCATAGCGTAACAGCGAGCGTACTGCTCTGGCGTGCTCCCTGTCTTCTCAAAGTACTGTTGTTGTTTTCGTTTTCTTTGTTCTCGCCTTGTCCATGATGCTGCGCGCTTTTTGGGGCGTGAGGGGTGTTGTTGTTTTTCCATAGTAAACTCGAGAGATATTTGTTTTTGTGTTTTGCTCTTCTCTTCCTCCTGTGGGACGTGGTGTACCGCTGAGATTCCTGACGGACCGATTTTTGGTGTCGGTGGTGGCGACGAATGGAGACGCGCACAGCCGGAGCATGCTCGCCAGGAGCTGTGTTGATCTGTGGCGCTGCGTGTGTATGTGTGTGTGTGGCTTTGTGTGATTCCTCTTTGCTTTGATTTTCTGGTTTGGTTGGTTTTGTTTTCTTTCCAAGTGAGGTTTTTTGGTGTGTGTGTGTATGACGGGGAGAGGTGCGAGTGTGCGTGTTGCAACGCGCTACAGCAGCATGGATGGCTACGCAAAAAAAAAAGGGGAAAAGGGAGGTGGGCTGCTCGTGCAGCTTTCTTCTTCTTTTTTCTTTACTGAGAATGCAGCTATGGGTGCCGTGTGTTTGGGTGAGACTCGCCCTCCCTCCCCCCCCCCCCCCTTCCCTCCTCACGAACAACAACCCTCAAAAGAAGTTCTCGACGTTCAGGGAGTCTTTGAGGAGTCATAATCGCATCTGGGCAGACGCGCCTCACGGTAAAGGATTCGGTGATCGACATAACCGAACACCGAGACAAACAAACAACGGAGAGGTTTGATTCTACCAGAGACTCCTTAATTAACTCTCTTCTGTATTTTGACTTTTATCTTTGCTATTTGCAGCAGCGGCCGCCTCCCAAGCGATGTCACCATGCTGCTGTTGGTTCCCCTAACGGTCTCCAGTGTTCTTTTCTCTTTCTTTTTTCAGCTTCTCCTCCTCCTCCTCTCCTCCCCGTCTTTTCATGAGGATCGACCTTGTGGTGGAGCGCAAAGACCGTCCCCATCTGTGTTGACAAGAAGGAAGAAAACGCATACACACACACACACACACACACGTGGCCTTTTTAGTTCTTCCTTGAGGGCCTCGCTGAAGCGCCCCTCCCCCCTCACGCGCCACTCCGCCAAATAGTCTTCTCAAAACCCCACGTTGGCAACTCACCGCAAAGGTGTATTCTTTTCTTTTATGATTCTTCGTTTCCTTTTTAAACCCTGCTCCCCTGCTTCCTAGCGACTTTGTACAACTACTACGTTTGAGCTGCCCTGCCTGTGTGCACACTCACACACACACACACACGCGTATATATACCTCATACACGAAAGGGCATCTCCTCCGTACTCTTCTGAAAGCGAAGTCGCTTCCTATCTTGTTTGTTCTTCTTCTTGATTTCAATTCAGGAGTTTGGGCGTGCCGCGTGCCTCGGCCACACCACCGTTGAGGCCTTATCCTTCTCACAGACACCAAGCAGCATACACACACGCACACAGCCAAAACGTTGTTCTCTCCCAAGGCGCTATTCCCTTCCACCACCGCCACCATCATCTGTACACCGCACATACTTCTACTATCGTCTACCCCTCACTTGGACATCTCAGACACGAAACTGCCATGGGCCTCTCCCGCTACCTCCCCTACGCGGTGTTGTGCGTGTACTACGCGTGGTGTGCGACGGTCCTCTTCACGGCGGACCTGCTACTGTTCGTGCCCCGCTACTTCCTTGTCGAGCGGCACGACACGCGCAGTCGCTGGCTCGGCTGGCGTGGCGAAGCGCAACTGCAGCCGCTGCTGCCGACCGCCTTTCAGTACGCCCGAGCCAACGCCGAAGACGGGGCGGACAGCGAGGGCGGCACCCCCAGTATCAGCAGCAATACCACCACCACCACCAGCAGCAGCAGCAGCAACAGCAGCTCCTCTCGGCGCCATCGCGGTGGGTCGGGCTCAGCAAATATGAGTGTGACCTGCTGTGTGTTGGCCCGTGAAGGCGTCGCCCGCATTCGCTCGTTGCGCAGCTCGATGCAGCCGTGGTGGGGGCAGCCCCAACAGACTGCCGTGGTGCGGCCAACGAGGACATCCTCCACGGCCACGTCCTCCTCGTCTTCTCCGGACGTGTCGGACACCTCCTACACCCTACGAGACACCGACGACAGTGGCGAGGACGCGGAGGAGGAAGGGGGTACCGTCTCGTTAAAGGACTCCCCGCTCGGCGTAGTCGGCATCGCGCGCAGCAACGCCGTCAGCTCCGACACAGCGGAGGACGACGACCAAGAGGGAATAGACGGTGCAGGAGATGCGAGTGAAGATACGCAGGAGGCATCCGGGAGCAGCAGGAATTCGCGCCAGAAGCGGAGGGCGGCGATGACGAAGCAATGTCACGCCGCGCAGGAAGCCGGCGCCCCGGTGACAGACGCGCTCTTCCACGGCGTCGACGTGCGTGCGGACTTGAAGGGGGGAAACGGTGACGTACAGAATGAGGAGGTGGAGGAAGGGGAGGGAGAAAGCGCAATGCGCGCCGCAGTACCGGCGTGGTGCATGGTGGTGTTTCGCCGCCACGACAACAACACTATCAGCCGTATCAAAGCCTCACACACGCGCGCTTCCCGTGATGAGGATGAAGAACCTCCTGCTTCGCGGATAGCGGGTCAATACGGATTCCTACCTCCCTGGTACGCCGCCCACGCACGCGCGCAGCTCCTCCTGGCACATGTCGACCCCATCTTTCGTATGCTGGCCGAGGTGATGTGCCTGCGGGGGTGGGCAGCGTCTTCTCCGCAGACGGGCAAGGACACCGCAAAACCCAGCAGCAGCGTGGAGCACGCACGGAGCTTTTCAAGGGACTCCGCTTCCTTCCGCTGTACAGCGCCTGTCCTCCTGGTCGTGGCGTGCCGTCGCTTTCTCTCTGGGCTGTATGTGTTCTGCCAAGTGATGGCCCATACACTCGTGCGAGTCCTTTTCGCCATTGTCCAAGGTTCCTTCCCTTCCCTTTCACCGCTAGGCAAAACGAGTGGCACGGCGAAAGTGGCGGCCGCAGCGGCGACGGCAACGCTGGCGGGTTTGGCGGGTGGCCCTTTCCACCGCCTGCAGCGCGCCCTGCGCACACGCGTGGCGCGGCACGTCGCGGACACGCACCACACCTTCGACGTCTTCGCGGTCACCGCCGCGACGGTGCCGACGAACGACGGGTGGCCCTTCACGTCGAGCAGCACCGCCGCGGTGCATGACGACAGCAGCGGCGGTGACGCAGCGCAGGCAACGGCGGAGAAGGGAGATTCAGTGAAGACGCCGCTGGGTGCTTCGGGTCACCATCCGCAGCGACAGCCGCCATCACGAAGGGTATCTGCTGCCCGGCCCGTCACGTCGTGTCGTCGCTCGCTCGGTGTGTACTGGCTGCACGGGCGGCAGCCAAACCCCACCGAAGCGCCATGCGGCACCTCATCGGCAGCACCTGCGCCTCCGCTTGTGATTCTTCTGCTGTGCCCCTCGCTGCTGCAGGGCAACGGATTATACCCTTTCGCGGTAGCACGCATAAGTCGCATTTGTCAGCTGCTCACGTTGGCAGGAGAGTGGCGACAGGCCGCAGGGAACGCGTCGAGTAGGGGAGAAAAAGAGGAGGAGAACGGTGCAGCAGCAGCAGCAGCAGCATTCGCATCAGCAGCGCCTGCACAGTGGCATGCCGCCGTCCCTGTTGTGGAGCTCGCCACGTACACCAACGCGTCTGGCGTGGCCGATGCCATCTCGCGGCCGTCGCTGACCCTCAAGGATCTCCGCCTGGTTGTGCATCGTCTGCGTTCCCTTGAGCAGCAACCGTCATCGTCATCGCAAAAGTCCAGCACTGATCCACCTGCATCGACCTCTGCGGCGCGGAGGGTCGTGATCGTCGCGGTGGGTTGGTCAGAGGCGGCGAGCCTGCTGCTGGAGCTGGCCATGACACAGCAACAGCCGCAGCAAAACACGGCGGCGGCGGCGGCGGCCTCGCCTTCGTCGCAGTCACGGCAGGATGCCGAGGACTCCGCCCACTTAGACGGCTTAATTTGCCTCTCTCACACCCTGTCCTCCACCTTTCAGCTGCTCCCGCAGCAATGTGACACCTCGCTGGCCGTCATGCAGCCGTTGCAGCGTAGCAGCGGGCTAGCCGTCTCCTCGCCCTCGATGACGACCCTGGCGCAGCGGAGGCGAAGTGAGGTCGCAGCACACGACAACGGCTACGTGGAGAAAAGTAGTGAACGTCACGAGAACTCGCTGATGGGCCTCTCTTTTGCGAGCCTGCTCCCCTCCCCGCACATTCCACGCGTGCTCTCGCGCCTCACCACCGGTCCGGCACGACTGCTGCTGCTGCTGACACGGCAACAAATGATCGCCGACAACTTGATCGCGCAGCGACACCGTCAGGAAGAAGAGGGGGAAGAAACCGCAAAGGAAAAAGATGGTGGTGGTGGTGGGGGGGGCGCCCGCCGCCGCCGCCGCAGTGCGGCCCTTTTACGTCGTTTCACAGAGCTTCCGCGACGCGCATGAGCAGGCCTACACGATGCAGCGTGGCCTGGACACCCCTACGCTTCTGTGGAGACACTTGCAGCAGCAGCAGCAGCGCAAGGGGCAACGTGACCGCAGCAGCGGGAGTCTGCACTTGTCCACAAACCCTGACAGCTGTGCGAGCACTTCTTCTGGCTCGCACAAGACGGACGGGAGCGAGACGCTGACGGTGGCCACGGTCGCGACGCCTTCGCAGTTGTCCTCCTCTTCATCTCCCCCTATGCAGGCCACCGTGGAGCCGTCGCCGCTGCCGCCTGTTGTTGGCGGTGCGGTGGCTGCGGCTGCATCAACAACGGCGCTGACGCAGCACGGTCTGCGTGCGTTACCCACTTCCACCACGACGATTGGATCGGCTGCGGCATCAACTGCAGACACCGCAGACGGCACGGTGGCATCGCTCATTGTAGTTCCCACGGTGGGGGCAGGAGGACGAGGAGAGGAAGGCAGCAACTCGAACTCCAGTCGACGCCGCAGCCGCGGCTTTAGCGCACTGCTGGCCCGCTTTGCACCTCAACAGCATCCGCCCCCGCAGCGGCATTCCTTCTCGCCCTTTCACAGTCTCTACACGGTCCCCTCCCCCGACACCGTCAACTCTAGCACCCCCCTACCGCACCTGGAGACCGTAACGGACTGGGAGGTGCTGATGCGGTCGGATGCGATGGCGGAATTGCGGGAGCGGCAGCGCCTCGACACGGCGAACGTCACCGCAGCCGATCTGCCGAACCCACCTTCGGTCGGCTTGCCGCTGGGGAACAAGATCCGCCCCAGCAGTCAGGCGAGAGATGACCTGCACAGCACCAGCGTCAGCAGGAGCGGCTACAAGGGCTTCTCGCCTTACCAGAAGAATTCAAAGGACACGGCGAGACGGGCAAACAGCAGCGGTAACATCGTACGGGACGCAGCGACCGCGGCGGCAGCCGGCCTGCAGTCCCCGGCGCGACGCACCTCACACACGCCGAGTCCGCTGCTGCCGCTGCGGTTGCCGCCCGTCTCCCTTGGCCGGTCCATCCAAAGCCACATGTGCATCGATGACGTCGTCGCCTCATGCACGCTGCAGAGCGTCGCGCCCCTCCCTTGGCAGTCCGCCCGCTACCCCGACGGTGACCGCAGCGGGAGCAGTCACATCAGCGCGCACAACTCGCTCCCGCCGCACAGCGGCGACGTCAGCGGCAGAGGCGCGTTTCGTCTGCCGGACGGCAACAACAATAACAACGGTGTCTCCCGTACTGCTCGTTTAACCGTGCCAGGCGAGATGCCGCCCGGTGCGCGGACGCGAAGTGTGGACTACGCGGCGGGCACAGTGGACACGCAAGACAGTGACGGAGCGTGCTTAAGCGTTCCGCCCGCACGTCCTCAGCTGGCCAGTACGCTGACCGACGTCGCCGACGTGTCCTTCAGCTCGCCGTACTCTTTAAGGAGGGACAGCACCTCCGCACTGTGGCTTCCGAGCCACAACTCCGCACCGCAAGTCCAGTTGAGCGTCCCCGGCTGCCACAAGGACGTGCCGCGAATCGCCGGCGGCAAAGGCGAGGGCGACGCGGCGACGGATCACGTGCGGGCCGGTCGGCATCAACTTCACAGTGTCACCGGTGCGAAGCGCAACGTCGTGGACGCCTCTTCACCCTTCACGACGGTGGTGACTCCCGCCATCAACCCCGACACGGCGGACCCCGCAAACGAGGCGACGATCGACGGTGACGAGCACGTCTTCCCGCCGCAGCAGCAGCAGCGAGAGGAACGCGCACTGTCCTTCTCACCCTCCTTACACCACGGCGTCAACATGGCCACCACGACTACTGGCACCGGCACCACCGCCTCTCCTTTCTTCTCCCCGCCCCCACCAGCGCAGCTGCCCATTCCACACCTTCCGCGTCCGCTGCCCGTCCGCGCGTGTAATTCGCAGGCGGCGGCGCTCGTGGAGCTGCGGGTACGCTCGGCGCAGCACGCCGCGTTGATTCAGCGCATTCGCATCCCCACGCTGCTCCTGCACGCACGCGACGACCCGGTGGCCCCGCCGTCGACGCTGCCGTTTTCTCTCCTGCAGGCGAACCCGTGGATCAGCACCGTGCTGACGCGGCGCGGCAGCCACGGGGTGTTTATGGAGAGCGCCAGCGATGTCTGGCGGAGGCCTTTTCTCGTCCTGCGGGAAGAGGCAGCGCAGACCCGCGGTCACCGCGAGGGTCGGGGTAAGCAGCGTGCAAACGACACCTCCACCGCCAACGCAGCGACGACGGCGGCGACGACGCACCGCTGCGACATCAACGACAGCAGTCGAAAAAGTGACGGCGCTGACAAGGATGACTGCTGCTCCACTTGGGGTGGCGACGGCGGGGAGGCATCTCCTCTTCCCTCTCTTGAAAAGGAAAGGGCCGCACACGCGACGCAGTGGCGGCTGCGCATTGCGGGGACGACGTGGGTGGAGCGGCTGCTGTTTGAGTATGTGGAGCAGGTCGTTGTGGCGCCCGCGACGGCCCGCAGCACAATGATAAATACATCAACGAACTAACCTTTTGCAATGCTATTACTATTACTATTATTATTATACTCAATGGCTTCTGATTACTATTTATTCTTTATATTTGCGCCGGCCCTATCAAGTTGGAACACCAACACCGTAACATCGATGGTGAAGGAAGTACCGCAGCCGTTTTAATACTACTATCATTAGTATTATTGCTTTTACTAGTCGAGCGTCCGGGTAGCGCCTCCGCGGAAGGACATCGCAATCAGCGCAACAAAAAAGAACCCCAACCACCGCATCGTAAGTCCACCGTGTTGCAGAAACGTCGAGTGTGATGAGCTCCCTCACGCAGGTCCCACGTCGCTTCCTCTTGGTTCGCCCAGCGCGTTTCCCATGCTAAAGCAGAGATCGGTACTTCTTCCTCTGTAGATCAACGAAGAAAGAAGAAAAAATATGTTTACATGCCGTTAAGAAAGCGCACCGGCCCGCCTCACCGCGTTCCGCCGCTCTTTGGCGTTGCACACCGCATGTCTCCCCTTTCCTCCTCTCCTTCACCCTCCCCACTGCGATTCCGCATACAAACCCACATACACTCACATACATACGCACACTGAGTACCAAATACTCAGCGATATAAAAAAAAAGGGATTGGAATGTCTTCTTCATCGGACGTCGATCGACGCCGTGAGAACTACACCGAAGGCGACTCGCAGCGGCAGCAACACGCCGCACGCGTCCAACGACGCAACGCCGTATCACGGGCCGACCGAAACACCCAAGACGCGAGCCCGCTGTCTCCACCGGCAAACTCCGCCACGCGGACTGCTCGCCGCCCGCCGCGTCCGCGCACTTCGGAGAAGTCCAATTCACCTCTCCGACGCGCTCCTCTTCTTCACTTTTTCCCCTCGTCGCCCAACACGAGCTCCAGCACCGGGCAGTACTATTACGGCCACGACGACGACGATGACGACGGTGACGACGGCAGCGGTGAAGAGGAGAGCGACAGCGGCAGCGACCGTGCCACCTCGCTGGACGCCACGTCGAGTGTGTTGTCCACCGCGATGTACCACCCCGAGAGGGGCCAACGGCACTTTTTCGATTCGACAGCGACATTGCAGCAGCAACAACAAAGCTATGATGCGCAAGACACGCCTCGTGCGGCCGCCTCTTCCTCGCAAGTCGCGTCATCATCTTCATCTATGAGTAGTCCGCGGTGGCCGCCGGCTGCTGCCACGTCCCCTCGGGGCTCCCCTTCGAACCCCGCTGCAGAATACGTTGACGCGCCGCAGCCCATCGAGTTGGGGTACGTCGGTGATGGTACGCGTCCCTCCCCACACGATCTCCACTACTGCCCACCCGGCCATCGCGGTTACCGCGCCGCCGTGAAAAGAGACGGCGAGAGGAAAGGCAGGCGGGGGAGCAACGGCGATCTAACCGCAGCGGCGACGGCGTCGTCTGCGCAGGAGAGGCGGCAGCAACGTGCCGACAAACACACCCGTGGGCATCAGACGACGACTGTCCCCTCTCTGGAGGTGTCCGCATTCTCCCCCACCCAAGTCATATCAGCGGCGCCCTCGTCATCGTCGTCGTCGTCAGCGACTGCCGCTCGAGCGAAAGAGCTGCGCTCGCACAGCGGCATCAATACTGGCGCTCTGACAGCAGCTGAAGCAGCAGTATCCGCCTCTCTCACAGCCACCACGACTGCGATGAGCGGCACCGATGTCATTGGGCACTCGATATCGACGCAGCGGAGCATGCATGAGGAGGTGGGTGACAACAACTCCAATGAACCACGCAACGAGCGGCAGCTTCTGCGTGGTGTCTCGGCGCCTGCTGGGCAACGTCAGAAGAGTAGACACAACAGCAGCGGCAGCAGCAGCAGTGGCAGTAACGGTCATCACAGCACGCAGCGACAGCCAGAGTTTGCCACGGCGATTCATGAAGGACTGCGCCGTCGTCGCGGACACCACCGCAGCCATCACGGCGCCGCGGAGGGTCTCTGCGACCGCTCAGGGATGGCGTCCCATGCGGCGGCGCACCGCACACCGCTTTCGCGGAGGCCCGTCGTGACGTGGCGCTCCCACGCACGCGTCTGCGCCGTGACTTCGGTCGCGTCGGGTCAGGTGCTTACCGGCGGTGACTTGACGGGGGTGATTGAGGTGTGGGACAGCCGCACGGGACGGCTGCTGTGCGGGCTCAGCGGGCACCTGGCGCCTGTTCTCTCGCTGCTGGCCATCCCCAACACGTCGCTCCTCTTGTCGGGCAGCGCTGACCGCACGGCGCGGCTGTGGGAGCTGCGCACGCTGCAGAACACGAAGGTGCTGGAGGGTCATCGCGGACTGGTCACTGCACTGGCGACGCTGTCGATGCCGGATATCGGGTTGAACCTGTTCACTGGTAGCGACGATGGCACCGTGCGGCAGTGGCGGGCAGCGACTGGGGCCTGCGTGCACGTCTACGGTGGCCACCACGGACCGGTGAACGTCGTGGCGAGTCTGCGGTCCGTCAAGTACATCGCCACAGGGGGCAGTGATGGGGTGCTAAAGATATGGAACGCGCAGACGCTGCGGTGTGTAAGCAGCACCGCGGCCGTGCCGGCAGCCACGACAGCGGCGATCCACAGCCGCAACGCCGGAGATGGCCCTGCTAGATGGGGTCACGACGCCATGAAGGGCGGGAGCACCGCTGGCGGGGCGGTGTGGGACATCGTGCAGCTAAGCGACACCGACCAGTCGATCGCCGTCGCCACCGGTGACGGTGCGGTGCGGCTGTGGGCCTCCCACTGGCACCAGCAAGCTGTCTTGTTGAAGGAGATTTACTTGCCGGGCCTGCTGCTGAAGGCCCGCAGCGGGGCTCGCTGCCTGCTGGCGTGCGGCACGCACCTGTGCGTCGGCGGCGCACGCGGCGAGTTGTACCTGTGGGACACGGACTCTCTCCCCTACGTGAGCCCGCCCGTGAACGGCGGCGACCGGCGCGCCGGCACCACCTCCGCCCGCCCAGCGCTCTCGTTGTCCTTATCGGGTAGTGGAGGTGGCGGCACCTTCACGTCCGGCGGGCGCGGTGGTCACCACCTGCGTCTGTCCTCTCCCGCGGGGACGGTGGTCGCCGCTGGTGGGGGCTGCGAGGCCGGTGAGGGCGGCGATGCGCAGGCCGAGTTGTTTGCCGCGTCGCTGCTCTTTCACACCGCTGCCATCACCGGACTGACGCGACAGGGGGCGCAGCTGTACAGCAGTTCCCTCGACCACACGGTCTGTCGATGGGACTTGCACGGGCTGGTGATGATGGAGGGGGAACCCGCGATGGACCTCCTGCAGGAGAATGGTCTGGCGATGGGGCTTGCGTTTACGGCCGAGCAAGGCTGGAGCTCGCCGTTCAGCTGGGCGATGCGGCCGTTGTCGAATTGGGCGTGGGGTGCCGCGGCGAGTGGTGGCGGTGGTGCTCGTGGCTGGGGACAACAAGGCATGCAGACAGGACTGATAGAAAGCTGCATTGAAAGTGGAAGTGGAAGTCGTGGTGGCGGCGTGGTGGTGGACGGTGCTGCCGTCGGCAGCAGTGAGGCATGGAGTCGCCTCCAGCAGCAGCAGCAGCAGCAGCAACAACATCTGCTGCTTCAGTCGGTTGCGAAGGCGCCCTTCTCCTCCCCGCTCGCGCTGCTGCGCAACCCCAAAAGCCTCCTCGTGAGCGACGCCGCCGCCGCGGCGCGTGAGGAGGGCGAGGCGGCGGCTACGTCCTTCACCGAACTCAGCCCAGGCGAGGCAGCCGCCGCCTACACAGAGCTGCCGCTGACGTTCTTGGTGGGGCATCTCCGCTCCGCCGCGGTGTCGCCGGTGGACGTGCGCACCGTCGCGAAGGCCTTTCTGCTGCTCCTCTACATCGTGTTTTTCGTCGTGTTCTACTGCGTGGGCCTCGCGCCGCTCGTGCGGCAGGGCAACGACCTCACCCACGGTCTCTTGTCGCAGACGGCGGCGTACCCGCTGCCCAGCTTTGCCCAGCCGCGCACCTTCGCGTCCATCACGAACGCCATGCAACTGGAGCGATGGGTGATGTTGATGATGAACCAGCTGCACACCTTGTCCGTGCCGGTCGATATTCTCCTCCCTGCCAACACGGCCGTGGAAGCCCCCGTCGTCCCCGGCAAGGAAAACGCCAGCAGCAGTGGCGATGACGGCTCTGGGGCAGGCACCGGCCGTGACACGGGCACGAAGGTAAACGCCCACAGCACCCTTCTTGAGCTTCCGGCGATGCCGGGCGGCCTGGTGCTGCTGCGCCACGTTCGGGTGCGCGTGAAGCACGTGACGAACACCAGCTGTCGGTGGAACCCGCACTTTATTCGGCGTCTACCCACCGTGACGAACACCACCACCACCGCTAACGTCACGTCGCCGGCATCGGTTGCCCGGCTGCCGTGCTACGGCGAGCTGCGCCGCTCGACGGAGTCACGCGTGACGCTGTGCCCCGGCCACAACGCGGTGACAACGGAGACGAACCTCACCGGGCTCCTTCGCAACATCAGCGGCCGGTGTGTACCGTACACGTCGGTCCTTGCCGGTGTCCCCTTCAGCGGGCTATTCAACCGCTACGACGCCGGCGGCTACATACTTAATTTGCCCTTTTACGTCGAAGGGAGCAACGCGAGTGTGCTGCACGCGCCGATCGAGGCGATGCGTCGTGTGCGACTCGTGGATGATCAGCGGACGCGTCTAGTGGATGCGCTGCTCTTCACCTACCACATCCACACGCGGACCTTCGTGCGCCTGCACTACGCACTGGAGATTCCACGCGGCGGGGCGTGGTTCCCCTCGACTGACACCCGCCCATGCCCGCTCTTCGACGATGCCACCTCCTCGCACGCGCAGTTGACGATGGCCTGTGTCGTGTTGATGTTTGTGCTGCTGCTGCTGTTGTTGGGCCTGGTGCTCTACGACATGGTGATGGCGTACTTCGTGGGCGAGCTGCTATCCTTCTTCCTCTCCGCCGCGCTGTTGGTCGAGGTGGCGTGTGTGACGCTGGGCCTGTGCGTCGTCGGCTTCTGCTTTCAATGGATCGTTGTGAGCAGGGCGGTGGACACAACGGGGCTGCTGCGTGCATCGGCCCCCGCCGAGGCTGCCGTCACGGTAGACAATCTGCTGGCCAGCTACGTGCCCCCCGCGTACGAGACGCAGATCCATCAGCTGAACACCGTCGCCATCGCCTTCAGCAGCCTCGCCACCTGCGTCTCCACGGAAGCCGTGCTGCTCTTCCTCGCCGCCACCGTCACAGTCAGCCGACTCATCACCTTTATGCAGATCGTCGCGAAGGCAATGCGGCAGATCCGTGCGCAGGTAATCACGGCAGCGGCCATGACGGTGCTGCTGATCGTCTCCTTCGCCCTGGCCCTCCACCTGCTCTTTGGCAGCCGCCACTACGCCTACTCCACCATTGGGCGGTCGCTGTGGCAGCTGCTGCTGTACCTCGCCGCGAGCCAAAGCGTGAACGCCGATGTCGACCCCCTCATCGAGGCAGATCGCCGGGATACCGGGAAGGGGGTGCTCCTCGCCTTCAACTACCTGTGTCGGGTGTTCTGCTACGTGTACCTCGTGGCGCTAGTGGTGGAGCGGGTGCAAGGCGTCGCGCGCGAGACACCGCACATCTCGATGCGGGCCCTTTTAGCCAAGTGGTGGTACGACGTGCAGTACCAGCAGGCCCTCGTGCGTCAGCGGGCGCCCGACACGGTGATGAGCGGCAATGACCATGCCACTGCTGCTACCGCAGCGGAGGACGGCCGACACACGCATCAGCGAGGTGTTTGGAGTTCTCTGCTGTCGACGACGGGGCACCGTCGCGTCGTTATCGAGCATGTCTGGCGGCGTCTGCGCAGCCTCCAGCAGGAGCAGGAAGAGGAGGCGCAGCATCGTCAGCAACAGCAAGCCGCCGCCGCCGCCGCCTCGCCTCTGTATTTCCTCGACCGTCAAGAGGACATCTCCGCCTTCTACACAACATCTACAGCCACAACACAACGACGTCGTCCACATCAGCGCCTACGTGCACGCGACTCGGCCTCCTCTGCTGCTCGTTCTACTGCAGCCGCTGCTGCCGACGACCCCGCGGCGGCCCCATCCCTCCATGTACAGCTCCGCCTTACGGACTTACTCCTCCTGCTATCCGAAGAGGAGCGTACGCCGTTTGCACGCAACGTCATTCGACACGTGTGGGACAGCCTGGCCTGGATGTACCACTGTCATCAGCAGCACACCCGTGCGCAGAACCCCGCGGAGGCTCAGCGGCGGGCTCGGTTAAACGCTGGGATTTATTACGCCCGCCTGCGGCTTGAGCCGCTGCTTGCGGTGGTGCGGGCAACGCAGGCGCGACTGGAGGCGCACGAGGCACGACTGCGGCCGCTGGCGAAGGCGGTGGAGGCCATGGCGACGGGGAAGCAGTAGAGCTCGTCGCGATGGTTCTCGCGTTCTTGGGCGTCGGTCAGCCCACGAGACGGGAGACAGCGAGAGAGATGACGGAGAATCAAAAGGAAGAAGAAGAAAAAGAATCGTAGCTCGAGATGGCTTCACGTGCGCGCGTCAAAGCGCAGCGCCTTCCACGCTCGTGTAAGCAGGAGAAATCGAAAGAAACATAAAGTGAAGCCTTCGTAGAACTCAATGCGCTGACTGCCACTTCCGAAAGGGTTCTGATCGTTTTTCTTTGTTGTTGTTGGTGGTGGTGGTGGTGGAGCTTTCAGCAGCTGCAAAGTTTCGGTGCGGTCGAATCTCAGCGTGGTGGCAGCCTCTTATTCCTGTTCTTGTTGTTCTTTTGATTCCTAGTCCTCCGTCTCCCTTCACTGCCAGACGCGCGTCTTTAAAAACCTTCCCTCGTCTCTCCTCTCTCTCTTTTGAGCTTCGTTTCCTGCACCGTCGCCGCGGCAGGTTTGACCGTCACGCAGCACCGCAGCAACGCCTCATCTGCAAATAGGCGAAAAGGAAAAGGAAAGAAGGGCGCCACCCACACTCACTCACACACGCAGTACGACTAAACCGCGCGCCATGGCAGATCGATGTACCACGCCGGCCCCCCACGCGGATCCGTGCACGCCCCGCAGCGGCGACTCAGCACCCGACTGCAGCCCGGCGTCTGTCCTGTCCCGCACGAAACATGCGCCGGCGCCGTCTCGCACACACCGCGCGATGGGCCAGCTACCCGTACAGGTAGCCGAGCCCGGCAGCACGCACCCCACCACCGCCAAGCTCTTCCACATCTGCCCCTGGCTGCGTCACGTCCCGGTGCTGGGCATTGCGTTGGAAGGCTTCGGCCCGAGCCTGTGCTTCGCCATTGGGGCGGTGGACTTCATGACGAAAGGCGTTGCCGAGAACACGATCGCCCTCTCTCGCCAACCGACGATGACGAAGCGCTACATGATTCACGGCACGCGCTACCAGCGCCTGGCCGGCATCATTGCCATGGGCTCCTCGATTAAGATCGTCATCGCTGTCGTTTCCGACACCGTCGCCCTCTTCGGCTACCGCAAGCGGTTGTACCAACTCGGGTCCTGCGTGATGAGCTTCGCGTTCACCCTCGGCTACGCCCTCCTGCCCGCCACGCCGGCGTCGGCCGATACCGCTGCCGCCTTCATCTTCCTCTGCACCTTCTGACGCACGAACGTGGACATCTTGACCCAGGGCTTCTACAGCCGTTTGATTCAGCGCAGTCCGCTGCACGGGCCGGCGCTGATCAGCTGGAATTACTGGATGGTGCTCCTCGGCATTATCGTCGCCGCGGTGATTATGGGACAGCTGTCCGATCAGAACAAGACGTGCGACGGTGTGATTGCCTCCGCTGTCTTTCACCTGATGCCGGCGGTGGTGTTTGCTTTTAACTTCTACGGGGAGCGCAAGAACCAGCTGGAGCGGTACGAGGACTCCGTGTTGAAGCGGCAGGAGGCGCGGGATGCGAAGAACGGCGCGGCCCAGCGGCAGCGTTGTCGTCATCCGGTGAGGGATGAGGAGGAGGACGGGGAGGACGGGGAGGACTGCGCGAACGAGCCGGCGGGGGACGATGCGTTGTGTGCCCGCAGCAAACATCATCAACACGAACAGGAGAAAGGAGAGAACGCGGTGGATGCGGTGGACGAAGTCGCGGCAAAGGCGAATGCAGCCGCCGAAGGAGAACAAGACGAGGAGGCGGACGACGACGGGCTCGTGGGGTTTTCGAACGACCTCGGCGGGGTTGCGCTGAGCGACGACTCTCAGGCAGACGACGGCGACGACGATTTCAACGACCGTGTGAGGGAAAACATTTGGGTCTCGGCCGGTTGTGTTTTTGAGATCAACAAAGAAGTGGTGCGCGCGAACTGGAAGATCGTCATTTACGCGGTGGTCATGACCTGCAGCGTCATCACACTCGCCTGTGTGACCATCCTCGGCACTATCTGGCATTTGCTGTACGCCTGCATCGCTGTGGTCGTGTGCTGCGCGGTCTGCGCCTTCCTGACGCTGCCGCGCGTGATTGCTAAAGCAAACATGTTTGTGTACTGCGACATGCTCTTTTACATTCAGCTCCCCGGTGCGCTGGACAGCTTCTTCCTCGCGAATGAAGCGTGCCTGCCGGGCGGCCCCCACTTCTCCTACAGCTTCTACAACACCGTTGGTGCGGTGATCCAGAACGTGGCGGGGATGGTGGGGGTGATCCTCTTCACCTACGTCTTTTCGGAACAGCGCTACCAGGTTGTGATGTTCGTGACGGTGACCCTTCGCGTGGTCGCGTCCATCTTTGACTTGATGGTCGTCGAGCGCTGGAACCTGTACATCGGCATCCCGGACCACGCCATGTACATCTGCGGGGACACCATCGTGTACCAGATCTGCTACATGCTGAACTACATGCCGGTGTTGATGCTGTTGTCGCGTGTGGTGCCGCACGGGTCGGAGAGCATGGTGTACGGCTTGATGGCGGGCATTGGCAATTTGGGCGCCTCCATGTCGAACACGATCGGGTCGCTGCTGATGGAGCTGGCGTGGCCCATCGACACGACGACAACACCGTGTGACTTCAGCAACGTGCCGTGGCTCATCATCACGGGCCACCTCGCCTCGCCGTTTTTGATCGTGGTGGCGTCCTTTGTGCTGCTGCCGCACGCTCGTGTGAATGACGCGCTTGACTTGCACGGCCACGTTGTGCAGAAGCACCTTGAGAAGGAAGGCGACGAAGGAAAGGCTGCTCCTGATGCCGCCACCACGTCTGCGACCACGCCGGGAACGGCGGCATGATGAATGCAGAAGATCGCGAAGTCAGCGTGACGCCTCAGGACGGCACGACCTTGTCTACGCACTTGAGAACCGCACTGCGTCATCGCAGTCTAAATTATTCATCCTCTTCTTTTTTCCTCCGTTTCGGCACCGATAAGCTCTAACAATCTCTCTTTTTCTTTCTGTAGCTCTTCTGCCATCTGTATCTTGATATATATTTTTTAACTAGGATTTGGTTGAGTATAAAGCTCGATGAGCTGCTGTCTTCACGCCGCACGGTGATCCCACTCATTACTCCCTCCCTACTGTAACGTGTCATTCTTTGTTTCCGCTGTTGTTGTTGCTGTTCTTCTTCGTTATTTCCATCCCTCATTCTTCTGTTTGTGGTTTTATTATTATTCTTTGTAGAACGCACTCACACACACACACACAACGCAGCAGTGCGACACGCGCGTCAGGCATACATTATTCGGTGCTGGTGTACGGCGTGGTGGTGTTGCTGGTCTCTTTGTGTGACATACATATACGCTTGCTTTTTTATTTTCTTTTCTCTCTCCCTTTTCCTGACGCGGTGGCCGACCTTCTTTCGCTCCATTTCGTCTCGCCCACTTCTCCGGCCGATGCAACTCGCTGTTGTACACTCCTTAAAGAGTCGTGTTGCGCTGCTGAGAGAATTCTATTGAAGTAAATAAATTATGATGATCATCCTCGCTTGACTTTTTCTTGTGTGCTTTTTCTTGTTGGTTTTTGCTTCTTTGTTTCCGTTTGGCTTCTCCTTTCTTCGGCTTATTCATTTTTTTTTCTTTCTCATGACCTCATGCTCTCGATGCAGCGTACTCCTTTGGGTTTCCTGCTGGTACGCGGATACGACTCCGCCTACACACACACAGAGAGAGATGAATACGTATGTGCACCAACTAACGGTCATTTAAACTGTTGTCCTGCCTCTTTTTTTTTATATACTCCTTCGATGTTCGTGTCCCTTCTTTTCCTTTCAAAAACGGCACAAAATGGATTTGGTGTGTGTGCGTGTGTGCGGGTGAGGGATGCCGCCTGGCTCGCTGCTCTCTGAAGCTAGAAGATCTCGCCTACCCATTCGAAAAGTTTTTTTTCTTTCTTTCTCTGGTCGTGTCGCCGCGTGGGAACGTGCGAAGTCCTCTCACACACACGCACCACAAGGACAGGTTCTTTCTTTCACGCACACGCACAACATCGATGAGGTTTGGTTGCACGTACGCAGCTTTCTCGAGACCCTTCTCGAAGGAGAAAGAGAAGAAGAAGAAGTGATGCGACGGGTAAGTCGGGTGGATGCCCGCCGCCGCTCTTTGCACGGAATTCTGAATTTTCCTTTCTCTTTTTGTTTTTCTTTTAACACAGCTTCTAAAGTAACTTCTAATCGACCCATCAAAACGCTTCTGCACGACCTTTTTCTGTTCTTGTAATTACCGTGTTGTGATACAGGTCCGCTCTATATGTATTCTACACTTTTGTATATATGCAATTAGCACTGATATTATTATTCTTATTATTATTTCTTGTGTTTTCACCCCTGCTCCGAACTCTTCACTCCGGCACCACTCCCAGCCCACATATATATACGCCAGTCGTTTCGTCTGTAGAACTCGGCGAGCTGCGTCTTTCAAATTGGGCTTTCGGTGAGTTTCTCATTTTTTATTATTATTGTTGTTTATCCTATGATTATCCTTTCGAGTCTCGACTTTCTTTTGTCGCTGTATCGCCCTCACCGCAAACTCGTTCGGCGATATATATATACACACACAAATAGCTGAGTATGTACAACGCCAAAGATAATCTTAAAATATTCTGAAGGAAACGTCATCGTCGACAAAGGAGCGGAAGACGCTCTAGTACTCGTCGTGCCGCTCACACCGACCCACCCTCGACGAGGACTGCATTCATTGAACCTCGTGGGAAACTCTGCGTAGCACCTCCTCATCTTTTTGTTCCTGTCCTCATGAAGCGGATGTGTGGTCAATATACCGTGCTGTCGATCCTCATCGCTGCCAATCCTCTACCCCTTCTTCTTGAACCGGCGTCATTCGCAATTTGTGTGTATGTATGTGTGTATGTGTCTTTCTCTCTCTCCTCTCAATTAGCGCCAACCAATCAACTCAACTGACTCAAAGTCCGTTCATCACGGTTGGTTGCTCCCGTTGGACCAAAGCAGAAGGAACAGCACAGCACGTGATCGTGCGTTACTACACCAACAAAAATTATTGCTCCGTCATAGTTAGGAGGAGAGGGAAGGAAGCCAACGAAGAATGTCCGTCAACTTCGTCGAGGTGCACCCACTGGTGCTGCTCAACGTCGTGGACCACGTCACTCGCCTTCACCTATCGCACGAGTCCGACCCACCACCCACCGGTCCTTTCTTCTCCACTGTCGGTTTGTTGATGGGCACGACAAGCGTCGCCGCCGCCGTTCGCAACAACGGTGGTAGTAGCGGTGGCGGTGGTGGTTATGTCGCCGCAGCTACCACGACTCTCGCTACCTCGTTTGAGCTGCCGTTGAAGCTGAACGACAGCGGCGAGCCGATTCCCCTCGCCGCCCTCGCCGGCGATGCCGCGTTTCTGGCGCGCGTGTTGGAGGACGACGTGGACTGGCCCGCCGCGCAGCAGCACCGGGCACTGCTGGACGCGGTGATGCCAGAGTCGTCGGTTGTCGGGTGTTACCTTGTGTGCAGTGGCGGCTTGCGCAGCGGGCGCCCCGCCGGCAAGCGCGACGGCGACGTGACTTCCACCACCCGATCTAAAAAGCCGCGGAACGAATCGCAGCGCAGTGCGCAGGACACCGCGTCGGGTGCGGGTCTTCCACACATTGGGCAGAGCCTCGCCACGCAGCTGCACCTCGCGGAGCTGCTGCCGGCGGCGGCAGACGGCTTCGTCGTTTTGGTTTTCTACGAAGGCGAGGTGGTGGCTGGAAGACGGGGTGACAGCGGCGGTGGCGGCGGTGGCGGCGGTGGCACGGACGACTCTTCTTCTTCTTCAGCGGCCGTCGCGACGACGACGCCATCCTCCTCTTCCCTCAGCGCGCGTCGTTTGCCGCTTGAAGCGTTCTGGGTCTCCACCGTGCCAGTGGCTGCGGCCGAAGAAGCCGGGGAGGCCGCAGACCGAAGGAGGGGCAAGGGTGCGGTGCCGGCCCCTGTCGCCGTCACTCCAGCAGACATGGAGTGGATCGGGCTGGCGAATGAGGTGCACATCATGCGCGACGTCAGCGCCTCCACCACGGCAACCCCCACCACCCCGTCGAGCGCGCCCAGCTTTCTCCGTCGCGTCAGCGCGGCTCTCTACCCCGCCTCGGCGCAGCGCGTCGGCTCGCCCACGGTGGACACCCCCACGGCTCCCCTGCCATCATCATCGCCGCAGACGGCCACCACCAATGCCGCCGCCGCCACAACACAGAACTCCAACGCCGCGGACGGTCTGCGGAGCAGTCTTCGCCTTCTGAGCCGGGTCCTAGCGACCCCATCAGGTGCCTCCACAATGCAGCCCACTGCACCCGGGACACGAAACGTATCGGATAGCGGTTACTCCTCTGTCGAGCTTCTTCGCACCGTGGCGACCTGTGTGCGCAACGTGCCGGACGATAACGCGGAGCAGCAACACGAACAGCAGCACCCGCAATCGACCGCCGCGCCCGACTCGGAAGACGTGCTGCGTGCCGTCTTGGCCCTGGAGGCGCAGTGTGCGATGCGGCTTGCGGATCTGCAGAGACAGCAGCGGTCCGTCGTGATAGCCCGCATGTCAGCGATGAGCAGTGTGGGTCGGAGAGGATTATCGTCGCCGTCGTTATTAAAGACGATGTCCGCAAAGCGTGGCGCGATGCGTAGTCGAGCAGGGGATGTGGAGGAGGCACGCTCGGCTGCGGCTGGTGCGTGGATTCCGCCTCGACATGACGGCCGTGAGAGAGACTCGCTTGTGACGTATGTTTCCGGTCACGTGTGGCCACACCAAAGCGAATGAAGCAGTTCTCTTTCTCACACACATACACATGCAGTTGTCCTCTCTAGCGAACTTATTATTCTTTCTATTATTATTAATAGTTTTTTTTCTCCGCCTGTGTGTGTGTGCGTGTGCGTGTGTTTGTTTTTGGGGGAGGGATTTTGACCATCATTACTTAGACGTTTACTCCTTCTTTCTTGTTGCTGGTCGATTTACTCTTCTTCTGATGCGTTCGTCAAAGGGGCCATCGTTTTGCCGTCAGACACCGTCAAAGCAAACGGAGTGTAAAGGGAGGCGTAACCAGGGGGAGGTCTGAAATTGCATCTACGCGGAAGCTGGAGGGCGTGGTTGGCGCCCTTGCTTTCTCTCTCTCTATTCCTCTTGTTGTCTCTCGACCGTGAGCTGGCGTTGCCTTCATGAATTAGAGGGTCACGGACACCAACCACGCGACGCTCGCCGGACCCTGTGCACCCTTGGCCGCCCCCACCCCCCCCCCCTCCTCTTTTTTTCCCCTCGTTTCCGTCACGACCTCGCCGACTCCGCACATCACCTTCCTCTCTTTCCTCGTCTTCTCAATACGGGTCATTCCACAGAGCCAACTACGCTTCAAAAGAATAATACTAATTTTTATTCTCGCGCCCCAGCAGAAGAAAGAAGGACATACACACACCCGCCCACATACATATACGCATATACACACGCATATACACATTAAGATATATACATATATACGTACGGGTTCCGTTATCTTTCTTTCCTTTTTTTCTCTTTCGTCAGTTTTTTTTTTTGTTAAGCACGCGCTTCTTGCTGTTGCGACCGTTTACTTCTCCCTCGTCAACGTACGTCATTCCTTTTGCGCCTTCTCTCTTTCCCCGTCTCCTACGTGAACCTCCCGCCTGCGCAACGCGGCTCAACGCTGCTGGCTTTCCTGATTCATTCATTCATTTACTTTCTTTATGTAACCGCAAAACAAACAAACCAAACAAACAAACACGCGCGAAAGCCAGAAGTGAAAGGACGATGTTTTCCCCCGACCGCAGCAGCCACAACGGGGAGGAGAGGGAGTCCGGCACGAACTACGCGGAGCCGGCCGTGGGGGACCCCCTCGACGCCGCGCCGCCGCCGCCGCACCGCACCGAGGACGGCAGCACTATCTTGCCGAACGGCACCATTGTCCACCCAGCCGCCGAGAGGCTCTTCGCGGGCTGCCCGTGGGTGCGGAACATCCCCGTGGTTGGCGGGGCCGTCGAGGGCTACGGGCCGGCCTTTGTGCTGGCGCTGTGCATGGCCTACTTCCTGTGCAAGGGCATCGCGGATCAGATTATCGGCTTCTCCCGCCAGCCGATGATGACGAAACGCTTCGGCATCGACGGAGACCGCTACCAGCGCCTGGCCAGCCTGTACAGCATGGGCTGGGCCATCAAGGCCTTCATTGCGATGATGACAGACACCTTCGCCTTCCTCGGCTACACGAAGCGCTGGTACATGGTGATCTCCTGCATCGGCGGCGCGGCGTTCGCCCTTGGCTACGGCCTCCTGCCCGCGAAGGAGTCGTCCGCGAACATCGCGGCGGGGTTTATCTTCCTCACCTGCCTCGGTAAGTCGAACGTGGACATCCTGTCGGAGGGCCACTACAGCCGCCTGATCCGCCGCAACCCGGTGCCGGGGCCGTCGCTGGTGAGCTGTCTGTGGGTGTGCATCCTCACCGGCACCCTCATCGCCTCCGTCATCCAGGGTCCGTTGTCCGACGGTGGCAAGACCCAAATTGGCGTGTTCGTCTCCGCGGTGCTGCAGTTCGTTACGGCGATCTTCTTCATCTTCAACATGTACGGCGAGCGGCCGAACGTGGTGGAGCGGCTGCAAGACCTGCGCTACGCGAAGGCGGCGCTCGCGAAGGCGCAGGCGGAGGCGCGGCAGGCCGACGGCTCCACCTCGGACGTTGGGGATGAGCTGCTCGAGAAGCCGGTCAAGAAGGACCTCCACCCTGAAAATGACGGCGCCATCTACGACGAGGTCCAACTCGGTGATCCCAGCCTGGTCGGTTTGCAGGACGTCTACGGCGTGCCCAACGGTGACAGCAACAACAGTGAGAAGGGCGGCACGAGCCCCAACATGGTCGTCGCCGCTATGGACGAAATTGACGAAGAGGAGCAGCTGGCAATTCGCACCTGCCTCTTCGGGGCCTTTGAAATCAACAAGGAGGTGGTCTCTCGCAACTGGAAGGTCGTCGTGTACTGCGTGATCATGACGGTCAGTGTGGTGACGATGGTGTGTGTGACTATCCTCGGCACGACCTACGACCTCATGTATGCCTGCATCGTGCTGTCGGTGGTGTGCATCGTGTGCGCCTTCCTGACGCTGCCGCGCGTGATTGCCAAGGCGAACGTGTTCACCTATATGTACTTCACCCTGTACATCCAACTCCCCGGTGCGCTGGATGCCTTCTACGTGGCGGACGAGGAGTGCCTGCCGGGCGGCCCTCACTTCACCTACACCTTCTACAACACCGTTGGCGCGGTGATCCAGAACATTGGAGGCATGATCGGCGTCACCTTGTTCACCTACGTCTTCTCCAAGCAGAACTACCAGGTGACCATGTGCGTGAGTGTGTCATTGATGATCATCGCTTCCGTCTTTGACATCGTCATCGTCGAGCGGTGGAACCTGTACATCGGCATCCCCGACCACGCCATGTACATCTGCGGGGACGCCGTCGTGTACCAGGTCTGCTACATGTTCTCCTACATGCCGGTGGTGCTGCTCATGTCTCGCCTGTGCCCGCGCGGGTCGGAGAGCATGGTGTACGCGCTGATGGCCGGCTTTGCCAACCTCGGCCAGACCATGTCGAACGCGATCGGCTCGCTGCTCGTTGAGTTCCGCTTCCCTTTCAAGTCGAAGGTGCCGTGCGACTTCCACAACGTGCGTTGGCTCATCATCATCGGCCACCTCCTCATGCCTCTCGCCATTGTGCCGCTATCGTTTTTGCTGCTGCCGCGTGTTCGCATCTGCGACGACATCGACGTCAACGGGCATGCGATTCATGCCCAGCTGAGGTCCGAGAAGAAGCGCGCCGAGGAGGAGGCGGCGGCGGAGGCGGAGCGTCAACAGAATGCGGGCAACGATGGCGCTGCCCTATACGATGAGCTGGGCACTGTGAATGAGCCGTGCGTGGAGACGGCCGGTAAGTGACGGGGGATCGAACTGCACGACGAGGGAACTCGAGCAAGTCTCTCTCAACGCAAGCGCAGTAATATGTGTAAGTGAGAGAGAGAAGGAGAGCATTCGAGCTTTCCTCCTGTTTTGATTTTGTCTTTATTTCTTTTCATTCCTTCCTACTCAAAAAAAAAAACCCCGGTGGTGTACACATACCTGTCACCCCGATAACACCGTCCTGACTGTTTAAATCGGGGGTGCAGCGACAGAAAGGGCGATATTTCGTCTCTCTCTCTCTCTCAAGCAAGCGTCGTCGTTGCGCTCTCCTTTCACAGCTGCTTCCGACATGGATAGGTAAACGCGCGTGGCTATGCATGCCTTTCTTTGTCTTCTTCTTTGTTATGTTTCTCGTGTACGTACTGCGTAGCCTTCGCCGATCTCCGTGAAGCATGACTTTTTGTTTCCTCCCTTGTGTGAGTGAGTTTGTGTGTGTGCTTCATTGTTGTTTCTCCATCTCTCCGTGTTCTCTTCTTGCAACCGCAATCGTGGCCATGAGCCAACTTACTTCTTCCTTTCGCTCTCTGGCTCTCCCTACGCGTGATCCCTATTCGCCACCGCCCCTTTGTGTATCCGTTCTTTTCCACTTCGTCGTCGTGTTCCTCTTTGCGTCCGCTCCGCTTCGGATATTTCGCCGTGGCGGTGGCGGTGACTTCTTCTTTTCCTTTTAATCCTCGAGTCTTTGCGTGTTTGTTTTCTGCAGTGCAGCGCCTTGCTTTTTTCCCCGTCCGCTGGCAACTCCCGTGCCAATACAGAAAGAAAGAGAAAAAAAATAATAGTAATAAAGAGGAGGTGAGCGTGAGAACGCGGCTTTGCGGCGTGTGTTCGTGGTGACGTCTGTGGTGACGGTGGTGGTGGTGGTTTCTACCGCACAAGTGACACGAACAAGTCTGCTTATCATTTGTTCTTTCGTCATCCATCTCTCTCTCTCCCGCACGCACTTTATGTTTCTTTGTTTTTATTATTATTATTATTATTATTATTATTATTATTAATATTATTATCATTAGTGCTCTTCTGGCGTTGTTGTTGTTGTTTTGTTATTTTCATTTTGATGACAGCGCTACCTTCTCCCCCCGTCGGAGGAAAGGTATTCACCTAAATTCTTCTTTCTGCGGTTTCCTTTGCTTGTTGCCCGTTCGTCTCCCTTGAAACTGCCTGACGCGTGTTGGCGGTGAAGGCGTGTCTTTTTATGGGCGTGATAATCACTGATGCGTACTTGTGCCCCAGAAAATGCACCTCAGCGTCTTTCCTTTTTTTCCTTTGCATGTTGGTTTGTTCCATTCCACGCCATCCGGCTTTCCCCAATGTGCGCGAGATACATGTGTTTCTAATAAAGAAACTAAACGCGTGTGTTTTTCTCTTGAGCCCTTCTTCCATCTAACCCGCGGTCATTCAGCCCTTTTCCAGCAATAATAATTATTATTATTACTATCGTTTCCTGGGCGTTGCTTAGTGATCGCACCAAGCGCTTTTGCTGTCTTTGTTGCTATGACTACTACCATTTTCTTATCACCGTCCCCATGCCGTCGCCTTACGTTTTATGTCACTGCAGTGCCAGAAGCTAAACTCGTGCGATTTGGTGTGGCAAACTGGGTGAGAAGGGGCATTCGCGGACCCAGCACGGGTGTCGTTTCGTATGACTTCTCGGCAATCTTTGTTTTTTTTCTTTTCCTTCTCTTCGATTCTCCCTTGCACCTTTCATCGCCTTCGTGCAGCGGTTTCTTTTTTGTTGTCCGAGTGTTTCGTTTAGAAGAGAAGGGAGGAAGGGAGAACCGAATATATATATATATATACACGCCGTTCACCTCTCTCTTTCTTTCTCTCCCCCCTCCCCCTGCTCTTTGCTCACCATCGCGTGTGAGGTTGGTTGTGTGTGTGTGTGTGCGAGTAGAGATAAACGCGCGGTTGTTGTGTTCTCTCAATACTGATTTTTTATTATTTTCTCTCTCGCTCGATTTTCTGTGGTTTGTACTCGTCTGTTCTGATTTGCTTGTTTGAATTTTCTGCTTGTATTTGAGGTCTTTTTCGTCCGCCGTGCGTGGCGGCACGTACCCCCCTCCCTCCCCTCGAGGCAGCTAATAAAGAATCATAATGGGAAGGAGGGTGCGGACGGTACGTCTTGAAAAATTCGGCCATCGTCTTTCGTACTCCTCCTTCTTGTTGCTGCTGCTGCTGCTGTGGTGCTGCTGTGGTGTGTATGTATTCTGTATGTTTGATTGCGTGTTTGTTTTGGTTGTGATACATTATTGTCCGCCTCTTTTTTTTCTTTCTTCGATGCTCAACGCTCTGTGCTGAGCTTGGTTTTGGCCTTTCTTTGCTAAGGCGAAGTACGCATTTCGCCGTGACGCGCCTGGCGACCGTGCGAGGCATCAAAGCAAACAAGAGAGAACGGCGAAGCAGCAGACGGAAGAGGAAACGGGAGAAGCCACTTTTGTTGTCGTTGTTTTTTTCTCTGAGTTTTTTTAGTCTGGTCTTTCCAGAGTTATCAGGCGAAAGTGGGATGTTTAAAATTAAAAGAAAAAATGGTGTGTGTGTGTGTGTGTGCGTGTTTGCGTCATACAGTTAGACCGTTAACAGTAATAAACCATCTTTAAAGAATGGGAGGGGAAAAAAAGGAACTGTCATGCACGACAATTAATGGCAACGCCGTTGTTAGTTGTTGCTGGAGTTTCACTGTACGTTTGCGTTATCGCGCTTCTCTCACCCCCGCTTTTTCTTTTCCAATGCGGGCTGTTATCCACACATTTTTTCTTCCTTTCTTTCTTACGGTGGGGTTGTTCTGTTTCTGTTTCTTTTCTTCTTCTCCTTTCTTGTTGTTCTGATTCGTGGGCTGAAAGTGGCAGGTCCTTCGCGAGTATCTCAGCCTTGTTTTACTTCTCAAATATTCCCACATTCATTTAGTTTAGTTATATATATATATGTTGGTTTTTGCGATAGCCTGCAAAGGCCTCTTTTTTATGGTTGCGTCGTCATCGTCGCTTTCTGTTGGTTTTCCTTGTTTTCCCTGTTTTTACTCTCGTGTTGAGGACATCTTAAATCTCTACCCCGAAAAGATATGAAGGAGATAAATAGAAAAGGAGGTATCGCAGGTGAGATGGATCGAGCAGGGCTCACGGGGAAGCAACTTCATAGCGCGTTCTCGTTGCTAGTATGGAGTATTGCTCCTATTGTTTTACCGGTGGTGGTTTTTTTCTTTCGTCTGCCTTCAGCGGACACCGATAGGGTCTTCTCGCTTGCTTCACCGTGGCTCGGGCCTCATTTAAAAACTGTACTGAAACCTCCACGGCTGCGCGGTACGCAAAATGCCCCGGCTTCATCGTCATTCAGCTTCTTTTCCTGCCTTTTACTATTTTTTTCTTTTCTGTTCTCTGTGTGTGTGTGTGTGTGTGTGTCCTTGCCATCTTCTTCTCACGCGTACCGCTTCCATCACAACAACCCCAACACAAATCTGCCTTGCAATGACTAAAACGCGCACAACAACTAAGACGGTAAAGAGGAATTGAAGGAGCTCTTTTTGAAAGGAAAAAACCTCTATACATTAATATATACATCTATCCCCTTTCCGCATCCTACGTCTCTGCTTTCGTTTTCATACCATCACGCCAAGATGCCTTCCCAGTCACCGCACGCGTCAGCTGACGCGCACAACGCCCTCGATGACGCCATCATGCTGACGGACGACGAATACGGCAACACCGACGATCCGTGCGGCATGGAGCGGGCGGAGCCACCCGCAGCAACAGCGCCGGCGGCGAACGATCGGTGGACGAAGGAAACGCCGCACGAGGGGGCGCGACGCCTCTTCCGGGCCTGCCCGTGGACGCGCAGCATTCCGGTGCTGGGCAACACCATCGCCGCTTTTGGGCCGAAGCTGACCGCCTCTGTCGGCGCCTTCTATTTCATGAACAACGGCCTGGCCGAGAACATCATCTCCGCCTCGAAGCAGCCCATGATGATGAAGCGCTACACGATCGACGGCACCCGCTACCAGCGCCTCGCCGGCGTGGTGACGATGGGGTCGTCCATTAAGGTGTTGATGGCTACCATCTCCGACACCTTCGCCATCTTCGGCTACCGCAAGCGGTGGTACCAACTCGGGTCCTGCGTGGTGGGCTTTTGCTTCTGTCTCGGCTACGCCCTCCTGCCCGCCAAACCGGCGTCGGCAGACACGGCCGCCGCCTTCATCTTCCTCTGCACTTTCTGCCGCATGAACTCGGACATCTTGACCCAGGGCCACTACAGCCGTTTGATCCGCCGTGCGCCGAAGGCAGGGCCGCAGCTGGTGACGTGGATCTACTGGATGATCCTCATCGCCACTCTCATCGCCGCCGTTCTCATGGGACCGCTGGCGGATCAGAACAAGACGGTGAACGGCATCTTCGTCTCCGCGGTGATGCACCTGCTGCCGGGTATTATTTTTCTTTTCAACGGCTACAGTGAGAAGACGAACCAGGAGGAGCGTGTCGAGGACGCACGGCGACTGCGCGAGGACCTGCGCGTGGCGCGCCTCCAACCCGTCGGTGCGCCGGACACCTCCTCCGATGTGAGCGGGGAGGACGTGCGGATGGGGATCCCGCAGGAGACAACGGAGCAGCTGATTTACGACGACGAGGACGAGCACCGCAAGAGCAAGAACAGCCACCACCACGACCAACACGACGACAACGATTTATTGGTGGCGAAGGACAAGCTAGGCAGGGAAGCGGTGACGCCGACGAAGACGCACACGGTGGCCACGCTGGACGGCAACGAGGCAACGACAGCGGAGGAGTGGGATGATGTGGAGTACGTGCAGCGCGACTGTCGCACCTACTGCGGCGGCCGCCTCGAGGTCAACCGCGAGATGGTGCTGCGCAACTGGAAGATCGTGTGCTACAGCGCGCTAATGATTTGCTGTGTTGGGACGATGGCCTGCATGACGATCCTCGGCACGACGTGGGATCTGCTGTACGCCTGCATCGTCGTCGCGGTGGTGTGCATCGGTGGCGCATTTATTTGCCTGCCGCGTGTGATTGCCAAAACGGAGGTGGCGGTGTTCTTGGACTTCGTCCTCTACATTCAGCTCCCCGGTGCGCTGGACAGCTTCTACGTGGCGGACGAGGCGTGCGTGCCGGGCGGCCCCCACTTCCCCTACAGCTTCTACACCACCGTCGGTGCGGTCATTCAGAACGTGGCGGGCCTGGTCGGCGTGACGATGTTCGCTTACGTCTTCTCCAAGCACAGCTTCCAGATGGTGATGATCACCACCGTCATTATGCGCATGGTCGCCTCCATCTTTGACTTGATGGTCGTCGAGCGCTGGAACCTGCACATCGGCATCCCGGACCACGCCATGTACATCTGCGGGGACTCCATCGTGTACCAGATCTGTTACCAGCTGAACTATATGCCGCTGGTGTTGGTGCTGTCGCGTGTGGTGCCGCCCGGGTCGGAGAGCATGGTGTACGCGCTCATGTCCAGCATCGGCAACCTGGGCATGACGATGTCGAACACGATCGGGTCGCTGCTGATGGAGCTGGCGTGGCCCATCGACACGACGACAACACCGTGTGACTTCAGCAACGTGCCGTGGCTCATCATCACAGGCCACCTCGCCGTTCCCGTGCTGATCATTCCCGTCTCGTACCTCTTCCTGCCGCGTGCGCGCATGTGCGACGACATCGACATGAACGGCCACGTTGTGCGGAAGCACCTTGAGAAGGAGCGTGCGCAGAAGGATCTGGGGGCAGGTCGACCGGCGACCGCGTCGGAGCCGCTGCACGAGCAGACGAACGCTTAGAGGAGAGAGAGGAGAGAGAAGAAGAGGAAAAGACGCGGAACGAGATGACCGGGGCTTCTTTTTTTTTATTCGATGGAGAACGAAGCCCACCCCTTCTCCCTGCACTCGTCGGTGCTCTCTCTCTCTCTCTCTCTCTTCCTCTATTCTTTTCGTGGTGATGGAATCGGCTTTCGCAGGGCGTGTTGCCGGCTTTTTGATCTCCGCGGCGACTTTCGTGGCCGTTCGTGCTTACAATGCGGTGAGGCGAGAAGTGTGGGAAGAAGAGAAGAACGGGGGGAGGTAAAACGAGAAACGAACGCTCGCCTCGGTGCCGCGCCAATCGTGTGTGGCGATGGTCAACTCGTCGTGCCCTCCGTGGTACCAAAAGCGTGCGCACACCGCAGCGTCTTCCTCTACTTCGTTCTCACGGATGCTGCTGCTCCTCTCGTTTTTCAATGATCACACCATTTTCTTCCAGTTTGGTGGGTATCGTTTGTTGGGAGGGATGTGAGGAGGAAAACAGCGCAGGAGCAGCAGTACACAACCCCATTGTCTTGCCGCTCTGTCGGAAAGTGCGTGCATCGTGCAAGGACTAAGGAAGGGGAAAAGATCGCGAGGCCTTGTGGTCACCGCCTCCTCTTTTTTTCCCTTTAACTGTTTTATGTTTTTTATGTTTTTCCTTGAACGAAACTGAAAAGGAAACGAAAGACCTTGAACCTCTCCGCGCGTGTGCGTCTGTCCGTGTGTGTGTGTGTGTGTGTGTGTGTCAGTCCTTTAGCGTAATACTATTTCTTCTGTGTATTGTTGAGTCAACGTCCTTCTCTTTTCTTGTTTTGATTTTCATTGGCACACACGCACACCCACACCCACACATTTCGCGGGCTTCACGTTCTTTTCTGATTTCTTATCCACTTTTTAACGCCCCCTATTTCTCTCCATACGTTACTGATATTCACGTATTTATATAGTCGAATCTACTGTTCTGCATCCGAGAGCGTGCGACTCGGTCACGGCGCGCTCCTTTGTTTTATTGATTTATTTATATATGCGAAGGTACGCATCTGCGCGCCTGCCGACTAATGTTGTTAACGTGTCGGCTGATTTCCTCTTCTTATTTTTCTTCTATTTTTCCTCTCTCACCTTTCTTTTAAGAGTTAAACCGGGAAAGGAATAAACAAACGCTGTGTGGTGACGGAGACATTGACTGCAGTGCGGAAAGAAGAGAGGAAAAAAGAAGCCGTTGCGTACTCCGATGCGCCGTGGGCTCCTTCGCGCGCAGCTGATGTCTTCTCCTCTCACCACGATCTCTTCTCAAGCACGTGTTTCTTCATCCTTTCTATATATATATATATATGTTTACATTGGTAATGTTTCTCCCACGCCACCCCACCCCCTCTCTCTTTCTTCGCTGTGTTGTACTCTCTCTCTCCCTCTCTTACGAGGGTTTTTATTTCATTCACGGTGTGCGCTTCTCATCGTCTGTGCGTGTGTATGCGTGTGTGCGTGTCAACGATGCTTTCTTCTTCTTTATATTTATATATATTTATATATATAATGCTTGGTCCTCTATTTTTAATTTGTTTGCTTCTTTGTTCTTCCCCCTCTCCTCTCATACACATATATGTTTTTATCCTCTTCTGTATTCGATCGCAAACCGCTATCGAGCGTTAATTTCCTTGATGCTACGGTTGTCCTTCCCTGCAATGAAAGTTGGTCATCTCTCAATGGCCTAGACAGCAAAGAAGGAACGAAAGGCACGGTAGGGCATCTGAAGCAGCACCGATCTTTTTTTATTCGTTGCCTGCCTCTTTCGCGATAGAACTCCGCATCCCAATCCTCCTCGTTTCATCATGAAAGCCTCGTCACTCCTCTCCTCTCCCCCTCCCTCTCCCTCCTCTCGCTCTTCCTCTACAGGTCAACGCAGTAATATTGCTTAATTATTATTTTTTCCTTTCTTTAAAACGGAGTCGTTCTCTCTCTTCCAGCTTTTTATTCTTCTTCTATTATTATTATTGCTATCAAACAACACCAACCTCAGCAATCTCGCGCTTCACCTCGTCTTCGCTTTGTCCGCTTTTTCCCACCCACGTGGGCATCAGACACACACACACACACCAGAACTCAAAAAAAAGAGATGTCGTCGTTCTCGAACGCTGCGGTCCCGGCTGGCGAGACCGCCTGGCGCGAGGACGCTGCAGCGGACGCACCGGCCGACAGCGCCACGCCAGATAACTTCACGCCGGCGAAGAACCCCGACGACGGAGTGCCGGGGGTGTTTGATATGACGCCCAACGACGCTGTCGCGATGGCGGAGCACCCAGATGCGGTGGGCTTCTTCAAGGTCGTGCCGTGGGTCCGCAAGTTCCCTGTTCTCGGAATCGCCGTGGAGGCCTTCGGCCCTGTCTTCATCTTCTCGCTCGGCAGCTGCTACTTTCTGATGAAGGGCATAACGGAGAACATCGTCGGCTTCTCGAAGCAGCCGATGATGTCGAAGCGGTACGGCATCGACGCGGTGCGTTACCAGCGCCTGGCCGGCATCACCAAGATGGGCACCTCCATCAAGGCCTTCATCGCCGTCATCACTGACATCTTCCCCCTCTTCGGCTACACGAAGCGGTGGTACATGTTCGGGTCCTGCCTGATCGGCTTTGCGTTTACCCTCGGCTACGGATTACTTCCGGCAAAGAAGTCGTCCGCGGACATCGCGGCAGGTTTCATGTTCCTCTCCGTATTTGCCCGCGCCAACGTGGACCTGCTTTCCGAGGGCCACTACAGCCGTCTCATCCGGCGTAACGCGAAGGCCGGACCAGCCATGGTGAGCTGGATTTGGTGGATGATCATGTTCGGCACGATCATCGCCTCCCTCATTCAAGGCCCCCTGTCCGACGGTGGCAAGATGCAGATTGGCCTCTACGTCGCCGCCGCCCTGCACATCTTCCCCTGCATCATATTTATCATGAACTGGTACGACGAGAAGAAGAACAAGGTGGAGCGGCACGAGGACGCGGTCCGCCTGTACAACGATATGAAGATCGCCCGTCGGGAGCACCGCGTCAGGGCGCACGCGAAGAGGCGGCAAGACAAGGCAGACGGCAACAAGACGGTGAGTTACTTTCAACCTGAAGAGGGCACCATCCGCATGGAGCCGCTGGAGGGCGAGAACGACGACGACCTTGTCGGCTTCTCCAACGCCGTCGCCGTGGCCGACGACGCCGATCTGGCCTTCGGAGACGACTACGCAGACGACGACGAAACGGAGTTCCAGGAGCCCGACATCGCCACCTTCTGCTGTGGCGCAGTCGAGGTGAACAAGGAGGTCTTTGTGCGCAACTGGAAGATCGTTGTGTACAGTGTGGTCATGACGTGCGCCGTCATCACGATGGCCTGCGTGACCATCCTCGGCACCATCTGGGATCTGCTGTACGCCTGCATCGCCGTCTCGGTGGTGTGCTGCGTCTGCGCCTTCCTGACGCTGCCGCGCGTGATTGCCAAGGCGAACGTGTTCACCTACTTCGACTTCGTCCTCTACATCTCGCTGCCGGGTGTGCTGGACACCTTCTACGTGGCCGATGAAGCGTGCGTGCCGGGCGGCCCCCACTTCTCCTACACCTTCTACAACACCGTTGGTGCGGTGATCCAGAACGTGGCCGGCATGGTCGGCGTGGCGATGTTCACGTACATGTTCTCGCACATGCGTTACCAGGTCGTCATGTGCATCACCGTCATCATCCGCATCGTCGCCTCCGTCTTTGATCTCGTCATGGTCGAGCGCTGGAATGTATACATCGGCATCCCGGACCACGCCATGTACATCTGCGGGGACGCCATCGTGTACGAGTTGTGCTACATGCTCGGATACATGCCCATTGTGATGCTGCTCTCGCGAGTGTGCCCGCGTGGGTCGGAGAGCATGGTGTACGCGCTGATGGCCGGCTTCGGTAACCTGGGCTCGTCCATGTCGAACACGATCGGGTCGCTGCTGGTCGAGCTGGCGTGGCCCATCGACACGAAGGTGAAGCCGTGCGACTACAGCAACGCGCGTTGGCTGATCATCACGGGTCACCTCGCCATCCCTGCTCTGATTATTCCACTGGGCTTTCTGATGATGCCGTCAGCGCGCATCTGCGACGACATCGATGTCAACGGACACGCAATTCACAAGCAGGTAAAGGCGGAGGTGAAGGAGGAGGAGAAGGACAAGAAGGACAAGAAGGTGAAGAAGGTGGATGCGGTGGAGCCGTTTGAGAGCTCCGAGTCGGACTAGAAAGCGAGGAAGAGAGCGGCATTGAGGCGTTGAAAGACAGAAGGAAATAATAATAAAAGAGATGCGGTGATGGCACCGTAATTATCTTAGTAATGCATCGAGACGCTCTTTTATTTTGTTTTTCCTTGCTGTGGCTTCTCTCTTCTCTCTTCGTTTGAAGCGAGGAGCTACGCATAGGCAAATGGTCAGCCGCACTGCGCGGTGTCTGCTTCCGATGGCTGCCCGTCTTCCCCGCGCCTTGTTGTCGTCTCTTTCTTTCTGTTCTCTATGCGTGGGTGTGCTCGTCAAATCACATGCGCACACCTGTGTGTGTGTGTGTGTATTGATTGGGCAGTCCCCCACCGAGGAGCCCTTCTTCGTCCCTGCAACCTCTTCCGTTGCTGCTCCTCTGAAAGCCCGGTCATCTTCACGCCGACTCCCTCTTCCGATGCGCCGTCATGCCCTGCTGCTGCTGCTACTTTTGCCCTCGCTCTTCTTACTAATATTCGTATTTTACGACACGAAGCCCATGGTGCACGGACAGTGTAGTGCACACAATGAGCGGGGGGAAGGGAGGGGAAAGCGCCGTCTAAGCAGCATCGCGGGCCGCACTCACCCTCCGCCATTCTTGCTACTTTTCTTTTATTTCATCATCATCATCGAACTTTTCTCTCCAGCGCTTCTTTTTTGTTGTTGTTGTCGTCGTTGTTCGCATGGCGTTTTCGATGAGTTCCACGTCCGTAGATGTTCGTCTCTTCCCCTTCAAACGGCAGCGCTCAACAATAATTCGCCTTCTCGCGATGTATTTGGTTTTTGTTTGTTTTCTTTTTCTTTCCTTCCTCCCTCTACGACTCCACTCTTCCTTCTTCATTTCTTCTGTTGTCATCCCTCTACTTTCTCCAATGGCTTCTTCTTCTTTTAAAAACAAACAAAACCGCCCTCTCCCAACCGAGCTCTTTTTTTTCTCTCTCTCTCTCTCTTCTACTAGTAATACTCTTTCTATAATTCGTTTTGATGAATACCATTTCTGTTGTGTACTTCTCTTTCAGCACCGCTGGTTTGTTTGTTTTTTGTTCCTCTACTACTATTTCTTTCTCTCTTTCTATCGAGAAGGATAGGGTCGTGCGTTGCCATGTAGGCTCCTTTCAGGGGGTGAGCAAGGGCGGAGCTGAGTACCCCACTTGAGCTCTTTGTAGACGCCCACACTTCCCAAAAAAGGAAAAAGAACAACGCCCCTCACAGTCACGCTTTTCGTTTCCTACGTTACTGATTATGATGCCGAGGAGAGCACCGCTGGCTTCTAGCGGTGTCCTCCGACGATTGCGCCGGTGCGCTCTTTATCCATGATGTGTGTGGGGGGTGGGGTTGGGGATTGCGGGATGAGTTCTATGGAAGAACAACAGGGAAGATGAAAAGGCTGCACCATCGATGTGACGAGACAGGTGTACCCGCTGCAAAAGGTCAAACGGATTTGTGTATTTAAATAGAATGCATTTCTCATTTCTTCCCTTTTTTGTTTGTCTCTTTCGCTGGATACTGACGTTGCTCGTCGTCTTCGCAGAAGCTGTGTGTCTCGATCTCTGCCCTTCCCCTCCCCCCACCCCTTCAACATGCACACACACACACACATCACAGACACCCCCTCTTTGTGGTGTTTTCAAATGCGATTTAAACCGCACGCAGAACGTCGTGCCCACTGTCTTTCTCTCTTCTTTTCTTTTTCCAGTGTAGCCTGTATGCCGCATCTCACGCACGCCGCTAGCGAGGAACAATCATCGTATAGGTGGGAGAACTGTTGTACAAACCCTCTCTCACTCACTCCCATACAAACACAAACACACACGCACGCAGCCACGATTTATATAAACCTTTCGCGTTGTTGTCGCTGCTGCTGCTGTTGACGTGAATGCTGCTGTGTGCGCCGTACATACGCCTTCATTTTTGTTTGTGTCCTCTTTCTTTTCCTTGAAGCCGACGCTAACATACTTTTTTTTCTCTCCTGTTTTCACCTGAGCGATTTAACACCATTTTTCTCTTCCATACGTCATTCCTGTGTTTGCTTGTCTTTCTCTATTGTTATTTCCTCTCTCTCTTCCTCCTCCCCCTTCCTTCGCGTCACCTTTTGGTGACTTCAGTACATACATCTGTTATCGCTTTTAACGTATCAGCACCCCCTGTTGTACATCACCCCAGACTCGTTAACACCAGACCAACCTATATGCACGCATATATATATGTACGAATGCATCAGCAAAAACGAAAGGAATTGATGATGAAGAATGGTGGAATACGGGCAGCCTGCAGAAGCTTGCCGTGGCGAAGGAAGGCGTGTTGGCGTCCCGCTCGCTTACCGCGGCTCCTCCTTCTCTTTCTTTATACTCCTGAGAACGCGGTGGAAGACACGAGGACGCGGGCACCGCCTCGCTTGTGTTAGAGCCGCCTAGTCACGGTGCGATGGAGCTGCACACTTGAAGAGGCTTCACTCCTTTCCTCGCCTGTTGTTGATGTTGCTGACGCTGTTTGACGTGCACAGACTCTCTTCTTCTCCTGTGCCTTCCTCCCCCTCTCCCTCCTCCTCCGCCTCCTCGACCTCACTGGCTGGTCGCACCGCTGCGCCAGACGTGATTCCTCGGGAAAGGCCCAATCAAACCCCCACTGCACTCTTTCTCTTTCTCCTTTGTCAGCACCGCGACCCCCTGCGGCTCGACCGTTGCTTTGATTCTGCTGCGATACGCGTGTGCCGAACTGCCCCTCCTGCACGGGGACACACACACCAACAGAAAGCCGTCTCGGCTCCGTCCAGGCAATGCCAGGCTCACCGCGCAGCGGTCACACCAACAGCCGTGAGGAGGCGGACGACGCGCAGGGCCACCAAAGCATGGCCGATGCTCCCGCGGCGCCGGTGGACACGGCGGTGCGCTACGTCCACCCCGAGGCGGCCCGCTTCTTCGCTTCCTGCCCGTGGGCGCGCCAGATCCCCATCTTCGGCGAGGCCGTGGAAGGCTTCGGATGGCGGATGGTGATCGCGCTGGGTGGCAGCTACCTCTTCTGTAAGGGCATCGCAGATCAGATTCTCACCAATCAAACCTTCGCCATGATGAGGGTCCGTTACGGCATCTCGGCGGACAGGTACCAGCGTCTCTACCCCATCTCGACGATGGGCTGGTCCATCAAGGCGTTCAGCGCCATGATGTGCGACGGCTTCGCCTTCCTCGGCTACACGAAGCGCTGGTACATGTTCGTGTCGTGCGTGGCCGGTGCCGTGTTCGCGCTTGTGTACGGCCTGCTGCCCGCCAAGGCGAGCTCCGCCGATACCGCTGCCGCCTTCATCTTCCTGTCGTGCTACGGTAAGGCGAACGTGGACATCCTGTCGGAGGGCCACTACAGCCGCCTCATGCGCGGTAACCCGAAGGCCGGTCCGGCACTGATCAGCTGGATCTGGGTGTGGGTGCTGGTCGGTGCAGTCATTGCCACGGTGATGAACGGCCCGCTGGCCGACCTGGGCAAGCCGCAGATCAGCATCTTCGTGTCTGCCGCCTTGCAGTTCATCACGTGTTTCTTCCACCTATTTAACATGTACGGCGAGAAGAAGAACCGCGTGCAGCGCTCCGAGGATGCGCTGTACATGCTGGAGGAGACCCGCAAGGAGCGCGAGCGGCTTGGCCTGGCGACGGGTGCGGACGACCTCGGTGTGAACGCGCCGGCCCCTGAAAAGAAGCCGTACCCGGAGCACTCCAGCGCGGAGGACGCGGAGGCGGCGGTGCAGGACGCGCTTGGGGACGAGCTCGTGCAGAGCCACTACAGCGAGGAGGACAACGGTGACGACGAGGCGGAGGTGTACTACGGTGAGCCGCCCGTTCCCTGCCTGTTCGGCGTCTTCGAGATGAACAAGGAGGTGATCTCGGACAACTGGCGCATCTTTGCCTACTCGATCGTCATCACGTGCGCGGTGGTGGCCATGCTGTGCGGCAACATCCTGTGTGACACCCTCGGCCTGCTCATCATCTGCGTCGTCGTGTCGACCATCTGCTGCTCCCTCTCCTTCTGGGCCCTGCCGTCTATCATCGCCCGCACAAATGTTTTTGCCTACCTCAACACGGTGGTGTACATCCACGCTGTGAGTCCGTTGCAGACCTTTTACATGAACTCCAACAAATGCAAAGGCGACTTTCCGAACTTCACCTTCACCTTCTATAGCACCGTTGCAGGCGTCATCGGCAACATCGCTGGCCTGGTTGGTGTGGCCGCCTTCAACTACCTCTTCTCCAAGCAGAACTACCAGGTGACGTACATCGTAACGACGGTGTTGCAGGTGCTCGCTGCTGTCTTCGACATCATCATCATAAAGCGGTGGAACGAGTACATCGGCGTTCCGGACCACGCCATGTACATCTGGGGTGATGCCGTCGTGCAGCAGATCGTGTACATGCTCGGCTTCATGCCAGTCGTGGTCTTGATGTCGCGCCTGTGCCCCCGCGGGTCGGAGAGCGTGGTGTACGCGCTGATGGCCGGCTTCTCCAACCTCGGCCAGACCACGGCGTCGTCCATTGCGGCCATCATCATGGAGTACGGCTGGTCCGCCTTCGCGGAAAACGACAAGTGCAACTATGAGAATCTGCCGTGGCTGGTTTTCGTCTGCAGCGTCATGACCCCGCTGCTGGCGATCCCGCTGAGCTTCATGCTGCCCATCGCCCGCATCATCGATGACGTCGACATCGACGGCAACGTGGTGCGCGCACAGGTGGACAAGAAGGTGGTGGCGGAGGAGGTGCTGACGGAGCACACGGACAGCGCGGAGCAGGAGGTCCTTGACACATCTCCCGTGACCGGCAAGTAGGGAAGCGGCGCCGGCGTCTCCGGTGCATCGTATGGAACTCCATGTGCGGTGGCACGGCGGAAGCACGCCGAGTGGGAAGAAGGAGTACCTTCCGGTGAGGAGTTGCCGGTCCACGATGGTTTTCGATGCAGCGAGGTCGGCTTCCGGCCTCAGCCATCCTCCCTCCCACACGCGTTCGCTGGAAGCAACTGGCCTCGGTCTTATTTTCGGGGAGAGGTTGTTTAGTGTGTGCGTGTCTGCTGATATATATATGTGCTTTCCAACCGCCTCCTGACATCGAGCAGTCACCGCACGTTACGCACATGGCTGATTCCTCTTCTTTTCTCTCTTAACTTCTGAAATGGTGGCCATCCATGGCGCCCAACGGTGCGGGTTTTACGTGGAAATGATGGCGTGTTTGCGCACGCCGTCCAAAGAGGGGACGTGGAACGGGGTAGCTCACATTTAAAAGCCTGCCTTCCTCCTACAACCCAAAGCGTTGCCGCTTTATTTCGTTGGAGTTGCTTTACTTCCCTCCTCGGGCCTTTATTTACTTTCTTTTCTTTCTTTTGCTTGTTGTAACGTACGCCTGTTAACTCCACAGATCTTCTTGTTGTTTTGCTGTACTAAAATGTTGTTTCTCCCATGAAAGCTGATGCGCTGTGTCGATTTTTTCTCTCTCGCTTCTATCTCCTAAGTCATCCTCTACTAAGCCTTCGTCCTGTTGGCCCCTTCGTTTTTCTCGTCTCAGTGTCGTACGTTTTCGTTTCTTCTGTTGTAGCCCTTGTTTCTCTCTCCCTCCTGGTTTCTTGCTTTTCATATTTCTGGTGGTTTATAACTGCGCTGGAGATGCCCCTACTGTGAGAGGGAAGGGGGCGGAGGGGTATCGTCACCCCGTGTGCTTCTCTATTTGTGTTCTCTCCCGACACCGTTCTTCCTCCTTTATGCGGGCTTCTCGCCTGTGTGTGTGCGCGGCGCAGAGGAGTTGGGGCGGTCACTCACACGCAGACTATTCTCTCTTGCCCTCAGAGGCTCAAGGGGAATAACAATAAATGTGATACGCGAGAACAAGAGGAACCCTCACACACACGCACACACGCTCATGTGTTTCAAAGAAGAAATTAAGGTGATCCTTCTCTCTCTCCTGTCCATTTTCCGCCGGACCCGCGCAGCAACTCCGGGCTCTCGTTGTGGTTCATTTCGTTTCCCCTTTGCTCCCTTGTTTGCTTTGATTCTTTCTGCGAGTCTCTGTGTGTGTCTGTGTGTGTGTGGGTAGAATGACGGTTGGTGTCTCGTGTGGTGATGGACCGCGGCGACACTCAACCTCACCACAGCAGCCCCTAGGTTGCAGAGTGAAGGGAGAAGAAGAAAAGAAAAAATGCGCCGAGGAACGGACGACCTCCAAGAAGAAAGAGCGTTCAGCGACAGTACGACGCAAACAACGCTGAGCTAGCATCTCTGCGTAGTCCACATATATATAGATATATATATATATATATATCTTTATTTATTTGAATTTGCCGTGTGGGGTTTTTGATTCGATTGTTCTTGCTGTGGGTCAAGTGTTTTTAGTGTCTTATTTTGTTTTCTCTTTCCCTTTCTCTTCACGTTCGCCACCGAAGAAGGAAAGCGCAATCTCATGCCGCTCGGACTATATTATTATTTTTTTTACGTTAACTACCCCACCACGCCTGCATCGTCGTCAACTTAGCGTGAACACGTATGCTGATGCTTGGCCACGCTATCTCCCCTCCCTCCCTCTCTCCTTCTCTCTCTCTCAGTCGTTCTGAGTGAGCATCTTTCTGGGGAGGTTTTTTCCTGAGTTCTATCTCGTCTGTGTGTTCGTGTGTGCGGATTTCTTTCCTCCCTTTCGTTTTCTTGTGCCTAAAGGAAATAGAACAATACGAGCGCGGCGCGAAAGCCAGGCGGCATGCACGCACGACAAGCGCACAAGTGCCCTTATGTTGGTGTGGCGGAGAAGTCGATGTGTATTCGTGTTGTGTGGTTGTTGTCATCGTCGTCGGAGGAGGAGGAGGTGTTTCTTTGCCTTCTTTCCTTCTTTCTTGTTTTGCATGGGTCCATCGTTTTAGAGATAAAAACCAATAAAATAAGCTCACAGTGTTTTTAATCCGGGTACTGCGAAGACGTGTTTTCTTCGTGAATGATAATCATTTTTGGGTGCCTTCTTTTCATTACTATTATTATTATTGTTGTTGATGTTGAACGGCGGTGGGAGATGCGTCAACAAACCGAAGTCCTCTCAATACAGCGAAGTGGTTTTATTAGCCCACGGCAAATTCAAAGTAAATTAAAATAAACCAAAAGGAAAAGAGAAAAGAGGAAGGAGAAAGGAGGAAGTACTTGTATAACCTTCCGGTTTTAGGCGGTGTTTATTATTATTATGTTTATTATTATTATTATTATTATTATTATTATTATTATTATTATTATTACCTCCCTACCTCTCTCCGTCTCCCTCTATCTTGCCAGCGTATGAAGCGATAAAAGATCTGCAATTTTCAAAACGACAGAAAGGTAATACGACACGGTCACAACGCGCCTCGTGAGAGGTGAATACGGCATTGGGGATTTCGTGAAACCCATTGCGCTTTGCGCTTCCTTGCACACATGTGTATGTCATGTTGCGTGTGTGTATGCGGGGATGGAATCGCTCGGGGCGAGTCATCGAGTCAAGCAGTCCGTCCTCCGTCTTCTCGCCTCGTGCCCAACCCCCCCCCCCCCTCCCCCCGAAAGAGCCTCGCTTTGTATCTCTTTTATTAGCATTTTCGCTGCCCTTCTCTCGAACCACCACGCATCACCGGGGGCGTCTCTATCTTCGGTTTATCTCCTCTTGTCCCCGACGCACTTCTTCGTCTGTTGCCATTAAACCGCGTATTGAAAGAAATTCTTTAATCCTACCACTCCACTATAATAGTCGTCGCCTCTTTTCTTCTTCTCTTTTCTTTTGCGTTTCATTACTGTTTGTAGTCTTCTACAACGCTAATTATATTCTCGCTACGTCCTCAACGCCGCTACAGCTCTCCGTCTCTTCCTCCCTCTCCCACTCCTCCTCTCGCTAGTACACCAGGCACAACCACCAACCCCATCCCGCCTCCGCAGCATTCCTTGTTCTCCAGACGAGGAACAACAGCTCGCAAGATTCACCGTTCCTTTGTGATTCTCTGTGTGGCCGAGAACCACAGAACAGCAAACCATAAAGACAGCCATTTTCGTGAATTACAATGGTGGGCCCGGAGGCTACCCAACCCACTCGCGAGGATGTGGAGGATGCAGAGGCCACCAAAGCATGGCCGATGCTCCCGCGGCGCCGGTGGACACGGCGGTGCGCTACGTCCACCCCGAGGCGGCCCGCTTCTTCGCTTCCTGCCCGTGGGCGCGCCAGATCCCCATCTTCGGCGAGGCCGTGGAAGGCTTCGGATGGCGGATGGTGATCGCGCTGGGTGGCAGCTACCTCTTCTGTAAGGGCATCGCAGATCAGATTCTCACCAATCAAACCTTCGCCATGATGAGGGTCCGTTACGGCATCTCGGCGGACAGGTACCAGCGTCTCTACCCCATCTCGACGATGGGCTGGTCCATCAAGGCGTTCAGCGCCATGATGTGCGACGGCTTCGCCTTCCTCGGCTACACGAAGCGCTGGTACATGTTCGTGTCGTGCGTGGCCGGTGCCGTGTTCGCGCTTGTGTACGGCCTGCTGCCCGCCAAGGCGAGCTCCGCCGATACCGCTGCCGCCTTCATCTTCCTGTCGTGCTACGGTAAGGCGAACGTGGACATCCTGTCGGAGGGCCACTACAGCCGCCTCATGCGCGGTAACCCCAAGCCCGGTCCCGCGCTGATTGGTTGCATATGGTGGATGATTATGGTCGGTGCAATCATTGCCACGGTGATGAACGGTCCGCTGGCCGACCTGGGCAAGCCGCAGATCAGCATCTTCGTGTCTGCCGCCCTGCAGTTCCTCACAGCCTTCATCTTCCTGTTCAACTGGTACGGCGAGAAGAAGAACCGCGTGCAGCGCTCCGAGGATGCGCTGTACATGCTGGAGGAGACCCGCAAGGAGCGCGAGCGGCTTGGCCTGGCGACGGGTGCGGACGACCTCGGTGTGAACGCGCCGGCCCCTGAAAAGAAGCCGTACCCGGAGCACTCCAGCGCGGAGGACGCGGAGGCGGCGGTGCAGGACGCGCTTGGGGACGAGCTCGTGCAGAGCCACTACAGCGAGGAGGACAACGGTGACGACGAGGCGGAGGTGTACTACGGTGAGCCGCCCGTTCCCTGCCTGTTCGGCGTCTTCGAGATGAACAAGGAGGTGATCTCGGACAACTGGCGCATCTTTGCCTACTCGATCGTCATCACGTGTGCGGTGGTGGCCATGCTGTGCGGCAACATCCTGGCCGACACCCTCGGCCTGCTCATCATCTGCGTCGTCGTGTCGACCATCTGCTGCTCCCTCTCCTTCTGGGCCCTGCCGTCCATCATCGCCCGCACAAATGTTTTTGCCTACCTCAACACGGTGGTGTACATCCACGCTGTGAGTCCGTTGCAGACCTTTTACATGAACTCCAACAAATGCAAAGGCGACTTTCCGAACTTCACCTTCACCTTCTATAGCACGATTGCAGGCGTCATCGGCAACATCGCTGGCCTGGTTGGTGTGGCCGCCTTCAAGTACCTCTTCTCCAAGCAGAACTACCAGGTGACGTACGTTGTGACGACGGTGTTGCAGGTGCTCGGTGCCATCTTCGATATCATCATGGTGAAGCGGTGGAACGAGTACATCGGCGTTCCGGACCACGCCATGTACATCTGGGGTGATGCCGTTGTGCAGCAGATCGTGTACATGCTCGGCTTCATGCCGCTTGTGGTCTTGATGTCGCGCCTGTGCCCCCGCGGGTCGGAGAGCGTGGTGTACGCGCTGATGGCCGGCTTCTCCAACCTCGGCCAGACCACGGCGTCGTCCATTGCGGCCATCATCATGGAGTACGGCTGGCCCGTCTTCGCGGAAAACGACAAGTGCAACTATGAGAATCTGCCGTGGCTGGTTTTCGTCTGCAGCGTCATGACCCCGCTGCTGGCGATCCCGCTGAGCTTCATGCTGCCCATCGCCCGCATCATCGATGACGTCGACATCGACGGCAACGTGGTGCGCGCACAGGTGGACAAGAAGGTGGTGGCGGAGGAGGTGCTGACGGAGCACACGGACAGTGAGCGAGGGCCGCTGAGCGAGACTCGTGAGGGAAAGGAGTAGTAGTGGAATGCGCTGACAAGGTGTCGTCGTGCATGATTTTCTTTTCTTTTCTTCTTCCTTTCCTTCGCCTTTTTGTTACCCAGTTTCCTTCACCGCTGTATACACATCGCAACACATATTTGTTTATATACATGTATATACGTATTTGTATTTGCACAAGCGGTGTGAAGGGTTGCGGGGTCAGCGGTGCTCCGTCACAACTGCTGACCCACCAGGGATCTGCTCCAATGTCGGTGACTCGACTGCTGTGGTGTGTAGGGTGTTTTGGAACTCTTGCGTTCACCGAGGGTTTTTATACAGACGCCACCGCAGCAAAGTTTGAGGTTCGGCTTCCGGTCTTTTTTCTTTCTTGAATGGAAAACAAACAAAAAAACGAAGAAGTCAAAAGAGAAAAAGCTATCTTCAGCGAAGATAATTAAAACGCCTACGGCGCATGCTTCAGTGCGTTGCTGCGGCCCGTCGCTGTTGTTCACCTGGACGAACCGCGCAGCTCTCTAGAGGCCCAAAACCTGCTCTGTTTTTTCCTCTAATCTTTAAAAAAAAATTAACGAGGAGGAGGTAATTATGATTACCGCCCTTTTTTCTTCTATGGTTTTCCTTTCTCCTTTTTTCTTTTACTTCTTCTTCTTTTTCTTGTCTCTCTTAAGTAACAAGTGTATTTTTATTATTTTTATCAGAATTGCTTTTACTATTGTTTATGTGCGGAGGGGCGGGAACACAGCGTGAAAAGCGATGTGTGTTGTATACGCCGGTGCGATACGCTTTTTTCCCCTTGTTCGTGTTTTCGTCTTCTTGCCGCCGTGATCGCTGTTATTCATCTTCTCTGAATATTCTTTATAACAAGTTAGCCGCTAGCACGTCTTCTTCTTCTTTTGTTTTCTTTTGTTTTTCTCTTCTCTCTCCCTCTCTATCTTGAACGTGTGCCTTGAAACCTCGCCGCCATTTCTCCTTCTCTCTGGGGTGATTGCAGCTGCTTGTCTTCGTTTGTTGGCTTCCCGCTTTGCTGCAATTATCCACCTCGTTCTTCGCTGCCTTCTCTTCTCTTTTATATCTATAACGTCGGCGCAAATCTTTTTTTCTTTTCTTTCCTTTTACGTCCGTCGAAGTAACTTGACTGTTTTTTTGTTTTCCGCAGCTGACTTCTTCAGAAAGACACGAAGGCGCGAGGTGGCGGCGGCGCCTGCGTGTGATGGCCCGTCTTCCCCTCGAGTGCGTATGACGAGCGTACACGTCCGTCACCGTGTGCGTCGTCTGTTTCTGTGTATTTCTCTTGGTTTTTTCTTTTTATTTTTTTTTTGTTGGAATGGGGTGCTTGAGAGAGCTTCTATTATTATTGGAGGCACACGCGCTCGCACCGATCGGAGAGGAGAGGAGGGGGGGGAATTGAATTTGGCTCTTCATGCGTGCCTCCTGTAATTCTCACATGTTCGCTGCTCCCCCCTCCCCTTCTGGCTCTTTTATGTAGTGCTTTTCTTTTGCTTCCTTCTTGTTGTTGTTGTTGCGCGTTTCGACGCTCGAAGGACGGGAAGAGGAGGAGGAGGGAGAAAAGTGAGTTACACATGCGCGTGAAAGGGAAGAAGGAGCAGAACCTAAAGAGGTTCTCGCGCGCCCTCTCCTCCTTTTCATTGATGGCGTTACACTTATGCGTTCTTCTTTCCTCCTCCTGTCAGTTCCTCGGGCAGGCGTCGAACTATACATATATCGCCGTTTTCTTTTCCAAAAGAAAGAAAATGAAAAACAAGAAGAACCCTACATCGCTTTCTTCCTCTTACTTCCGCCTGTTCTCTCGTACGACGCAGGCAAAACAATAAAAAAACAGTGTGTGGTACTTGCGCATGCGTGGGTGCGCACGCAGTGTATCTTAAGAGTATCATTTCTCATTAATTCATACCTTTCCTCTAAGAAGTTAATGATTTTTTTTTTAGCTGCTTGATGGTTTCTGATGTTTATTTTCTTTCTGATTCATCACTTCCTTTCTTCTTTGGTTTGTTTGTTTGTTTGTTTTTGGGGATTTTACATGGTGTGTGGGGGTGTGTGTGTGAGCATGTGTCCGGCGTGCTTGACCGAGGCGTCGAGGCGGTTGATCTCTCGATGGCGGATAACTGCAACTATTCCCATCGCTTGAAGGAACCAAAGGGTTCGTGTGTGCGTGTGTGGCTTTATATTTTCTTTTTCCTGTCTGTTCTGCTTCTAACGCTTTCTTTCTCCCTTTTATTCCTATTTTATCACAATACACATTGAAGAAGAAATCATTTATAAATTAATATTTTTTTTAAGAACAAGAAAGAAAATGCTGGCTAACTCCAGCAAAAGAAGAAAAGAGAAAGGATGTTGAAAATACAAATGTCAAGTGAAACAGCTTTCGTACGACTCGAGAAGATTCTGCGGTGGGTGGGTGGGTGGGCGGTGCTGCTCTCTGAGTCCTGCTTAGCCAAACTGCTCTGAGTACGGCGCGTTTGTTTGTTTGATTTCTCTTTTTTGTTTGTTTTTCCTTTGTAATTACGTCGATTTTCCTCTTCTTTTCACTGTGGTGTGTGTGTGTGTGCTGCATCTCGCCAAGCTGAGTCGCGATGAAAACACATACGCAAAGGAAGTGCCACCGCGTGCCGCTTCCCGCCTCCTCTTTTGTGTATTTTGTCGGCGCAGAAAATCTCAACTTCATTCCGCAACACCCCAAAAGAATTTTTAAAAAAAGAAAGACCCACGCGTTCGGGAGATGCGTTAATCGCGTCCCGGTCGCATGGCACGCTGTTGTCGGGGGGGTTTTTTTGCTGTGTTTTGTTTTTGTTTTTCCACCGAAGGCAACGTACACGAATGGCGCCGTACTATGCGAGACCCCCGAAGAGGGTAATGCGCATGGCTTACGGATTTGTTTTTGCCCTTTGCTTTACACTACTCTCTTCTTGCAGAACTTGACGCTTTGTGATATATATAGTATTTTCGTCGTCATCTTTCTCTCCCTTTTTTTTCCCCCAGTTTCGGCTCTGACCTCACTGCGTGTTGTTCGCTTCAGCGAGTCAAGGTGTGCGGGTGTCCGATTGGGATCAAGAACGTACACCCGGCACATACAATGACAAACACACTCTCACTCGCGTGTGTGAGTGAGGCCGGTGAGTTTGGGTTCGTGCAGCAGCAGCTGCTGCGAACGTCGCCCTTTGTGATGACTCGCGTGAAGCTAGAAACACGAAAAAAGGAAAGGAAGACGGGAAAAGAGAAAACGAATATGAGACGGAAACGCTTTGTGTGTGTGTGTATGTGTGTGATTGAGTTTGTTGGATGCTCCGGCAACTGTGTTGTACCCAGTGGGGTCGTCAGGTGCTCCAGCATCTCGACCCACGTGCATATACATCGTCGAAAGGTATGCTGCACGGACGTCATCATCGCGCGCTGAATCGCTGCTCTCTTTTCGTCTACCAAGAAAAACATTAATAATAAAATTTATTTAAAAACATGAAAAAAGAAAGGGGAGGAAAAGGAGAAAGACCTACGCGTGCGTTTACTCTCGCCTCGAAATGGAGCGGGGTTTTCTTCTAGGAAATTTTTTTTTTGCGAATCGTGGGTATTCTTCTGTTTGTTTGCTTCCCTTTTCCTCCCTTATCCATTTTCTTGGATTCCTTCTCTTTGCGTGTTTTCTCCTCTTTGTTTTCTTTTTTTTTTCCTGGAGCACAATCTGTAGCGGAGGACTTGGCTCAATGGCTGCTGAAGCAGTTCTTCTTCTTCCGCGGGAGACTCTTTTTTTCTTTCCTTCCTTTAGGGAGTGAAGATCGTCGTCGATTACGTTCGCTTCTTCATTTCCCATTTGTTGACGGGCCTCCTTGATTATGCTTATAATTTTCCTCTCGTGCTCTTATTTAATTGTTTCCTGCTTGTTCCGAGGTACAGGCAAGCAGATTCCTTCTCGGTTCGTATCCTCCTCTTCTTCTTCTTTTGGCTTTGGGTTTTTAACCCTTTTCGTAGTCTGTCTGGTACCCTATACTCCGCTTCTCCATTTGCCTTTTCTGCAGAGCTGGCGAGGGAAAGGCGGGTGATGTGGAAGCGCTCAACTTACTTAACAGAAAAGGAAAAGAAAGGGAGAGAAAGGGAGAGAGAGAGAGAGAGAGAGACAGAACTTGTGGATAAGAAATGAGAAGAAGTGCTTCTCCATCTCGGACGCGTTTATAGCTAACCGAGCCGGTCGTTTTGCCCGCCTAATTCGCTTTCGATACGCTGATGAAGGGAGCGACACGAAGGCGCTGTTTGTTTGTTATTATTATTATTGTTGTTGTTGTTGCGCTCCCGCACGCCCCTCTTCGTTCTCTGCGGTTCGCGCTTCTTTCCCTTCCACTTCTTTTCCTTTTGGTATTCTACGCGATCGCCAGTGACGCCCTCTGTGTCTCGCCATCGGCAAAGGTCGACCGCTTCCAGCCTCGTCGTTACGCAGAACTCGCCTGTGCTTGTCTCTTGTAGCTGGGTTATTATTATTATTACTATTATTATTGTTACTGTTTTCTCTTTTCATTTCTTCTTGTTTACGCTTCGCGGTGGACTGTGACTCCGCTTCCCTCGCTCGACTAGCGCGATGTGAACGGCGATTGCGGGTGCGACGCTTGTGGTCTGTTGCCGGAGAGGAACAAGGCGCACATCCGCCCAAAAAAACTACAAACAAGATATTGTTTTTCCCCGTGATATTCTCTCTTGTGGTTTTTCTTCTTCTTCTTCTCTCTTTCTTCGGATATTCTGTTTTTCGAAAGGAAATGTATATCTAAAGACTGGATGATTTTAACTGTGATAGGGAGGAGAGGAGGGGGGAATGGCCTGCCAATGCAAATTGCTCCTTCACAAAAGAAATATTTAAGAACAAGAATTGAAACGAATGAGGAGAAAGGGGGGGTGGGTGAGAAGGAACACTCTTGTTGCCACACGATGCAATCGTTGTTCTGTGTGTTATGGGGAGGGGCGAGGAGGTGGACTCACGTTATGTGCGTACGACCTTCCGAAGGCGGTGCCAACTCGTATCGTTGTTGTTGTTTTTGTGGCTTTTTCCTCCTCCCGACTCCCGCGGGGGACGAAAGGGGCTGTCGAAAAGGCCCTCCTTCGTGCGGAGAAAGCTGGGTGCAGTGCGCCTCTCACAGGGTGCGGTGCGCTCCGTCTCCGTGCGGCGCACTCCTGTTTTTGGTGTTGGTGTTCTTTAGTTGTCTCCTCATCCCATCATCGACTTCTTAACGCTCTCACCACCTCCCCCACTGCGAGGGGCGGCGGACGTCGCCTTCACAAAAACCAACACTTCTCCAGTAAAACACCGTAAACGCACATACACCTCACCCTCCTCAAACAACATACGTTATTTTCTTTTTCCTGCTTCTACAAGCACTCCCCTTCCGCCATTACAGCCCCCCCGTCTCTTCCCAACAACACAACGACAGTGATCGATAAAGGAAAAGGCGAGAGAGAGCCACCATGACGGACACGAACGACAACCACCACAACCAGCACCGCGAGGCCGCGGAGGCGCCGGAGTACCGGAGCGCCGAAATGGCTCGGGAGGCGGAGATCAAGAAGGGAAACTACGTTCACCCGGATGCCGCGGCAATGTTCTCCACGTGCCCGTGGGTGCGCCGGGTTCCCATCTTCGGCGAGGCCATCGAGGCATATGGGCCGAAAGCCGTCTTCGCTCTCAGCGGCTGCTACTTCCTGTGCAAGGGCATCGCGGATCAGATTCTCACCAATCAAACCTTCGCCATGATGCGGAGCCGCTACCGCATCTCAGTGGAGAAGTACCAGCGTCTCTCCCCCATCTCGACGATGGGCTGGTCCATCAAGGCGTTCAGCGCCATGATGTGCGACGGCTTCGCCTTCCTCGGCTACACGAAGCGCTGGTACATGTTCGTGTCGTGCGTGGCCGGTGCCGTGTTCGCGCTTGTGTACGGCCTGCTGCCCGCCAAGGCGAGCTCCGCCGATACCGCTGCCGCCTTCATCTTCCTGTCGTGCTACGGTAAGGCGAACGTGGACATCCTGTCGGAGGGCCACTACAGCCGCCTCATGCGCGGTAACCCCAAGCCCGGTCCCGCGCTGATTGGTTGCATATGGTGGATGATTATGGTCGGTGCAATCATTGCCACGGTGATGAACGGTCCGCTGGCCGACCTGGGCAAGCCGCAGATCAGCATCTTCGTGTCTGCCGCCCTGCAGTTCCTCACAGCCTTCATCTTCCTGTTCAACTGGTACGGCGAGAAGAAGAACCGCGTGCAGCGCTCCGAGGATGCGCTGTACATGCTGGAGGAGACCCGCAAGGAGCGCGAGCGGCTTGGCCTGGCGACGGGTGCGGACGACCTCGGTGTGAACGCGCCGGCCCCTGAAAAGAAGCCGTACCCGGAGCACTCCAGCGCGGAGGACGCGGAGGCGGCGGTGCAGGACGCGCTTGGGGACGAGCTCGTGCAGAGCCACTACAGCGAGGAGGACAACGGTGACGACGAGGCGGAGGTGTACTACGGTGAGCCGCCCGTTCCCTGCCTGTTCGGCGTCTTCGAGATGAACAAGGAGGTGATCTCGGACAACTGGCGCATCTTTGCCTACTCGATCGTCATCACGTGTGCGGTGGTGGCCATGCTGTGCGGCAACATCCTGGCCGACACCCTCGGCCTGCTCATCATCTGCGTCGTCGTGTCGACCATCTGCTGCTCCCTCTCCTTCTGGGCCCTGCCGTCCATCATCGCCCGCACAAATGTTTTTGCCTACCTCAACACGGTGGTGTACATCCACGCTGTGAGTCCGTTGCAGACCTTTTACATGAACTCCAACAAATGCAAAGGCGACTTTCCGAACTTCACCTTCACCTTCTATAGCACGATTGCAGGCGTCATCGGCAACATCGCTGGCCTGGTTGGTGTGGCCGCCTTCAAGTACCTCTTCTCCAAGCAGAACTACCAGGTGACGTACGTTGTGACGACGGTGTTGCAGGTGCTCGGTGCCATCTTCGATATCATCATGGTGAAGCGGTGGAACGAGTACATCGGCGTTCCGGACCACGCCATGTACATCTGGGGTGATGCCGTTGTGCAGCAGATCGTGTACATGCTCGGCTTCATGCCGCTTGTGGTCTTGATGTCGCGCCTGTGCCCCCGCGGGTCGGAGAGCGTGGTGTACGCGCTGATGGCCGGCTTCTCCAACCTCGGCCAGACCACGGCGTCGTCCATTGCGGCCATCATCATGGAGTACGGCTGGCCCGTCTTATCCTGTTGTCGCGCCTGGTGCCGCGCGGGTCGGAGAGCGTGGTGTACGCGCTGATGGCCGGCTTCTCCAACCTCGGCCAGACCACGGCGTCGTCCATCGGTGCCATCATCATGGAGTACGGCTGGTCCGCCTTCGCGGAAAACGACAAGTGCAACTATGAGAACCTGCCGTGGCTGTTGTTCACGGTTGGGGTGTGCATCCCGCTGCTGGTGATCCCGCTGAGCTTCTTGCTGCCGCGCGTGCGCATCATCGATGACGTCGACATCGACGGCAACGTGGTGCGCGCACAGGTGGACAAGAAGGTGGTGGCGGAGGAGGTGCTGACGGAGTCCTCCACGGAGGAGCCGATAAACCACCCTGAGAAGCGGGAGGCTTAAACACTGTATAAATAGGAATGCAAGATGTTCCTGCTGATCTTCTTCGTTTTTTAGTTTGTATGAACTTCCCCGCCGATTTTTGTAGTTGTACGCTCTCTTGGTGCTCCCCTCTCTCCCCTCTCCCCTCTCTCCCCTCTCCCTCCCTCCCTCCCCCTTGTTTTTCCCATCTACGTGTGTGTGTTTGTGTGTCGTTCAGCGCCTTCGCTATCCGTCCTCCTCCCCCTTTCCCCTCATCTCCCCGCTGCTTCCTGCCTCTATTAAACTGAGCACAGGCCTGTTCAACAGCGGTGTGTTTCGTTGTGGCAACGATGAATAAACTCACCTTTCTCGTGCTGCAGCGTACCGCGCGGAGTCTTCAGACATGGAGAGGGAGGGTGGGCGGGGAGGGGAGAGAGAAGCTCAAAATATTTTTTGGTGAAGGTGGATTCATTGGGAAGTAACCAACAATGAATGCCGAAGCAAAACTGTGCGAGGAATCGTCAAGGAGCCTTACCACTGTTATCGCTGTAACTACCTTTTTCTATTTGCTCTGTTTTATCCTTCTTCTCTACACGGCTTGATTATTTCCCCGCCGCCCTTTGTGCATGCTGCCGTCACACTTGCCCATCCTTTTGTTTTCTTGACTTTTGTTTTTGTTCTTTGCTGCAGTTTTCTTTAATGAGAACACGGCTTTGTTTTATCTGTGTGTGTGTGTAGTAAGCATTTAATGGTTTCCATTTCTTCGCGGCACACGCATATATACACACACACACACACACACACACAGGCCAGGGAAGTTCAGTAAAAGCGGTTGAGATGTTCGACGTGTGCTTTACCTCGTCAGTCTAATTTATAAAATGAAAGAAGACAAGAGCGAACCGCGAATCTGCTGCTGTGCCAATATATCTGTCCAATTCACCTCCTCCCTTGTTTTTCTGTCGACTTAAACTGATATATATTTATACTTGTTTTTTTTTAACTTTGATGAACCTTTTCTTCTTTTATAATTCCCCCTTGTGTTTTACTATTCCCATTGTTATTCCCGGCATCGCCAGCGACTCCTTTTACTTCGCTTCAGCTGTATCTTTCCATTACTTTTTGTGTGCATGTGTATGGAAGCCCGGTTGCCGGGACCGCCGTTGTCGCTCGAGTTTAATCGTCATAACAGTGTGCGTGTGCGTGTGCGTGATTTAAGACAAATTAAAATCTTGTTGTACAACGTCCACATACACACACACGCACACGCACACACCTGCAACTGTTTTAGTTCTTCTTCCATACTGCCCCCTCTCCCTCCCCCTTTTTTTTTTTGAGGGGGGCGATCGTTGTTTCGGATCGTAAACGAGTCTCTCGTGGTGTGTCTTCTTTGTTATCTCTCTTTTCTTCTATTTTGGTTTTTCCCCTTCGCTGGTGGGTCGTGAGTGCGCGTCACGCCTCATAACTCGCGAGGCCCTTCTCTCTGAAGCCCTTAAAGTGCCTTCTCTCTCATCTTATCTGACGGTATGTGTGTGTGCTCCGAGCTTACCATGACGATACTGCTGTCAACGAGCGCGCGCACACGCACACACGAATACACACGGGAAAGGGAACAAGAAGCGGAAGAGGAAACCGACCTACGCGCAATACGACGCCCACCGCCTCCATACGGCATAGCTCTGTTTTATTATTATTATTATTGTTTTTTCGTGCTTTTCCATCGTCATTATTGCTACTATAATTGTTGTGATGAGCGGTGTAATAGGTGGAGGTATGCCTCCTCGCCACGCACGCTGCAGCACTCAACGTTGTAAAGAAAAGCAAGGGGAGAAGGAAGAGAGACCGGTGCAAAGGATGCGGTACTCAGTTTGGATGCCGTCGATGGGATGAGAGAGAGACTTCGCTTGGTTTCCTCCATGGCTCTTCTCATGATCGACGCTGTTGTAAAGAAGAAAAGGTGTTCACTGTCCTAGTATTTGCCTGTGCAATTCTGCGCCTTGTCCCCCCTCCCACCCATTCGAATTACCTTCGATGAAAGCAGCAAAACCTGTGACGGTTGATGCCAGTTATCGAAGGCTCTTCTTTTGTGTATCGGTGTATGTGTGTGTGTGTGTGTTGGCAGGTGCATGACTTTGCCCGTTTCTATTTCGTCCTCCTTCGTTCTCTTCTGTTTTGTATCGAAAACACCCGCAAGCGTCTTTTTTCCTTTTTTTTCCTGCTTTGCGTTGTTTAGCCTACACGATTCCTTCATAGCGCACCGCAGGGTGTGCCGCCCTTTAATTCCCCTCTCTCCCCCTCCCTCCCTCCTCCTCCTCCCTGTGGGAAGTGCAGTTGCGAAGGAGCAGAGCAAATGTTTATTATATATATATATATATATATATTATATTTTCCTTTGTTTGTTTGTTTTTCGGGGGTGATTGCATGAGGCCTTCACCGACCGCAACTACATCTCTTTTTCTTTCATTTACTTGTTAAATATATATATAAAGAGAGATTAATATTATTCCCCATTTTAGCCGTTTCCACGCCCGCTTATATATAACGTGTGTGTGTGTGTGTGTGGTTCCGCCAACATTTACGCAAAGGAGGTACGAAATGCTAATGAAGGTAATGGAGGGCTTCATGCGCATGCCCCGTAGTCGCGAATGTCGGAACAGGCCAAACCGCCATGCGGCTCGCATAAACTGCGTCTCCACCGCTTTAGACACACAGGCGCCGCAGGGTAAACGCGTACGCAGTCCTTCCTCAATATGTGGAGTTAGCTGTTACTATCTCGCTCAAGCGTTGTAAAGCGCGTTTACCCCGACTCACTGCGTGGTTCGACAGCAGCCACTTCATTCCTTCTCTCCCCTTTCCTCCATCTGCGTTCTACACCTCTCCCTCTCTCATTCATCTTACTCCTTATTCTTTCTTTCTTTTTTCTTTCTGCTACGCGAAACGCAACAACATATTATCCTCATCACCATCATTACAACTCATGCGTTCCTCGTACTTGATGGAACGCACTCGTGTCTTCATCCGTCTCCTCTCCCTCCCCCTCCCCCTCCATCTCATCGGAACCGATCTCCCAAACGACAGAAAACAACTGACAGTAAAAGCCGCCTTAACATCTTCTCTCTTTTCTGTTCTTCTTCTTTTTGATTTGTTCTAAGCCGAAGTAAACTTGCCCGTTCTCTGTGTTCTCCCATCATCACAGTAACGTAATCGCAGTGAGTACTCCCAAATTCTTTTATGGACTTTTCTTTTTTCTTCTTCTCATTTTGGCATTCGCGCAGCAGCTTCTCCTTTATTCTTAACTACTATTCCTATTAGTATTGCTATTATTATTGATTCGTCATTATTGATTCTTCTCCACTTATCTCTTCTTCATTGCATCTTTCATCGGGTTCTCCCCTTCGAGAGACGTAAACGTACTGTATACAACATGTCGGATGAAGGAGACCACACCGCCCGCGGAAGAGAGGACCCCACGCAGTCCAGGCCCGCTCCAGGGGGCGACTTTGCCCGCTACGTCCACCCCGAAGCGGCGGCCATCTTTGCGAGGTGCCCGTGGGTGCGCCGCATCCCCGTCTTCGGCGAGGCCACCGAGGGCTACGGCCCCAAGGCGGTGGTCTCGCTCTCAGCGGCTGCTACTTCCTGTGCAAGGGCATCGCGGATCAGATTCTGCGTGGCCAGACCTTCGCCATGATGCGGAGCCGCTACCGCATCTCAGTGGAGAAGTACCAGCGTCTCTCCCCCATCTCGACGATGGGCTGGTCCATCAAGGCGTTCAGCGCCATGATGTGCGACGGCTTCGCCTTCCTCGGCTACACGAAGCGCTGGTACATGTTCGTGTCGTGCGTGGCCGGTGCCGTGTTCGCGCTTGTGTACGGCCTGCTGCCCGCCAAGGCGAGCTCCGCCGATACCGCTGCCGCCTTCATCTTCCTGTCGTGCTACGGTAAGGCGAACGTGGACATCCTGTCGGAGGGCCACTACAGCCGCCTCATGCGCGGTAACCCCAAGCCCGGTCCCGCGCTGATTGGTTGCATATGGTGGATGATTATGGTCGGTGCAATCATTGCCACGGTGATGAACGGTCCGCTGGCCGACCTGGGCAAGCCGCAGATCAGCATCTTCGTGTCTGCCGCCCTGCAGTTCCTCACAGCCTTCATCTTCCTGTTCAACTGGTACGGCGAGAAGAAGAACCGCGTGCAGCGCTCCGAGGATGCGCTGTACATGCTGGAGGAGACCCGCAAGGAGCGCGAGCGGCTTGGCCTGGCGACGGGTGCGGACGACCTCGGTGTGAACGCGCCGGCCCCTGAAAAGAAGCCGTACCCGGAGCACTCCAGCGCGGAGGACGCGGAGGCGGCGGTGCAGGACGCGCTTGGGGACGAGCTCGTGCAGAGCCACTACAGCGAGGAGGACAACGGTGACGACGAGGCGGAGGTGTACTACGGTGAGCCGCCCGTTCCCTGCCTGTTCGGCGTCTTCGAGATGAACAAGGAGGTGATCTCGGACAACTGGCGCATCTTTGCCTACTCGATCGTCATCACGTGTGCGGTGGTGGCCATGCTGTGCGGCAACATCCTGGCCGACACCCTCGGCCTGCTCATCATCTGCGTCGTCGTGTCGACCATCTGCTGCTCCCTCTCCTTCTGGGCCCTGCCGTCCATCATCGCCCGCACAAATGTTTTTGCCTACCTCAACACGGTGGTGTACATCCACGCTGTGAGTCCGTTGCAGACCTTTTACATGAACTCCAACAAATGCAAAGGCGACTTTCCGAACTTCACCTTCACCTTCTATAGCACGATTGCAGGCGTCATCGGCAACATCGCTGGCCTGGTTGGTGTGGCCGCCTTCAAGTACCTCTTCTCCAAGCAGAACTACCAGGTGACGTACGTTGTGACGACGGTGTTGCAGGTGCTCGGTGCCATCTTCGATATCATCATGGTGAAGCGGTGGAACGAGTACATCGGCGTTCCGGACCACGCCATGTACATCTGGGGTGATGCCGTTGTGCAGCAGATCGTGTACATGCTCGGCTTCATGCCGCTTGTGGTCTTGATGTCGCGCCTGTGCCCCCGCGGGTCGGAGAGCGTGGTGTACGCGCTGATGGCCGGCTTCTCCAACCTCGGCCAGACCACGGCGTCGTCCATTGCGGCCATCATCATGGAGTACGGCTGGCCCGTCTTCGCGGAAAACGACAAGTGCAACTATGAGAATCTGCCGTGGCTGGTTTTCGTCTGCAGCGTCATGACCCCGCTGCTGGCGATCCCGCTGAGCTTCATGCTGCCCATCGCCCGCATCATCGATGACGTCGACATTGACGGTCATGTGGTGCGCAAGCAGGTGGACGCGAAGGTGGTGGCAGCGGTGGACACCGACTCGCAGGAGCCGTTGTCCGCGACGGACGAGGCTACAGAGAAGCGCTGATGCTGCGTGGAGGTATCCGCCTGACTGCATGGGCGTACCTTACTTTCTCATTGCCTTTTACGTCCACGCCGTATGGTGGTGTTATTGGCACCCTTTTGGCCGTGCGTCTTCCGCATATGTCCTGGAAACGTAAGGCCGGCTCATGAGCGGATTGGGACGTCGTCGCTGATCATTGCACGATAAACATGGGCGGGTGTGTGCGCGCCTGTGTGTGGGTGTGGGTGTCCTCTTCACTGCTCGCTCGCTCGCTTACGTGGTTGTTTACGTGGTATTACACCTCGCCTCCTCCCCTCCCGTGGGGAGATAGAGAAGCAGCAGTCGCGTATGCGCCTGGCCAGTGGACTTGAGCGTGGTGGGCAGCAGCATCGGATCTTTTTTTCTTTTTGGAAGGCACCAATGCTCTTTTGCACACACACACACACACCTCCGTTTTCTTCTTCAGTTTGGTTTAACGCTGTTTAAGTTCCTTTGCTTCGTGTCACTAAGCCTCTCCACCCTTCTCCACGTGTGTGTGTGCGTGTGTGCATTTAATTCGTGCTTCATCATCGTTATTATTCGCAATGTCTCACTAAGGTCTCGGCTTTCTTTGTTTGTTTGTTTTCAATTTTTTTCGGCTTTCTGTCACCTGACGTCAAGAGGCATCTGAAGCGAAGATCGGAAGAATCCAGAGAGAAAAGGCAAGAGAGGGGGAAAAACGTTCGGCAAAACATGCCTCTTACGTAAGACGCTGACACTCTCTGAAATATATGCATATAACTCCGTTGTCAAAGCTGGAAACGGTGCTGCTAACTGCTCTTCCTCTCCTCACTTGTCATTGCTCATCTTATATATATATATATATACGTGTGTGTTAATGTTCCTACTCCCTTTTGCCCTACCTTTGAAGGTTTTCGCTGCCAACGTAGTGCTTTTGCTGCTTTTGAATTTTTTCTTTCTTGCTTGTTCCTTTTTTGCGTTACCGAAGGCGGCATCTGTGCTTTCCCCTCCCGCACTCTCCCCTCTCTCTCTCTCGCTTCATATACTTCTCCGCCTCTCCTTTGTGAGCTAGTTCATTGTCCACGGCTGTCATGTTACCTCTCCTAATATTTTTTAAAATCTATTTTTCTTCCTTCCCCCGCCTCTTTTTCTGCTTCCTCTGTTGTTAACATATAGGAGTGTTTATGGCTTCCTGTTTTCTTCTGTGTTTTCTCTGTGCTGTGCTCGACCTATCGACGATGCGATTGGCGGAGGAAGGAAGAAAAAAATCAAAGCGAACGCCAACGATTTCCTGCGTGCTCTTGTCAGGGAGGGGGGGAGGGGGTCCCACTGCTCTTTCCCTCCCTCCTCTCCCTCCCCTTTCCTGCCCTCTCCCTTCCGTTAGAGACGTGAGTCCTACGCAACTGTCATCTTCCTTCTTTGGTGGTGAGTGTTGTACCTCCTTGTTGGTGTTGTTTTTACCGCCTTCGAAGTCAGCTTTTTATCTTCAAAAAAAAACGTATCTTGTCGATAAAATTTTAACATTTTCTGTCCTTTCCAGTATCAGTGCTCTTCGAATTATTTTCCCAGTTTGTGCATGTGTTCGTGTGTGGGCTAAGCAGTTCCTCCCTGTCTGTTGCGGTCTGCGATATGACAAAAACTTGTTGAAGCGGTTTCGATGGCTTCCCTCTTATTTCTGTTGTCGTCTTCCTGGCCTTGCTTTTCCTTTCGCGTTCTATTCCATAAAAACGTAAGGAAGGCGTCCCACTTCCAGCATGAAGGACAACGAATCGCAAACACACACACGCATATATATATATATATATAAGGCTTTTCTTTTCCTCTCCTTTTGAGATCTTACACGAATCCCGCGCATTGATTTCCCTTTTGGTTTCTGTCGTTTCCTCATCATCCGTATCTTCACTTTTCCCATTCGGTGAAAAGTACTCTTTTTTTCTCTCTCTCTCTTTCTACCTCTTTTTATTCTTAATATTATTGCTGTTGTAAAACTGTTGATCACGTGTGTTCCGTCAACCTTCAGCGCCCAATCCACTCTGCGGCACAGCGCAGCACAATACACACGCAGAGGCAAAACTAAAACGAAAAGAAGCAAAGGCAGAGAAGAAAAAGAGGGAGAACAACAAAGAAAAGATTCGTCTGTGCGCACTGCCAGCGATTGTCGCTATGTCCGTTTTTCTTTTCCTGTTCTTTACTGTTAGTATTATCATTGTTTATGATGCTTGCATTCTCCTCTTCTCGCTTTGCGTTTTCTTTTTTAATGTCTGTTGTACCTCTGCCGCTGCTGTTGTGCGCGCCTTAAATGGGCAGAGAAGAACTGTGCGTGTGCGTTGATCTACACTGCGTTATTTGTATATATTCTGTAATTCGGCTGAATACACTTAAAGGGGAAAAAGGCGGCCTTTATCTTTTGGTGGCTTTTTTACCTTTTACAGTTGTTCCCCAAAAGTACACGCTTTTTGTGTTTCGATTTTTTCCTCTTTCCCCCCTCTCCCTCTCTCTCTCTCTCTCTCAGTCCTTTTCTTTTCCTGTTCTTCGCATATTCCAGTAAACGGAGGTGCGGCGGAGATGCCACCCACGCGTTGTCTCGTGTGTGTTTGCCGGGTATGCTTTTAAGTATTTATGCCTGCTGCCTCTTCCTCTCTCTCTTACTCTCTCTCTTCCTATGTGACTCCAGCGACGGTGTGGAGGAGATTTAAAAACAGAAGTAGGTAAAAGAGTGAGAAGGGAATAAAGAAAAACAGCAGAACAATTCGACTTCATACATTTATATACATATTCATCAGCCAAAAGGAAACCACAAAGAGAAAAAATAAGCACCGTGTGCCCTCTCTCATCGACCAGTGAAACAGCGCGCACACCCGCGCATGCGCCGGCACGATAGCCGTTCTGTTGGACACACGTATGCGATACGCGGCCCTGACAGAAGAGCTCGGTTTGGAGAAGACATGTATATATATATTTATGTCCCTGCTCCGGTGGAATGCGACACACGCGACCTACGTTCAATCCTTCTTTCACCTCCACCCCTTTCTCTCGTCTTTTGCTTTTGTCGGATTCACGCGTCCGCCAACTCCTGTGCGGACACATACTCTGCTCCTCACCCGGCACGTCTTTTTTTATTATTATTATTTGTTTGTTTACGTCACCTTCCTTTGCTGCTCCCTCCTCTGCGGGTGTACGTGTTCGTTCTCTCTCGCTGTTTCGTGCTTTCCTTCTCCTCCTCTCTATCTCTCTCTGTCAACCATCAACCAAAAAGAAGAAGAAGATCCGTCTCCAGTTCTTTAGCGTACACAGCCCTATCTTGTACTTCGTTTCCGTTCTTTTTTCTTTTTATCTCTCTCTCTTTCAAAGGAAAAATATAATATATATATATCGTTGTTATTGTTTTTTAATCCACTTACGCACGTTGACGTGCCGACTCGATTCTCTCTCTCTCTCTCTATCTATCTATCTATCTATCTCTTACATCAAAATACAGATAAAGAAACATATATATAGTCGTTTCCTCTTCACCTCTCCTTCAACAAAACGCTTTTGGGAATTACCCGCCTTTATTTTCTTTTAAATCACCGACAAGCGAAACAACAACAACACCGACAAAAGGTAGTTATCGTCAAAACAACAACAACGACCAAAAAAAGAAGGAAAGAAAACATTCAGTGAGTTTAATAAACATTTTTGTTTTTCTCCTCTCTTTCTTCTCTTTCTTCTCCTTTTCTCGTAAAGCATCGCGACACATTGGATTACGTAGCGCCATTGATCGCACACCGCCAGACTCACCGTACTCCTCTTTTTTCTCTCTTTCTCTCTTCTCTTTCTGCGACTACGTCTTCTCAGCTGACTCGACAGCAAAATTTCGACTTCTCAATTCACTCCGCAGCAGCACAACAACAAACAACAAAAATAACAGTAAAAAACGAAACTCAAAAATGTCTGTAGTGCCGAAGTTTATCGAGGACCCGACCACCGTCGTCGACATCGCCGTGGACGGCCTCTGCGAACTCAACAACCGCGTGAAAAAGATTGAGAACACGAACGTGGTGGTGGCCACCGAGGTGGACCCGACGAAGGTGCTGCTCCTCTGCGGCGGCGGCAGCGGACACGAGCCGGCTCACGCAGGTTTTGTGGCAAAGGGCTGGCTAAGCGCTGCGATCTGCGGCAGCGTCTTCGCCTCCCCGCCCACCGCCCACGTCAGCGCGGGCATCGAGTACCTGGCGAAGCAGCAGGGGCCCAACGGACCGGGTATCCTCGTCATCATTAAGAACTACGCAGGAGATATCCTCAACTTCCAGTACGCAGTGCGACAGGCCCGGGCGCAGGGTATTCAGGTGGAGACGGTGCTGTCGGCCGATGACGCCGTTTTTGGCACGGCAGAGGTGAAGAAGCGGCGTGGCGTGGCGGGGTGCTGCCTCCTCTACAAGGCTCTCGGTGCGGCGGCGCAGCGCGGGCAGTCGCTGGCGCAGCTGAAGTCCTTGGCCGACCGCATCTCCAACAACATGCGCTCCATCGGGGCCTCGCTGTCTTCCTGTGCGCTGCCGGGCAGCCCGCCGTCGTCGGTGCTGCCGCATGGCGTGGTCGAGGTCGGCCTCGGCATCCACGGAGAGAAGGGTCTGCTGCAGGTGCCCTTCACCGGAGCGGCGGCCCTAACAAAGATGCTCGTCGCGGTGCTGCTGGGACGCGTCGACGACGCCGTGCCCGGGCACCGTCGCGCGACCACACCGATCCCGGCCGGCGTGAAGGCGCTCCTCCTCGTAAACAACCTCGGGGGCACGGCGGACCTGGAGATGAACACGGTAACCCACTACGCCCTGCACGAGCTTGTCGGCGCTGGCGTGACCGTTGTCGGGGTGCACAGCGGGCGGCACATGACGTCGCTGGATATGCACGGCTTCTCCATCACGCTGCTCGTCATCGCCGATGAGGCGGATTTGGAGTTCGTGCTGAACACCAACGCCGTGCAGAAGCCGTTTATGAACTTCCACGCACCGCAGCTGAGCCACAAGACGGTGCCAGGACCGCTGACGGCGCTGCAGCTGGCGAAGCAAGAGGCGGAGGCAGCGGGGCGGGCACCGATTGATCCGGCCTCCAGTCCTCTCTGCGCCGCCGTGAAGCGGGTCTTCGACAAGCTCGTGACCATGGAGGCGTACTTTAACGGCCTGGACGCGGAGGTGGGCGACGGTGACCTCGGCAGCGGCGTCCACCGCAGCTCGATGGCGGTGCTGGAGATGCTGCCATACCTGCCGTGGGAGGCGAACGTGCTGCGCAGCTTCACGCTCATCTCGAAGGCCGTGGCGGACGCCTGCGCCGGCACCTCCGGCCCGTTGTACGGTGCTCTGCTGATCGGTGGTGGCACCGGCGCGGCGAAGGTGCTCGCGGAGGAGAAGGCAGGGGCCAGCTTCGTCGTGGATGCGGTGCGGGCGGCAATCGCGCAGGGAAGCCAAGCTGTGCAGGAACTCGGCGGGGCGCGCAAGGGAGACCGGACGATGGTGGACGCGTTGGAGGGGATGCGCGAGGCGCCTGCCGTGGCGGCGGCGCAGACGGTGCCGGAGCTGATCGCTGCCTGCCACCTCGCGGCGCGTGCGGCAGCGGATGCGACGGCGCAGATGCCAGCGAAGTTCGGTCGCAGCCTCTACCTTCAGGGCAAGGAGATTGGCAAGAAGGACCCTGGGGCGGAGCTGGTGGTGTCGTGGCTCGAGGCACTCCAGTGAAAAATCCTTTGTCTTTGTTTTTCCTTCTTTTTTTCTTCCTCTGAGAAACCCGTCGCCCCTGCCCTGTGCCCACCGACACGACCATCTCTTCGTTCTATTTCTCTCCCTCTCAAAACAGAAAAAAAAGCATTGCTTTTGCTTGGTTGTTTCCCCCCCCCCTTCCCCTTCGCCTCCTGATCTCCCCCGCCTCGTGGCTGACGTCCCCTCCTTCATTTCAAGGGGTGTCAGGTTGTCAGCGATGGAAGGCTTGTCTTTTCTGAAGAAAAAAATTAGTGTTCTCTCCTTGTCCTTCTTTTTCATTACATCAGTGCTTCCATTTAAGGCTTTCCCCTCATCTCCTCTTTTCGTTTTCCTTTACTCTCTTTCATTGACCTCTTGAGGAAGGGGGGGGGTTGTTTGTTTGTTTCCCTTTCACGGCTCCACACGGGAAGGGGAGGGGGAGAAAGGGAGACAAAAGGAAGAACACCTTTATCGCGACGTTGGTATTAACCGCTGGGGGGTGCGAAAAAAAAAGGGGGGCAGGAAAGAACAAAATACAAAGTACAAGGTCTTGATGCGCATGTTGCTGGTAGCGCCATCAACGCCGACGTTAGAAGCGTGATCTTCTGGAAGCGCGGCGGCTGTCTGTTTTGTGATGGCAACCCACATCGTCGCTCGCTCTTCTTCTCCTTCTTCTCGTGTGTGTGTGTGTGTGTGTGTGTGTTGTGTTCCTCTCCTGCTGTCGGAGTTACGGTTACTGTCTGCTTCCCGAGAGGGCGCCCATGTAATGCAGATCAGTAGCTCACGCTTTGTGTGCTCTCTCTTCACCTTTTATTTTTCGTCTTCTACGATCTTCTTCTCCTCCGTGGCTAATGAAAAAAGGTTAAACAAAGTGGCTGGTAGTCCATTATTATTATTGTTTTTTCAAGGGCACTGCGAAGCCGCTGTCGAATCGATCACCGTCGTTCGTGAGTCTTGTGTTCTTCGCAATATATATTCATATAAACCAGAAGGAGGGCGCCGCAGCACGTCGACGTCAACGGGAAGAAGAAGACTCGCTCACGTATTCGCCTCATAGAACTTCATAGAGCCACTGCTGTCTAATTTTTCTGTAAAAGCACCATAATTATTGCTTCCGCTATTTGTACAAAGATAGATAGATATAAAGAGAGATCAACCGTAGCGATGGACCGCAGCTGCACGCCGCCTCGGCCGTCCGCGAGTCACCTAGCCGCATCAGGCACCCCAGACAGCAATAATGCAGTAGAAAATGCGGAGAAGGTAGCACCAAGTTGTGGTGCGAGTAGTGCAGTTCCCTCCGCTCTTCGTCCGCCATCCGTGTCACTCACGCGGTCTCCTTCCGCTTCATCCTCGTCGTCTATTGTTCTTCTGTCCTGCAGCGACCGGGGGGATGACGTGTCAGAGGCGAGACAAGACAAGGAACTGCAAGTCAATCGTCCATCACTCCTCGCGTACGCACCGCCGCCGCCGCCGCCGCGAGGGGATGTGAGCGCAACCGATTCTCTGACAAAACCGGTGCGTGCCACCGCCGCATCATCGCCGTAGTTGTCGTCGCCTCTTCACCTGACACAGGAACGTTTGGCAGCTCTCGGCGCCGTCGATGACTTCACGTCGAGGCAGCGTGATCGTCATCGCGGCGATGATGCGCTACGGGAGGAAGAGGAGGGCAACCGAGGCACGGCTCATCACAACAGCGTTCACCGGCGTGACCGCGTCGTGGACTGGTTAAACACTGCTGCGGCTGCGTCGAGCACAGTTGGGCAACAGGAAGTCCACAAAGAGGCGATCGACTGCGCGGGCTGTGCCAACACCGACGCCCCATCTCCTCCTCTTACACCACCACAACAACAACCACATGCACGCCTGTTCGCGCCGGCGGACGGCCCAGACACCGGCGGAGACCACGATCCAGCGAAAACACCAGAGGCGGCGAATAGAGAGCCACTGTGGTGCTCGTTCGATGTCGTCACCCCCGTCCGCCAAACACGTCCGCGTGCCGACCCCTACAACACGGAGGATGGGAATGCCGGTGCGTACGCCTCACCGCCGCCACGGCTGTCCGCGCAGGGCACCTTCACGTCTTCCTCCACCTCCACTTCCACCACCGCCACCCCCGCCGTTTACGCGATAGGCCACCACCGAAGCCGTCGCTGTGGGGCGGACACGCCCGCGGCGGCGCGCACCGCACCGGTGCCTCGCAGATCCGCACCGGATGCCTCCCCACCCTTTCCTCCGTCGTCCTTCACGCAGCGCCCCGCAGACACTACTGCTGCTACTACTACCGCTGCTACGACACCCCGTCGTGGGGCGCCGTTTGGGGGGACTTCAGCACCACCGCCGCCGCGTGTATCCCTCGGTCGACCGTCGCCCCTCGCGGTCTTCCTCACGCCGCCACCGCCGGCATCGTCGCCCCTCACGGTCGTGCGTGAGCTGCGCCATCGCACCGGACACGCGCATCACACCGAGATGGCGGCAGATGCACTCACCAGGGGGCAGAAAACACCGCGTGGGGACTGCTGGGCCGGCCTTGCGAGCAACGGCGACGACCACCACCACCGCAACGCAGACGCTACAGCCGAGGCACAACAGTCTTTGACGCCGCAAGCTCTGCACGCACGCGCCGCTGCCGCCTCCACCTCTGGTGCCACCAACGCGGAGGGCACGACGCACAACATCACGCTTCGCATCTGCACCCTCTCCGGCTTCACGTTGCGTGTTGTGGTGGACCGGCGGTTGCCCGTTTCGCAGCTGGCCGACCGCGTCGCGCAGTACATCCACGTCCACCGCGCGCACGTCCAGCTGAAGTACACGAAAACGGGCGCCGTGTTCGATGCAGTGAGTGCGGTGGCGCCGGAGGAGGCGGCGAAGGCGGTGAACACGACGCGCAGTCCATCTTCGGCGACGACGACGTCGCTGCGGCTGTGCGACCTACCAAACCTCGCCGATGCAGACGTGTTTCTCGTGCTGCTTCGTCCGCAAGCCACCACCTCCGCAGACCCGTCTCTGCTGTCCTCCTCCTTCCTCCCACCTTCACGGGGGTTCGATCAGCGCTCTCCCGCTGCTTCCCGGCAGGTGGCGAAGCGTCAGCGGACGAGCGGCGGCGGCAGCGGCCACAGCACGGCAACGCGGAAGTCAGGTGCTGCTCCTGCAGCTTCTGCACCGTCGTCGTTGTCTGCGTCGTCTCCGCCACACCGCACGTCCTTCCCGTCTCCGCTCTCCCCTCGCCGTCCCTCGGCCTCTGCCGCTCGACGTAGCAGCATCGCCGACAACAACGACGGGAGCGTCGAGGTGGATCGTAGTGGCGGTGGTGCGGGGGGGTTGACGGCGACGGTGCAAAGTGGAGGGCGAGAGTTCATGCGGGGCTCGTATGGGTTTCCGCCTCTCATGGGCGCTTCAACTGCTTCATCGGCACGAGCTTCATCACCGCCGCCACCGCCACCGCCACCGCTGCGATAACGCCGTCCGTCGTTATCGTCCGCACCTTCGTTTTACATTATTCCGACACCTTTTCCTTTATACCTGCTCTTTTTTCGTTGGGCTAATAAAAGCTGTTTTATGATGTTTCTGCATCGCCTGCTGCTTAATGTCCAACTATCCCTGTCCACAGGAGCCGTCTCCGTAACGAGACGCCCCCGGTTGCTTAGCGACATCCGTGCAAAAGCTCTCGCTGCTGCGCTGTGGTCGCGTGGTGGTGATCGACACATCTCTGTGTTTTTTTGGAGAATAAGAAGGCCTTGGTGACTCCGCGGACCCAGTCGTTGCACCACACTCCCACACTTCAACACCTCTCTTCTTTCTTTTTCGTTCTCTTTCTTCCCCTCGTACATTTTTGTTTTATTTGGAGCTTTACGGACGCCAAAGGTTCGAAAAACGAAGGAAGAAGAGAGCTATACTGTGCCGTTTCGGTTGGGCCTGTGCGCCCCTTCACATCCATCACTTCTCCGAGTAGCGTACAACTCCCCTGCGAGCTATAGAGTCTTCTTGCCATACACACCTCCTACGATTTTGTAGCGTTCTTCTTCCATTTGGAGGTGTTTTTCTCTATTTATTATTATTTTTCTTTCCTCTTCTCGTCACTCGCTTCGATGCCGCTGGCTGTGTTGGGCGGCGGCCTCTTCAGGGTTCTGCTTGCTGGTACTGCCATCGTGTTGTCTTACTGCGCCGCGACGCTGGCGGTGTTGTACCGCCATCGCCGCAGAGTGAATACTGTTGGGTACTACCGGCTTCCGTCGAAGGACGACGCACACGCTGTGAGCGCCGCACGCGAGCGCGCGCAGGAGGAGGACAGGTTAGAAATGCAGGTAGAGAACGCCGACGCCGAACGCGGCTCGGCTGGCTCGCGTCGTCATTGTGGGCCGTGTTGCTGCTGCTGCGACTTGCGTGGGCGGTATGCCTTTGTGCAATGCGGGCACCTCTGCATCTGTGAGCCGTGTCTCATCACACTCGGCCATGAGTGCGAAGCAAGTAGGGGGTCACCTTTTAAAGGGCCGTGTCAGCTTCCGTGTCCTGTGTGTCGCCGCAAGGGCTTTCTCATCAAAACTTTCTCCGGATGATGACAAAGACGGCGGCGCTGACCGATGTGGAATGCACACCGATCCTTTTGTTGTTGTTGTTTGTAGTAGGAATCCACGGACGCTGTTTTTCTGTAGTGCTGCTACGCCACTTTTTGCCGTTGCCACTGCTTCTGTTGCTTTGCTCAAACTCC